GAAGTTTGTTTACCAAAAGAACTTGAACGATATACCTTGACTATTTATATCTTATACATTAAAACAATAAGTAACATATGGTCAGAGTGTGTTGATGCATGTAGTCTCCCTTTCGGCATACGTATAGTTCAAATTTACAACCGAATTATCAGACGATTATTGTAGTTTAATATAACAAAATTATTGAAACGCCTAATTTTATTTTTTAATTTAAATTTTCATTCCTTCTTACTGTCATTTCTATATAATTGCTCAAGACTGCTGCTTGTCGGTTCAAGTACTGGTGGCAGTTCGTGCTTTATTAAGAATGCAAAGCTCAACACCCGTGTATTTATAATTGCTCGCCATAGATGTATACTGGAATGCAAGCGTCTGCCGGTCGATACACTTCTTCGAGGCTAAAATGAAGATAAGAAAATAAGTCGTCCTATGAGAAGTGTCTGGATTTTATACACTCACTTCTTGAGGAATTCATAGATGCACGCGAAGACTTTCAGTTTGCATGCATGCAATTTTTTAAATTTTATTCGCGGCCGATGTTGATATCAGAAAATGTGGTGACTGATGAATCATTCAACCGCTTTTTCATTGCTTAGCCTGAATATTCCTAGAGAAGTTGTCCTCATATTATATGTGTACACGCATAAATACGTTGAAAGTACCTAACAGGTATACAATAGACAACATCTACAACGCCATATCATTTAGTGTCAACATCAAATTTTGTTTGGAAACAACCGCATTGATTTGTCCCGTCTCAGTATTGAGACTTCATCGTGACTATTTTTGGAGTATTTTTTTTATTATATATGGCACATTGTTATGTACCTCCTATGCGAGTATATGAATTATTTAAAATTACAGTGTATATATAATTAATGCAAGATCTTCAAATTATCTTCAGATTTGATTGGATAACATTCTTCCATGTTAGCTGCCTATATGATAAGATATAAGATAACCCCTTATAAATTAAATTTTTTGTTTAGGTCTATCTTGTGCGATTTATTTTATCCAAGTTAGCTATTTGTGGAATCATATTAATGGGCGATTGCTGGAGCGGGTGGGCTAGCACTGCAATGAATGGTCTGCTCGCTGACACTCTGATCAACCGATTACATCTGCCTCTCCTCGGCAGCTATTGGACTTGTGCATTTGTCGGTGATTGGATGTTGGTCATCTCTGGCCACTCGTTAAATCTTTTTCTTGTTAATAACAAATTCACGTCCACTAGTAGCTGACACCATTGACTTCTCCAAAGATCTTACACTAGCTGGCCACTGGGCAGCAATTCATCAAATGCCATATCGTTCACATGTATATCTTTCATATAATTCAGGATATGTCACATACAACAAATTTATATCTTTCAATTCATTCAGCATAAGCCGTATTAAACACTCGATTTTCTTTCGTTTTATGCAACATGTGTCCTACAAAACACATGCTTTCAAGAGTTAGCATTTGTACTGCATTGTTGCCACAGAAGGAAGTTGTAAATAAATAGATAAGGTCGACGGGCGAATCTTGCGTCCGCTTTTTACGGAAGGTTTACACAAAGTACGATGCATTCGGTCTATAAGTTCGACTTGATCGTTACGATCACTGCTCATGTCCGTTCAAGATATCTAAATTATGGCGTACTTTTATCTAACGTTAGGCAAAAAACCAGCTTTCCAAGTCTCGACGTTTAAAAGATTTTGTCTCATTTTTACGAAACTAGATATTTACGTAGCTACTGCTGTACCTTATATACAAGTACCGGTATGTGCCGAAGTGTTGTGAACTATAGAGTTACGCGCGCTACTCTAGCCTCATGTTAGCCTGTGTAACATGATAAACCTTCAGCTATTAATCACTTACGTTTGCTATTCTATGTTCCTAGTTGGTCAAACTTTTTGTGCTCGGGGCTTTTGTTCTACAATCAGCCGGTTAAAATTTTTGTGTTCATTATATTATCAGCGTTACTTTTAAATTGTAGAAATAACCTAGCTCAGTATACACATACGGAAAATTTGCCCATTTTATGCGACTGCATGCACGCTCTCCTGCGTGTTGTTGTCACCGGAAGTTCTAGAATGTCGAAAAATTATTTTTTTATCGATTCACTGATTTAGCATTGATGTTTTTTATTTTATTATTAAATAGTGTATGTTCTGTAGGCAATTAGATGTCTTTTTTTTAATGCAAATAGAATGCAGGGAAAGTATAAATTTTGTTTTGGGGCATGTTTTTGCCTAAATTTCTATTTTATTTCGTTTCTGCTGAACTCTCTTACAATACTTGCTTCATTAATCAAGTTTTCAGTTAAAAAAGGAGAAAACGATTTACTTTCAATTATAGAATTTTTTGATGAATGAAAAATAGATATAATTTACCCCGTTGAACGCGGTATTGGAATGAAGTGCGAAATTGGTCGCAGGTAACCTTTTTTTCTGGCGAATGCAGCATGTATTTCGTTGACATAATTAACAGCAAATATTTTAAACCATGCAAATAAACTGTCTTTTTCTGGAACTTCATATCCATTATTCGTCCACATAAGCCCCGCGAAAATATATTGCGAATCCGCTAACTGAAAATTATACTCGAAAACACTAAAATCGACACTCAATATTACACGCTTTTCAATTTCAGTTTCATCATATCAGGGAATTTTCTCAACTGAGGCTCAAGGTTGACACTAACCAGCGTTCACTGTGTCAATGGGCATCATGCCCGCTAACTTTTACTAAGTGAAGTCAACGAGGCTTGAACGCGAAGCGCGGGTGCTTCAATGCGCCGCATTGACAGCTGGCCTGGCTCGGCAATAAAATTTCTAGGCAGCAAAACGATCACCCGCTGCTGCATGGCAGTGTAAAGGCACTCGAGTGGCAACCTACGTATGCTGGCAAAACTCGTGTCTTTTTAGCACATTTATGGAAAAATGCACTATTGTGCTCGCCATGTCCGTCAGTCCGTCCGTCTGTCCGTCTGTTTTTCCGTCCGTCTGTCCGTTCGTCCGTCTGTCTGTTTCTCTTTCTGTCTGTCTGTCCGTCTGTTTGTCCGTCTGTTTGTCCGTCCGTGACTTCACGTTTTCGTCGACGAGAAAATGCGCTAAACGGCACTCACTGCAGTGAGTACTGAGTTATATTTTTTATCTTACTTTAAAAGCTTAACTCATACACACATTTCAGTTTTAATATTGCATAAGATGAAATAAATCATTTTTTTCGAGTCAAGTGATGACAATCTTTGACAGACTTGAATAAGATATTATATAAAAAATTATATTAGAAAGTTATATACAGAGGGCAAAAGCTAATCTCTAAAATATTCAGGCTTTTTGCTAACCGTCTAATATAACAATTGGTCCCATGAAGTCATTCATTTCTGAGATTGTAGGGAATTTCTCCCTGCGCAGACAGCTATCTTCGTCAAAAAATTATTTCACATTGATTCAAACAAGGATTGAAGTCAGTGACGACAATGAAAGTAGTTCGATCAGATTTAATTTGATATCTTCAGCTGTTCAGGTAGCGGTAACTTCCATCGAGGTAATCTAAAATTGGAAAAAAACAGCGCCCAGATCTGTTTGATGGGAGCCGAGACTTGATGTTTGAAAGAAAATGTACTGAGTGAGTAAATGCGCAAAGCTAAAAACACGTACGGTGACACTAGAACATTGCTGTGAATATTTTACTTTCAATATTGCATTAATTCCAGAGTAAAGCTCACTTTATTTAATCAAAATATGTGCACGTACAAGGTGCTTCTAGAAATTCTGTTTAATGGCAATAGGCAGGTTTCCATACGATCGTCAGTGCGCTGCCACATCAGATGTAATAGAAAACCGCGAGAGTTACAAAGTTCAAAGGTCGCCACTGGTCCAAATTTCACATGCGCAACAACATGTTTGAACGTTTGAACACCTTGACATTCCAGGTTAGGTTGAACAGTTAATGTTTAGAGTCGAACATTTAAACATAACTTGCCAATCAAAGTAACCGCACTAGAATTTTAATAAGAATTTACGGCGCAGCTCGAGCAAAAGTTTAGCATTAGCACATAATTCGTTACGGAGTAACTGAAACTAAGTTTGACGGGCCTGCCAAAGCGTTCGTAAGGTGAAAAACGCATGCGCCATAAACTTGAAAGAATAACGCAGCGAGGGTTGTGCACAAAAAATTAAGACCTTAACCCTCTACCACCCTATGTCACTCTCTTGGAACATACAATTATACGTAAACTATTGAGTGTAGCAACCTGAGGACGTTTGTACGCAACATAGAACATTTTAAAATTGTACGTGGCGGCAACCATCAGTGCAAGTCATTTTGCGCTCACTAGAACGCATCCTTTTTGGGAAGTAGGCGCGTGACAATATTGCTCCGGTTACTCTTGTCAGGCGGTAGAGGGTTAATTAAGATGGTATTTAGGAAAATGTGGCGCAACACCATAAGTACAGTGGAAACTCGAGTGATCGTTTTTGTACACTTTTTAGATTAGCTATCCTTTATTAGAGAGCCGCAGCTCTTTCTTATTAAGACGAGCCCGTTCTGCTTCTAATTATAAGCTCCAAGAAGCCTGGTTGAAAATTTTTCCCAACGGTCTTTTTTTCATAGTTTCGTTGATTAAAAGTGTCTTTTTAGTTATATAGTCGATATGAAATTAGGGCACGCAACCTTATTTTCAAGGCAATCGTCATTCATTCAATATACCACTAGTCGAATTATATTTATTATGTGCGCTTTTAAAAATATTTCTTATTCTCTACCTCCATTTAATCAGCTTGCACACTGTTGCATACTGTGAAAAAACGGTCCCACTGGCGTTGTAGTGGCCGGTCGCCCCGTGAAAATAAACTGTTTCGCCGTTTTTATCAGATGTTTTACGAATTTCTAGTGTTAAATTAGAAAAAACGGCGACTCGGTGTTTCTTTTCACGTGCCGACCGGCCACTGAAACGCCGGTAATACCGTTAACGGTAATTTTTCTAACAGTGCATTCTCTCCCGAGCAGTCGCGGAATGCAGAATGGACCAGTTCAAGTGCAACGATGGCTCCTGCATCGAGAACTTCCAGCGATGCGACACCTTTCCTGACTGCCTGGGGGGCGAGGACGAGAACAACTGCCGTGAGTACCGCTTTTAAGTCACGTTTTGGCTTGCATATCTCAATACGCTTGCTTCTTTAATTGTAATTACTAGTCTTATTTTACGAGTACATCGTAGAGACATTCTACCCTAACAAAATTTAGAGTCGCCCCAGCTTCTGGTAATCCAAATCAGAAGCTGCCGCGTCTGTACATTTTCACTGGGGAGAACTCCTACCCTAACAAAATTTAGAGTCGCCCAAGCTTCTGGTAATCCAAATCAGAAGCTGCCGCGTCTGTAAATTTTCACTGGGTGTGGGTGTTCTCAAGTTCTACTGTTCCGGGAAGTAGCGCTTCCATGCCTTTAATCGGCATGTAGGCATATTCACGTTAATTCCAACATTGAATAGGTATTTGTTTATCGAATTACGTAATTGATTCCATCTGAATGCTTTCGTTTTCGGTGGTACATCGGCTGGAAAATATACAATCAAAGTTCTACAAAAATCGTACTGTCAGCTACGCTCGTAAGCTCAACTGTCATTAGTAGAGTGATCTAATAGCGAATAATGAGACTAGTATATATTAATAATTTATAAGATCTAATAATCATCAGCCGTGAGAAAAGAAAATGAGAGTTGCTCAAAATTAATTGATTGTGCATTTAATATTGTTAATCAATTACCAAACAACAAAAAGCAAACGAACATAAGGAAAGTGCACGAATTTTTTTTATTCTCAATTGATCAAAGCAATTACTTGGTGTAGATCTGATACACGCGTCGGATTATTTTCAGATCGAATGCCAGCCTTATATATTCTATTCTAAATTTGCATCCAACAAGTGAAGAACCTTCAGTGAGATTCTGGCTTTAATTGATTCTGATTCTGACTATTGTTGTTTATGAGTTCCGAAAGAAAAATTCTCGTAGGTAGGTACCTGACTTCTCTGAGTTCTCTCTGAATAGATGATTTTTACAATGTAAGTACCATCCATATTCATTGCTTTTCCTCAAATGTATATACTTTATTTCAATCATTTCTTTTGATTCTTTGATAAATTAAAGGGTAAGTGGATCAACCATTGAAACATTTTTTTACAATTTTCGTCTTTCAATTGACGCTCCTTCATTGTTTTTTATCGTTGATATATGGTCGGAATGAATTGTATTGGCTACGTTGTCGCATAGTTTTTGACGAACTGGTCCAATAGGCTTGAACTTTCTCACGCTCGTCTGTTTTCCAACACATGGGAAGGCATTTCGTCGTCCACATTTCAGCATTTTCCACACTAATTAGGATTTGAACCAATTCGTAAAAACGGTTTTCTGATTGGCGCAGTGATGTTCTGTTTTGATATTTTGGCTACTTAATGTAAAGTTTCGGAAGAAATAAATGCGTGCTTGTTACGCTGCTACACTCTGTGACCGCTCTTTTGATGGCTTAAAGTCTTTTAATGGCTTTAAATTCTTATGATTCATGAATTGTTTGTGATGACTTGGCATTTATTTATCTGTTTTTGGGGACTTAGCTACCGTCAAGGTTGAGGTTTCTTTATTTCCACTTTTCTTCGATTCTTGTTCTACTGGAATTTCCTCTGCTCATTTTTCAGTCTGCTTCATGTTCACCGAGGGAAGTGATGAGGTTCAATTTAGGCTTGAAAAGAACATAATAATATAGGTTAATTATGCCAGAAAAGCGCCCCAAATATAACTTCGCAAATCAATACAGAATATAACTTCGCAAATGAATACTGAATATAACTTCGCAAATCAATACGGAATATAACTTCTCAAATCAATACCCAAATATAACTACGCACATCAAAACCCCAAATATAACTTCGCAAATCAATACGGAATATAACTTCGCAAATCAATACGGAATATAACTTCGCAAATCAATACGGAATAAAACTTCGCAAATCAATACGGAAAATAACTTCGCAAATCAATACGGAATATAACTTCTCAAATCAATACGGAATAAAACTTCGCAAATCAATACTAAAGCATCAAATCTTTTTCCCGAATGTTGCAACTTTAAAGACTCGACCACCTGCATAGTCGAGCGTCAAACACAACCGAATGCTATGGTGTTGATGATGGTGCCAGAGATGTGTTCTCGTACCTTGACTTGTTTATTTTATCGGGCATATTCTTCTATGGGCTTCCTAGACTCGTTCAACAGGGGCACTCTTTGTCTCATGGCTATGGCTCTTGGCTCATCTGCTTAGATTAAATAGAATAGAATAGAAGTGTCGGCACTGAAGAAATAGGCCCATGGCCTGTTGCCGATTCTTATACTCTTCGTGACTTGATTCTCAAGGGATCCGGCCTTTGGAACCCAATCTTTCCATAACTGACGATTGATTGAGATAGCTGCTGGACTTATTGCCTGGTCCGTAATTTGCTAGGCATAAATTGGCTCCTCGTCATTCCTATCTTCTAATAATTTGTTTTCGTTTACTGTATAGAATGAAGAAGCTTTACACTCAGTTTAGGAAACTATAATTGATAGTGGTTTTTTTATGAAGTTTTAAGCCTGCTACTAATGATAGTGGATGGAAATTGAATCTTTGATGTACTTTTACGTTGAACTCAGAGGTCATACAAACATTCGTCGATACATTCATAAACATTCTGTTTCATTGGCTGATGAAAGAACGGTGACTGGCTGTGAAAAGTCCGGTTCTGATTTTCCGCAACACTTTGGTCTAAGTTTCATCACTTGTGAGGACAGATCTTAAGACCCAAGGCGACGGAAAAATTTCAGGAGTTTGCATATAATTTGTGCATTACGTGTTATTTTGAACGTGCATCATTAGGCTTCTCTGCAAAGTAACCCAGTGAAAATTTACAGACGCGGCAGCTTCTGATTTGCATTACCAGAAGCTGGGGCGACTCTAAATTTTGTTAGGGTCGGAGTTCTTCCCAGTGAAAATTTACAGACGCGCCAGCTTCTGATTTGGATTACCAGAAGCTGGGGCGACTCTAAATTTTGTTAGGGTAGGAGTTCTTAAGAGCAAGGCCTTTTCAGGCACAAAGAATAAATTAATGTTTGTTTGTATGAATCACTTTTATCCTAAGTTTTTCCGCTCTGCATCACCTGCAATGAATGACAAATAGAATAGCTTCCCTTGTTTCTACCAATGCTTTTTATTCCTAGTTTTTATTGTTATGGTGACCGTCCCTTTGAGAGTTGTTTGTTTTGACATATTTTAACGTCCATTTTATTTTTATTCTAAGATCTTGATGTTTCGTTTTGCCTGCTGAATTATTTCTGCACATTTCCCATGATGTATCTTCACAATATATTTTACATCAAACGCGTCTCTTCCTCGAAACATATATACATATTTATGTCAAATGCATCTCTTCGACGAACTTGTGTCGCTTCTATACCGAAAATGCCCCCTGACGCCACCACACGCATCCTGGCCGCTCACATACTGAGAATACCTCAAATTAAACCGATGTACTCGTAGTTAAAGATTAACTTCGATTTGGATGTTCCATTTGATCCTGTTCAGGGGTTTAATATTTTCTTAGAAATATCACTGAAAAAAATATTGATGTTTCATTACCCAATATGAACTCGCATTGAAAATGATTTTCCTTTCCGACCTCATAATTAAATGCTCTTTAAATGCGCCGTTAAAGCTTACAAATCCTGGATATCACAAATTTTGTATCTGGAACATTGAGAGTCTGTTTTTTTAACTATAAAATCGCCTTTACCATTTAAGAGCATCTACTTGGTTTTATTTATGGTATTCGGATTTATGTTGAGTCGGCAACTGGTTGTTTAGTGCTTTGAATGCTGTCTTCTCTTATTCAAAATTAATTATGGAGTCTGAATAAAAAAATGAATTTACCTATGTATTCTTTATTGGTTTACCTTTGATACACTGTTAGAAAAATTACCGTTAACGGTATTACCGGCGTTTCAGTGGCCGGTCGGCACGTGAAAAGAAACACCGCGTGGCCGTTTTTATTCTAATTTAACACTAGAAATCAGTAAAACATCTGATAAAAACGGCGAAACAGTTTATTTTCACGTGGCGACCGGCCACTAGAATGCCAGTGGGACCGTTTTTTCACCGTTTTTTCTAACTGTGTAACAATGTCAATCTAATTTCTCGACCCGTTTGTGATTACATTATCTCAATTATTTCTCTTTAATTATGACCAAAAAAATACTCAGAGCACTAAAATTTGAATCAACATACAAGAATTTTGCTTGAAATCAACTATTTGTTGGTACATTAATTTCATCATGTCATTCCCGAAAAAATGTTTTACCCAGTGCATAATAGTCACATTGATTGCTGCATGCTACATTTTTTGCACTCATTACTATGAGGATAATAGCGGTGATGACGGTGTGCACTGTTAGAAAAAACGGCGAAAAAACGGTCCCATTGGCGTTCTATATAGTGGCCGGTCGTCCCTTGAAAATAAACTGTTTCTCAGTTTTTAGCAGATGTTTTACGGATTTCTAGTGTTAAATTAACAATAAGAACGGCAACTCGGTGTTTCTTTTCACGTGCCGACCGGCCACTGAAACGCCGGTAATACCGTTAACGGTAATTTTTCTAACGGTGTGTATTACAATGTTAGCCAATGTTACAGGGTGGCCCAGTGGTTAAAGTTCAGAGTACCAAGATTGGCGCAGAGAGGCGCGGGTTCGATCCCAGCTCTGTGCGCCAGTTTCTGGTCAGAATCGGCAAGGAGGCCGGGCGGTTAAGCACAGCAGAATTGTAGCAGTGAGTTGCGTGTTCGAGACCTCAAAATGCTGTGAATGTTCTGCGATGTTAAGAATCGGCGACAGGCCTACGGCCTAATAAACGCTGAGACCGCTATTATTATTATTAATGTTATAGGATGTCAGCCCACGAACTTCGAATGCATCAGCGGTATGTGTATCGACGGCGACAAACACTGCGATGGATTTGATGACTGCGATGATGGATCCGACGAATTCACTTGCGGTAAGTTTGACTAGTCGTATGCTCAATAAGCACGTTGTATACACTCTACTTGTTGAAGGATTCTGCCGGTTGATGTTTCAAGTTTAATATGAGTTTGAATTTAAATTAACAATGTTTATTGTCTCCTGGCGTAGTAAGCTAATACACATTTCAATGCTGGAACACTAATATCTTGGCTGGTTTTTGGGTGGTCCAATATGAACTAACGACTTTGCATAATTAATATTATAATCAATACGATTTTTTTCACATGTAGATGAACCTAATATGAATTTTAGCATCATGTCCAATATTTATTTAACCTATTTGTACAAATTGAATGGAATGTTTAGAAAACATGGTTCTGTGTCAATTCAACCAGATGTTGATAAACTGCCTATTTATCCATGTAATTTTTACGCGTTGTTAACAGCGCATCGGTTGTTTTGTTACCTGGCACGTCGGTTGAGTGGTCAGCTTTGATATGGGGTTGCGGGTTGCTGAATTGTTCTGGTCTTTCGATGCCTTGCTGTTCCGTGGTCTGTCATCAAAACAAATTTGTCTTTGTTATATGCAAATGTCACGAATAAATGTTAAATATGTGAGACATATATGTATCATAAATATGTGCCACATGTATGTATCATATATATGTGCCACAGATATGTATCATAAATATGTGTCACATATTTTTATCATAAATATATGCGTCATATCATGTTTGCTGTAATGCATATCTGACACTCTCGTGTAAATTTTTTATTCCAATGGGCTCGAGATTATTTTTAACTTATCATTCGGCCCGAATTTCACGAACTTCCGATTTATGAGGCATTGCAATTGTTTAACTAGAGACCAAAGCTTCAATAACATCTAGTGTATATCTAAGACTCTTTCTCTTCTAAGACTCTTCTTTAGACTCTTCTTTATTTCGGAACTAAGAAGCTTGTTTCTAAGCCACGGTATTCGTAAACTCAGACTCGTGCAACGCGCTGGAGTTTAAATGCACAAACGGTTTATGCGTGCCGCTGAGGAAGCGATGTGATGGCATCAAGGACTGTCTTGACGGCTCCGACGAACTCCTGTGCCGTGGTTAGTAACATGATCGACTCCACTAAATATATACACTGTAATTAATAAAAGAAGAACGTAATGAAATAGCACGTTTCTGTAAAAAAAAACAAGGAATCCACGTACATTTGAACTGAATCTACCTTGAGTCACCATTGTCAGTTCACTATTACACAACGGCCTCTTAAACTATCGAATGATTGAAAAATCGATTTGTCAAAAAGTGGAATCGGGCTGGTCAATTTTTAAGCTTATTCGTTCAAAGGAGTTGAGATAATTCTGATAAAAGAATGATTTCTAGGGAATGTTTGATTCATATTCATAACAATAGGCAAAAATTATCTAAAATGTATCATATCATATCATATTTCTAAAAAATATTGTAAAAATATTTTGACGCCTGAATGAAGGAAGGATATTTTTAGGTTTTCAATCATTAGCCTAACATTGATCTATTAACCCGTCAACTATAGCAATTCACCGGATCAATCCATGAGCCACTGTTTATAATTTTCCCGTGTTGGAATATATATAGTTTTCGCAGTAGTTTTATAAGAGTCTAGCCTCTCACTTCTAAAGCTGCTGCGTGGAGCAAGCAAGCTGTCTTCATCGTTTGTAAAACTTGCTAACTCACATAAAATATTATCATGAAATAATATCATGCAATGACAAACACATACGAAATTCCTGGCGTTTTTAACCTGGTTTGTTGCGTTGGTCGCGTCCTCGACACGATCAGAGTGTCGGGGCGAGTCCAAGATGTGCAGAGATGGCTCGTGTTTGCTACAGGAATATTTTTGCGACGGTAGCCCTGACTGTGACAGTGATGAACTCGACTGCACGGGTATGAGCGAGAAAAATATTGTTTTCGTGTCATAAATGTTATATTTTGATTTCTAATTGGCCTTAGATGGCCAGAAAGGCGGTAGTTGTACGTAATGAAGCTGTTAATTATTAATATTTTGATTTCTAATGGGCCTTAGACGGCAGTAAAGGTGGTAGTTGTACGTAATGAAGCTGTTAATTATTTATATTTTGATTTCCAATTGGACTTAGATGGCCATAAAGGCGGTAGTAGTACGTCTTAAGTGACAGAACTTGATTTAAACCATGTTATATTTATATATACGCATCATTAAAGTGTTAATTATGAATATTTTGATTTCTAATTGGCCTTAGACGGCAGTAAAGGCGGTATATATAGTTGTACGTCTTGAGTGACGGAACTTGATTCAAGCTATGTTATATTTGTATATGTACATCATGAAGATGTTAATTATTTATATTTTGATTTCCAAAGGGCCTTAGATGGCCATAAAGTCGGTATTTATACGTAGTATGCGTCTAAACATGATTCAAGCCACGTTATATTTCTATACGCATCATGAAGGTGTTAAGTGGTGCAGCTGTTATAACCCGATCCGTATTGATATAAATTCCCCGTATTTATTCTGCAACGGTGTATCAAGTACATTGATTGCAGCTCATACAAGATTCGTAGAAGCAGTACAGCAATTGAGTTGTAGTATTATTCTGTGTAACGTTTACAACCTGATTAATTGTTCGTTTTCATTGTACAATGACCAATATCGTCGTAACGGTCATTTTTGTAACGGGAGAAGTCAGATTGATTTCTTTTCCTTGTTAGATTTTTTTATTTCTGAATACTTTCCCTGTAGTGAGATCCCCATAACTTTAGAAAAGCTATTCCTTTTCCGATTGTGATTCTCATCATATAGTAACGTTGAGGTTTCATCGTTTTAAATTATCTGTTTCAAATTGATTTAAAGTATATACATTGTCCCTAAATAATCTTTAGGTGATCTGGGGCCATACTTTTAAAAATCGCTAAGTGAACGTAAAAACTTACACTCTATTTTCTTGTACATGATTGGTGGATTTTGCTTAAAAGGCCGTCAAGGATTGGTTTATGTACATACGACCTCTTAACTTTTTTTTTTTTTTGAAAGTATAGGCCCTGTACCGGCAAATACGCTCATATTTTAAGACTCCTCTCTACGCTTCTCGCATTATGGAAGTTTCATTTCTACTGAATAATGCCCAAATATATACCTTCATCTAGTATTTTTCGAGACAAATTCTCTTTTGCTTACTAATTATTTTAAATCCATTATGAAATTTCATACCAGTTAATGTCACATTATAATGTTTTTTGTTAAATGTGAAAAGTCATTGCCGCTGAGCCTTTGAGCTGTCATTAGACTGATGCATTTGGGTACATGTTAATTGCCCCAGTGGAGGCTTATATCTCTTCAAAAAACTCAGAAGTTTTAAAATCCATCTGTAACGCGTTTTTTTATATGTTCTGAGCTCTTAAAAGTTACGTTCAGATCGGTTTTTAGCATCGCAAAAATGGCGATTCTCTTCCACTGAAATTCTCAAGGGTACTATAGTGAAGATTTAAATGCACGAAAACTTATAGCTGACCTCACTAATCATTCAAGATTTGATGAGAATTAATTCACCTTACTTGAAATTTTAGGAACAATTGACTTTAACCTACAAACCGCGCTCAACCTATTGTTTAATTATAGTCCAAAGACCAACACCTTTTGTTTATCCTACTTTAATTAATTACGTAATGTTGGGGTCAACAGGCGTTGCTTGGTGAGCTAAATTATGTGACTGTAATTGCCCCAGGTTTGCTTGCTTTGCACTGTGTTCATTGCTGAACTTTGATTGGCCCTGGGTTCGCATAGGGGAATAATTTCTGAAATCTCCATTAATAGAAATATTTGAATGATTTAATCCATCTTAAATTCTAAGAGTTCGAATGAGTTCTCTGATCCATTTAATCCCTAACATTCAGTGTATCAATTCAATCTGAATGAACTTGTCTTAATTATAAAGACTATATTTTCGCTTACAAAAAATTTATTTTCGCTTACAAAATATTGAAATTTTCTGAATATTGCCGTAGATTTTTTGCTGAACATTACCCATATTCATTACAATCAATCGCCCGCTCTTGTCTAGCCTGCACTGAGCTAGAATTCAAATGCGTGAGCGACGGAATGTGTCTCAGCGCCAGCCAGCGCTGCGACGGTGTGCCGGACTGCGCCGATCAAACTGATGAACAAAACTGTCTCCGTAAGTTTGCGGAAAATAATAATAATTTGTACATGTTATTCAATCCTTACATTCATTGGATTCTGCAGTTGTTCTTTTTGTAGATCTCGCTTGAATTTTGCGCCATTTTTTTAAATAATAGGAATATTCTCGGTTTTGAAGCAGTTTTGGTTAAGATCAGGAAACTGGTAATGTCATATTTCGCTAAAAAAAACTTATTTATAACACGTAAAAACTATTTGCGAGGTATCTCATGAATAAAACGCACATCGCCCAGTTTTTAGCATTTAATTTATTTCGTAAATCGACTTTTGAACAAATCATCTTTGTAAATAGATTGTTTTAACTTCCTCAGTCGGAAACGGAATTTTCAAGTAAAAAATTTGCCGCTTCTTGTTAGTGACTTTCAGAACCAGTAAACAATTACGATGGCTTTCTGTTTACATGAATAAAACTTGAAATTCGGAAACAAAATTTTCAAGTCAGAAAAATTTGCCGCTTCTTGTTAGTGACTTTCAGAACCAGTAAACAAATATGGCTGTCTGTTTATAAGAATAAAACTTGAAATTAACCATCTTGGTCAAATCTCAGATGAGACGCAAATTAAGATACTACACTGGCTTCTTTATTTCCTTGCTATAGTTCATTCCTTGTACATCTCTCGCTTTACCACACCCAGACTCGTCGAATTGTTCAAATGATTATAACTGCTGTTTCACTGAATTGTTCTGTGATCATTAGCTTTCGTGGCATGTTTCAATAACATCTATGACAAATTTTATGTTTCATTGTATGATATTTCTTTATAGTGTTGGAACTTTTATTTGTATGAGTGTGCCCGAGTTCCGTGAATTCCGTGTAAGATTCAGCTTTGATCAGTCTTGTATCAAATGTGGTTTTAATGGGGGTGTTTGAGACGAAATGTTTAACACTACTCTGTATTTTTAGGTATCAAACGATGTAGCACCCATGTTAACCTAATTAGTTACATAAATCCATCCAATTTTCGAGGGTATCGAACGATGTTGCACCCATATTACGCTAGTTAGTTACATAAATCCATCCAATTTTCGAGATCCAATAAGGATCGACCTCCTGCAGTTTCGTGAATTGAGTGATATTGAGCCCAAGAATGAATCATCTGAGCAACTGTGACGAACTGTGCCTACGGCAAGCTCTTTTGTGTTACAAGTCTTGAACAATCAATCTTCGCTACAAGTACTAGAATATTATTTAAGTTAGACTAGAATATTATTTAAGTTAGACTCAACAATAAGTGACAGAATCATACCTTGTACTAATTCTAGCAGCGAATTGAACACTATAGGATGTAGTGGAGCGTCTTTTCTCTGCGGTGACGGGCAGTGTCTCGAAGCCGACTTGGTCTGCGACGGCGACCTGGACTGTGATACCGACGAACTTGATTGCGATCGTCGTAAGTCAGGTTTTGCGTAAGGGCCATACTTTCAAAACTCGTTAAGTGAACGTAAGTCAGTTGTTGCGTAAGGGCCATACTTTCAAAACTCGCTAAGTGAACGTAAATACTTACGCACTATTTTTTTGTCTATGATTGGTGGATTTAGCTTGAAAGGCTGTCAATGATTGGCTGATGAACATACGATCTCTTAATTTTTTTGAAAGTATGGGCCTAGGTCGTAAGTCATCCACTCGATGGATGTCATCCACGCTGATTTACCCATCATGAATATCAAGGCTTTTTGCGAATAATGATAATTGCATTCCATAAACAAACGTCCAGATGTGTTCCTGAATTTGTATGACTATATCAAAATGTAGATTTTGAATTTATGATGAATTCTAATTTACTTGATTTTCAATATAAATTCGTTGAAAACCTGACTGTAAATGAGTTGACGTTGTGACTTTAAACTGTAAAGTATCTTCCTCTGGAGGAATGAGAAATAAAAAGCTGTAGAACGTTGATCTCAAGAGTAAGCTAACTATTGCTTTGACATGTTTTTATTCGCATTGTTCGTATGTCTTTCAAGTACTTAAGCATAAATGTTCCAGAGGTGAGCTATCACACTAGTAGTATATTTAAGTGTTAGTAAGAATTGTGCGGTCCTAGCCTTAAACAGTGATCTAACTTACACTCTGGAGTATCAATGGATATCGCTAGACTGATGGCGGAAAGGTAAAATATGTTCGAGTAAATAGTACTTTCAAGTTCAACACTTGATTCCTCCGACCTTTTCTACTCAATTAAAATCAAATTAATTGCTGTATCTCACATTATGTATGAATTCTTGTCGTGTTAAATATCAAAAGTGACATCGCTGTCATACTATATGGTATTGATAATAAAATCGTGTGTTTTTCTACGTGTTAGTACTTACAATATTCTCAATATGCGGCGTAAAAAAATTGAATGATGTTATTCATTTCACTGTCTTGACATGAAGCTTATCTTGGCCTGATAATAATCGATCTCTGCAAAATGAACTCCATAAAGTGGTCTACCACACTAGTTAGGGGCTATCACAATTTTAACCTATTTAGGTCAATTTTATAATTCCTAATATTTTATGCTTTAATTGTCAGCAAATATGAGGTTAACAATTTTCGTCTACCTGTGAACCGCGTCACGGTATTCGCGGAATCATGTAAAAAATATAACTCAGTACTCACTGCAGTGAGTGACAGAGAGCGCATTTTCTCGTCCGCCCGTCCGTGAATGCACGGACAGATGGACGGACGGACGGACATGACGAGCACAATAGCGCATTTTTTTCATAAATGAGAAAATGCGATAAATACATCAATAAAGCTAAGTGAGCAGCCATATTTTCAATTGCGTAAAACATGTCAATAAATCCAAGGGAGCCATGTTTTCAATTGCGTTTACACTCGGTCATCTTCAGCTGTGATGCAAGAAGCGGTTCTTCTAGAGTGTAAAGTTATATCAATACGAGTTACTTTATGTCTCTATACCTTAATTAGATCTCAGCTAGATGCACGACCTTATTTTCTTCGTATTGCATTCGAATGTTTTCATTGAACTTCGTGTCAAATAATTTGTCGAAAATGTCTTTCCATTTAGTTACGAGGTAATATGTTGATTTTCGCTCGTTCATGTGTGTTTGCAAATTTTGTTTTTCTGTAGTGACGCCTTCCGTTAATTTCGTAGCACCATTTCGTACTAGTTCCATTCACTTCGAATTCTTTTAGTTATTCAATTGTTCGTTGAGTTTTGCTGTATTTGTTCGATGTCTATGTAGTCAATCGAATTTTTTTATTGACTAGCAAGTCCTTACTATTCGTATATTTTGTTCACTATGTTTGGCTCGCTTCGTTACTTGCATGTGCATCTTTTCAGGTGAGGCACTGATGTTTGGTGTGGTCCATTCGTTGTCTTGTGTCCAGACTTCATCTTACTTCACTTACGCTTGCTTTTTTCATCTTTAACATACGTGTTGCGTGTGATGAAAAGCCCTTTCAATGATTCAGAGGCTGCGCTTGTATCACAACCCAAACAAAATTTAGAGTCGCCCCAGCTTCTGGTAATCCAAATCAGAAGCTATAACAAAATTTAGAGTCGCCCCAGCTTCTGGTAATCCAAATCAGAAGCTGCCGCGTCTGTAAATTTTCAATGGGAATGCATCACTGAACAGCCGTAATAGAGTGATGCATTCTGTATGTTGGAGCTAACTTAATTACACCATGCTTATGTTTTATGTTTTTGTCGCTTTAATTCATATCTATAACTGATTGCTTTAATGATCAAATATTTGGTTCTGTGGACATTAATTAGCCTTTGATTAATTTTCAGATTCATATATGATCATAGATATACCCTAGGCTGGTCATGTGCATATATATAATTTTCCAATGACGACTTTAGCGTCAATTAAAAAATTTATGTTCTGTTTGAGAACACGTTAAACAAACCTTCTTGGTAGTTATTGCAAATCTTGTCGATGCCTGATTCTCATTAACATTTTTATCCAAATCAGTATTTATTTGGATAAAAAATTATTAATGTATGTACTGTACATATAATAAACCCCTGATTATTTATTCACTCATGCATCAACTTCATTAACACACTATTCAGTGTTACCTATTCTGATAGAATTTTTCTCTTCAGACGTTAGAATATCGAAAATTTTACATTATTCTACTTTTGACACCTGAAGAATTTTTAACAAATATGGTTGCTTTTAATCCCTATGTTTTCAACAAACATTTCGAGTAAATAGAGAGAATCTATTCCTGAATAATTTGAATTGAATAATTTTATTCATATTTATTACTCGTTTTCAAGCAAATGTTCTTGAAATAGAATTTTTTCTATGTAAAAGTTCCCTCCACTGTAATTCGATAGCACTTCGGAATTTTAAAATTTTTTAGAAAAAATCCCTTTCATTGTTTTGATTTATGGTACTCCAATAATCGCCAACATTAAATAATTATTATTTAGATATGAATATCATTTGTCTTTTTGACTGCCACTGATATAAATTCATTACTGATAATCAAGAATATTACTTAATCTTATAATTATCACTCAATAATCGAGCATTAAATGATTATTATTTAGATACAAATATTCTTTGGTAGTCTTGTTGACTGCCACTGATATAAATTCATTACTGATGATCAAGAATATTAGCTAATGTAATAATTATCATTATTGATCGTAAACTAAAATTTGACACTCCGTGCATCAAGATTATTACTTAATGTTATACTTGTCATTATTGATCGTAAACTAAAAATTGTCACTCCGTGCAGCCGGTCCACCCGATGTGTGCCCTGCCGGAGAGTTCCGCTGTGTCGACGGCACATGCATCCCCCAGCCAGAGCGATGTGATGGCAAATACCAATGTCCTGATGCCTCCGATGAAGACGATTGTGGTGAGTGATACATCTATCTTCACCATGACGTATGTATGACATACAGGCCTGGGCCTATACTTTCAAAAAAAGTTAAGAGATCGTAAGTTCATCAGCCAATCATTGACGGTCTTTCAAGCAAAATCCACCAATCACAGACAAGAAAATAGAGCGTAAGTACTTTCGTTCACTGAGCGAGTTTTGAAAGTAGGGCCCCTGTAGTTCTTCACTCGCTGGCACTGAGGTGATTGTGGTGAGTGTAACCTCCATCTTCACCAAGTATGTATGGCACAGAGGCCTGTTGTTCTTCACTCGCTGGAACTGGGGTGAGTGTGATGAGTGAAACATCCATCTTCACCATCTCGTATGTATGGCACAGAGGCCTGTAGTTCTTCACTCTCTGGCACTGAGGTGAGTATGGTGAGTGATACCTTCATCTTCACCATCACGTATGTATGGCACAGAGGCCTGTAGTTCTTCACTCGCTGGAACTGGGGTGAGTGTGGTGAGTGAAACTTCCATCTTACCATCTCGTATTTATGGCACAGAGGCCTGTAGTTCTTCACTTGCTGGCACTGAGGTGAGTGTGTTGATTACCGCCTGCACCTCGAAGTGTACCATCAGGTATCTGTGGTACCAAGGTCTCCAGTAGCTCTTCCGTCGCTGGTACCGAGACGAGTGTAGTGACCTCAAGCTGTACCATCAGGTATCTGTGGTACCGAGGCCTCTAGTGGCTCTTCCGTTGCTGGTACCGAGACGATTGTAGTGACCTCGAGCTGTACCATCAGGTATCTGTGGTACCAAGGCTTCTACTGGCTGTTCAGCTACAGGTACTGATCACCTATAAGTAATCAGTACCTGTAGCTGTATACAGCTACAGGTACTGTTCAGCTACACAGGTTCAGCTACAGGTACTGTTCAGCTACACAGGTTCAGCTACAGGTACTGATCAAAGGTTCAGCTACAGGTACAGGTTGGTATGGTAACGATCACCAACACCAAGAGCTAACTACTCCAATGAACATGTCCCCGATGTTCCGCCGTATTCCTAGATTTCCGGACCAAAATTTCGTAACTATGAAAGCGATTCTAAGTTGTATATGTTCGAAATAAGTTTTTTGTTCAATTACAGGCTTCAAGATCCTTCATATAAGTTAGGTTCTGTGCGTATTCACGACAGTTAGTAAAGAGGTTTCTTTTTCAACATTCAATGCGTTCCTTAGCAAATTAGACAAATCTTAATTAATATACAAGTGTTATATATTATACAAGTCTTGTATAATATACACGTGTTATAGATTATACAAGTTTTATATATTATACAAGTGTTATACATTATACATTATTATAGTGTCGCATGCTTTTCTCTTTATTCACGACATTTCTTTTGACTTAAGAGCGAAGCTGAAATTTTTACTAATTTCTCAGGCTGCACTCCTCAAGAATTCCGTTGCACGGAAGGTACATGCATTCCAATAGATCAACGATGCAATCAAGTTTACAATTGCATTGACGGAACTGACGAGATCGGCTGCCCAAGTAGGATTACGAAAAATAAAATTATTTTGGTTTTTGATCCTGGGCAGCGACTTGATTTTATTGTTGGGTCTGAAATTTGTCCAGCTTGGTTTTTCGTGCGACTTTGTTAAGGTTTGTGTTATTGTGCGCACAAATTTCATTATTTATCACATTCATTAAATTGTAGTTCCATTTGCATTTTATCTTGTGATTGTTGATACTATGCGCATATTCTGTACCACCCAGTGAAAATTTACAGACGCGGCAGCTTCTGATTTGGATTACCAGAAGCTGGGGCGACTCTAAATTTTGTTAGGGCATAAGATTTAAATAATGACATGTCTCTGAATGCTCCACATGGGCTCTATGTGTAAAGATTATTAATTGTACATGACCTAATATTTTTTGTGGGGGATGCAAAACAATCTTGTGATTCTATGTTCGGCTTAACAATTTTTGGAATTTAACTGTTTATTGTTTACAATTACAATCGAAACCACTTGTTATTTATTTTGTTGCTTGCTACTTAGTTGCTGAAAAGTCAACGTAGCTAAATTGAAATTACCTTCTGATTTTTCCTGTGTTTCTCTCCTGATTCACTGTTCGAAAAAACGGTAAAATAACGGTCCCACCGGCGTTCTAGTGGCCGGCCGCCCCGTGAAAATAAACTGTTGATCCGTTTTTTCTTATGTTGTACGGATTTCTAGTGTTAAATTTGAATAAAAACGGCCATACGGTGTTTCTTTTTACGTGTCGGCCGGCCACTAGAACGCCGGTGAGACCGTTTAACGGTGATTCGCCTTACAGTGTAATATTTAGGTTGTTGTTATGAGAGATCTTTGCCGCAAGAATTAACGTCTAAACAACGTTTATTTGAGCGGTGGAGTGTGATTGCTTTGACTGATTTTCTCTGATTGTCGTCAACGACCATTTTCTGTCTGCTATATTCTCGAGGTAATTTTATGCATATATACCTTGTTTTGTTATAATTTATTGGCCTGTCACATTTAAATACTCCAGTATGCCGTGGCAATTTATCCCTTCGTTGGAAATCAAAATTGTTTACAGCGTGGGCTGCAAATTCTTATCTTGTTCATCTAGTTATATCATTTGCTCAGTTAACACGTTGACTACGATTGCTTCATCTTGTACTATTATTTCATTTTTGTACTATTTTTAAACAGGGTTGCCAGACGGTCATTTTTTTCCGGACAAATTCCGTGATTTAGTTTTTCTCAATTGCGTTGGCCTGCTAAAATTTATGATAGGGGGACTTCCTAATTACATTTTAAATACTGAAAAAAGGAAATGAATGGAATTTTTATAGTGGAACCTACAAATAAGCTAGTATATTTTGAGCTATCAGCCTTTTTTGGCCTTTTTTGTTCTCGGATTTGGTCAATTTTAGGCGACCTGAATTATGTACCACTACGTCCTGGAGAAATACATTTCGTGGTACGCATATGTACCACTTCGTAGTCAACGTGTTGAACTTTCGTATAAACAATTTACCGAAATGAAGTCACGAGCTGTAGATAACCGTGCTTACTTCATTGATTGAATGAAGTCGTCATCGGTAACTGTTATCGGTAACGACATGCACTCGTTAATTATTGTCGTGGTATCTATGGTTTGTTTATTGCTTTGTTTGTTCTGTGTTAATTGTCATGTTGTCGGTACTCATTCAACTATGTGAATGTGAATTTTTCAACGTATCTCTGTATTTATAATTTAATATTATTGCTGTACAAATAATTACAGCATACATGAGTATTTTCTATTTTATCTTCGTTGTGTTTGAAAAATGTTAATGAAATTATTGCAGTGCTACATCTAAATGAGTATTTATCGAAAGAATTATGATTTTCACTATGAAGATTCTTATATCTGAAGCAGAAATTTAGTGTTTGGTAACTTATCGTGATGATCATATGGATAAATGGCTCTCTGGATTTATGTCTGAAAAAGGAATTTTTTGTTTGCTAACTTATCGTGATGATCATATGGATAAATGGCTTTCTGTATTTATGTCTGAAGTATGAATTTTTTGTTTGGTAACTTATCGTGATGATCATATGGATAACTTAGGATGCCCACCAATAAAGTTTGTGAACAGCTCTGTGCAGCCAAGACGAGTTCTCCTGCGACACCGTGCGCTGTATACCGAGAACGTCTGTCTGCAACGGCATCCCAGAGTGTCTAGACAACTCTGATGAGCGCGACTGTACACCCGGTACAATGACCAACAGTATTTATATATATTGCATAATGACATATTGTCGGTTGTATTCAGCTGCATCAAACCTTTTCCGAATTCAACATAAACTGTTTTTATTAATTGCCATAAACCTTGACTATGCATATTTAAAATGCAAGACGCGTCAAATCAGAGTCGTCTGTATCATCAAAGTTAATTATATGCACTTGGTAATCTTGGTACTTGGTCAACAAATTTAATATCAAAACATACATATATATCAAGTTTTACGGTTTTGGTTAAGAAAATTTATAAATTTTAGAGCAATGTTCGGTCGACGAGTTTCGCTGCGACGACATCCGCTGTGTTCCGCGAGCCTCGGTCTGCAACGGCCTGCCTGACTGCTTCGATGGCAGCGACGAGGCGGCGTGTGGTGCGTTGAATTTTGGGTCAATGCGCCGTGTAATTCTTATAGCTGAAGTAGGAATTTAGTGTTTGGTAACTTATCGTGATAATCATATGGATAAATGGCCGTCTGGATTAATTGCCGCTGTTGAAGAGTGATGACGTAGCTATTAATCATATGGATAAATGGCTTTCTGGATTTATATTTAAAGTAGGAATTTATTGTTTGGTAATGCTTCGTGATGATCATATGGATAAAGTGCTCTCTAGACTTATATCAGAAGTAGGAATTTATTGTTTAGTAACGCTTCGTGATAATCATGGAAAAAGGGCTCTCTGGATTTATTATCACTGTTGGAGAGTGATGACGTAGCTATTAATCATATGGATAAATGGCTCTCTGAATTTATATCTACTGCAGGAATTTATTGTTTGGTAATGCTTCGTGATAATCATGTGGATAAATGGCTCTCTGGATTTATATCTACTTTGGGGATTTTTTGTTTGGTAACGCTTCGTGATAATCATATGGATAAATGGCTCTCTGGATTTATTATCACTGTTGGAGAGTGATGACGTAGCTATTAATCATATGGATAAATGGCTCTCTGGATTTATTACCGCTGTTGGAGAGTTATGACTTATCTGTTTACGAAAGAAACGCCTTTGCGGCTTTGCCGTCTATGTTTTACGTTGTTCGTTATGTTTTGTTTTGTTATGTTATTGTGTTGCTGCAGTGAGCTGTAACTTATTGTGTTGCTGCAGTGAGCTGCAACTTATTGTGTTGCTGCAATTCTTCCCGTTAAGTATACAATAAACATGTTGCTGCAGTGAGCTACAACTTATTAATATTGCACGTTCTTCCCATTAAGTATATAATAAAAATGTTGCTGCAGTGAGCTACAACTTATTAATATTGCACGTTCTTCCCATTAAGTATACAATAAACATGTTGCTGCAGTGAGCTGCAGGCCCGGGTACTGGCTGTGTGCTGAGGGCACGACGTGTGTGCCCCAGAGCGCCGTGTGCGACGCGGTGCCCAACTGCCCCGACGAGTCTGACGAACTTTCCTGTCCGCCCCCCGCGCCCGGTACCTTAGCTCATTATGTTCGGTCCTGATCGCTTATGCGTATTATTGGCAGCTTATTGATTAGTTACTCGCCACATTTGGTATTTATTGATTACTTACTCGCCGCGTTTGGGAGCTTATTGGTTAGTTACTCGTCACATTTGGTATTTATTGATTGGGAGTTATTGATTACTTGCTCGCTATATTTAATTACTTCATTTATTTACTCGCCATTTATTGATTACTTACTCGCAATATTTGGAGCTTATTGATTACATATTCGCCACATTTGATTTTCTTCATTTATTTACTCGCCATTTATTGATTACACACTCGTAACATTTAGCATTTATTGATTACTTACTCGCGAAATTTGGTATTTATGTGAACATTTTCTCTATGCTCACAGTGTAAACTTCCAACAAGAGTTTTTGATTTTTCATAAACTGAGTTCTTCTATAGATATATTTTGTTGAATGTTTATCGTCGAATGCTTTATATTATCGCACATGTTGGGGTTTCTTTCGCTAAGCATACATGTTCGTTATGAACTACTTTTAATCATTAGATGGAATAAGTCCTTTCTCTTTCAAAAATTTCTATACTAAATAAAGACTGTTATACGTGTTTGTATTGTATGTATAGACTGTAAGTATTGTGTTTTACATTATGGAAAGCGCGTTCTTTTATATTTATTATTCGGGAAGATCAGATGGTTGCTTCCGCGATCGAATTCTTCGTTTCTTATGAAATTTACCAAAAGCTTGAACCCGTGAACATGTTTTATCTCTCACCAGAACTTTATGATCCGAATTATATGCGCAAAAACCACCATCTTTGATAGATTTAATACACTAAAAATTATCTATGTTATTATTTTTACCGTATTTATTCTCTGATTACTAATAACTAGCTATGGAATATTGATTTTTGTTGACTGATTTTTGAAGTTATTCTCCTTGCTATTTAGTTTTATTGTGTAATATTCTAATGTATTATATTCTAGTCCATAATATTCTAGTGTGTAAAATTCTATTCGCGTGCTGTTGTATTTGTTCTGTATTAACTTGTTGGGAATTGACGTATTATTTTCTCCTGCTTTTTATTGTATTTATTTCCATCTTTTATTGTAGGGGCGTACATCAAATTCTTGAAATAACTGTCGCATTATTATCGTAATTTTGAGAAGTTCTGTATGAGGAACTTGAATGTGAGGTATTTTATCCGCAGAGTTTTAGGAGACGTGTTTAATTATACTGCTTTATGAATACATTATAAAATTATAAAGTATCGTAGCATGAATACTGACGATTATTATAGTTTATTTCACCCTCTATAATAAGAAGTGACCGTATTGCTTTTTACTGGATGTTAAAAAATATTATCGTGAATAAATATTTCCGATCTAATCTTGTTGACGGCCTTAACTTCTGTTCTGGTGTAGAAATTTTTTTACAAATAAATGCTAAATTGCTTCAAATACTAACATGAATTAGTACTCGTGTGACTAACCTATTGCATGCTTGACTAGTTTGTGCTGCTGGAGAATTTCGGTGCAGCGAAGGAACTTGCATTGCTGAACATCAACGTTGCGATGGTTACACTCACTGTCCTGATGCTTCCGACGAACTCACCTGTGTCTACGGTACGCTAATTCCTTAACAAAATTTAGAGTCGCCCCAGCTTCTGGTAATCCAAATCAACAGCTGCCTCGACTGTAAATTTTCACTGGGAAGAACTCCTACCCTAACAAAACGCGTCTGTAAATTTTCACTGGGAAGAGCTCCTACCCTAACAAAATTTAGAGTCGCCCCAGCTTCTGGTAATCCAAATCAGAAGCTGCCGCGTCTGTAAATTTTCACTGGGTTCCTGTCACAAGCATACTATTTAATTTTACATTATTATTTAATGTATTGTATAATTAGTGTTTTTGTTATATCATTCTATATAATGATTTATTATGTAATATCATCTAACAATTGGAAAATTCACCGGAGGCGCTACATCAATAGGAAAGTAGGGGATAAAAAAGTTATAGTGTACCGTAAATAGAATTAATTAACGTTACCGAGGCCTATTCATAAATTATCATCCGTCTATTACTTATAAATAGTATTTTCTCTTGTTTCCTCGAAACATGATGATGTGGAACATTCGAATATTCTCTTAGCTTATCCAGTTGTCATTACCTGCTTCGTCTCTATATTCCCGCGCTCAATAATGCCGAGACATATTGTGCTTCGATGAACTTTTTCCATGCAGTCTCTTATTTTAACACGTTGACTACGATTGCTTCATCTTGTACAATTATTTCATTTTTTGTACTTTTTTTAAGCAGGGTTGCCAGACGGTCATTTTTTCCGGACAAATTCCGTGATTTAGTTTTTCTCAATTGCGTTGGCCGGCTAAAATTTACGATAGGGGTATTTCCTAATTAAATTTCAAATACTGAAAAAGAAAATAAAATGGAATTTTTATAGCGGAACCTACACTAATAACAAGGCCTTTTTTGGCCTTTTTTGTTCTCGGATTTGGCCGATTTTAGGCAACCTGAATTATTTACCACTACCTCCTGGAGAAATACATTTCGTGGTACGCATATGTACCAATACGTAGACAACGTGTTAAGATAATAATAATTATCTTTAAATTTTGTCTAAATCTGAAATTCCGATAAGATCCTTTCTATAAACTTCATCCTGTTATTGTAGGGTATTTGCGAATTATTATGGCATTTGAGCGTTATTAGGCTAGTTCAGCGTTATTATGGCATTTGTGAGTGGCATGTGACACGGCGCTGCTGCAGAGTGCCGGCAAGGAGACTGGATGTGCGGGGACGGATCTTGCGTGCCGCTGCGCGTCCGCTGCGACGGAGTGCGCCACTGCGCCGACGGTTCCGACGAGACGCAATGCGTGCCTGGTACTGTGGACCAGAGCCTATACTTTAAAAAAGTTATAAGTTATAGGCCCAGGGCCTATACTTTAAAAAAGTTATAAGTTATAGGCCCAGGGCCTATACTTTAACAAAAAGTTATAAGTTATAGGCCCAGGGCCTATACTTTAACAAAAAGTTATAAGTTATAGGCCCAGGGCCTATACTTTNTACACATGGAGATGTGTATAAGAGACAGATCATTGACGGTCTTTCAAGCTAAATCTACCAATCATAGACAAGAAAATAGAGCGTAAGTACTTATGTTCACTTAGCGAGTTTTGAAAGTATGGCCCCAGTTCTCGCTACATGTCCTCACCTAACAGTTGCTAGACATGATCGCCACTGTATTGATTCTGAACATTATTTTACTACGATAATATTCATCACTTGTTCAATCTGTCAGATTTGAATAATTTGTAACTGGTAATAAGTAAACTTTATTTGTTCTATATCTCCCTGTGTTACTCGGAAGTTTCGTGCATATTTTCTTTCACTGCCAGTAACTTGATAGTGTCTGGAGCTGAGCATCCAGGCGCCTATTGCCCTCCTTTTTAGAAGTTTTAGTTCCTCTTAAAGATAAAAACGATGATTTGTTTTTTATAAACAACAAATATAGATATATATTATAACGATTATACATATCAATTTTCAGTTATGATATTTAACATTTTTTATTACCTCAAGTTTAGTAATTCTTTATATATTATTTTTTCACTTTAATTATTCATTTCACCCCACCAATTATTCCCAAATCAATTGGGCTTTCTCCTTTATTTTCTATCTACGAGATTATATTGATTGGAAATAGTCAAGTTCATTTCGCGGACATGTGGTTGCAGTTTCGTGCAGTTTCACCCCACCATGTATTCGCAAATCAATGAAACTTTCTTAATAATTTTCTATTTGTGATATTGAATTGATTTGAAATAGTGAAGTTCATTTCTTGGACATTTGGTTGCAGCGTCGTGCAGTGTCACCTCACAAATTATTAGCAAATCAATGAAACTTTCTAATTAATTTTCTATCTGTGACATTGAATTGATTGGAAATACTTGAGTTCATTTCTTGGACATGTGGTTGCAGTTTCGTGCAGTGTCACCCCACTAATTATTCTCAAATCAATGAAACTTTTTCATTAATTTTTTATCTACGAGATTGAATTGATTGGAAATAGTCAAGTTCATTTCGCGGACATGTGGTTGCAGCGTCGTGCAGTGCCACCCCACCAATTATTCGCAAATCGATGATACTTTCTATTTAATTTTCTATCTGCGAGATTGAATTGATTGGAGTTAGTCAAGTTCATTTCTTGGACATGTGATTGCAGTTTCGTGCAGTGTCACCCCACCAATTATTCTCAAATCAATGAAAATTTCTATTTAATTTTCTATCTGTGACATTGAATTGATTGGAAACAGTTGAGTTCATTTCTTGGACATTTGGTTGCAGTGTCGTGCAGTGCTAGCGAATGGCCGTGCAGCGACGGTCGTGGCTGTATCCCCTTGTCGCTACGTTGCGACCGAGTGCTGCAATGTTCCGATGGTTCCGACGAAATTAATTGTCCAGGTATACTCGCTATCGCTATTTGTTTAGCCGGCATTTGTATGACTATCTTGTGGTGCCTTTTTTATAGTGCAAATAAGGTATATTAAGTGCTAAATTGTGGATTTTGTTGGGCGAAAATTTTTTGTTACGATTGTCCATAAATTGTTCAGGTATACTTGCTCGCTATTTGTTTAGCCGGCATTTGTAAAGTTATCTTGTGGTGCCTTTTTTTTAGTGCAAATAAGCTATATTAAGTGCTGAATTGGGGGTTTTGTTGGGCAAATTTTTTTTGTTACGATTGTCCGCACTACAAATTAAGTTGACTTTGTGCACGATGCCGATGATCGTTTTCTCCTTTTGAACCTTTGGAGCGCACAGAATGTTCATAAGTTCATGTTTCCGGCTTTAACTTCGTTGCTGTATTGGCGATTAAGTGTGAGTACTATTCAATACTAATTAATATTATTATATACACACATAAATTATTTATAGATCACATGTGAGTTGCCTCCCAATTAGATTTGAAATGTATCTCCCGAATGCAAATCACTGGTTTAATTGTATTTGCTGATTAATAATTTCCAGACTATACGGATTCCCTTGTGTATGTGTTGGACAATAGGTTGAGAAAATGTCTATCTATGGGTAATGTAATGTGTAATGTAAATGTTTGTCAAAATGTAAATGTAATGTGAAATGTAAACAAAATGTAAATACAATGTGGAATGTAAACGTCTGTCAAAATGTAAACGTAATTTGGAATGTAAATGTCTTTCTAAACTAAGCTACATGTTTGAAAATTTTCGGTGCTGGTGTTTGTTATTTTTCTTTACGGAAATTATTTAGAAATCATGTACGAAATTTATTTTCCGAATTTATTTTTAACTCCACATCATGAGTTTAATCATGGGTATCGTATTATTAAGATTATTTTTCTGTGAAATGTATAATTTTCTTTTACAGGGAACTTATCGAATTACCTAATTAGGCTGCAGCTCATTAGGTTCAGCGAGACTACTTCGCGTGACAATTCACGCTTCTCGTTTAGAATGTCCTTCCGAATTTCTGTGTCGAACGTGGTCTCATTTTCATGCTCTGCGCTTGAACTGTGCATTCTTCACTGATTTATTACGAACATCTCTAAATATCCCTGATTTGTATACTATTCATACTTTTTCTTTATACTATTTATATTGTATACTATTTATATCTGTTGGTGTCCGAAGAAATTCAATTCATCAGCATATGTTTATTTTTATTTGCTGTTCCATCAAAAAATCAGTTGAACGTCGCCCCCTTTCTGCTCATTTTTAATTCATCCCATTCTACATTACATTAAGCATTAGTTGTATTTTTTTTTTTGCCAGAACTTATCCAAATTTATTTTTTTACTGCCTGTTCACTTGTCTTTTTTTTGCTGGCTTTTATAGAATGCAGACCCGACCAGTGGCAGTGCGTATCGGACCAGACGTGCGTCTCGATCTCTCAGCGGTGCAACGGAAGGCGTGACTGTAGCGACGGCTCTGACGAAGCCAACTGCTCACCAGGTCAGTTACATGCAAGTTTATCAAACATTATTTAGTTCAGACATTTTTTGTTCATCAAACATTATTTAGTTCAGACATTTTTTGTTCATCAAACATTATTTAGTTCAGACATTATTTTGTTCATCAAACATTTTTAGTTCAGGCATTATTTAGTTCATCAAACATTATTTAGTTCGTCAAACATTATTTAGTTCGTCAAACATTATTAGTTCGTCAAACATTATTTAGTTCATCAAACATTATTTAGTTCATCAAACATTAGTTCGTCAAACATTATTTAGTTCATCAAACATTATTTAGTTCATCAAACATTTAGCTTCAGTTACTCTTCTATGTTATTTTTTAGTGGGTTGATTCAACGGTCGAACTTTAGTCAAACCGGAATCGGAATAGATCCCCTTCCATTTTTTTGGTAAATCTTTTTCATTACGATTTAATGTCCGTTGCGAAATATTTCTCTAGTAGTTTTACCAGTGGGTAATATCGAAATATCAAAATACTATCACGCGAGACGATTGTCAAATTATTCCAGATATGGGTGGTACTTTTGCGTGCATTGTCGTAAGCGCAGCGTGTTCATAATTACGTTCGTTATCTCTTTTGTGGAGATGTTTTTTTTTTCACAACCCATCTTCTGTGTGCACCAGATCCGCCTCGTTTTCTTGGGAGAAAACATGGAAGTTTTTTAGCGCATATTTGACGATTTCTCGGTCATTTTCTCTTTGAATGGAAGTTTGGTTATTCAATGAAATCACTTCAGGAACTCGAATAAACATTTTCTGCGTGCAGTTTCTTTTCATTTTTTAAGGTATGTTACCGTGTTTGTATTAATTGCGAAACCGTTTTTGCTGCACTGTGATGCAAGTAGCACTAACAGTAGCAAGTGTGCTTTGCTTAAAGTTTGTGAAGAAACGCTCAGCTGCATGCAGATGTTTTTGGCTCCTTGCTTTAGACGTAGTGTAAGATCGCTTCAGAACAATAACAGCCTAATTTACATTCAATCCTTGGAACTTATTCCCAGCAATACAGGATTGCAATATTGTTTTTGTTTGCCTGATTGCCCCCTTAAAGAAGTTTTAGTAGTCCATTTATGGCGCCCATAGATGACGCCTTTTTCTAATATTGTAATATTTCAGTGGCTGATTGTATTAAATGTTAACTCCGTTCAATATCTTGGGTTTCGTTAAGGAAGACTGGTCCTGATAAAACAGGTTTCACAAGCGGATCTGAAGATGTACTACCAAACTGTTTATTGTATAATTCAGTGCAAGTGCAGCCCGAGAAATTTAATGCAAGAATGTTTGGTATTTTATGGTCTCTCTTAACGGTTTTTTTAATCCTCGGTATAAGATGGTGTCTCTTAACGGTACTCTTAAAGTAATTTTTTCTCATTCGGTGCTTAAATTCTAGGTCCACAATGAATTTCAGGCAACTTTCCCACATTGAGATGTTAGTTATTAATCCTTTGTATATTTAAGTTAGAGCATTTCATTTAGACACGTTCGGTTAAAAATAATGCCAGTGTTATTGAGAACTTCTTTTGAGTTTAATTTCTCAAGCTTTCTGATAAAAGGTACAATAATAGGGTCAACAAGCCTTAAAATTTGTCCAAATGGAAGGTTAAGTAAATCCGACGATGCATTTCGCTCATCACAATTAATCGTTATCATATTTCAACCAGTATATAAGTCGCTCTATTACGATACTCATTTTGTACGTATGTTGTACGTAGGTAAAAGTAATATTGCTCATTCATTGCTCAAATTCTAGGTCAGCTTTCCCAAATTGAAATGATAGTAATTTATCGTTATCATATTTCAACCAGTATTCAAGTTGCTCTATTACGATACTCACTTTGTACGTATGTTGTACGTACTTAAAAGTAATTTTGCTCATTCGTTGTTCAAATTCTAGGTCCACAATGAATTTCAGGCAACTTTCTCACGTTGAGGTGATAGTAATTTATCGTTAGCATATTTTGACCAGTATTCAAGTCGCTCTATTACGATATTCACTTTATACGTATATTGTACGCACTTAAAAGTAATATTGCTCATTCGTTGCTCAAATTCTAGGTCAAATTCCCCACATTGAAATGATAGTAATTTATCGTTAGCATATATCAACAGTATTCAAGTCGCTCTATTACGATACTCACAATTTGTACGTATGTTGCTCCCTCACGGTAGTGCGTTGGTGGCGCTGTGGCAACGGCTGCTACGTCAATTATGCCAGGAAGTGTGACGGTAGAGTAGACTGCGTTGATGGCGATGACGAACGATACTGTTCACCTGGCGGTTAGTTTGTTGCACTTGCGTTTGTTGGTTGACGAGCTTTGCTTTGGTTTACGGGTGGAAATTGGCACGTGTCAATTATAAATGAGGCAGTGCCCATGGCTTCGATCTTGGAATTGACTATACCATCTATGCGAACGTCGTTCCATGTGGGTTGGGATGCAGGTTTACTGACGCTCGTCATCCCGAAATGCTTTCAAGACAGTGGAAACCATTAGCCAATTGTAAGTTCGACCAGCTTCGTTGCAGTTGAATTGGTCACCGTTTATTTATTCTTACGTGGAAGTATAAGCTTTTGTTAGGGTCTTTGTAGCAGCAAAATTTACCTTATTTTTACATTGGAGTCATCCAATCCGAAGTTAAAACATTTAGGCGCTATTTTCTTCAATTTTATATGGAATATATTCCTAATAGTCGAAACATTTGGGTGATTACGTTTTTTTTTTTTTTGATAAAAGTAAGCGAGTTTAAAAAAAAAACCTGACGTACGGTGTTGGCCGCAATTGTTATTTTTTTCACGGACTAATCTTACTGTTAAAATAAAATATTTTTTCGCTTTTTGGCCTGATTCTTTGTTTCGGAGTCTTAATCGTTTTTGTTGGGTCAGCGGAAGAAAAATTTTAAGCCGTACTTAAAGAAGCTCCGATTGGGTGTCTTGTGTACGGATAAATGTTGGGGAATTTAAGTTGAAAGTTCTCGTTCTTTATATAAATTCCGAAGGTCCAATAGATGTTGGAGCTGCTGGAGATGCTTAAGTTGCTATCTTCAGTTAAGGAAAAAATTGACAAATTTGGTGACTGTGTTTTGAAATGGCCTTATCGTTGAAAATTTGGTATTGTCGAGTTAATGTTATGGGAAATGGAAGAAATCGCGTTCATCATTAATTGCTTGATTTAAATTAGCATTCCATTCCAATGCTGGAATGTTGCATTCATTGCCAACTTTGGGTATCATGCTTTAGCATCTACAACCACGACCACAATTCATCTTGTGACTGTTCGAAATATCAGCTTACTCGTTTTCTTGCTTTAAATGTAACATATTGGCTTATTTATTTTTTAGTTATAAGAACACATTTCTTGTGTAATCGCAGATTAGTTACGAATTTTGGTCGTAGGTGAATTCGAATCTATTCACATGCATAGCTGTCGTCAAGAATTCGAATCTATTCACATGCATAGCTGTCGTCAAAAATCTTGGCATTGAATTGGGAACACGTTTTTTTTACCACGCTTCAAATACACATTTTCTTCTTGCATTACTTGTACATGATGAATGTTCAATATTAGCACGTTGCAAATACATTGTTATGATGCATGTCCAATATTAACATGGCCCATATAAGGAATTATGACACGAACATGTCCATGAAGCAATTAGTAGTCAGAATTATGCACTTGGTCAACAGCCGAGACTATATAAGCATGCCGGGTGGTATGAAGGTTACCATTGGTGATACCAATATTTTACGGTAGTTGCAACCTGAATTGTTAACATCACTATTCGCTTCTCCGTTACACGACACTCCCTAACAAAATTTAGAGTCGCCCCAGCTTCTGGAATTCCAAATCAGAAGCTGCCGCGACTGTAAATTTTCACTGGGAAGAACTCCTACCCTAACAAAATTTAGAGTCGCCCCAGCTTCTGGTAATCCAAATCAGAAGCTGCCGCGACTGTAAATTTTCACTGGGCTATTAATGTATATGCTTCCCCTGACAATGTAGCTTCACGCAGTGATGCGGTAGAAGCTGAAATCATCTGTGAAAATAATATTTGTCCGTGGGCTGGCAGACCATTATTTTTTTTTTGAAAAAGTACGACTGCGTTTGTGTCCATTACGGCTTGGGGTATTTCCGATCCTTGGCATGTGTTTGATTGAGCCAAATGAATTTACATATATAAATTTATAAAAATAATCAACAATCACATTTCTATAAATTTCACACTCGTATTACTCACCTGTTTCTGACTTAGACTCGTATTATTATTACGCAGGAAAGATAAACAATTCAAAAGATGATTTTGACGTGCAATTTTAATAAAAATGGTTGTTTTGATCGAACACGCGTCAAGGATCCATACTAAGTATATATATGTATATACATAGTACTTCACGTAAACATAGTTGAAGCTGGAGTTGCTAACGAAAAACTGGTCACCATTTGCTCGCTAATTTAATATCAGTGTCAGCCAAAATATACAAGTACGGACTTTCAAATTAATATTGCTATAATATAACTTAACTATCCACGAGTTATAATAACGGATATAAATCCAATAAGCAGCAAATCGAAGCAGAAACTAATAGCATAATCCAAGTAAATAAAGCTTGACTAATTAAAGTGACTACCGCATTTTACAATTATATATTTGATTTTACGCAAAATAGAATTATATTTTACCATTTTTTTATTTGAAAAATAATTGTATGCATTCAATGAATTACTGAAGATATTACTGAGCTCTTACAGAACGGCTTAACAATAACCAATTGTTAGTTATTGTGTGTGAGGCTTATATAGCCTATCCAATGAATGATACAGTCTCCTTTATATATTTATATTAATTACAATCTCCTTTATATGCATCGGTGCGCACTGAAACCTTTTTCTTTATAATTAAATTCGTTTAGTAGGTCAACTCCGAATTAAAAATATCCATTAGTATTGCGTTTGAATGCGACTTGGAAAGAAATGCGCAATTTTCGAAGAAAGTTCTTGCGAATTGAATAGTAATTTTTATCACGAATCATTCAAATTTCTTATTTTTTCGACTGTCAAGCTGTGAACCGAAAACAAATTTGGCAAGCGCGTGGTGATCAAGTGTGTTGTTGTCACGTGTACACGATGTATCCTCGCTACCACTGCTTCAAAACAATATCTACAGTCAAAAGTTGTTGCAACAACAACTTGGTAAACTTGGAACTAATCTCCCTTGGCCCATACTTTCAAAAAAAGTTTTAAGAGTTCGTAAGTTCATCAGCCAATCATTAATTGACGGCCTTTCAAGCAAAATCCACCAATCATAGACAAGAAAATAGAGCGTAAGTACTTACGTTCACTTAGCGAATTTTGAAAGTATGGCCCCTGCTGGTCACGATAAATTAGTTTTTGTGTCTATTAAATACGTATCATTTAATTATTGGTAAAGTTTTCATCGTTATATACTGTAGATATCGAAAGTGAAGAGTGGTGCAGAGGATATACACGTTTCCCTTGGGCATATCTATTACACTTGCATTTTGTTTGAAGATAATGGTGGTGGCAAATCATGCTGAAGTTCCGGAATTTTTCATTCTGTTCATAATGCTGGATAAAACCACAACTCTAAACACATAGCTCAAAATTTTGATTAGTACTAACGTTTGTTTCGGTATTTTTAGTTTTCCTCATTATCAAACTTTGATTTTGCCCAGAATCTTCAATTCCTCATAAGCTCGATCTTTATTCAAATGATGTTGAAGTTCACTAAAAGTTTCTGTTCTTCAACACGAGTTCGCTTCCACCAAAGTATTTATTACAATACTTCATATTGCACCTTCCTGCACCCATAGCAGATTACCCGTACACTGTTAGAAAAATTACCGTTAACGGTATTACCGGCGTTTCAGTGGCTGGTCGGCACGTGAAAAGAAACACCGTGTTGCCGTTTTTATTCTAATTTAACACTAGATCTCCGTAAAACATCTGATAAAAACAGCGAGACAGTTTATTTTCACGGGGCGACCGGCCACTAGAATGCCGGTGGGACCGTTTTTTTACCGTTTTTTCTAACAGTGTTCCTGCACCCATAGCAGATTACCCGTATATAGTCTCACATAGCGTAGCAGCACTTGCTAATTTCGGTGTGGTTGCTATACGAACCTTCAGCATGTGGTCCCGGAGAGTTCAGATGCAAAGACGGAAATTGTGTGCCTGAACGAGTCCGCTGTGACGGACAAGCCTATTGCTTCGATGGGTCTGATGAACACGACTGTGACGACGTTCCGCCAGGTGAGTTACACGGCTCCATGTTACCTTTAATTGCCGGTCACGTATCAAATGTTATCAGTTTAACTACCTATTATAACCTACTCATGAAATACCGTCAGTTGTGGTAAGATTGGCTCTATCATTGTAACATTAGGCCAAAGTTAGGGAAAGTTTATTGTGCTGTAACAACACTTTTCCCAACTTGGGGCCAGTCTTACATTAAGGGCCAATCTTACCTCAGATAACGGGAATAATAACTAAAGTCTTGAAAAATAATGAATCCAATGGGAAAAATAGCAACTTACCCTGTTGGGGCTGCGGGCCTTAATTTGGAGCGATTGCATGAACGCTGTCTAATGAATAAATTACTGATATCACATGAAGGATCAGAATGTTCGGTAACATCTGGAAAACTGCATTCGCGATGCAGCTTCAAGTCCGTCCAAAACATGATCGTGACTTCAGATGACGTCTCTGTTATGAATTGTTTAACAGGGAATGTAGGACTTTCTTACATTTTTACGAGATAACATTTTCGTCAACTTAAAGGTGAGTTATAACTTGTCTCTATTGAACACGCTCCATTTATTAATTTTTAATTCAATAATTTTTTTGGTGGAATTAAGATCCTTTTCTCGTAGTCAATCTGGGTTTATTTTGCATAAAATGCTGCAAGTAAATGTATGAAACAGCGTTCTGGTGTTCTTATAACCAATTGTTGGCTTTGAACCTCTGGTATTACTTGCTGCTTACGTTTTGCATGTGTATAAAAATGCTTTGTTCACAAAACATCTTTAACCTTTATTAAAGCAGAGTTAACATTTAGGTGCGTTTGAAAGTTTCCCCATTTTGCGTGTTGCATCAAATCTAGCATAGCATCTGTTTATACTTGATGCATGTTTACGGATGAAACGCTATTAATTGTGGAATATTTCTCTGTTAAGCTTGGTTGCTACGCTATTTAGCCACAGTTTGAAGAGCTTGACATAATTTACTAATATTTAATTCGAGGAATTTCCACGTTTCTGTTTGCCGTCATTCCAGTAAGCGTTCATTTGTCGACACTGTTGCCGAATTGAATTTTCTGCTTGACGCATTTTTACAATTTATTTTGCTCGGGTTCCTCTTTGACATTACTAGCCTCTGCTTCTTAAAGGAAAGTCTTCTTAACTTATTTTTTTATCGTTCTAAGCTGGTTGCGCCTCAGGCCAGCTGCAGTGTAAAGACAACGGTATCTGTTATGATGAGCTTCTCAGGTGTGATGGGCACGTTTGGTGCCGTGATGGATCAGATGAACTTGATTGTCTCGGTGAGTTCACGAGTACACTGAGAGAAAAAAGGCCCCCTGTTTTGAAACACTTGGGTGTTTCAAATCCTCCCCGAGCGATCGTGCCCAAACCGAAACACCCAAGTGTTTCAAAACGGGGGGCCTTTTTCTCTCAGTATAGAAGTAATTCGAGGTTTGAATTTGTGGGGGATCTATCGCCAACCTGTGCTGCTTCCGTCAAACTGCAAGATGTCGACAAGTTCTTCTTTCATCAATTCTAATCTGTCCTCAAACCTCGCACAAATCTGACTGTGATTTTTAAGTGATTTACGATTCTGCAAATTTTCATGCCACATTTACTTGATTTAGAAGTTTCTGGCTGATTCTCAAGGTTGATTTACTCTGATTTAGTTAATTTTAGTTAAAAAATTGTAAGGCAACTCATTAATTCCTCACTTTATAATCTTGCTGCTTAGGTTTCCTTTTGTTTAGACAGCGGATCTCTACCCTAATTACTAGTTGAAGACGGCTTTTTGTCGTCTTACGTCTGTAACTACTGGACAGATATTGAACACATATAATGGAGTTTGGCAGGAGAAGAAATTAATTCACGGCATTTGACTTACGTGCCATGCAGTGAACTCTACTCCGTTGAAGAGATTTTCTTCAAGTCGGTCGTTGGCTCTCGTGGATTGCTCGAGTTGATGATTTTAATTTCTTTATGCACCTTCATAATAATCCTGTAGTTTGTTGTATGTCAAGTTGTCTGATCATCTTTTGTTTTGTTTTCGAGTCCTCATATAACATCAGAACGTATAATTTGATTACGCCAACATCTGTGCATATATGCTCATTTTCAAGTACTGTACGTGAAAAAAAAAAAATTTCACGTACCAAAGATTCTTTGTATGAGAGGAAAGAATAACTCATGAAATATTTTTCTGTATCAATTTTTCAAAGCGATATTGGTTCTGTAATATCGTTTATTCACAGATCATGTGTACTATCGCATTATATCTTCTTTTAATATTGCTTAGGACTGCGCGATTTGAAAATTTCATGCCAGCTTCTCTTTTTTGGCCTGAGCTCTTCTCTAAACATGGCTTTAATGGGTTGACATTCAAATCTGGCAAATAAATTGAAGAATAATTAATTCCATCATAACGGCTTCATCTCACGGCTTGATATAGGCAATTTTTTACCAATCCCTCTAAACAATAGTCTATGTTTCCCTGCTTAATAATGTCCTGCCTCGAGTTTATTATTTTGTGTGATTTGCACAATTGTGTCCTGCCTTGTTTTATTCACTATTGTGTTCCTCGTATCTGTTCATGTTCGTGTCGGGCTCTAATTTTCTCAAGTCCTCTTGCGACACCTGCTGCGTGATGTACTTAACCTAATTTTCTTGACCTAATTCTTATTTAACCTAATTTTATAATTAGAATGAATCTACAGCTACATTTGTGTCTTTATTTCATATGACTAAATATAATCTTAAGGGTAATGTAATTATGATTCCTCTCTCGGCTGTATTGATCACGACTGTACGTACTACGTAATGTTCTTACGGAGGGTGAATCTCACTTCTTTCAGTTTCCCAACCGCAACGAATCTGGTCGAATTATAATATTGCATGAAGATAATAATTAATAAATAATTACCACGAAAATTGTCAACTGAAAAAGCGTATTAATTTGCAGAGTAAAAATTTTTTCTTTCAAAATGCAAAATGTACTGTTTTTCCACAGGGTGATGGTACGCAGAGCTATTTATCAGGCAATCTTTTGCAAATGAACTGAAGGTCGCAGCTATTTAGCTTAATTTTTACTTTTTGTCTGTCGGAGCTTGAAAATTGGTCGTATGGATTTACAATACTCCTATTATTGTGGTTCGCTCTATTCGTTTCAATACCAACCATATCAGCGTGAATTCTACGTAACTACTTGGAGACATTTCGTATCTACTCAACTTGTCTATTGCTGATCTTCCGATACATTCGTTTCTATATCAACCATGTAAGCGTGAATTCTACGTAACTACTTTTTACTCTTAAGCGTAAATTCTACGTAACGACTTCAAGGCATTTCGTATCTACTCAACTTGTCGATTGCTGAAAATATTAGCTAGATACAGTGTACGCAGTTCTTAGGAACTCACTTTGCAACTACGGATAGGTAGAACTTTTCAACTACATGTCGTTGAAATGTATTCTATTGACTGTTCTGCTGACTTCATTTTAAATCATGATCGTGAGACAACAATAAGAAATGCCCATCTCTTTATCACACCTGTTACCGTTACCTACGCTCATTTGTCGACTATGCTGACACCAATTGTGCTCTTTGTCACACATATTACCGTCACCTACACTCAAATGTCGACTACACTAGCACCAATTGTGCTTTTTATCACACCTGTCATCGTCGACTACGCTAACACTAAACATGTGTCGACTACGCTAACACTTATTTACTTATTGTGCTCTTTATCACACCTGTTACCGTCACCATGTGTCCACTACTCTTGCACTAATTGTGCTCATGCACAAACACACTAATTGTGCTCACATGACCACGGATTGACTGTCTGCATGTGTTCATGTAGCGCCGAGGTGTGGCTCGGACGAGTGGCAGTGCGAGGACGGTACGTGCTTGCCGTCTTACTTGGTTAGGTAAGGTTAGGTTAGGTTAGGTTAGGTTAGGTTAGGTGCCTGCCGTCTGGTGTAAAATCTGATTAAGATTTTGTTCATGTAGCGCCGAGGTGTGGCACGGACGAGTGGCAGTGCGAGGTCGGTACGTGTTTGCCGTCTTACTTGGTTAGGTTAGGTTAGGTTAGGTAAGGTTAGGTAAGGTTAGGTTAGGTTAGGTTCCTGCCGTCTGCTGTAAAATCTGATTTTTGTTCATGTAGCGCTGAGGTGTGGCACGGATGAGTGGCAGTGCGAGGACGGTACGTGCTTGCCGTCTTACTTGGTTAGGTTAGGTAAGGTTAGGTTAGGTAAGGTTAGGTTAGGTGCCTGCCGTCTGGTGTAAAATCTGATTAAGATTTTTGTTCATGTAGCGCCGAGATGTGGCACGGACGAGTGGCAGTGCGAGGACGGTACGTGCTTGCCGTCTTACTTGGTGTGGTTAGGTTAGGTTAGGTGCCTGCCGTCTGGTGTAAAATCTGATTAAGATTTTTGTTCATGTAGCGCCGAGGTGTGGCACGGACGAGTGGCAGTGCGAGGACGGTACGTGCTTGCCGTCTTACTTGGTTAGGTTAGGTTAGGTTAGGTTAGGTTAGGTGCCTGCCGTCGGGTGTAAAATCTGATTAAGATTTTGTTCATGTAGCGCCGAGGTGTGGCTCGGACGAGTGGCAGTGCGAGGACGGTACGTGCTTGCCGTCTTACTTGGTGTGCGACAGAAGCCCTCAGTGTCCTGACGGCTCAGATGAGAGAAGCTGCCCTCCGCAGGGTTAGAAATAAATTTTTATAACAATAAATTATCTAAACATTTGCCTAGCCTAATTAACTGAAAAGTTGCCTAATTAATTAAATAATTGTCTAATTAACTAAAAAATTGCCTAATTAACTAAATAATTGTCTAATTGACTAAATAATAGTCTAATTTACTAAATAATTGTCTAATTAACTAAATAATTGCCTAAGTAACTAAATAATTGCCTAAATAAGGAAATAATATTAATAATGATGAAAAATTCTTTTATTTACTGATTGATTGAGATTTAGTTTAACAGATTTCAACAAGGCTAAGTAATATTTACGTTTAATTGTCAAATAAAATTAATATCTGACTCCTGTTTACGGGGCGAGCTCTCTGATTATGCCTTCACATCATTCTATTTGTATCTTACTTCTCATTCAAAACTGGCTTCTTATTTGAATATCTAAATAATTCAAATTTATGACAACGTATGATCCATTCATAGTTATTATACATTTAAATTAAATAACTATTTCAATTTCATTGTCATGTTCTTCCTCAACTTAATTCATTTTCACCCCAGCACAATAATTCAAATTTATGATACTGTATGATCCATTCATTGTTATACCATATTTAAATTAAATAACTATTTCCATTTCATTGTCATGCTCTTCCTCAACTTGATTCATTTTCACCCCCCATTATATGTTATCATCAACATGACCTGATGCTAACATCTCGCGTGCTTCACTCAACTCCCTCAACTTGATCCATTCATAGTTATAATATATTTAAATTAAATAACTATTTCCATTTCATTGTCATGATCTTCCTCAACTTAATTCATTTTCACCCCCATTATATGTTATTATCAACATGAACTGATGCTAACATCTCGCTTGCTTCACTCAACTCCGTCAACTTAATTCATTTTCACCCCCATTAAATGTTAACATCAACATGAACTGATGCTAACTTCTCGCGTGCTTCACTCAACTCCCTCAACTTGATCCATTCATTGTTATACCATATTTAAATTGAATCACTATTTTCATTCCATTGTCATGCTCTTCCTCAACTTTATTCATTTTCACCCCCATTATATGTCATCATCAACATGAACTGTTATGCTAACATCTCGCGTGCTTCACTGCGGTTCAGAACTTTGCCGCTCTGACGAATTCACGTGCGCGGACCGAACGTGCATCCCTGCGTACCTGACCTGTGACAGCACGCCACACTGTCCCGACCGCTCTGATGAGTCTAACTGTGGTCTGGGTACGACTTAATGATAGCCTAGCATTATCTAATTGTTAAGAGCAATTGCCCTTAACAATCGCCCTTAACAATCGCCCTTAACAATTGCCCTTAACAATTGCCCTTAACAATTGCCCTTAACAATTGCCTAACAATTAATAATTGCCTAACGTTGCCTAATTGTTAAGAGCAATTGCCCTTAACAATTGTCTAACGTTGCCTAATTGTCAAGATCAATAGCCCTTATCAATTGCCTAACGTTGCCTAATTGTCAAGATCAATAGCCCTTATCAATTGTCTAACGTTGCCTAATTGTCAAGAGCAATAGCCCTTATCAATTGTCTAACGTTGCCTAATTGTTAAGAGCAATTGCCCTTATCAATTGTCTAACGTTGCCTAATTGTTAAGAGCAATTGCCCTTATCAATTGTCTAACGTTGCCTAATTGTTAAGAGCAATTGCCCTTAACAATTGTCTAACGTTGCCTAATTGTTAAGAGCAATTGCCCTTAACAATTGCCTAACAATTAATAATTGCCTAACGTTGCCTAATTGTTAGGAGCAATTGCCCTTAACAATTGCCTTACAATTAATAATTGCCTAACGTTGCCTAATTGTTAAGAGCAATTGCCCTTAACAATTGCCTAACAATTAATAATTGCCATACGTTGCCTAATTGTTAGGAGCAATTGCCCTTGACAATTGCCTTACAATTAATAATTGCCATCACATCTAATTCACCAATTAATACCCACGGTGACTTGATTACCAATTACAAGTTATTAGACTTCCATGTAAGCCGACTGTTCATACTACTCCATAATATACAACTACTTATCTATGTTATCTATACTACTTAGATATCTATGGTTAATACTACTCCATAGATTCTTACTTGAATCTATGAATCTACTGAATTTGTTTTCTGCAATTGACAAGTTGAGGATAAATGTGGGGTTGGGGGTAGAACCTTTTGAATTTGAAGCTATTCACTTGTTTATGAATGCATTTTATCTTGAAACTACAATTTGATGGATACAAATTTACTGTATATTTGTTCTTCACGACTGTAATGGAGTTTTTGGAATATTTTGGTTCTGTTATTCGAATTTACTTCTACATTTTAGCAAAAATTGAGGGACACAACAGTTGTTGTACATGTGTGTTTTTTCATCTTTATTTCAACAATTCCGTGAAATTTTAGACCGAGGTTTTCTTAGCAAAATTCATGGCAATATTTTTTTTTGCGTGAGTCGCCTATAGAAAATGTGTTCTAATTAATGACATTATCTGCTTGCTGTGCACTTCAACTGTTATACCTTGCACTTCAACTGTACCTCACACTTCAACTGTACCTCACACTTCAACTGTACCTCACACTTCAACTGTACCTCACACTTCAACTGTACCTTACACTTCAACTGTACCTCACACTTCAACTGTACCTCACACTTCAACTGTACCTCACACTTCAACTGTACCTCACATTTCAACTTTACCTCACTCTACAATTACGTACGATGTTTTTTTAAACTGTACGTACGATTTAAAACTGTACATACGATTTAAAACTGTACGTACGATTTAAAACTGTACGTACGATTTAAAACTGTACGTACGATGTTTTTTAAACTGTACGTACGATTTAAAATTGTACGTACGAGGTTTTTTTAAACTGTATGTACGATTTAAAACTGTAAGTACGATTTAAAATTGTACATACGATGTTTTCAAAATATTACGTACGATTTAAAACTGTACGTACGATTTAAAACAGTACGTACGATTTAAAACTGTACATACGATGTTTTTAAACTGTACGTACGATGTTTTTTTTAAACTGTACGTGCGATGTTTTTTTAAACTGTACGTACGATTTAAAACTGTACGTACGATTTAAAACTGTACGTACGATTTAAAACTACGTACGATTTAAAACTGTGCGTACGATTTAAAACTGTACATACGCTGTTATTAGCGCGTTGCGACGACTCTGAGTGGCAATGCACCGACGATGGCACATGCATCCCGCTGTACCTGCGCTGCGATGGCTCGCCGTACTGCCGCGATGGCTCCGACGAGGCTAACTGTCAAGGTGGTGTATAACCGCCTTTATACTAACTTATTTAATTAATTGGCTCATAATTATAATTAATTGGCTCATAATTGTGTGATTGGCTTTATTGTTTGACTGATTATCAGGTAACAGTGCCTGACTATCAAGTTTTCATTGGCTCATAATTGTGTGATTGGCTTTATTATTTGACTGATTATCAGGTAACAGTGCCTGACTATCAAGTTTTCATTGGCTCATAATTGTGTGATTGGCTTTATTATTTGACCGGTTATCAGGCTACAGTGCCTGACTATCAAGTCTTGATTGGCTTATAATAACTACATGTATTGGATTCTTGTCATTGCAATATGAATAAGTATTAGTTAACCCACTCATCCAACTTTTAAACATATCGTCGTGTGAGTGGAGTTTTTATTCACTAATGGAATGACATAATCCCATGTCACTCCAATTGAATTATCACATGTCCGACTCACTCCTATTAATTCTGATGGCTATTCAGATCTCCCCAAAATAACTCTAAGCAAATATTTCCCTTACCTTTATTGATACGCATCCTATTATTTTGCTTGAAATAATTTTTGTTTTCAAATTAATATAAATTTCATAACAAATCTTTTTGGTTTTTTGACGTATGTTTATTTGCTGTCGTGGAACTTTAAACTCAAATGATTGTTCTCACTATCTGACAATAAACGTATGCACGCTAATGAATTGTTAAACTAATTTCTTGTAATTCAAAATATTAGACAATTATTATATTATTGGTTATTCTATAACAGAAAAACACTATTTATAATCAATTGTCAATAAGATTGTTTAAAAAATTTTGTTCCATTTTGATAAGAAATTTTTTTTAATTCAGCTCGATTTGAACATTTTTACGTGCACTCCTGCAGTTATAACAGCTGCCATATAGCCATTCACTGAACACAATTAATGATCTCTGGATATATGCATATGTATGTAGGCTAAATTTCAAATACTTAAGATTAACTAAATTATTTTAATTGAGGCAATTCTATTGTACCTAGCTCCTCCGACTATACAATGCTTGTTCATTCACCAGATAAAATGAAAAAAATTTTAATCAGTAATTAATTAATTTAATTTTTAGTCAGTAATTTTTTTATTCAATTTTTCAACCAGCATTGGCTCTCTTAGAAACATTTCTTTAGAAATAAGGCTTACAATACACGTAGATTTTATCTAATGCAAGCGATTTCAAAATTTATTCTGTTCAATAGAGCCAATCATTCAATATTATCAAAATTCTGTTGCAGCCAACAAAATTTTCAACTTCAGATGTCGGAACCTGCGCGTGCATTTCATGTGGGCGCGCTGCATCATTTCCATACATCATTAAAAAATAATTAATTATCTTCATTATTATATTCATTTTCCACAGACTGTACTCCTAAAAATTTCACAATATATTCAACTCATCACGCAGTAGCAGCTCTTCAATGATGTCGCCGCTGCCAATTTCCTACGTCAATTTCCACCACAAAATTTCAAAATTTTATTGTGACAGCCGCTTTGACCGTTGACTAGTTCTCTTAAGTGATCCATTTTTGGACCAGAAAAGTTTAAAAGCGGAGAAATTACTTATTTTCTTTCAACCATTTCAAGTAGTCGAAGGCTTGAGTATTTTCAACAACATATACACCGTCACACCTGTTTGTGAAAAATGCAACGCATTTTTCACACACAAAATTGTATATGAATTCACACACATTTGTGTGTGTGAATTCATACACATTTGTGTGTGAAAACACATTCTCACACACAATGTCTGTGAAAAATGCAGCGCAAAAATGCAACGCATTTGTGTTATTGGGCATGTTCTGACCCTACAAACATTTGAATGTTTATTAATTCATTGAACGTTTTCAAGAACATGTACACCGTCACACTTTTGTGTAGAAAATGCAACGTATTAAGTGTAAGGTTGTGCATGTTCTGACCGTACAAACATTTGAATGTTTATTAATTCGTTGCTAGCGCCTTCCTGTGGCTCCGGCGAGTTCGTTTGTGCGGACGGAGGCTGCGTGCCCGACTACCTGCGCTGCGATGGCACGTCGCATTGCCGCGACGCTTCCGACGAGGCAGACTGTTCGCCCGGTACTGTCGCTGAACGCGTGCACGTCGTTCATCATAAACCATTAATGCGTCACATAACGGCACTTTTGAACTGATTAAGATTAATGACACGTTTTTAATAATCGTCCTAAAGCATTAATTAATGCGTCTAATAACTGCACTTTTGAACTGATTAAGATTATTGACATTTGTTTAATAACTGTTGAAACCCACACGTCGTTCATCCTAAACCATTGATGCGTCAAATAACTGCACTTTTGAACTGATTAAGATTATTGACATTTTTAGCGCATTTTCTCATTTATGGAAAAAATTCACTATTGTGCTCGCCATGTCCGTCTGTCTGTCTGTCCGTCCGTCCGTGACTTCACGTTTTCGTCGACAAGAAAATGCGCTCTCTGTCACTCACTGCAGTGAGTACTGAGTTATATTTTTTAATAACTGTTGAAACCCTGGCTGCGAAGTTTGGCACACGGCGCTATGTGATATCACAATATAAACAATAAGCTATCTGCTTATTGTTTACATAAAATGTTACGAATGATGTTGTTAAAATATATGAATGAAATCATGATTAATTGTGTGACTGACAAAATTCGGTTCGCATCGTAAACTTACGAGCTTGGGCAGACTTTTAACTGCGGGTAGTAGCAGTGATAACCAATGGAATGCAAACACAACAAAACCTAAGAAATATGTTGTCTCTTGTTGACTTCTCTGACTTTCTTATGTATCTTTTCATTAATTTATGTAGATAATTAATTTTACGACTGGCGATAACCTGAAGGACTATCTAGCAATAATTTCTACTCATATCCCCTCCTTAATATATAACTAAATCAACAGAAACAAACTATAAGCAAGATGCCGCTAACAAATTAGCGTTGAAAACGTTTTGATCCCTGAATTTTTAACCATTAAGAGCGTTTACATTTTCCAGCAGTTTCTCTTATATGAGCGAGGATTTAATTTAATCAAAATATTTGTTCTAACTTAACCTTGCATGTTCAAGTTTAAATTGAGACTCGGGTTGGTTTGCTCAATAAATGTTGACGTGAATGTTGATAAACTTGTTAAATGCTCGGGATTCGGCATGTGCAAAAACCTATTTATTTAGTGTTATGGTTTAATTCCTTGTAATGGAAATTTTTCGTACAAGTTGTGTTATTTTAATTAATATGGTAACGGTGAAATATTTATTGTGGTCGTTATAAATACAAAGTGTCAATGGGGGAAGGCGCTGCACTTCTATATTATGTACAACGCCTAAGTACCTGGTGTCACTGGCGTTGTTCTACCTTGTAATCGTGTAGGTTGCTTATGTGATATACTTGGTAGATATTTCTCTTCAGTTTACATGGCAGGTGATCGTTTTTGCGCGATTAAATGGCGTCCTAATTGTCATTCCCTCATTTATGAGTCCTATTAATCCTTAAAATGTGTGTATCGTTTGATACATCAACTACTTCTACTAATTACTGCTATTCTATATTGAATTCAAACATTTGTATTATTTAACCTATCCAGACCATTTTATTTGAGACTAATTTTCCGTAACATTTATTCATTTAACCCCACCTAACAAGCTCCCTTTTCTCTTTCCTCACGTTGCCTTCTGGAATCGGACGTTTCGGATATTTTATAACTACGCTGCCTACACAAACCCTGTGATGACTCCTGTCCTGCATCTATGCTACGAATGAATTTCGAATAATTGGCATCTATCCTCGTAATGCTACGAATGAATTTCGAATAATTGGCATCTATCCTCGCAATGCTACGAATGAATTTCGAATAATTGGCATATCGGAAATAGCTTGTCAGCCAGCGGTACAGTGGCAGTGTGACAACGGCCAATGCATTGACCGCCGAAGATACTGTGACGGTTTTATCGACTGTCCTACTGACGATTCCGATGAACGCAATTGTCGTAAGTGTTCAGCTTCTTTATTACATCTCTGATGAACGCAATTGTCGTAAGTGTTCAGCTTCTTTATTACATCTCTGATGAACGCAATTGTCGTAAGTGTTCAGTTTCTTTATTACATCTCTGATGATTGCGATGTAATGCCGATTCGCATCAAGTACCGTTGACTTGTGCTAAATTTGATTCCGTCGTTTGGCTTTTAAGTTTTATATTTTATGGGCCAGCAAAATTCAAACGAATTATCTGCTTTGATTATGCTTGTGGTTTGTTTTAAGCCAGTGCCTGACTTTCGTCTGCATTTATGTTTAAGGTTAACAATAACCAAAAAAAATTTTTTTTTGTACCCCAGCAAGCATCCGACTGCAGTTGTTCAACGTGAAGATAGTGGTTGTCATCATAAATATGAATTATTGATGTTTTGTCCTTCTGTCATGTTTTTTATTAATTAAATAAGTTCAACTAATCTAATTGCAGATTTTCTCCGCGTCGCCAGCGCTTCAATTTGACAATACAATTTTTTATTTTTAACATCGAGTTGCCAATTTTCGCTGGCATTTGCAATGCAGATGATAATTTACTGTATTTACTTTTCGTAAATAATTTGTATTTTGTAATCATAAAAAATTTTTACCTCTAAGTTGTCGCCCTTTGCATGCTGTTGTAATGACCAATTTCTAATTTGAATAAATATAAAGGCTAGATGAAGCTACATCCATGGAGATCCTACAGCTACCCTAACAAAGTTTAGAGTCGCCCCAGCTTCTGGTAATCCAAATCAGAAGCTGCCACGACTGTAAATTTTCACTGGAGCTTGAAAGGCCGTCAATGATTGGCTGATGAACTTACGATCTCTTAACAACTTTTTTTTTTGAAAGTATGTCTTGTTAAGTGAACGTAAGTACTTACGCTCTATTTTCTTGTCTATGATTGGTGCTTTTTGCTTGAAAGGCCGTCAATGATTGGCTGATGAACTTACGAGCTCTTAACTTTTTTTTAAAGTATGGCCCCTGAACGCTTGTTTTTTGAAAGTATGGCCCCTGCTGAACGCTTGTATGTCTTGTGCTCCCGTAACAGAAGGATCGGGCGCCCAGCCTCCTACTGCTCCTGAGGTTGGCAGTGGCGTGGATCCTTTTGATTGCTCACCACCTGACTTCTTCCTGTGTGGAACAGGTCTCTGTATCCCCATACGAATGAAGTGTGATGGCACTACCAACTGCCAAGACTCCTCCGATGAACGAAATTGTGACTGTAAGATTCATCTTGCTCCACAGACTCCCATATCATGCCGCCCTTTTTTCACCTGAATGAAATGTGATGATAAATTGACCGGTAACCGGCAACACATTCCTATGTCATGGAATTTGTTGAATTTAAATTCAACAATATAATTCAACAATCCAACAGAAAAGTATTAATAAATAATGATGAATAATTGATTACTTCCATTATCTTGATGCCCATTTGCGTTAGCTCAATTTTACTTATAATTTTTCTAATGATATAATATTATTCAACCGCCTTGCTACATCAATTATTATCAATATTTGTATTTTTATTTTAGATTTTGTTGACCTCTTATCAAATATATTGCAATTCATAAACATTTTAACCAAGTGAATTCGACACCGCCCCTTCTCTTACTCATTTGCTAAAATTCAAGGAATTTGGTCCGGTGATACGAGGTTACTTTTTACTGCCTCTGCCTAGGCATATTTAATTGGGCCGTAGTGTTGCTCAAGCTTTATATTCTTACTAAATTCATTTAATTGTTTTGAGTGCTGCACTAACCCTTGCATTATTGAAGCATCGTTCATCACTCATCTTTATTTTGCGTAAGGCATCATAATTAACCTTTTTTTTAATTAAGCTCATTTTTTGGATTTTGCTTCAAAATTTACAGTTTTATTTGGCATGAAACGTAAAAATTCGTAATGGGATTATATCCACGTATAGTGTACTTGCATCAAATTTGTTATCGTATACACGTATCGTACATCCACGTATAGTGTACTTTCATCAAATTTTCAATGGGTATAGTGTAATTTTCATCATGCATAGTTTAATTTCACGAGTAAAAATTGTGACTTTATTTGAGGGATTCTGCTGGCCGGAGCGAGTTATCGTTTCATTCCTAGGTCGTTCTAAAATTCAATAATTCATTTGGTCTTTTATCCACATACCTTTCTCTGTTATATTTCTTTTGATTCGGTAAAAGTAATTTCATTGATATAAGAATTTTCGTGCCATTTGCTCTCATTTATACCGTGTCATTTCTTTGATATGATATCAGCTATTGGATAAACAAAATAACAATTAAAAATCTCCAGTACTCATTCCTGCTCACAAAATCCCCCGCGCTTCGTGAACCAACAACTCAATTAAAACTTTGCATTCCATAATGAAAAAAATATTTGCATTCATAATGAAAAGTAAATTAATTTATTCGCCTTGTAACGGAATTTTAAGCCTGTCATTCATTACAATACGCGAATCACTAGAGTATAATTGCTGAAATACTCGTAACTTCTCCTAACCTTGGGGGTTATACTGCTCATTCCAGCGTGAACAACTCCATTAAAACTTAGCATTCATAATGAAAAGAAAATTAATTTATTCGCCTTGTAACGGAATTATGAACCTGTCATTAATTACAATACGCGGATCACTACCCTAACAAAATTTAGAGTCGCCCCAGCTTCTGCATGGTAATCCAAATCAGAAGCTGCCGCGTCTGTAAATTTTCACTGGGAAGAACTCCTACCCTAACAAAATTTAGAGTCGCCCCAGCTTCTGCATGGTAATCCAAATCAGAAGCTGCCGCGTCTGTAAATTTTCACTGGGATAGAGTATAATTGCTGAAACGCTCTTAACTTCTTCTAACCTTGGGGGTTATACTGCTTATTTCAGTCACTTGCACGAGTAGCCAATTTACCTGCGAACGAGAAAAAAAATGCGTCCCAAGCGAAGCTGTTTGCAATGGACGTCCGGACTGTGTGGACGGATCTGATGAACGCGACTGTAGTAGTATGTACAACTGCCAGTTTCTTCATGTCGATATTGTCGTTTACAGAATTTCTATGCCTTCTCTGCTGTACTTTTCTTTTCCTGCAGCTCTCAGGCAGGACCAACAGTCTAAACTTCTCATGCACTGTTAGAAAAATTACCGTTAACGGTATTACCGGCGTTTCAGTGGCCGGTCGGCACGTGAAAAGAAACACCGTGTCGCCGTTTTTATGCTAATTTAACACTAGAAATCTGTAAAACATCTGATAAAAACGGAAAAACAGTTTATTTTCTAGGGACGACCGGCCACTAGAATGCCAGTGGGACCGTTTTTTCACCGTTTTTTCTAACAGTATGTGCTTCTCTTAACATCAGGTTTTGGCTTCTCTCGGTTATGGAGTCACCCAAGAGAATTTAGATAACTCCGACTTCTCTTGGACTTGATATACTTCATTTTCGTCTAGTGCTCACTAACAATATTTTCCCCAACATTATTCTGTTATATGTTCACTGAATTGGTTTTTTCAACAGGGATCTTGAGAACTGACTACTGTAAGAATGCGGCTTCTAACAAAATTTTTATATTTAACTGTTTATCTTATGTTATGTTTCCTGTGTAACACGAACTCTTGTGGCACTAACGCGTTCAAAATTCTATGTCGGTGTACTTTTTTTCTTAATATACTCGTTGTTGTGCATCAAAGCAGGGGCTTTGAGTACATTTTTGCGTATTATTGTTCTATGTGCTGCATTGTGGTGTGTTTGTGCCCGTCATTCTCTTGGGTTAATTTGTTTATTTGATTTTTTGCATGTGCTATTTCTTGCTAGGAGTAAAGATTGTATCCAGTCAATATAATATTTGAATGTGATCTATTCATATAACTCATGTAGCAATGCCATTGCTCACACAAATCAGTTTCTCTAAACGTTCTCACAAATTTCATTGCCTTGATCGGTCAAGTTCAGAATTTTCAGACTTTAGGGAAGCCCCGCTGAAAATTAGCAGTTTATTCTGATTCATTTTACTTGAATTACGCATCACATGTATGTAAATATCGTTTTTATTTCTGACTGTTTCCTAAATTGTTTGATTGCTTATATAGGGTTTTTCTAATTTGAAAGTTCTTTAATCACTTAAATATATTTTTAAATCATTTTGTAGCAACCGAAAATGTAAAGATTGAAAATAAAAGTGATAATTGAATTATTTTTACCAGTAAAAAATCCATTTGCATGAATTTCTAATTTCTCATGAAAGGCTTAAGAAACTATCAAACTACATTGGTGCAATAATTTTTTTTGTCTCAAGTTCTGAGGAGCAACTTGGGTTCGAGAATTATTTTGTCTCATTCGAGCCCTCAATAAATTTTGAATTTCAATCTTGAAAAATTAAGCCGTTCCTAAGTTATTGTTTTGGATTCATTAGCTGTCACCTAATTCTGAAGTTGTTATCTGCTATTGCCATTAATAAAGCCATGAGTCACTGCTACAGTTCAAATCAAATGTCAGTAGCATCAATGATACTATAGGCCATCACCGCCGCTACCACCACATGTTATCAATACTACCGACTATTGCTTGCACCAGCAAGATATCCTAGTATTGATACCGTCAATACAACAATTGATAATCGTAATTGGCAATGGCTGCCATTACCACCATCGAAAACCACTTGCCTTGCCACCTCCGATATCACCTGCCATCAGACGTTGCCGCCACTGTTACCACTCACAACATGCAACATCAACAATCTCCGGCACTGTTACCACTCACAACATGCAACATCAACGATCTCTGACACTGTTTCCACTTACACATGCAACATCAACGATCTCTCCTTACACTCCCAGCCCTATTCCCCATCCCTATTCCCCAGTCCTATTCCCCATCCCTATTCCCCATCCCTATTCCCCAGCCCTATTCCCCAGCCCTATACCCTAGCCCCATTCCCCAGCCCCATTCCCCAGCCCTATTCCCAGCCCTATTCCCCAGCCTTATTCCCCAGCCCTATCCCCAGCCCTATCCCCAGCCCCATTCCCCAACTAAGCCTGTTTACACGTGCAGCCTCAGCGTGCGCGTCGGACCAGTTCCGCTGTTTTCCGGGCTCACACTGAACAGACTCAAGGTTGCTCTTAGTAAATCCATAAACACATTAATGACCAGCCACACAAAAGAGCACCAATACAGACCAAACATCACATTAAAACATCACATCCCAGCCCTATCCCCAGCCCCATCCCCCAACTAAGCCTGTTTGCACGGGCAGCCCCAGCCCTATCCCCAGCCCCATCCCCCAACTAAGCCTGTTTGCACGGGCAGCCCCAGCCCTATTCCCCGTCGTATTCCCCAACTAAGCCTTTTTACACGTGCAGCCCCAGCGTGCGCGTCAGACCAGTTCCGCTGTAGCGACGGTCAGTGTCTGGACATCAGCCGACGCTGTAACAACCTACCAGAGTGCCGGTCCGGCGAAGACGAGAGAAACTGTCCTGGAGTTCCTACCCCATGTGAGTATAATTCTGCCTTTTTGTCTTCCTATGCATCTTGTCAGTTAATTTATTAATTGGGTGATGGTTTTAATTGAATGAGCTGATAAAACTCTAATTTAAGCCTCTCGGTTTAACTACGAATTCATATTTTTCACGTTATTATTAACATAACCTTCTGAGCTGGGTTTCCAAGTGTTGGACATTTATCCGGAGACAATTTATCCAGAGACGTCGATAGTATGTCCTCAAGCGTGATGTTTTCTCAAGTCCAATAAACTTATTTCTATATTTTGCATCTTAGTTGCATCAAAGAGCATGCAAATAACTCCAGTTTCGGTTCTATCTTCAGTAATTGACTTCTTAAATCGTGTATGCTAATGTTTGAGAGCCGCGTCGTCTTTTTAAACTCACTATGTTACGGGCATCGCGCTACTTGTGCCCATCATGTTTATACTTTGTATCCAATTCTATTATTTTCAATTCAAATAGTGCGTTCTGTTCAAATATTTTTCTTACCACTTTCTTATCTTACAACTTTCTTTAAATCAGTCACGTTTGCAATCTGGGTACTGCATGAAACTAAATTAAAACTACAGAATAGAGTTTATTTCCTTTTGGGTTTGCACTTCATAAGATTTCTTTGGTATGATCAAACGATATAAGTTAGAGAAAAAAAACTTTTATGCGTGTCTTCAACAGATAAAAATTTGAAAGTAACACGTTTCATATTTAAAATTCAACTCCATCACAATGCTGCCTTCAAAACTTTTTAATTTTTACCTGCATTTTTCGAGTTGAAAAATCTCTAAAATACGCTAATTTTTATTTATTTGTATTTTTAGTATCAACCATCACCTGTTTTTGATCTTGTGCACGCAGCACGGCTGCCCTGGACCAATACGACGTTGGCTTATGACTTTGTGCAGATTTATTTTATATTCATGAGATTTTATTCATAATCTGAATGCGTTGCGCTCGTGACCCATCACTTGTAATTAATTTGATTGAATTATCAAACCCTTTTCACTTGTAATTAATTTGATTGAATTATCAAAGCCTTTGCCTGAATTAAGACTCAAAAACCGCTCGTTTAAATTAGAACTTATTTAGAAAACTTTAAATGATAAAACATCTTAGCATTGTTAACTTATCCACAACAATCTGCATTACAGGTGTAATTAATTGGGAAAACTTTAAATGATGAAATAAGTTAATGTTGATTTAAGCATGGTTAACTTTTCCACAACAAGCTATATTGCGGGTTATACTCGAATTAATTGTTAACTATTTCAGAAATATCCTAATCAGTACAATCGTCTAACGTTCAATCTCTAACGTTTTTATTGCAGGTTCATTGATCGATTAGTATCTTATTATAGTATCTTATATTATTGATTAGTATCTTATATTAGTTTTCCTCAGTAAACTTCGTAGCCAACACACCCGTAGCACATCAATATATATTTTTCGTGCCTGGAAAACATCATTAGCCACTATTTTGTTGTATGTCCACTTATGAGGAACTGTTGACGACGACATGAAAACTTCACCTATGTCGCCACGAGACATTTAAAAATGAACTTCAATATGTTCATTTCATATTAAGACTTAGAATAAATATAAATTAGAATATTAAAAATGTTTTGCATTTAAAATGTCAAATAAATTAATATGTTTTGGTTTATTAATGGTCTAAACGATCATATCTTAATTTTATAGAACTTGTTTTGGCGAATATTTCTGCTAGATGGGAAGTGCATTCCTTTTTCACCCGACAATTCTTTCTTTATTCTTAATTCAGGTTAAAGTTCTAAGACCAGATTGCCCTTCAAATTGTATTAATAATTATTATCTGCTGGTGCGATTGTTCCGATAATAATTTGTTGTTGCTCGTTAATAAAGTTATCGTATCCAGACATATCAAGATAATCAGTACATTGCCAGGGTCTAAACTCTTAAATTGTTGTGGACTCAAGTTATCGAAGGGGTGTTTTATATACGACAGAAAATTACAATCTTTAAGTAAAACTCCAAGCTCTGGTCCTGCCTTACTATGCATATCATTAATATATTCAATTGACTCTCGAGGCGGCTGATGGATTATCAATATATAAAGAAAATTTTGAATCTTTCTCTATCCATTGGTGTATAAATTATTCATTTTGAATTTATGCTTGAATAAATATAAATTTATTAAATTGGATCTAGAATAACCCTGTATTTTGATTCAAAATTGCATGCTTCAATGTTGAAACATTTAATTGCTGGTATGTTTCGAACTTCGTCTTCAAATGAAATTATCAATAATTAACAAAGAAATTTTGAAAATGGTTTGTTCACGTAAACGCCAATTGAACTTTAGATCATTTGTATTCGGACATAATTCATATCTGGAAATAAAGTTCATCAAAGGCTCAGAGATGTTGGGTTTGAAACCCGTAGAGTTAAGTAATGAGCATGAATAGTGTGTCAGTCAGTCACCTAATTTTTTCATATACTTTATCTAAATATGAATACATCGGCAAAGATCCATCGAACTAATTTGACTGAAAGGACACGACGACCGTGTAAACAGAACACATTATATAAAATTCAGGGCAGTTTTTTGACCGCTGTAACAGAAAGGACTGAAGAGATTGAAGCGAGTTATACCCACTGGGCACGGTGGCCCAGTGGTTACAGTTCAGAGTACCAGGATTGGCGCAGAGAGGCGCGGGTTCGATCCCAGCTCTGTGCGCCAGTTTCTGGTCAGAATCGGCAAATAAGGAGGTCGGGCGGTTAAGCACAACAGAATTGTAGCAACGAGTTGTGAGTTCGAGACCGCAAAATGCCATGAATGTTCTGCAATGTTAAGAACCGGCGACAGGCCTACGGCCTAATAAACGCTGAAACCGCTATAACCGCTATACCTGACCGCAGGTACTGCCTTCGAATTCCGGTGTGTTAGCGGCCAGTGCATTGACGTTCAGTACCGGTGTGATGGCGCTAGCAATTGCCCCTTCGATAACTCTGATGAACAGGGCTGCCGTGAGTGCTGCCGCGTCTCAATATTACTTTACACTCGTATCAATCTCTGATTAATTTTCCCTTGTTAATTCCTCGCTTTTTGTGTGGCAGCAACATTCGTTTTTTTCCGTAATGTTTGCTTCATACATTTTGTCTTCTTCTAAAGTCTAAATCTAGTAAAAGAGATCATTTACTAAATTGTTTCCTTTCGCCGTTTTCGATTGATCAACGAAATGAGCTGGAGAGGCTCGTAGTGAACCATCCACCAACACTTATTTACCCTTACCTGAATTTAAATACCTTCTATTATGTTTCTCCTTAGAATGATCTTACATTTTCTTAATACGTTAAACTTTACCCTAAAAAGTGGAAAAAATCTCAAATTTTACGTCGCGTCTTTCATAAACATTCATTATTTACTCTTCCAAGACAAGTGACATCCAAGACCCGAAAGCTGTTGTGGTAAGCCTAAACTGATTGCGATTCAATAGAATCCGGTGACATTTATTTATTTTTCTCTCAATTTTCTGAACCGCAATGTGTCAGTTTATTCGCTTACGAAGTTTGCAACCTTCTTCGTCTAGGTTATTTTTTTTACTACGCAGAAACGAGTCTAAGTCAACGGCTCCTATTTCAAAGCTTAATTTATTTCTTCAAACCATCGTCAGCCACTACTTATCATGTGCCCAGGTTTTCTCCGCAATTTTAACTCCATTACTTCGTGTCTTCTGATTCCAATGTACGCTAAGCTGGCTGGGGACGTCTCCTAATAATTCCTGTTTCGTATTAATGATTTACTGTTTGCCCTTCAGTTTAAAATAATTCAAGAACATTATTTACAATGTATAAATTTTAATAATAATCAAGCTGCTGTTGTGTTTTGTTTCTACTCTACAATAATTCCACTATTATGCTTCATACATTTCATAATTTTTTATTTAGTCAGCCTTTACTTTTCCTACCTACGGGATTCTGGCGTAGATTATATATTTGCGTTATGTTTTGTGATATCTTGTGAAAAAAATACATTTTGATTCAATTTATGTTTACTTCTCTGTGTTAAATAATTGTTTAACCTAAATCAATAAATGTGCTGTTTTTTACTGATTATTATAATCATTTCATGCTCTGTTTGAACGTATTGCAATGGTCGGCATGGATGTGCTCAAGCCTCGTTATAACTTCTGCTTTACCACATCTGATTCGTGTTTCTAATTTTGGTCAATCCATGCATTATAAAACTACTAGCCCCTAGAACTTGTTCTAGTGCCTTTGTATCATTTAGAAGAGAAAATTTTTCCGTGATTTTTGTTTGTTACCAAGGAAATTGATACCATTGAGTAAAACTGAGTGTTTAGTGTTAATAATTTTCACCCAGAATGTTCAGCGATTTCCAGCGCGGGAAATGTTCTCAATTTGCACAGACGAAATGGAGAATATTTGCAGAGTATCCATCTATCCTAAGTATTTCCGCTTTTTATATCTGTAAAAAATGTGTTTGTCGAGAATTTATAGCCATTTTTGCTGAACTAGTTATAGACTGTGCTTATTTGCATGCCAACAGTAAATCTATGCTTAACGTCCTACGATAACCTACCACTGGTATATAAAAACTTTTCTAATTGAATTATCGTTTTCTGTTCAAGTTGCTCTGAATTTAAAGTTTTGATATTTCCCTGTCTCCTCAAAGTTCAAGAGCACGATCAATAGTCTCAATTGTGTTCAAAATTTAAACAGTCTGCTCTGTTATGTAAATAATAAGCTGTCGTTTATCATTCGAGTACGTTACTTGTACAAGTACATTAGTGTACGTTTAAGTGTTGCAGATAAATATTCTGAGGCCCTGCATTAATGTTATACCAAGCCATGATTGCTACCATGATTGCTGCTATGATTGCTGCTATAAATTCTTACAAATGCGCTCAGGAAAAGCTTGATTTTACCTGATTTTAGGATAATTGCTTATGTTGTACGGGACATGTCACTTCAAAGGCTATGTTAGATGTTTTTATATTTGAAATAAATTTAGGAATATATAAATGAATGAAGTTGTTTATCACATGTACCACATTATTATGATTATAAACAGGATTGATTTAAACACGATTTAATGATAGTGCTTTTACATGCACTAATTAGTTTCAGAAGTTACCATTTGTCATCAATAGTCTAAATATCTATACACAATACCACATTTATGCATCATTAAAGCGATGAACTACATATGTGTTTGCTGCATCCTCCAGCCTGCCGAGCGTCAGAGTTCCAGTGCACCGACGGCGCTTGCGTCCCCGCCGACCGCGTGTGCGATCGCTACGACGACTGCCAGGACGGCTCCGATGAGGCAGCCTGCCGTGAGTACCTGCTTGTCCAGTGTAGTGTAATGCGCTGAAGAGAGGCAGCCTGCTTGTCCAGTGTAATGTAATGCGCTGAAGAGAGGCAGCCTGCTTGTCCAGTGTAATGTAATGCGCTGAAGAGAGGCAGCCTGCTTGTCCAGTGTAATGTATAATGCGCTGAAGAGAGGCAGCCTACCGTGGGTGCCTAAAAATTATTCACAATTGAAAGATTGTATCTCGGCGTGAAATAAATGGTCCTTCCACTTAAGATATTCGTTGTCGCCAAAGAGTTTGTCACTTGTTTTGAATATTTTTTTTAAATGTATGACTGAGTATGAGAATTTGTCGCGTATGATGTGATGAGCTACGAGTTTCAATGGAATAATCGTATACCCTCAGAAGATATTTCTGCATTTCATTGTCAAGTTTTGTTATAAATAGATTGAAAATTTCAATGATAAATTTAAGATCATGAATGGGGAACTGTTTTCATTCGATGGAATTTTATTGGTACATGCCAAAATAGCGTGAGAACTATTGCCCGAGTCGTGCGACTCCTTATAATCAAAACCGTCCAAGTTTCCCTTTGAAAGTATGCATTATTTGCAGCTCAGTGATAAGATCCGAAAAGGTTTCTTGAACCTGACAATGATTCAAATTAATGTAAATGATAATACTGATATTTTTAATAGTGAAATCTCTGGCACTCCAGCGTCATTTGTGTCCACTTCAGTCTGTGGATGATTGAACATATTTCAAGGGTATCTTCTGTCATTTGGAGTTTATTGTAAATGGACCAATTAATCTGCTTATTTTTTCAGCATCAGCGATATTTTTGAAGCATTTTGATTATTGGGCCACTTTGTGCGTGGGGATTTTTTTAATTGGTTTCTTAATTAAAATGTGTCGTGTGTTATTCTTCACATTGATTTATGTTTTTTATCTTATTTCATTGCAGATCTTCTAATACATGGGGTTACGTTAAAAAATTTTCTGATTTCAGTTTCAAGTTGTTCTTGAATAATTCAATATTACACAATGACATTTTTGGAGAGCGTTGAAACTGACGCTTCTGGAAGTTTTCAAGAAATGGTTTATTATCTTTTGATATGATATGTTTGTTGCGGAAAAATATTCACTTCTGAACGTCCATCGCAAAATAAGCATTGCTCATCAAAGCATCAACATTCGACCACAGACTGTCTGTTTTTGAATGTCGGTTGCTTTTTGGGCGTTTTGATGCAACTGAATGTGTGTTTCACCAATGCTGTGTGACTGCTTTGTGTTGTTGTCCAGCGCTGTGTGACTGCTTTGTGTTGTTGTCCAGCGCTGTGTGACTGCTTTGTGTTGTTGTCTTCGGTTGAACTGGTGTGCTTGGACTCGCGTTTTTCATGCACAATGTAAAATTTCTATTCCAGTGCCATGCTTCATTTGAAACACTGGTTTGAGCTATTCATTTTAAAATTAATTATGATTTAGAATTGTATGGCCATCTTATATTGCTTTGTCATTATTTTGTCTATTCATCGGAAAATCAATACACCAGACAATTAAAAAATTTGTGCTATGATAAAGTATTTTTAAATCTTGTATGATACTCCGTCATGGTTTACAGTCAATTCAATTAATCATGACATGTCAATTATTCACGTAAATTCTGGGATTTCTGTCAACGATCCACGCTTTCTCGAGCTGACGGGAAGAAAACAGTTTGTGTTTTTGTACAACACGATTGAAGGTTAAGAGGCCTACGTTGCCCCATGTACAATTTTTCATTTGGGTAAAGCGAAACTAATTTTATGGAAATTCCCTCCAAAAAATTTCCGACTTGAATTTCTTTTATGTGGACACCTGGCAAATGGATCCCTTTCAAAGGATTTTCTATGAAACAAATTCCAAATTTGTCGACTAGTCATTGTAAATTAATAAAAAATATAATTTTAGGGCTCAATCTTTGAATATAATGGATTTGGCAGTCAAAGTTTGGAGCAATCCGTTGCAGCAGAACCTCCATCCACGAAGAGGTTCTCGGATGAACAAATGAACGGTAAACGATTTCGTCGATCAATAACATGAATCAGCTCAAAGTTCAATGCGAAGTTCATGTCATGACGCCAAATTTTTCTATTATTTTAAATATTAAATAATACATTTTATTAAATAATTCTATTCAAATTATTTACAGCGCTCTGAGATGCCGTCGCGTTGAAAGCCACTTGCTTCTGTAGCATCAGTTGCCTTCGCTCAATTTAAACTAAATGGTTCATGATTGAATAAAGAATATCTATTCATGAGCTATCTACTCAATAAACATGTTTAACTTCCGATAATTTGACAATAAAATCAGAATTACGCTAAATATTGAAGGGTATTCAAGTGATAGGTGTCCACATAAAGAAAATTACAGTCGGATAACGAATTTCGAAAAAATTTGTTTATCACTCCATTCTAATGTATATTCCAGGATCGGTAAATTTTGATGGATAATAAATAATTCGCACAAATGGTATTCGTGTCTATTTGTGCATGCCTGGGATCAGTGCCTAGGAAGAGAACTTGGAACGTAACCATATATACTAATGCGGTATAATGCCAATACATAAAACCCTCGACCCTAAGGGTTTTTGTGGATAATCCCTTTTCTCCCGTGGACTAAAGTACTTGTTCCACTATGGGCGCAGGGCTTGACCCTTTGGGGCTTACATCCATCTACGTAACGGTTACAGAATCGGAGAATTTGTCACCCCTTAACTCCTAACAGTTACAGGCCCTAGCTCCACTGAAGGTTCAGTTACTCCGGAGTCAAGCACTGGGTGTAACCTAGGACAGTATTGTCACCCCTTAACTCCTAACAGTTACAGGCCCATGAAGGTTCAGTTACCCCGGAGTCAAGCACTGGGTGTAACCTAGGACGTACTGCGTGTAACCCAGGACAGTATTGTCACCCCTTAACTCCTAACAGTTACAGGCCCTAGCTCCACTGAAGGTTCGGTTACTCCGGATTCAAGTACTGCGTGTAACCCAGGACAGTTCACGTGCCTGAACTCTGAGTGTATTCGCTACGGTTTACTGTGTGATGGAGTCATCGACTGTGCTGATGCGTCCGACGAACTTAACTGCCGTAGGTTCATTTCCTCCATCACAGCTGTTTCTTCCCTAACAAAATTTAGAGTCGCCCCAGCTTCTGATTTGGTGTACTAGAAGCTGGGGCGACTCTAAATTTTGTTTAAGTTACACCCTATCGATGTGAGGCATCGTTGTCGTTGTCCTAGATTCATTGAGCCCCTGGTTATAGTGATAACTATTTAAATAATATTTTATGTCATAGTCCATTCAAATTATATTTTATATCTATCATTCTTAACACGCCACAAAATAGTGGATTTCTCAGTTGCTATTTATTGAATTAAAATTTTCGTCATTTCATGAATTAAGTTTACTTCTCATGGATTTTTCCTTTTGTTTTGTAGTTTATTACAACTTCAACGATGTCTCGAAAGCTTCGTAATCATAACCACCCTTTTCCTGCTCGTTTGTACTTGCACCGTAGTTATTGGTTCACTGTAATTCCTTTTTGATTAATAAGGTTAATTGAATTTTTCGATGCCTTGTCCATAATCCCAAGTACTGCTCGAGCAACGTGACGTGAACTTTGTCAGACGCATCTTGATTAATTATTGTGAATAGGCAATTCAAAAACTCGGACCTGCATTAACATATCTGAATGTGTTTTAATCACATTCAATCTTAATGCAAAAAGTTATATTTTGCCTTTAAGCATTTTTAATTCGTACATTAACCTCAGTCATCCTCTCCCTTCCTTTGCTGTTGCAATTGGTCTCTTTATTGAAGTAGTTATTTAGATTCACTTACTTCAGTTAAAATTTATTGAACCAACTCAGGTGAACAATGGTTCTCAACTTGGTTCATTTAAAATTTATCGCAATGCCGACACCCGAAATATAGTACTGGGTCCACCAATCAGATTGATGAATTGTTAGCTGCAGATGTTAACGTGTAGCTCAATGTGATATGGGCATGACTCTGCAATATTAGCAATTCATGTTTAATTATATCAAAACTGCATCCGTTGGTCGCATTTTGGTTGTAGTTGTTCTTGGAATCTGTTACGCTTGCTTAAATGTTTCATTAACTATGATATTTTTTAGGAGTACGGGCCTGGATAACTAACACGAGAATGAGATCCGTAATACACCTTTCAAGCATTTTCTACACTGTTAGAAAAATTCCCGTTAACGGTATTACCGGCGTTTCAGTGGCCGGTCGGCACGTGAAAAAAAAACACAGTGTCGCCGTTTTTATTTCTAATTTAACACTAGAAATGCGTAAAACATCTAATGAAAACGGCGAACCAGTTTATTTTCACGGGGCGACCGGCCACTAGAACGCCAGTGAGACCGTTTTTTCACCGTTTTTTCTTACAGTGTAGGTAACAAAAAAAGACGTGAAATGTTTCCACATTTTGTACTCCTGACATGCAGATCGTTTCATAAAACGCAGACCTTGCAATTTAATCTGAAGTCCAGATGATAAAAGTAGTTATAATATTCACTTCGTTCCAAATTATGACAAGCAGCAACTATGGAAAAAACACCGACTGAAACTCTATCGCTTCTGACTGATAGAATGTCTGATGTGAACATGAATGATGTCGACCATTTGACTTGCCTGATAGATTCTCATCAATGTCGTCTTCCTCAGTCGTCAACACTAAAACTTTGTCTTCAACCAATTTCAAACCTCGGCGTCATTCCTATCATCGAAATCATCTTCAGAGTGAATAAATTTTCTCCAAATGCATAAATAAAGCTCGGTCTACGACAGTCTTGAATTTCCTGCAATTCGGTATTGCATTTTCTTCCACTGTGCAGCCGAATCAAAATGTCCCGCGAATTCGTTTACTTGTAACAATGGGGATTGTGTGGACATATCGCAGCGCTGTGATCGACTGTCTCAGTGCTCTGACAACTCTGATGAAATCGGATGCCCTCAAGGTTAGAAAAGTCTGGCATTTTGCCTCCGGGGAATTTTTTGTATTTACTACTTTTTCGGAATTTTTTAATGAGTTTCAATAATGAAATAAAACAAAAATTCAAGTTTTTCTTTACTTAAAACTACTTATCCTCAAATTTTAGTTCGGTTCAAGTCTTCTAGAAATTTCGATCCATTGACAGCAGTCGAGATTTTCATTCAAGTTCAAAGGTTCATAATATTGAAAAATTTAAGGAAATAACAAAAAAAATTAGTATCACTTTTCCGCGTCACGAAATGAGTAGGACGGTTGTAAATTTTGAGGTTGTTTTTTGGCTCTAAATTGTATGGCTTTAACCTACTCATACGTGACCACAAAATAATAATAAATATAATCTTTCCATGAGGTTCACTAACATCGCATGTTTCACACCAGAATCTTGTTGATTATATAACATTGCATGGATAACAACCACTGTTGAAATAATTATTTAGATAACCTTAATTAAGCTTTTTATTAGTTTTTCAATCGGTTTCGCCAATTAATTTGAGCACGGCTAACTTTTTGAACGTTATGCCTACGATTCTGCGAAGAATTTTTTTCGACCTTCGCGTTGAAAATAATTCCTACTCTTAAGGAGTTTCAAATCTGAAATTTTGCCGGAGCCGGAGATATTTTTTCTAATTTTAAAATTGTCTTGCTTAGGACAAACTTATTCAATGTCCGATTACTACAAGAAAAAGTAATTTGAATATTTTCGCATATTTGTAATTTATTCCTATCGTAAAACTGCATTCAAATTGTTAATTGCAGTTAATTGAGAAACCGATCGAATTAATGGCCAGCTTTTCGGGTTTGAGCTCCGCTACGTGTTTAAGTTGTGCACATAAATTCAGGGGAGGAAGAGTTTATCTTGCACCCGCTCGCTTTATTATATTTTGTGGCTTGAAGCTTGAGTTGAATATTTATTTATAACTTTATTTGTTATCTGTACGTTTATGTTACGTTATTAAATAACGTTATGTACGTTATTAAATTTACTACATAATTTACTACTCAGATCTAGTGTTGATGGATTTTAAAAGACGATTTAAAATAAATTTTTCGTTCACTTGTGAATTAATGGAGTGGTTTATGGTGTTTAAGAATAGATTCTTTAGTCCTTCAAATCTCTTTTCCTGATATGGGTGTCGTTCTTCCTCATTTTCGTCACGTTTCTATTCTATTCGTAGATAACCCATTGATCGAGTATAGATTTGTTCTCTCGTGAGGGTTTCTATTTTTAAAAACATTTCTTTTGATCTGACAAATTTTCCAATATATATAAGTACATCTGAATGCCTCCTCGCTGAGGCTCACATTAGCCCATTCTATTCCTCTATTTATTCTTCTATATTTCATTCCTCTATTATGCTTAAACTTGCATAAAATTAATATATACGCACCTTTTCTACACTCCTTATTTACTCTGGTTGCTTACTGTCATCAGTTATAGGCCGAATCAAACCTCCTCTGCTTAAGTTACTTTTAATTACATTTCAAATTGAATGAAAATTCAGCATCTTAAAACATTCATCACATTCAGCGATCGAGCTGTTTTACTTCTCTCTTTCGTCTCATGGTTACTTTGCTATTGCTTTTGTGATACTTTCTAGCTATGAGCTGGTGCTCCCACTTTCATTCTCTTACTCTCAAAAGTGCTTGCAGTTTTCCTCCAAAAATGTTTTAAAATAGTCTCGATTTATTACGATGGTTTTGTCTTTAGATTTATAGTATGTACACTGTTTGAAAAATTACCGTTAACGGTATTACCGGCGTTTCAGTGGCCGGTCGGCACGTGAAAAGAAACACCGTGTCGCCGTTTTTATTCGAATATAACACTAGAAATCCGTAATACATCTGATAAAAACGGCGAAACAGTTTATTTTCACGGGGCAACCGGCCACTAGAACGCCAGTGGGACCGTTTTTTCGCCTTTTTTTCTAACAGTGTGCTTTTGTTATACTTTTTAACTCTGAGCTGGTGCTCCCAAATTCATTCTCTTGCTCTCAGAAGTTTTTGCGGGGTTTCCTCCAAAAATGTTCTAAAATTGTCTCTATTTATCACGATGGTTTTGTCTTTAGATTTATAGTATGTACACTGTCAGAAAATTACCGTTAACGGTATTACCGGCGTTTCAGTGGCCGATCGGCACGTGAATACGTGAATCGGCACGTGAATAGTAGATAGTGGATAGTAGATAGACTATACTATCTATACTTTAGATAGTATAGTCTTTAGATACAGTCTTTTTGTCTTTAGATTTATAGTATGTAGTATGTGTTTAATTTCACAGTGAATCGCAATTGTACTGCTGGTGAATTCCGTTGCGACGACGGGGAGTGCGTAGACCTGGCCTGGAAGTGTGACTCTGTCGACGACTGCTATGATGGCTCCGATGAAGCTTATTGTCGTATGTCATTCGCTGATACTGCATTTACTGTGCACCGTTTATTAACAAACACCATCTTTACTCGTAGAAATAATTGCATGACTGGACCCTTCGCCTACAGTTGCTGTTGTGAAATTCAATCTAAACTCCAGAATATATCGTAATCTTTTCGTCAAAAGTTTTTTTCTCTCTTCACTTTGAATGTTATGCTAATTTTAACTCAAAACCTGATGTTCATTAATTTTCATTTAACGTATCCATATTGTTCCTTCCTTCCATCTCCTAAGAGCCGGACTAACCATTTAACGCTGAATGCTCTTTTCGGCCTTCGCTTTAGTTAATGACCTTTAATCTCTCTTATGCACCATCTCTCGTTCTCTTTAATCTCTCTTACACACCATCTCTCGTTCTCTCTTTAATCTCTCTTATACACCATCTCCTGCTCTCTCTTTAATCTCTCTTATACACCATCTCTCGTTCTCTTTAATCTCTCTTATACACCATCTCTCGTTCTCTTTAATCTCTCTTATACACCATCTCTCGTTCTCTTTAATCTCTCCTACACACCATCTCTCGCCCTCTCTTTAATCTCTCTTATACACCATCTCTCGCTCTCTCTTTAATCTCTCCTACACACCATCTCTCGCTCTCTCTTTAATCTCTCATACACACCATCTCTCGCTCTCTCTTTAATCTCTCTTATACACCATCTCTCGTTCTCTTTAATCTCTCTTACACACCATCTCTCGTTCTCTTTAATCTCTCTTATACACCATCTCTCGTTCTCTCTTTAATCTCTCCTACACACCATCTCTCGCTCTCTCTTTAATCTCTCCTACACACCATCTCTCGTTCTCTCTTTAATCTCTCCTACACACCATCTCTCGCTCTATCGATGTTTAAAGCCCTCACCCAGCCTCCAAGTTGCACACTACTTTTTTGTGCAGAAGAACCTAATCTGTTTTTCTCTGGTCATGTTTTCTTGTTTCATCGGAAATGCAAAAAATTTGAAATACTCGCTGTATTTTTGACTCCATGAGCCTCTTTTATTTCTTCTTATAATCTTTATTAAAGATATAACTTTTGAGAAATAATTCAATTCTTAAGAAAATTGTTGCATCGTTGAATGTTTTCAAGTTAAATTGCTAAAATTTAGCAAATTTTGTGGTCTTATTTTTGTAGTTTCGAAAATGTAAAAGAGAACGAATTCCTGAATTCATTTTGTTCGATTCAAAACATTTTATTTCGTTTTCCTTTGCCTCTTGCATGCACATTTTGTGGGCTGAATTTTATGCTCATTCTGTGAATACTAATTTTCAGCATTGGCTTTATTTTCTGATTTTTTTCCGCTTGTTGCAGTGTGATTTGGAATTTAATTTGCATTTCAGTTTTTTTACTAGCCTAAAGGTTGAAGCTTCATTCCAGGTAATTTAATTTATATCGAGGTGTATCCGCAGTACGAGGGTACGATCATTTGGATATATTATGTTCTCGTTCCATGTGTATTTGTCATTTGTACATCAATAGTTTATTACCTAGTCACTTTTATTACACGTGTCTCTTTTTTCTCACATATACTCCTCCCATGAATGTTATTTTCGTTTAATTGTCAATTTTCAAATAATTTCCGTTTTCCTGTGTTGTTTTTCTTTTTTATGATTTACGTTTAATTGTATATTTTCAAATAATTTCCGTTTTCCTATTTTTTCCTATGTTTTTTTTTTCCTCAAATAAATTGGCGCTTTTTTTCTCCTTCTGTTATTCTCTAACCTACAAATCGATGCGCTTCATTTTCTCCCTATCCTGTTTTTCTATATACTACCGATCTACTTATATTAACGCTCTTCATTTGTTTATTCCTTACCCTCCGCTCGTACCTGTTCTGTAACCTACAGATCTACTTATATTAACAATCTTCTTTTGTTTATTCCTCACCCTCCGTTCGTTCCTCCGCATCCTGCGTGTATATTTCATACTTCACTGTACTGGCACATCCCATGGTTGAACTAGTATAAGGTTGACCCATGAGAAGCTCATTTTCGCGGATGTAGTTTGTTGTTCCGCCTGTGACGTCACTGATCTCAGTGACGTCACAGGCATTAACCAATCACCGAAATGCGATCAAACCAGTCAACCAATCCGTCATGGGAATGACGGGATTGTTTACGTTTCTCGATCTCAGTGACGTCACGGGCATTAACCAATCACCGAAATGCGATCAAACCAGTCAACCAATCCGTCATGGGAATGACGGACCCAGCTTCTGGTAATCCAAATCAGAAGCTGACGCGTCTGTAAATTTTCTCTGCGTGGCTCGCGCAGAGTGTCCGCCCGGCGAGTTTCAATGTACGGACCTGACTTGCGTGCCTGAATACCTGCGCTGCGACAGTCGCTTCGATTGCACTGATGGTGGAGACGAACAAGGATGCAGTGAGTACATCATTTCTCATTTAGAGAATCCTATGCTTAATGACTATTGTGAAAAAAAACTGATATTAACACAATTTACTAAAGTTTCTTAAGAACAAGAACACTACTGTCTAATTGTTATTTTAATATCCATGAAAAAGGATGCAGTGAGTACATCATTTCTCATTTAGAGAATCCTATAATAATGACTTTATTTATGGAAAAAACTGATATTAACACAACTCCAATTGAATAAATTTCCTTATGAACAAGAACACTTCTGTCTAATTGTCATTAGATTATCCATCAATAACACAATTGACTAAATTTCCTTATGAACAAGAACACTTTTGCTCAATTATTGTTATTAAAATATCTATGAAATTCCTTTGGGAATTACCTTAATTTCAGAAATAATGATCGAGTGCATTTTCAATACATTTTCTAACCTCGCTTTGATATGAATATTTGATGGTAATTCTAATTGATCGCAACGAGCCAAATGCCGCTGAATGAAATTGAAAAAAGCCTGCGTTGTATAACTTTCATGCAACCAATGCATGCCAATATTATTCAGCGTTCCTGTATAACTATGAAATTGAAATAATTTTCGTTATTTTATTAGAATTATTTCAGAGAGCATTATTTGAATTAATGTGAATGCCACTGTTTGAAATAATTGAGTAATTGTTTTTATGTTACAGAGAATGGAATTTAACTGATGTTTTGATGCATATTTTTGTAATTAATATAGTTCGCTAACTGCAGAACGGGCGCACGTTTTGCATTATTAGAATTTTGGTCTGAAAATCCCTCGGGTTTAGAACGTTTGTTTGCTTGCAATTTTTAGCACCCAAATAGTAAAGAGGTCTGAGAAGAAAGTTCCTAATATTTATAATGTAAACCACCAACCCACCATATTCAATAAATTTATGTGCATCGACATTCACTCATTTAATTAAAATGTTCCTGCTTTTTAAATTCAGATTCAACTTAGATTTAAAATAAAATAATTATCTATAACACGTGGATCCCAAAGCATCCTACAACTTGAACAGTTTTTTGTAGTTTAAAGTTAATGAAATGGAATCGGGAGAGTGAACTATATTGAATATAATACTTTCTTTGCAGACCTATTTTTCTAGTGCCAATTATTACTACCACGACGATTGGCGAAATTGTAGGGGCTTATGGCCGCCCTATTTAGCGCCTGTCTTGGCTTTTGTTGCGTTACTGACCAAGAAAAATAATCGAGCTGAAGGGGAATCGATGGTAGGAACTGATTAACCAGTTATTCGAATATGAACTCAGTTTTCTTCAAATCTTTTGTCAAAAATTCCTTATTTGTTCATTTAATTACCCGGTCCTACCTGTACGAGGGCGCTTCAAAAATTTCGTGAAAGATGGACATAACTGAAATTATATGAAAATGATATGATGCCAATGCACAAGAACTGTCCTGTATTAATGTTTTATAGGGTATTCTTGCATGAACACTTAAATTAAAGGGACAGACGCAGTAAGCTGTTCTAAAAGCAACAACCGATCATGCAACATGGCATCTGCCGAAATATAGACCAGGTCAAACATCACATTTACGGTGAAGCTTGGTTGGAAGATAAAGCATGCGGATGAAAATAAACCTTTTGACTTTGATCGTTTTTTCAAACTGCTGTTTTTCCACGAACTTTTTGAAGCCTCCTCGTACGCGAAACAGCAGCAGGGGCCGAGATGTTCATTTAGCCTTCCTTCTATTCCCTTAAGCTTGAACCTCTAAAACTCAAACGCGTCATTTCTTGAATATTAGATTGCCTGAAGTTTTTAGCGCATTTTTTTATTTATGGAAAAAATCCCCTATTGTGCTCGACATGTCCGCCCGTCCGTCTGTCTGTCCGCGACTTCACGTTTTCGTCAACGAGAAAATGCGCTCTCTGTCACTCACTGCAGTGAGTACTGAGTTATATTTTTTACGTTGATCCTGATGTTGTTTGATGTGGTAAGGGTCATGCCACGAAGATGATTTCTTCTGCTTGAACGGGGACTGCATATCAAGATCGCAGCGATGTAACGGCCTGCCGAATTGTATTGACGGTTCCGACGAAATAAATTGTGAGGTTGATTCAGGTAACACGAGTCGATGGTGTTTTCGATGTTGCCGATCGAGTTGTGACATGTCCTACAGCAGTTGTCGCACACGTTATGTCTTACACCTTTTTCATGCCAGAAAAAACATAAATGTGTCGATATTGTAGTAAACGTTTCATGTTTTAGTATTGCTTCGTAAATTAACGATTTAACCCTGACTTCTCGAGCCGTCAATATCGAAAGCATTCGACTAAGTTTTTTGGTATAATTAGAAGTTTTTTTGCACGCGTCACTGCACTATCACTGCACAGTGCACAGTCAGGTCCGTTGTGTCATTCCAGTCTTTCCACACGCACGCTATATAGCTCACTATGCACCACTTTCCCTTGCCACGTTCCTCAAGTCATTATCATCAATGGTGCAACATTTCCTATGAAAATCTATTTTGATTCCCTATGTAAATTTCCTAGGATTTTCTTGATACTTTGTGCTGCCGCAGGATTTTGTCCTTAGAATCAAACAGCAAAATTTCAATATTTGTACTGCAAAGTGCGGTATAGTCATAAATTGAAGAAAACTCTCTTAAAATGCATATTCTTTGCATTGAATATTCATCACCGCATTTTACTTACTGAACTTTCGATCTCATGCACGTATTGGCTCAGCATTGTGAATTCACCTCACCAGCAACAAATTTACGCATATACACAACTTTTCCTGGGGCCATACTTTCAAAACTCGCTAAGTGAACGTAAATACTTACGCTCTATTTTCTTGTCTATGATTGGTGGATTTTGCTTGAAAGGCCGTCAATGATTGGATGATGAACTTACGATCTCTTAACTTTTTTTGAAAGTATGGGCCCTGGTATATATTATTTCATTACGCACGGTTTTTTACAACGTATGTAGTCACCGTAACGATCCTTCCGCTTCCGGTGTTTCATGCACTCAGTTTGCTCATTTCGTTAGCCGCACTTATCTTAACTGCTGCGTTCCATCTTTGTTTTCGAAAATTTTGTTTTCGAAAATTTTTGTTTTGTCTTTGTTTTCGAAAATTTAGTTTTTGATGAAGACTGTACGTTGTTTGCTATCAAGGCCTTCCTCTGCCGCTACGCTGACTGTAATGCTAATGTTTTTCCTACATTCGAGAGGAAAAATTCATTACGCCGCTGCTGCAACTAATTCCGCGTGTGTTTGCAGCATGGAAAGTGTGTTTACAGCATCTATTTGTATTATCCCAGCTCTTCGTGTTTTTGCACACAGTAAGCAAGGTTATCGCTACTTGTGACCGTGTTTACAGCATATTATGATCGTGTTTACAGCACCTTGTGACCGTGTTTACAGCACCTCATGTCCGTGTTTACAGCACCTTGTGACCGTGTTTACAGCACCATGTGATCATGTTTACAGCACCTTATGACCGTGTTTACAGCACCTTATGACCGTGTGCACAGCACCTTGTGACCGTATTTACAGCACCCTGTGATCGTGTTTACAGCACCTTGTGACCGTGTTTACAGCGCATCGTGACCGTGTTTACAGCGCCTTGTGATCGTGTTTACAGCACCTTGTGATCGTGTTTACAGCACCTTGTGACCGTGTTTACAGCACCTTGTGACCGTGTTTACAGCACCTCATGTCCGTGTTTACAGCACCTTGTGACCGTGTTTACAGCACCTCATGTCCGTGTTTACAGCACCTTGTGACCGTGTTTACAGCACCTCATGTCCGTGTTTACAGCACCTTGTGACCGTGTTTACAGCACCTCATGTCCGTGTTTACAGCACCTTGTGACCGTGTTTACAGCACCTTGTGACCGTATTTACAGCACCCTGTGATCGTGTTTACAGCACCGCGTGATCGTGTTTACAGCACCTGGTGACCGTGTTTAAAGCACCTTGTGACCGTGTTTACAGCACCGCGTGATCGTGTTTACAGCACCTTGTGATCGTTATCGGTATTCTGTATGAATTCATACATCACCACGTAAACGTGCCTATACCAGGCCCAAGTGGCCGTATTTCCAACTTTTTCATCCGTGTTCGCCCAACCTCCGTGTTCGCCCAACGTATTCACTACAGCTCGTGTACAGAGTTCAAGCATTTCTGAACTCTGCTTGTCGAACCTCTCCAGTGTTGCATAGCCCTCCACGAAAGAAATGTTATTCAAGATTTTCAATAGACCTGCCTCATTTTTGACCGCTACTATCGTTTCTTACATCTATTTTATCCAGATACCAAAATGAAACTTTTTGTAACGGCTCATAATGGTGGCATTGATCGTCGTTTCTCAATTCGCTATTCACCGAAGCACCAAAAATATATATAATCCACTGTTCGTATGGAGTTTAAGTTGTAATTTTTTTCTTTTCATTTGGGATGAAAAGTTTGTATCGTTTGCATGAACCCTGATTTTTTTCTCCTCTATCTGAGCATTTTATACCTTTTACCTATGGCTTTTTGTGGTGCCCTCCCAATAACTGGAGTAGTCTTGAGATCTCCGGACATACTTATTAAGAAATATTTAGTCATTGCATTTTATCACTAGCTGCTGAGTTATATTGAAAAAATATGCTAAAGTATTATATCGGATTTTTAAATTTAAAAACACACAGTTTGGAACATATACGCCTCGGCCGAGAAACTTATAGTCAGGCTCAGTTCCGTCCTATATCAACTTTGAACAGTTTCGGCCAAAGTAACTACCATGAATTAAGTGAATTCATCAATTCTATTAATTCCATTCCTTTAATTCCATCAAACTATCATCAAGGGAATTAAGAAGCATTTAAAAGATTCGGCCATACTAACTACCATGAGATATCATCAAGGGAATTAAGAATTATTGGTTAAACTTAAAGATAATTTTCCAAAAAAGCCTTCAACTATCTCATCGTGTCACATTCAATTCCTTTAATAACATTCCCCTAATTCCATCAAACTACCATCAAGGGAATTAAGAAACATTTAAAAGTATTTTTGTCCATGCGAGCAGGCTGTATCAGCGGAGAGTTCACTTGCGACAACCAACAGTGCGTGCCGGAGAGCCACAAGTGCAACGGAGTGCGTGACTGCGAGGACGGATCTGACGAGAACAACTGCGGTAGGTGTCATGGCTGGGGTAGTGTTTTGTATTTTTATTTTTATTACTTGGACACATCCGTGGTGTTGAGTCTTTTACATGTCCATTATTTTTATTAATTTTAATGCATGTCGCTCGTTGTTACTGAACACGCATCATGCTCTTAGCTCAGTGTCTTAATAATTGAAGGAGGAATAATTTAAACCTGACACCAAAAATCGACTGGTCTATTTTTCTGTACCAGTATCAGTTCTAGTATCTTGTGCTGATTTCGTTAGTAATTAATTGTGAAGAATTTTTGGTGAACGCAGCATTCAGTTTTCCGCTGCCGCCTCCCAAATGGATTTTTATTTACCAGCAAATTTTTTGTAAAAATTTTGCATCTCTCGTTGAAGTCTTGTACATTCACTGATCACGCGTTATCTCTGCTTTCATTCTCGACGAAAATCTAGCAATCCGTCTAAAATAACAAAAAAAAATTCGAAAAAATCTTCATGCAGTATTTTGTCCTATCAGTTCTTGCACATCTGTTGGAACTTTATATTCTCCAACAAAAAAAAAATTCCATGCACGCAGAGGAATTCTAACTTGAATAGTAATTACTGCGAGTATATGGAATGATTTTGAATGCCCACTCTACACTGGTTTGGGATTCCATTTCTTTAATGCCTCTACAGAGATTCTATACACGAGCGTTTTTATCTCATTAACTATTTGTTTGCTTTAATCGTGACTTGCGTGACTTGATTTGGTCTGGTCGCTATTTGAATGTTCCTCTATACTACTCGATATTAAGGGATCCAGCTTCGAAGTGTATAGGATACCATATCAACGCTAATTGTATTTGTGAGCATGTCTTACATTTATTTCCTCCAGAAACTTAATATTTTTCCATTAGCTTGCCATCTTGTTCTTTAGAAGTAATCAGTGCCTCGTAAACCCTCTCTATTTTTTACAATCGTGTTGTTCATTTTTGTATATGGACGTTTACTCTTGAATTCATGTTGTTTGCATCATTTCCGAACCCTCACTGTTATGTTATGCAAATTCGTGTAATTCTCAGTTTATTCTCTATTTTTTCATGATATTTCCATGCTTGTTGTTTTATTGTCGTTATTGTTATTACTTATGATGTGTTATTTTGTCTTTTGAATAATGTCTTTAATGTTTTTTGTCTCTGTGGTCTTTATCCAACTTAAGAATGTGGTCACACACAGAAATCTTCATTTCTGTAGCGAATGTTACGTCTCTTACACATGTTTCTTCTGTGCTGCTGTGTAGCTGCCGTGAGCCAGTGCAACAGTGTAGAGTGGCAGTGCCAGACTGGAGAATGTGTCTACCTCACTCAGAGGTGCAATGGGTTCAATGATTGTCCAGACGGCTCCGATGAGATAGGATGTCCAGGTGTGTTATATATAACCAAGTCTTATAAACAATGTTATATAACCAAGTCTTATAACCAATGGTATATAACCAATGAGTCTTATTATAACCAATGCGTCTTTACTAGTCATATGATTCTTAGACGGGGTTGTACTTCAATTCTTAAATATCACAATTCATCCGTACTGAATTTCACGTTTTCCTCCGTCAAGTTATATGAAACGGGCATTATTGTACAAACATAGTATCGTTACTCTTTAAACATATAAAGGCACTTGTCAAAATCTCAGGTAATAACATTAAAATTATTTCAGACTGCTTTTACTCGCGTATATAATTTTTATTTTTACAGAGAAGTGTTTCGTAGCCTGACGTTCATGCTAATTATCTTCAACCTTAATTATTGTACAATGTTATGCATCTATACTATACTGCAATTTTAGACGCGGTGTTCTGTTTGATTTCTACATTTTATCCGCTGTATTATATTAAACTATTAATATTCGTGTTCATATTGAACTCGCGCATCTTGCATGAATTCTTCTGTATTAAAGTGAACTTTAGGCGATGGTTGAAATCTTGTTTATTTTTGGTTCCATTTCATAGATCAATCAGAGGTATAATTAACAAAAGCAAGTCAATTCAAAATGGTATTTAAGTTCCTCTTTAAAAAAACAAGTCAATTCAAAATGTTTTTATCTCTTAATGGAAAACTGAAATTTATTATTGATAAGGAAGCTCGTATGATTGCATGACGGCTGAAAATGTGTTGAACAAACTACATTATGCGGATGCAGAATGAAATTTATTGTTGATAAGGAACCTCGTATTATTGCATGACGGCTTAAAATATGTAAACAAATTACATTATGCGGATGCAGAATCATCTCAACCGTGTCCCGGAGGCTCAAGCGAATTCCGTTGTTTGGGCGGCGAGTGCATTCGGCGGACGGAGCTTTGTGATGGCTACGACGATTGCGATAACGGCGAAGACGAGGAATTTTGTGACACAATAAAGCCCGTCCAGCCTCCAGGTGCCGTTTACGTTTATTAATTATTACCGCTTGTGCACGAGTCTTTCTAGCGGTACAACGCGTCCACTGGGAACAATCGCTGCTAAATCTGCCTTATTAATCTCATCGTTTCAATAGAACTAATGACTTTTATTGCACTAACGCTGCGTGCGTAACGTTCATTGCACTAACGCTGCGTGCGTGACTTTTATTGCACTAACCCTGCGTGCGTGACTTTTATTGCACTAACCCTGCGTGCGTAACTTTTATTGCACTAACCCTGCGTGCGAGACTTTTATTGCACTAACGCTGTGTGCGTGATTTTTATTGCACTAACGCTGCGTGCGTGACTTTTATTGCACTAACGCTTCGTGTGGTATCTCTAGTCTACTCGCCGGTATCTCGAATCTACTTGAAATTCTTTCATTAATTTGCATAGCCTGCGTGTGTATAGAATCGTTTGTAATATCCTTGACGGTGTTTTCTTCTAATAACCTTCTGTAATATATATTATAACCTTTTGGAAGAATTGGAATTTCTCATTCTGTTAACTTTAATGCTTTGCCTCTCCAAAAACACGCGAATATAACCACGTCAATTACTAATTTTTTGACATAAACTCACTGTCATGCCACAATTTCCACTGTTTTGCCGCTGCCATACCACACATGCCACTGTCATGCCACACATGCCACTGTCATGCCACAGCCACACATGCCACTGTCATACCGCTGCCCTGCCACACATGCCACTGTCATGCTACACATGCCACTGTCATGCCACACATGCCACTGTCATGCCACACAAGCCACTGTCATGCCGCTGCCATGCCACACATGCCACTGTCATGCCGCAGCCATGCCGAAAGCACAGTGAATCATCTATCACTTTAGCGATCGTAATAATTTTGTCGACTATTTCCTTTTGTTTAATTCTTCAAATGAATAATTTCACTCCCGCTCAAATATCAATTTCTGATAACAACAGTTTGAGTATTTGACTTGATCGCTTGGCTTTTTTAGACTGATGTGGTTTTTGAACGATTGAAAGTAGAAGAGAAAAAGAGACGTTTTTGATTTGTGAAAATCTTGAAGATTATCAACGAAGCAATATTACGCGTGGACAGACATTTGTACGACGGTGGCAAGTGTCAGTGATTTCTGGCACTGAATTAATAATGTGAGTTTGAGTTTCACTTCCGTGAGGAACACACGAGACTTAGTTTCCCTGGCACATTGAACGATCAATTTTCTGATTTGTATTTATATATCCCTCGTCACTGCCTCGTTTCATCAACCGATTCAATACAATGTCGGCGGCCCTCTTTCTTGGCTCCCGAAATGAAAACGCTTGAATTTAAAAATGGCTTGGGCTCTGCTCTATAGCTCTTAATTAACTTATCTAATGTTATACATAATTCTATGGTTTACTAGAAATGACTACGTTTGATCTTCTCCGTTACTAGCACCCGCTTTCAATGTTCAGCATTAAAAGAGTTCACTATAAAGTTGACGTACTAATGACTAACCAAGCTTCAAGTTCTGGGTTTCTATCCAACATTTCCTTTAATATTCATCCCAACTAATCTTATTTTAATTATACCCTGAACATCAACGTTTTTCTTCTATTTAAGGCATCTCAAGTTACGATTTAATTCTGTTGTTCTTAACCTTCGTGAATATGTTCTTCGCCGCAACATTCATGCAAATAAATCATGTAATTTATTCCATTTTTCATCAGTCGAGTCTTCTAAATTAACTTGCATGCTATACGTTCAAATTAACGTGGGACAACACTGTCACTAAGTTAGAAGGGTCAGAGGGTGATAGTCAATATGCTGAATAAATTGCTTTGATAACTGAAATATTTCGAACAGAGACTTGAACGTACCAGAATGGTGATAGAAAGATATTTTTAGATTGCATTGTAGGAATGACAACGGTCAGATAACTGAAATAATTCGAACAGAGACTAGAGGGTACCAGAATGGTAATAGAAATATATTTTTATATTGCATTGTAGGAATGACAATGGTCTGATAACTGAAATAATTCGAACAGAGGCTTCAGGGTACAAGAATGGTAGAAGGAAGATGTTTTTTATATTACATTGTAGGAATGACAACGGTCTGATAACTGAAATAATTCGAACAGAGGCTTGAGGTTACCAGAATGGTAATAGGAAGATATTTTTATATTGCATCGTAGGAATGACAACGGTCTGCTAACTTAAATGATTCGAACAGAGGCTAGAGGGTACCAGAATGGTAGTAGAAAGATATTTTTTATATTTTTTTGTCATTGTAGGAATGACAACAGTCTGCTAACTGAAATAATTCGAACAAAGGCTTGAGGGTAGAAAAATGGCAATAGGAAGATGTTTTTTATATTGCATTGTAGGAATGACAACGGTCTGATAACAAACAATTCGAACAGAGGCTTGAGAGTAACAGAATGGTAATAGGAAGATGTCTTAATATTGCATTGTAGGAATGGCAATGGTTATCAAATTATTAAATCAATTGCATTATATGAATGACAACAGTTATCAAATTATTAAACATTGTAGGAATGACAACGGTCTGATAACTGAAATAATTAAAACAGAGGCTTGAGGGTACCAGAATGGTAATAGGAAGATGTTTTTTATATTGCATTGTAGGAATGACAATGGTTATCAAATTATCAAATCAATTCCAGTGTAGGAATAACAACAGTTATCAAATTACTAAATCACCCAGATGTGTGTGAGTGCACGTGTGTTAATTGCAGACGTTCCTTCTCGAGGTGGAGGAGAGACATCTTCCTCTACAGGGTTCTGCAGTCCTTCTGAATTTCATTGTGCAAATGGCGAATGCTTATCCGCTGTTGTGCGTTGCAACGGCTTTTTCGAATGCTTAGATGGAAGCGACGAGATCAACTGTCCTTTAGAAAATTGCACCTCTGACCAGTTTCGTTGTGATTCTGGAGAATGTCTTGCTAACGCCCTGCGCTGCGACGACTCATATGATTGCCTTGACGCCTCTGACGAACTTCTTTGTGGTTTGTAGCTGCATGCTTCCCTTTAACTGACCTATATAAAACTCATTAAGTCAAACGAGCACTTCTTGCGCATATCACTCAATTCTGACAAAATTCATTAGTTCTAAAATGAATTAAATTTCTGTTTGTTATCACAATCTTTAACTGCCTTATATAAAACTCATTAAGTCAAACGAGCACTTGTTGCGCATATCACTCAATTCTGACAAAATTCATTAGTTCTAAAATGAATTAAATTTCTGTTTGTTATCACAATCTTTAACTGCCCTATACCAAACTCGTTAAGTCAAACGAGCACTTATTGCGCATATCACTCAATTCCGACAAAATTCATTACTTCTTAAATGAATTAAATTTCTGTTTGTTATCACAATCTTTAACTGCCCTATACAAACTCTTCAAGTCAAACGAGAACTTCTTGCGCACATCACTCAATTCTGACAAAATTCATTACTTCTTCAATGAATTAAATTTCTGTTTGTTATCACAATCTTTAACTGCCCTATACAAAACTCATTAAATCAAACGAACACTTCTTGCGCATAAAACTCAATTCTGAGAAAATCATTACTTCAGAAATGAATTAAATTTCGTTTTTTTTTATCCCAAATACATTTAATTTGTCGCAAGATATTTGTCCTTCATTGAAATAATTTTTCAAGTTCAATTAATGGGCTCGATTTCAACTTCACCAGTTTATGGCCTCTAAAATAGAGTGCAGTGAAATATTATTTTCTCGAAATTCGATCTCTGACAAAACTTCTTATTTTTATACATTCCGAAATTAACTTCACTGAAAGATTTTTATAATTAATCAATTTAAAATTATTTTGTAAGAACACCAAGATTTAAAAATAGTGTTATTTTCAACTTAATATTAATTTTATCTTAATTTTCTCTTAATATTTGGTTGACCGAGTCTTAAAATTTCTCCAAATGAGGTCTGATGAAATTTTAATTAAATTTAGTTTGATTAAAAAGAGCGTCGTTTATGTTCAAATCTTAATTGGAGTTTAGTTCCTCCAGTTACCTAATAATTGGTACAATATTAGGATTACCGATCGAGTCTTGAAATTTTTCCAAATGAGGTCTGATAAAATCAGGCAACGCGTTTCCCGTATCATGCCTCGTCAAAATATTGAAATGAAGCAGCTGAATGGACGAGTAGTAGTATTACCTACACTAAAGTGTAGTGAGTAGGGAACAAGTAAAGGATCGTGAAGTTTCAAATTCCGTTGAGATAAAAGTTGATTAGTGATTTAATGAGCTGAATTCGAATTTCTTCCATTATTTGTCGACTACTGAAGTCGTGTTCGTGACGTAGAACTTCTGTATTCTGTATTAGTTCGTCTCGAGTTAACTTGGTATTGTAGCTATCCATTGTATGCGTTTTTGGTCCTGCAAAAGTGTATTGTAAGCCGTCTGGATATAGGCTTGTTATAGTCGTGCCGATGTACGAATGGTTGCGGGGCTTACACTTCCCGTAGTTGCACGTATATTTGCCTGATATTAGTTTGTTGCAGGGTTGACATTCTTGGAGCTGTTCTGTTCCTTGTGATGACGCTTGTTGCAGTAGTAAACTTGAAGTTGATGATGAATTGCAGTCTAAACGCGTTATATCAGCTTCTCATTCGGATGAATTTTAAGACTCGTTAACCATATATTGCCGACATATTTACTGCTGCGCAATACTATTGCTCAATATATTTACTATTGCACAATATATTAGACATCTGGGAAAAAAACTCAAAAAAGTTTTGAATAAAAAATATCATTTTTATAATCCACTTGGACACGTATTTGAAGACAAATTGGGAGTTTAAATTGAACATTTATTGTAAAATGAAGCAAGGGAGGCCTCTTCACACATTTCTCGCTAAACTTATGTTTTGAATGCATACTTGCGTGATACGAATACGAATTAAGTCACGCAGCTAATCATTCATTAAAGCTCAAAACATTTCCCTAAATACTGCCTGCTTCTTTTTGGTGTGTCTGCTTCTAAAGTTTTTCCGTAGTATATGCCTCAGTAAATTTGATGATAACACTAATCAACTTGTCTTCTAACTAGAGAACCTCAGACCATAATTATGGGTTTAACTTGAATAAACTTTTGTTCCAAAGTCATTATAGATTTGATTCTCAATTGTAACTCATATTCAATCGAAATTTCTGCATTTATTTCATGACCCCGTATATCTTGAAGTGGGTATATATTATCTATTAGGAATTAAAATTTATGATTATTTTTTACGGATTTGATATTGATTACTTTAAAGTCCCCATTTGATAACAGTATGTTTGTACTCGTGGCAAAGAAATCTTTCGCGATTATTACGATTCAAATGGCAACTTAATTATTACGATTCAAATGGTCCCTTAATAACTCTGCATCGAGTTCACCAAATTCCTGCATTGTCATTGTTGATGCTGCATATGTCCATTACTTCCTATTTAACTTCCTCGACTGCCTCACTTCATTCTCATTGTTTTAAAGAGGTTCACAGACTCTTAATGAGTGCTGAATGAAAAATCTATTAATTCATTTCGAGCAAATACCGAAATATGTGTCAGACATAAAGTATGGACAGACAGAGCAGCACCGTGATATTTTGTGTGTACCCTTAACATTGCCTTCTCTTCGGCGGTGTTCATGATGACATTGCTTAAGGGTACGCACACAGTGAAAGCAGGTTTGCCCGCGCGGGCAACCTGCTCCAACCTGCCACAAGAATGAACATAGGATAATAATGTAAGTGTTCACAGTGAAAACCTGTACGAATAGGCCAGCGCCAGGCCTGTTTATTTCAATTTCAGTCGCCAGCCTAAGCAGGTAACCAGCAACGCTGGCAACCTGCTTTCACTGTGTGCGTACCCTAAGTCTGCCTACACTGTTAGAAAAATTACCGTTAACGGTATTACCGGCGTTTCAGTGGCCGGTCGGCACGTGAAAAGAAACACTTTATCACCGTTTTTATTCTAATTTAACTCTAGAAATCCGTAAAACATCTGATAAAAACGACGAAACAGTTTATTTTCACGGGGCGACCGGCCACTAGAACGCCAGTGGACCGTTTTTCACCGTTTTTTCTAACAGTGTAGTCACTGACGCACGATATGCTCGCTCCAGGCGCTTCGTGCAATGAATACGAGTTTCAATGCAACAACGGCGAGTGCGTCTCACAGCGCGTCGTTTGCGACAGCCGGCCTGACTGTCTCGACCGTTCCGACGAAGCTTATTGTGGTACGTGGCAACCACTTGATTTACTTATTGTGTTACTTGCGACCACTTACTTTCCTTGCGACCACGAGCTATACTTCTTATTGTGGTACGTGCGACCACGAGCTATATTTCTTATTGTGGTACTTGCGACCACGAGCTATACTTCTTATTGTGGTACGTGCGACCACGAGCTATACTTCTTATTGTGGTACGTGCGACCACGAGCTATATTTCTTATTGTGGTACTTGCGACCACGAGCTATACTTCTTATTGTGGTACGTGCGACCACGAGCTATACTTCTTATTGTGGTACTTGCGACCACGAGCTATATTTCTTATTGTGGTACGTGCGAACACTTGCTCTTCTTATTGTGGTACGTGCGACCACGAGCTCTCCTTCTGAGTCGTTCTCAATCTCTTTTCTCGCAGCATCTCAATTTATAATATTTTACAAGGTGCTTATTTTTTATGAGTGTGCTAAACTAGCTATGTTACAGAACGAGTTTTATTATTCATTCGCTTCATGTAAATCAACTTGAAATGAAAGAGTGTAACGAATCTCGCTGACAGGAATAAATTATTTTATATGCTTGTATTAACGCCAACTATAATGGGAGCCATTGGGCATTTACTACGCTTATTTTCGTACCAGTTATCGGTAATATCAGCAGGTATATATTTCAGTAGCTCTGGTGAACCCCTAACTATATTAGTTCGGTAGCTATTTTTGGTGCTAGTTTGTAACGGTTAACTCACCTTTTAGGAGAGAACCGAAATAGGAAATACTACATTCATGGAAGAATAGATAATTTTTTTTCAAATGCTGTGCTGTAGATGGTACAGCGATTCTCTTTTGACAATTTTATTATTGTCGTACGGTGTTGTTGGTGGTGACTTACATGTAGCTTGCTGCACCAATGTTGTGGCATGACTGTTTACTGTGAACATGCATTTTCCGAAATTGTTGACATTTTACACCAACTTTAATACGTTATTTTTAGTATTCCTTCTTATTTTCTTTATAAATTTAAATATTTAGTGTCGCCTATGGATTGTAGCGTGCATATTTAATGAAATTTCATAATATTTTTGGCCACGCTCACCTTATTATTGAATTAAATCAGAATAGTTGAGCAGCTTTCCTTTCAAGGTACAAGTGATATTTAATGCATTTGAAAACCGGACTCTTCTTCACACCGAGTGGGCAGCTGAAAATTTCTCTGTCCGCAAAATATTTCTCCTATTCCCAGGATTTTGATTGAATTTAATTTGATTTTTGGTCCCTTTCCTTCATTAATTATTTATATATATATTTTTCCATTCAATCTATTCGAAAAAAGTGATATGCCAAATTTTGAAAACGTGACTAATTTACTTGCTTGAATAAATTACTGATTTTTAATTGCGCAGCCTACTCCGTAATCACCTATAAGTCACCTAATTATGTCATTATTGCTTTTGCACAATAATTTTGGTATAAAATTTCTCTTCTGTGCAGCTTTGTTTATCTGTATAATATTGATGTTTATAAGTCTACGTCTTTCTCGTGCAGTGAATCCTTGTCATGTTCTCTTTACTTTTCCCTTATAATTAATATAATGATTATAATTATGCAATTATATTAAGGGGATCGACCTGGCTAAAATCGATCAATTTTGGCTTTTCCAGTTTTTCTACTCATCTTAAAGCTGGAATTCTGTTCTTTCAAATGGTACCACTGCCATCTCTCTACGTGAATATTTACGTTCATGACGACTCTTTAAACGGAGGCGGGTGGGAGAGTTCTTTAAGAAATTAGATACAAAGTAAATAAATGCTGAAATCTTTGAATATAGTTTCTACCTGAGTTGTGCTGCAGTTACTTGCTTAGTTTCATCCTAAAGCTGACATTCTGAGCTTTAAAATGATACTACTGCGATGTATGTAGAGCAAAATGTTTTTATTTTCACATTTTACGTATGTATGTGAAGTTTCATGACAATCGGATAATAACTGTAGAAGTTTTCAAAATGCCAGGTCGATCTCCTTAACATATATGATGATTATAATTGTACCTGGGGATTATAATGATTATAATTGTAAAGATTATAATTAATTATATTTGTACCTGGGAATATAATGATTATAATTGTAATAATTATAATTAATATAATGATTATAATTGTATCTGGGGATTATAATGATTATAATTGTAATAATTATAATTAATATAATGATTATAATGATTATAATTGTACGTGTGACATATAGGGCCCATTGCTCCCCCCGGTCCATGTCAAGCGTCGGAGTTTCAATGCGTACGCGATGCCTCGTGTTATATTATTATATATGATGATTATACTTGTAATAATTATAATTAATATAATGATTATAATGATTATTATTGTACGTGTGACATGTAGGGCCCGTTGTTCCCCCCGGTCCATGTCAAGCGTCGGAGTTTCAATGTGTGCGCGATGCCTCGTGCATCCCTGCCGACCTGCGCTGCGACAGCCGTCCGGACTGTAGGGATAACTCTGACGAAATCGACTGCCCATGTTCGTATTGTGTTGCTTCTGATATTATTACTTAAGTTATTTTATTGTGCTACCTGTTGCTTGTGATATTATTACTTTAGTTATTTTATTGTGCTACCTGTTGCTTGTGATATTATTACTTTAGTTATTTTAGTTATTTTATTGTGCTACCTGTTCGTATTGTGTTGCTTCTGATATTATTACTTAAGTTATTTTCTCCTTTGGAAGGTCCTCAGAGAATTTTTTTATGTGCTTTTAAATTTATCTGGAGTTTAATTTGATTCATTATTTGGAATAATATACTTTTTATGTGCTTCCAAATTTATCTCGAGTTTAACTTGATTCATTATTTGGAATAATATATCTGTGGCTTTTTTTACTGTTATGATTTGTTACGCAAAAGCTTTTGATAAAGAAAATTTCGCTTTCTCGTATACGAATTCTGAGCGAATCGTATACTATGTTTGTTTATATTTTTTGAAAACGTTTTAACTTTTGATTTCAGCTTATATGAAATTTTCTCAACCTCTTCGCTTTCAGTTATATTCCGAAAGTTATTCGCTAAAAGTCCTACATTATATTGCGCCGATGTCACTCCATGTACATTTCATGAGTAACTTTTTCGGGAAATTCTTCATTTTTCTCTAAATATAAATAACTAATTGATCCGGACTTGTAATTATTGTTGTAAACTTCCAAACATACATGTTGCTAAGCTTCTTTTTAATTAAAATGTATTCTAATATTTACAGTTGATGCGGTATTACATAAAACATTTCCATTAATTATTGGTCAATGAGCCTAAGCAATATCCCGCTCAGGATTCACGCTCCTTTTGACTAGCTGGTCTGTGATAACGATCTCTCTTAATCACTTTTTATTCAAATGTTCACGTTTTTCTACGTCTTTCTCGTGAAGTGTAGCATTGCCAATGTTTCAATCAGACGGCTTTTCTGTGCTCAGACTTTTCAGACGCTTCTCGTTTAGTTCCGATATTACGTTTTTTTCAATTTTTCATGTCACAGCCTGCATCTTCATCTCTCTCACTCTGCTTCTTCACTCACGTATGAGTATGTGTAGGATATGAGAACATATCTGAGCAAAGTTATTAACCATATCCCAGTAATCAAACTCTGGGTAGTAAAGGCGTCCACTGATCTAGAGGTGTACCTCAATATTGCTCCAGCATAAATGATCCCAGTAATCAGACACTGGGTAGTAAAGGCGTTCAGTTAGAGATCACTCGCAAGTATTTTGTCAGGTGAACCTCAATATTGCTCCAGCATACAAGACAGCCAGTTGTATTTCCTATAATGGACTGCGCACACACTTTTAAACAGCCTACATGGAATGTTCTGCATCACAATTCCGCTGCGATGACGGACAATGCGTGTCTCGCTTCGTCCGGTGTGACGGACAGCCGGACTGCTTCGACAACTCCGATGAGCTGAACTGTGATGCAAGCTCCTCTACAGCCACCACCAGCGCCCCTCCTTCTCGCCCTCGTACGTCGCGATAAAAATCCATCTAAACCATGAGGCAGTCTTCAAATGAGACTCCTCAAGTTTAAATTCAATTATTTAAGTTCATTTCTTAGTGCCCATGAGGCAGTCTTCGAATGAAACTCCTCAAGTTTAAATTCCATTATTTAAAGTTCATTTCTTAGTGCCAATGAGGCTGTCATCAAAATATGCATTCTCAAGTTTAAGTTCCATTATTTAAAGTTTATTTCTTAGTGCCCATGAGGCAGTCTTCAAATGAGGCTCCTCAAGTTTAAATTCAATTATTTAAGTTCATTTCTTAGTGCCCATGAGGCAGTCTTCAAATGAGGCTCCTCAAGTTTAAATTCAATTATTTAAAGTTCATTTCTTAGTGCCCATGAGACAGTCGTCAAAATAAGCGTTCTCAAGTTAGAATTCTATTTAAAGTTCACTTCATAGAGCCTTCCCTATTGTATATTAAAAATTTTGTTACCATGTGCCTCAGCAAAAAAAAGGGTTTATGACATAGAAGGAATCAGGAAACAAAGAAGCGTCATGTACGGAGAATTATTGATTTCATTGCTCAAATTTTCATCAAGAAAAACGGGTGCTCGACGATTTTTTCTTCGCATTAAAGCTTGTGTTTACCCACAACTTCAGTCAAAATTAAACAAAAAAAAAATTCTGACACCGTAAAGTACAAATTTTCGCCTGTATCTCCAATTGGTTTCGCTATTTTTTTACTATTCGCCAGTACATAAGATTGCTAATGTCCGTCAAAGAATTCACATTTAACTATCTTGCTGTTAACAGCATGCGCCAGCAACTGGCGACTGAGTTCATTGAGTTCCTCCCCTAACAAAATTTAGAGTCGCCCCAGCTTCTGGTAATCCAAATCAGAAGCTGCCGCGACTGTAAATTTTCGCTGGGAAGAACTCCTACCCTAATAAAATTTAGAGTCGCCCCAGCTTCTGGTAATCCAAATCAGAAGCTGCCGCGTCTGTAAATTTTCACTGGGAAGAACTCCTACCCTAATAAATTTTAGAGTCGCCCCCAGCTTCTGGTAATCAAAATCAGAAGCTGCCCCAACTGTAAATTTTCACTGGGAAGAACTCCTACCCTAACAAAATATAGAGTCGCCCCAGCTTCTGGTAATCCAAATCAGAAGCTGCCGCGACTGTAAATTTTCACTGGGTCTTGGGAACGAAGAGACTGCGTTGATCTCTGTGCGCGCATGTCGGCTTAGAGTAAACAGTCAATAATGTTGTTATATGTTAAAAACTGCGGAAACATTTTTTGTCTCTACGTAATTTTCAAAGATTAAAGAGAAAGACTAAAAATTTAGGAACAGGTCGCCATAGGTGATCAAATTGAATTATTCATACACGGGTTTGAACGATTGAACGAATCCCAATTTTTGCAATTATGAATCAGCTTCAACCCCATAATTGCTTCGCTCTCATGTATCCAAATGACTTAACACGGCCAATAAATCTGTTCAATCATTTTCCGATGTAAGATGTTCTGAATGTTCTCTTTGTTCACATTTGTGACGATTCATTTCTGTTTGTCTGATGTTTTCTCTGTTTATAATTGACGAATATGTTTAACCGCTATTATTAAGCCTATCACTTTCTGTGATTATTGACGATTAACAAAATATTTTACTGTGCTTTTCTCGTCACGCTGATTCTTATTTTTGTTTCCATGTCGCTTCTTGTTGCTGGATGTCATCAGTGTCGTCATGCACGCCGTTCTATCAGTTCACGTGTCGCAGCGGACAGTGCATTAGCAGCAGCTCTGTGTGCGACCAACGTAACGACTGTCCAGATGCTTCAGACGAAGAAAATTGTCTAGCTGATCCATTCCCTCCTTTTCCTTCTCCTCCCACCACCACTTCCAGACCATATCCACCCTTTCCCACAGCTCCTGTTGTTTCCACACCTCGCCCTTATCCACTCTCTCCTACACCTCCTGTTGCAACAACTCCACGTCCTTATCCATCGTATCCTACTCCACCAACTGCTACCACACCTCGTCCGTTTACTCGTGATCCAATATTTACATACCCCTATACCACTCCCAGCCCCGTACCTCCTTACCCACTACCTCCCTCATCAACCACTACCGAAGTGGGACCATATTATCCCCCTCCTGTCAACGGTACTGGAATTGGTGGACGTCCTACAGGGGGTTCGTGCTGTCCAGAGTGGACTTTACGTGCAATTTATTCCCTAACCTGTTCCTCTAATCCGTAACCTTCCATCATTTTCAGAAATATTAACCTTTTACAGTTTGTGATTGCCTACAGCTAGTTTTCAACGCCATTTAAAGACTAATAGTAATATGATTTTATTGGTGTGGGAATCCCTAATCCTCTACCCTCTTCAGAAACATTAACCTTTTACAGTTTGTGATTGCCTACAGCTAGTTTTCAACACCATTTTTAGACTAATCGTAATAACACTTTAGTGATGTGGGAATGTGGGATTCACTAATGGTATGTTCTTCTCTCCTGTTTATTTCACTGCATGGATCGACGGTTTACTGAGAAGCTAAAATTCTTTTGCATTAAATCTTACGAGTTTTCCAGGTCTCTATGATTGTTTTAGATTAAGTGCCTGTGATTGTTTTATCCTATAATTCTGGTTTGAACATTAAAATTATTTTCCAGCACAGTTTGAGTCGTTCTTAACTTTAGATGCACCTCTTTAACCCTATCATGATTTTAATTATGACCTAATGGTAACATTGTTCAAACATTTTAACATATTTTATCATCCCATTTTTAGCACAGCGTCTTCAGCATTAATGTACGAACTTCAATTTTTATTGGACAAAGATGTTCTTCAATTAATGTATAGCACGGATTGCAGAGTTACTAATTTCTTTATTGCAGCACCTACTGAGCGGAGCTCTTGTACTGCCGCAGACTGTGTCGTGAATGCCTTACTAATTAATGCTCACAAATTCTGCTATTTAACCACGAAGGCTGTTAGAATACAATTAATTTGTTCTTTCTCCTGTGCGATTATTTCCTTTGACATTCCTAACGATAACTTCTTCGAATTTGTTCAACATGTTGGTACACACTTTGCTTGCCCACTAGACCCTTTCCACCCATTGAAGTGGGTAGTGATGCTCGTAGCTGTACCTTTTATTAGTGTCGTTAGAATTATTTCGTTAACACCTCAGTCAGATGATCAGATCTCAACTGAAGTAGTTTGAATTACTCTTCCAATCATGTCAGAGTTCTGTTTGAACGCAAGGTTATCTCTCCCCTTGAGAAAACTCAGACTTAGACCCTCTAGATTGACAATACAAGCCTTTCCTTCAAGCATCTTGGTTTGCGCTGTTGCCAAAATCAATATAACATTTATACCTGATACGTTGCCTGTCCGCATTAGATCCTGGCTGTTCACCGACTGATATTCTATGTCCTGTTTGAACTCCATTTTAAAAACTGTGTCAAAATCCATCAAGCAGCCGGATTTTTTACTGACCGCTTGTCTAAAAGCCGTCAGTGGCTTTTCCTCTAAGCCCACGCTGGTTTACTCTCCAAACATGAGTATGTCTAAGATTCACTAAACCTCTAACACATAAATGCATGCATTTGTTAACTACTTCAAACATTTACCCTTCAGAACTGGAAGTTATTCGTCTCTTTAGCAAAGGCACACGGTTCTGTCCACAGACAGTAGTCCTAACTCATTACTGCTCGTGTCTAAGAAATCGCTCCACGGTCTCTCCTCTTAGGTCTGTTGCTAGACTGTAGTTCTAACTCAATACCGCTCGTGTCTAAGATCTGCTCCACGTTCTCTCCTCTTAGGTCTGTTGGCAGACTGTAGTTCCAACTCAGACAGTAGTTGGAATACTCAATACTAACTCAATACCGCTCGTGTCTGAGGTATCGCTCCACCGTCTTTCCTCTTAGGTCTGTTGTCAGACTGTAGTTCTAACTCAATACCGGTCGTGTCTAAGGTCTGCTCCACGGTCTCTCCTCTTAGGTCTGTTGCCAGACTGTAAGCACGAAGGTTACTTTATGTGTGGCTCAGGCGACTGCGTGCATCGGTCGCTTCGATGCAACCGCGTGCCTGAGTGCTTAGACACGTCCGATGAGTGGGGCTGCCTTATGGACCGTACGCCCTGCATATTATAAAAAATTTTCTCAATCGTTCTGCATGTTCTCTCGGGAAATTCAGTTTCACATTCCTGCATAATTCTGAGTTTGCGACATCTCGCTATTTGTATTGATGTTATATTGATCGTTCTGCATGTTCTCTCGGGACTCGTAAAATTTAGTTTCACTTTCCTGCATAATTCTGAGTTTGCGACATCACGCTACTTGTATTGATGTTATATTGATCGTTCTGCATGTTCCATCGGGACTCTTAAAATTCAGTTTCACTTTCCTGCTCAATTCTGAGTTTGCGACATCACGCTATTTGCTCCTCGCAAAATTCAATTATGTTTGTTTAGTCCATTATTCGGTTATTCCCCTGCTATGAATGTGTTTAGTATTTTTATTATTGAGTTAGGCGTGAGAAAATTTAGCTTGAATTTTTCGAATTTTTCGTGTTTGGCTAAATTTTTCCACCAATAGTCTCCTGATTATTTTGGTCTGCGCTGCTGTTCAGGGTCTGATTATTTCAGGGTCTGTTCCTTGACACACCAATGATGTCTATAATACGACCTAGCAAGCCTCTAGTTATTCAAATTTAGTTCTTTATTCCTTTGCTTTCGCGGAATGTCTTCAGTTCTAGTTCATTTTATCATGCAAAAGAATTGTTCCTGCGTTCATGAATTCAGCAATTGAATCTCTTTTCGTGAGCTACGTGAAGCTCGCATCTCTCCTTAGTTGTCAAAAATGCACTCGATCAATAACCCTGGTGTGAATTTTTCCATCCGCATCTGCACATTTATCTCCAGAATTTATCGATGACAATTGAATCCACTGGAGCCATTGTTATGACTCATTCGTCCCCGAAATAAATTTCTCTCATATTTCATTTAGACTTTTGTTGCGTTTCACACGCCCTCTATCGCGGTATGGTAGTGCATTTTGTAATTTTGTAGATGAGAGTATTTCTCATAATCTATGATTCCCCCTCATAGCATGCAGCTTAAAATTCTTTTCCATCTTATTTTAAATTTGTGGTGCATGAATTTTTAAATGTAAGTAATTGTCATACTGATAGGCATTCATAGCCGTAAACTATGCTATGGTGCCCCGTATATACAATAGCCCCTAGGAAATGCAAAGTCTGTACTTATAATTTTAAACAAGGCCTCTTAGAAGAAATCACGAGCTTCTTGCTCATATTTTCTAGTTGTTCCTTCCTTCTGCTGAAAGTAATTTCTTCCTCATGAGCTGTTCATTACTTGGTTAAAAAAAATCTCGGAAATTTCTATACTAATATTTCGAGTTACTGTTTCACTCCCTCCTTAATTTATCACTAATGCTTGTTACCACTCTTGTCTTATTTATTTTATGGTATGTTGGTGTAATTATTCCCAGCATCACTATGATATTAAAACCTACATATATTATTAGTCTGCTTATATCGCAAGTTCACAAGGAATTTAAAAGCAAAGAAAACGCCAAGAGAATTCATCATATCGATATTGAAAACGTTTCGGAGTCCAGCTCCATCATCAGTTCGACTAATAATATTAATTAATAATATTAAGTAATTATACTAATTAATATTAAGTAATTGTGTCACTTCAGATCGCTATTACTGCTCCAGCGGGCAATCCATCCCTGGCGACCAGCGCTGCGATGGCGTGGTTGACTGTCTCGACGGTACTGACGAGGCCGGATGCGGTGAGTCAAATATAGGAAAATTTCTCTCAACAATGACGATATATTCACACAAATAGTCATCAATCGATGATAGGTTAGTTATTCTATGGATGACATCAATCAGAATATTAGCATAATAATGGAGAGAGAAATGTATGACATTTGACTGCGTGCCACTAGAGGGTTGAATCTCGGTTGATCTTATAACGTAATGCATATTTGGTTGACTATTTATTTACAGAACAGGCATCGACTCAAATTGTCCGGTAAATTTCCCTGTCCGCTTCTGAGTCGATCAGTTCTCAGTAGATTAGATCGGCAAATTTTATACGGTCGTTTTAACTTCACCAATCGCGAAGGTTCAAATGATGCACACTGACAGCATACATGCATTGATTATCGAATATCCCATTCAGCTGTGCTTTCATTAAGTCCTTCATTAAATCAACAAGGAGGCCTGATCATACGAGACAGTTTGCGACGAACCTCATAGAATGAACCGAAACAACGTTGCCTTACTTCGCACTCGCGCATTGCGTTCTAAGGGAAGTTAATCCTAATCGTCTCGGGCAACACGCCATGTTCACGGCTGTCAAACATTATACAAAATTTTGTACATTGTAACAAAATTGTACACGGCTGTACAAAATTTTGTCGTTCTCTATTTCCAATATTTTTCTGGGAAATGGTACAGTTAGCTCACTATAAAAAATGGTCGCATATCGTACATTGATGACCTAGAAACATTCAACACCACTTTCCAAATAAAACGAGTTTATTTCTTTGCTCAAGCACCGAGATATCAAGGGTACTACATCATCTACCCTGTATTTTGGTGGTGCTTCTGAGAAGACTAGACGACTCGACTCCGCGCCGGCGACTGGCGAGAGCACACAATCTACATTGCTCCACGGAAGCTAGCGATACGCTGATTCCATTTGCATGGCATTCGTTTTCTTTGTTATCTTTGCAATTGCTTTATCTGTGCGGAAAATTTTATAGTATAGTGCGTTCATGGAAATAATGAAACTCATTACCGCGTCATAATTATTATGAATCAGCAAATTGGAAAATAGTTTTGATTCGCAAACATGGATAGTTTTTCACTCGCTAACTTTTTATTGAAGGGTTTCTTGTATAGGACATTTACCGAGACGATTAGAATAACGTACCTGAGCACAATATAAAATTTTAAACTGTTGGGTACATGGTGATGTTCAGGTATATGCTTGGTATATTACCGTTTGGTATATACATATGATGGTATAAGTTTGGGTGCAACGGTTTTTAAAAATATCATCTCTTATTCGAACCCAGGGACAAATTCATGGGCCTTTTTGAAGCTAATTACCACAGATATAAATAATTTTGGGTCAAATTCATCAAAAACGATGGTTTCTGCCAAATTCATCATTCATTTGGCATGTTTTCGGTTTCAAATTCGCTACACATAAACTTGGGTGAAGGTACCCGTGGATCATTTTTTTTAACGAGAAAATAACTACATTACTTCATCTTAATTGAAGTGACTGCAAGGTAGCTACTAGCGTTCTACTCTGAGCGCTATTTATCAATTTATCAGACGTACAGTGATAAATTCTACAGATACATGGCTGGGTCTTTCATCTATGAGGATTTATGTGCGTCTCGAGCTTCGAACATTGCGTAGCTTAACCAGTGATTATATACCTGATTCACTCTAATTATACTTAAGATGTAGATGTGGTGCATTCCATTTGATGTTAAATCTAGTATGATATTGAAAACAAACTTGCCATAAAATTTGCCTAAATTTTTTAACGTCCATCAGTATCACAAAACTAGAATCAATTCTTTCTCACTGATGAGTATTTTTAGTATTTTCTTCACATTTTTTAGGTTTCAAATACAAAGCCAACTCCTTTAATTTGTTTCATTATTTTCAACTGAAAACCAATTTTCTCAAAGCAATAAATTACGTTAGTTGACTTTAGAGTTGTTTGTTCTTACTGCAGGTTTCTTACTGCAGAAAAAACCTAAAACAACTATTTTTCTCGACGGTCTCAAACGTTATTCTAGTTAAGAAATTTTAAAGTTGGTTAGTTTCAGCGAATGTCTCTGGGACACCTGAAGAATACTGCGTTCGATGTTTCAATGTATGACCAGCTGTTGTTTAATGTTAACCAGCTGTTGCGTGGCGTAATAAGCTAATGTGTTACGCGAGTGTTAACGACATGGTGCGTAACATGTGATACGCAGGCGTGTCACGCTGTCGCCCGGAAGAGTTCACGTGCGAGAACAGAGCACAATGCATACCAGGCTCGGCCGTATGCAACGGCCGCTTCGACTGTACCGACTACTCCGATGAAGGGCCTTTACTTTGCAGCGGTGAGACGCGAGGCACATATACCCTAACAAAATTTAAAGTCGCCCCAGCTTCTGGTAATCCAAATCAGAAGCTGCCGCGTCTGTAAATTTTCACTGGGTAACGAGCCTACGTTGTGTCCATTAATAACCAATGATCTCATATAACTGATCCGTAAACAAGCAATCTAATTTTTCTCTTTTTAATTTTCTATTTTCTTTTTTAATTTTCTATTTTCTCCTCTATTTCTAGCCCAATCATTTTCCTGTTCTTTTAAATACTGTTTTCTTGACTCTCTTGCAAGTGAAATTCTTGAACGTTGACTAAGATCTTGTGTTATTATTAATGATTAATTAATATTAATTTTCAATGAGATCGATCGCATCCAATTATTGACATTTTTTAATCAATAATTTACCAAATAATTAGAATTGCTCGAATAATTTGCATATCTTTGTGATCATAACTTTGAATAATAAAATTTTTCGCGTTAAATATAAATTAAAATTCTTTCAATCTCGGTTTTTGTTTTCATGTTTATGTTCCGCTTCTATTATTCCATGATCCTTCAACTCTACTAAAATTTCGCTTGACTTTTTCATAAAAGTTTTTGAACCACCGCAACAATATTCATCACATACTCCTTACTTTTTGAAAATTTATCAACCATTTTGATTGACTAGAAATACGAATATTTAATTTCTCAGGTTTGCCGTTTATTCAAAGCCTCCAATGAACTCAAGGCTCCTGCTAACATTAGTGATAACAATAATCTAATGCGTATTATCTACTTATCAACTTGTTAACTAGTGATAACAATAATGTAATGCGTAATAATTACTTATCAACTTGTTGATGCTAATTTTTGTGCTAATCAACACCAGTAAGTCTAACTTTATGGCAGAGCGTCAAGTATAGCCAAGCACAACATTTTGGTCCGCTGTCCAAACTCTTGTAAACCTTAAACTCTTGTACACATGTAAAGCTTTTCGTATTCCAACTTTAAATAAATATTTCGTTTCCTCGCCTTAAATAGTCTCCGTTTTACTCAAATTATGTTCGTCCCGCTTCGTGTTTGTTGTGTAGAGTTTGCCATATCAATGTTACTCGATAATAAAGGCTTATTTGTTAGAAAAAACGGTGAAAAAACGGTCCCACCGGCATCCTAGTGGCCGGTCGCCCCGTGAAAATAAACTGTTTCAACGCTTTTATCAGATGTTTTACGGATTTCTGGTGTTAAATTGGAATAAAAACGGTGAAACGGTGTTTCTTTTCACGTGCCGACCAGCCACTGAAACGCCGGTAATACCGTTAACGGTCATTTTTCTAACAGTGTTATTCGTTATTTTTTTTTTTTTCAATCCAAACAAAGCTATAAGCGCGACTGCTTTTAAATAAAAGAACAAAAAATATTCAATTTTGGCGCAAGATCTAACCTGCAAATAAAGCTATTGTCCCTCGTAGCTATCGTCCCGATAGCAATCTTGAGATATCGTATCTCGTTAAAAATATACACTTTTTTTCTTCGTAATTCAGTATGAACTTTTTTTATAAATTCATTAGCATTTTAGGTATATTCACTTGGCCTCATTTCAATCTCACGTCGCTCGGATCTGATTATTATCTTGTATATTTTTGTCAGATATCTAAAAAAAAAGTAGAAAAATTAGTCTTTCGCTACATCTATCCATTGCGTCTTTCTTTCGCTACATCTATCTTTTTAGCGCATTTTCTCATTTATGGAAAAAATGCCCTATTGTGCTCGCCATGTCCGTCTGTCTGTCTGTCTGTCTGTCTGCCTGTCCGTCCGTCTGTCCGTCCGTCCGTTACCTCAAGTTTTCGTCGACGAGAAAATGGGCTCTCTGTCACTCACTGCAGTGAGTACTGAGTTATATTTTTTCTAAGTTCCATGCTGAGTGCAGATCGTTCGTTAGATTGCGTTCATTATTGCTGCGCAAGTTATGCGTCTACTGAAATCACGAAAATATCTTCATGAGCGAAAATTTTTTAACTCTGCACTTTCATTTTTCTCGTATAAGAAACACCGCTCTTTCGAATCCAAAATAACCCATCAGATGAATTGGCCTTCAATGCAAATAAATTTCCTACCTTAATATATAAATTGAATGTGCAGTTAAGGATTGAAGGAAAATTGTGTATATACTATGTTCATTCATTCAAAATCACGTTTTCTTTTATTATTTGCGCAGTAGTCGTATTTTGTCGTTGTTTTTCGACGGGTTATCACAATTTACTTGTAACCAAATATGTTGAAAAGAAATTCCTCGAAACTACCCCACGTCTTTTCTGAAATGAGGCCGACGGAAGAAACTTCTCGTTGCTCTGAAAAGTGAATATATTTGTGTTCCCCGAATCACTTGGCGTGGAAGATGGCTAGAATGTTGTTCACTCGAATTTTCTTCTACTTGTTTTAAAGTTTGTAGTGACTTCTTTTGTAAACAATTCTCCTAATCCAAATTAATTAATTAATTAGCTATGGAGTGTACGAAAAGCTAATACGATGTAAACAAGCATGCACGAGTAATAATTATTCTCAGTTTTGTTTGAAGTTTAAACATCTTCAACCTGATTTTAAAGTAGATTGATTTGGTTTTTTTCGTGGTGATTTCTACCCCTAATTTATTTTCTGTTTGCTTTGTTATTGCAAACCTTTCGGTAAATTGAGAACTCGTCTTCGACTTAACCCTCTACCGCCTGACACGAGTAACCGGAGCAATATTGTCACAAGTCTACTTCCCAAAAAGAATACGTTCTAGTGAGCGCAAAATGACTTGCACTGATGGTTGCCACCACGTACGACAACTTTAAAATGTTCTCTGTTGCGTACAAACGTCCTCAGGTTGCTACACTCAATAGTTTACGTACAATTTGCCGCCACGTACGACAACTTTAAAATGTTCTCTGTTGCGTACAAACGTCCTCAAGTTGCTACACTCAATAGTTTACGTACAATTTAAGCTGAAAGTTATCTTCCCGGAGAGTGACATACGGCGGTAGAGGGTTAAGAATGGGAGTGGCTACGGTGTTCCACTCATGATGCTCCTCTGCTGCATTTTCCGTTGACGAATTCATTTCGTTTGCAGTATTTGTATCAATTCAGAAGACGAGTTTCAAATTTTAAATACTGAAGATTATTTGTAAGTAACAAAGTGAGTATTGTTCGTGGGCGCCATAACAGCCTCTTGTGGTACCGTCTTAATTTGTTCTAAAAAATTGATGGCTGCAATGCACTATAATTTTCATAATTAATTAAACTCGATTAAATACAACCATTTTATGTGATTTTACATTATTTTTAACCATTGTAATATAATATGTATGAAAATGATCCCTATAGCTTTACATAATAATATAATAGTTTCAATATACTTTTTAGCAGGCAATAATAAAAAATGATAAATTTTTAAATTTGGTTAACCAAGCAGTGAATAGAATATATGAGAATCCTCGATTCTTCCGACAAAATTGCTACATTAATCATCGGGGGAAACTCTGATAGCTTAATTAAAAGCTTAACGTCATTCATTTATTATTATTATATCATGACATGATTTAAATATTGGTACATGCAAACTACAAGCTAAGAAAAATACAAACAGTTTGTTCTTGAACTGTGATAATTTGTGAAAATGAAAATTTATTTATCCAATAAGCCGTTGATGTGAAAAGTCAGCTGGAAATTTGTTCACTATATACAAAAATTTCACATGTAATCCTAAAGAAAACCTTAAAAATTTGAATCGTTAAGAAAATTTCATTCGACGTAAGTCTTCTAGTGAAGGGGAGAGTTCAGATTAAGCGTGCTCATATCGCGTATATATACTTGAACTACTAAGTATTATCAATGTACTAGCGACATTAGAAAATAATAGTATCCAGATTACTCGGCATTCCTTAACGTATTTACTTAGCTAAGCTGTAGAGAAAGTAACGTAAACTTCGCCGGGTTGACCGGCGGCTCCATTTCCGTGTCTCACGTTTTTCGTGCTGTTCTCCTGTACAGATTCTTCTGGAGGCGGTATCGACGGTCAAGAGTCCATTCTTCTCAAGACTTACCCTGACCAACAGACCATCAAGCAGAGTAAGTTACCCTATATCTTTCCATTCTTCTCAAGACCTGTCTCTTATACACATCTAGATGTGTATAAGAGACAGGGTCTGCTCCACGGTCTCTCCTCTTAGGTCTGTTGCCAGACTGAAGNGTGAAAATTTACAGACGCGGCAGCTTCTGATTTGGATTACCAGAAGCTGGGGCGACTCTAAATTTTGTAAGGGCTTCACCATCTCCACAGCAACCCTTTCTGCCTATCTCTTCATCCAAGAACCAACTACGACAGTGCCTCCTAATCCTTCACTTCGTCTGCCTTGTTGTGCCTCTTCAGCTTTACTTAATTTCTCTCGTATCCTCATTGTGTCCATATTTTAGACTTTTATCTAAATTTCGGACTGTATTAGTGTTCATTCGGTAAATTTTCATGGCCTTACGTCCTATTTCTGTCTAGAATTCATGTTTTTCTTCATATATTTGTGCTCGCAAATTTTCTTGTTAATTCTGGTCTCTTCCTGAGATGTCCAGAATAAGCACAATTTGATCCATGTCAACGAATGCAATGTTTATTGCTCTCTGTTGTCTTGGGAATCTTTTCGTAGTTTTTCTAAATTCTTTAATTAAGAATTTAAAATTTAGGGGCCAAGTCCTTTAAAATACTTACGTTCATAATGCTGGCGGAAGGAACTGTGATGTAACTGAAATTATTAATCTCATCGTTTTATTAGAAGACATTCATCACTGTTGTATGAGTCGAGTTTAAATGACATTTTACTGAATCTATTCTATTAACGTTAAGAAATTGATTACCTGTTTTTATCTCTTATGAAATAACTGAAAACTGTTTTTTAGGGAGTATCGGCTCCAAATTTTGTTCAATCAAAAGACGCAAGCAAATTATCAATAGAAACGGTCATGTGGTGAGCTAGAAACATAGTGTCCTGATACACTCGTTATATTGCCTATTTCGTTGTTTCACCCCAAGAGTTTGACTGTTTCACTAGCTCTGTGGAATAAGCACCTGTTTAGACTCGACTAGCTCTCATCTGCAGAACTTTCTCGGTGAACCCTCATTCAGTCCACTAATTACTAAGATAAATATTTGTCTAAATGTCTATATCTTAATAATCTCGTCTATAAGGTGTCTGTCTTGTTCCTGAGTACTTGATCTCTAAGTATGATGCGCTGGGAACGCTTGCGACCGGGTTGCTTACGTTCCCCAAGTTTATTAGCAAATTTTGGCTATGCTCTTATCCTTATCGATGAGATTATCTGATATTCTCATTGTGTAGATAAATCAATTTATCTTGGAACTTTACTGGTGAATTCTTGTCCAACTCTCAATGGAGCTTTATCTTTTCCTCTATTTTCTCCCGCGAATTTCCTTCTATTCGAGAGCTTGTATCTCAATAAAAAATAAAAACAAAACAAGTGTCCTAATAAAATCCTTCCTTGAGAGTTGTTTCTGTCCTAGCGCATCGTACTTTGAGGGCCTAATGAAGCCTTTTTTCTGTCTTGCCTCAAAGAGATCGGTAAGTAGTCCTCTCGCATGTCATTTGTAATTTTCATTCTCCACGTTTCCATCTTGCTGAGTGTTAGCTTATTAGATTACTCTCAATGAACCGTTTGCATGACCGTCACAATATTTTTTATGTGAAGGTATTTGATATAATTAAATTAGCATCATACTTTCCTAGTGAACTACTCGCCTTTCGTAAACTGCCGAGCTGGTGTCGTGTCACGCAACTCTACGGGTTCACAGCTCCACATTTAATTATCTGTTTGCTTCGTCCTATACAAATTTTTTTGGTGAAAAATCTTAATTAGACTTGCAAACATTTAGTGCCTTGGCTGATTTTTGTTTTTTTACTCTAATTTTGCACAGATGAAGTGTGATTTTTTTCAAATGTATTTACTATACGTACAATATAATGTTTCTTTGTTGCTTCAGTCAGATTTTTTTCGATTTTAGGTATACTGATAGAGTCTAAGCTTTTTTTACAAGCTAGTACAGATTTTCGCTTTTCAACGAGCTACATTCTTGCACGTATTTAGAATGCGAGGATACTAATTGTACTTATTTATTATTTACTTATTTTCTTTGCTGCTGCCATAATTAGTGTCAGGTACAAATTTGAATGCAGTCTTTTTAGGAATGAGAGCACAACCTTATCCAAATTGCTTTACCTGAATTCCAAAATAATTAAAACCACATTATTTCAGAATGAATATTACTGAATGAATATGCTCATGGCTTAATAAGAGCGTTTTCATTTTTTTAATGAAATGAGGACTGTATTTCGAACTCATAGTAACTATATAACGAGTTTTCTTCTCGAATTATCTGGGACGAAATTCGCATTAGATGAATTTATCGCAGTACACTTTGCATCGCATGAGTTTTTACCTCAACGTTACCGCATTGCTAGACCAAGACTATTGTTTATTTACAAAGTTCGTCAAGTTAACGTTTCCTTGAGATTGAATCTCTATCATTTCTATCGTTTTCTCGAGATTAAATCTCTAACGTTTCCTTGAGATTAAATCTAACGTTTCTTCGATATTAAATCTCTATCGTTTCCTGGAGATTAAATCTCTATCGTTTCCTTGAAATTAAATCTAACATTTCCTTGAGATTAAATCTAGTTTCTTTGAGATTAAATCTCTAACGTCTCCTTGAGATTAAATCAAATGTTTCCTTGAGATTAAATCTCTTATCATTTCCTTGAGATTAAATCTCCAACGTTTCCTCGAGATTAAATCTCTAACGTTTCCTTTACATTAAATCTAACGTTTCCTAGAGATTAAATCTCCAACGTTTCCTTGAGATTAAATCTTTAACGTTTCCTGGAGACCAAATCTCTAACGTTTCCTTGAGATTAAATCTCTAACGTTTCCTTGAGATTAAATCTCTAACGTTTCCTTTAGATTAAATCTCTAACGTTTCCTTGCGATTAAGTCTAACGTTTCCTTGAGATTAAATCTAACGTTTCCTTGAGATTAAATCTTTAACGTTTCCTCGAAATTAAATCTAACGTTACCTTGAGATTAAATCTAACGTTTCCTTGACATTAAATCTGACGTTTCATTGAGATTAAATCTCTAACTTTTCCTTGAGACTAAATCTACTGTTTCCTCGAGATTAAATCTCTAACGTTTCCTCGAGTTTAAATCTCTAACGTTTCCTTGAGATTAAATCTTTAACGTTTCCTTGAGATTAAATCTAACGTTTCCTCGAGATTAAATCTCTAACGTTTCCTTGAGATTAAATCTAACGTTTCCTCGATATTAAATCTCTATCCTTTCCTTTAGACTAAATCTCTAACGTTTCCTCGAGATTAAATCTAACGTTTCCTTTATATTAAATCAAACGTTTCCTTGAGATTAAATCTCTAACGTTTCCTTGAGATTAAATCTAACGTTTCCTCGAAATTAAATCTCTATCGTTTGCTCGCGATTCTATCGTTTCCTTTAGATTAAATCTCAATCGTTTCCTGGATATTAAATCTAACGTTTCCTTGAGACCAAATCTCTATCGTTTCTATCGTTCCCTCGGGATTAAATCTAACGTTTCATTGAGATTAAATCTAACGTTTCCTTTATATTAAATCCAACGTTTCCTTGAGATTAAATCTAACGTTTCCTCGAGATGAAATCTATCGTTTCATTGAAACCAAATCTCTATCGTTTCCTCGATATTAAATCTCTAAATCTCTATCGTTTCCTGGATATTAAATCAAGCGTTTCCTCGAGACTAAATCTCTATCGTTTCTATCGTTCCCTCGGGATTAAATCTCTATTGCTTCCTTGAGATTAAATCTATCGTTTCCTTGAGATTAAATCTAATGTTTCATCAAGATTTAATCTCTAAATCTCTATCGTTTCCTTGAGATTAAATTCAACGTTTCCTTGAGATTAAATCTCTAACGTTTCCTTGAGACCTAATCTCTAACGCAGCGGTTGTGCACAGGTCGAGAGGTCGTATTCCAGTGTCGAGACGAAGGACGCCTTCGCTCAGCTGTCAGATGGTCACGCCCGAACAACCAAAACCTGCCTCGGGGCTACACGGACGAACGTGGACGGCTCACCATACCCAACATTCAGGTGAATCTTCAAAAATGTATCATGTGCAAATTTTTATTTGCGATAATTTGTTTGAAATGACGAGACGACAACTAATGACTCATTTGAGTTTGGAAATTAAATATTTCGCAGTCAAACTTGGTTGTGTTATTTATTTTTGAATGGTCGAACCTTATTTTTTTTCTTTCTGTGTTCAGGCTACGGCTTTTTAAGGGAGATCGTTTCAACTTTGAATGATATTTACATTATGCATTTTCAGAAGAATCTTGTGTAATTATATATATATACTTCATCATTTAGAAAATTAGGCCTGAACTTACTAATATGAATGAAGTCATTTAAATTTGTTGCTGCTGATGATTTAATAGTTTAGATAATACGATAACGGATGCTGATTGTTTAATAATTTAGATAATGCGATAACGGATGATGATGGTTTAATAATTTAGATAATACGATAACGGATGATGATGGTTTAATAATTTAGATAATACGATAACGAATGCTAATGGTTTAATAATTTAGATAATACGGTAACTGATGATGATGGTTTAATAATTTAGACAATACGACAACGGATGATGAAGGTTTAATAATTTAGATAATACGATAACGGATGATGATGGTAGGTTTAATAATTTAGACAATACGATAACGGATGCTGATGGTTTAATAATTTAGACAATACGATAACGGATAATGATTATTTTTTTCAGCTCACTGACGCCGGAGTGTACTACTGCGAGGCCGTTGGGGTACGGCCTGATACGCCAGGGTCCAGGAAGACCGTCTACCTTGAAGTCGTGCCCTGTGAGTCGTCTTACAATAAACATCTTTCTTGACTTGAAAAACAAAACATTATTTTCATTCAAGTGCTAAGTTTATTGTATGTTCGAACAATTGGGTTCTAACGTTACGTTCGTCCCTTTTTAGCGCATTTTCTCATTTATTGAAAAAATGCACTATTGTTCTCGTCATGTCCGTCTGTCTGTCCGTCTGTCTGACCGTCCGTCTATCCGTGACTTCACGTTTTCGTCGACGAGAAAATGCGCTCTCTGTCACTCACTGCAGTGAGTACTGAGTTATATTTTTTATATATATTTTCAAATAACTTTATCTGTATGTGCAATGATGTGGAGAACCTCTAAATTTTTTATCTCATAAATATTTCTTTAAATGATACCGACATTTTCTGTTCCACGCTGCACGGATGCACAGACCTTAACAAAAAGTTCATTGAGAGACCCTTGTCAGATAGCATGACTTTGGTCGAGGACCATCCCTTTGAAAATCTTGTACTCCCGCTTTTTCCTCACACAATCCCAAACGATCATTCCTTCAGGACTGATTCAGAACTCCTCAACGTAACCGAATTCTTTTGGAAAATTTACACAAGTGGAAAAAAAGTCAATAGGCCTCTTCTCCGATTAGGGAAGAAAGCAAAGAAAACTGAAAAAGAGTCCCGTCTTATAAACAGGAATCGTAGCAGCCGTTTGAAAAATAAATTGAGTAAAAATAATTTTGTACAACAAATTAGTCGAGGAAGAAAGGCTTCATCTAAGATTTCTAAAGTTCTAGAGCAACAACCACTACATTATAGAAAAAAGTCTCCCAAATCAAACGTCTTTCCGGAGAACCGTAATGTGAAAAACAATCACTCACATATTACGATTCGAAAAATTTCGGGACACAGGAATACCTTAAAAAGTCGTAAACGAACCAACATTGGCGTAATGTCTAAATCATTTAAAATTTCCTCAAACCCAACCTTCAATTCCAACGGCAACACTCAAAACCACGATGGTGTGAGCAACAGCGATAAAAATCTGAACTTGGATCGTGATTTAACGAATTCCAGAACCAGTCACGGTAGACATAAGGCGATACCTCGCTTACACGCGACTAACCGAGTGCCAAGTAGTAGCTTCTCTTCCTCAAACTATGGTGTCCGTGACCACAAACAAAATAATTTCTCTAATAACATTATTGATAAAACTAAGAACGTTCAAAATGACCTTCCTCCCGGACTCCATCCCTTGTCGTTGACAAACCTTGTAGCGGAAAACCTTGTCACTCCTAAGCCCACTAAGACCAAATACATTGGTAACTCTAACACTAACCACATCCCCGGGGTTATCATCAGCAACCGCAATGGAGATCACTTCGAGTTTGTGCCACCGCACACGCTCGTGTCAGGTATATGCGCATATGTTATTCCTCTTTAACTTTTCTTGGAATAAAATCTTGAAAAGAATATACGTGCACTCGGCGTTAGTGTCGGATGTCAGGAAATTTGTAATCATTGTTCTCAGCAGTGGACATTTCTATAAAGTTTCTAATCCTCTTTTTTATATAAATCATACTGTGAGCATAACATACTGTAATGACAATGTGTGTCTATGCATCAAATAACGTAACAAAACCGAAGTATTCATTTACTTCTCAATAATTAGTTCTTTTCTAGTTGCGTAATCCCTTTTAAGGAGCCTTGTAATCTAAAAATTCCTGTATCAACACAATTTTTTTCTTTGGCTTAACGTATTTTTCTTCTGAACGCTTTCTTGGACTGCACGTTTACCACTCATCGTAAGTATAATAGTAAAGTTTGCAGCTTAAACATACTACGAGTGTGAGAAGAAAACAATTTACCTGCTGAAGTTGCACTGATAGCTCAACTGTCTTTTATGTTGGAATTAGCGATATTAGTTGTGCATTGTCTTCACACCTTCACATAAAAATCAAAGGCTGATACAATTTTATGACTCGAAATTCAAAACCAACATTGCACATGTTTGTCCTATCGACTTTTAGCTATCAATCATCATTTATTTCAATTATCATTTATTTTATTAGTTATTTTTAACATATTGAAGTTCCTTCCCGTTCCCAAAGATGCCTCGAAAAATGTGACCAGCTACTACTTGTATTAAGTCTGGATACTCTATCGTTACCAGTTTAATAATTACCGAATAATTCAGTTACTTCGCATGTATAATGGAATATTTCATTTGTACATTAGACTTAAATCATTTAGAACGAGTTCCTCTATTACTGACCTGACTTCTTATCAAATGTAAGTTTTCCCACCAGCTGATTTGTCCACTTTGCTGAAGGCACCTCCAAAAATTTTTTTTTCCCAATATTCATGTTCTCCCCTCCTTGATTTCTTATTCGTATTTGTTTGTCATTTTGCCGAATGCGCCTCCAATTTATTTCCCAACATTCATGTTCTTCCATCCTATTTTCTTATTTTATTTTGTTAGATTGCTCATCAATCCTGTTTTTTTATTTGTATCTGTTTGATTGCTCATCAAATCACTCGAGCCGGTAATGTTACACTGCATTCTTCCTTCAGTCGAATTGCTTGCTCAGCAATTCACTCGAGCCGTTATTGTTACACTCCATTCTTCCTTCAGTCGAATCTGTTTTATTGCTCATCAATCCTGTTTTCTTATATATATCTGTTTTATTGCTCATCAATTCACTCGTGCCGTTATTGTTACACTGCATTTTTCCTTCAGTTGAACTGGCGACTCCTGCACCGGTGCCTACAGCTTGCAACCTGAACCAGGCGACGTGCATGAACGGCGAGTGCATCCCCAAGAGCGCGGTCTGCGACGGGGACTCTGATTGCTCCGATGCTTCCGACGAAATGCGATGCAGTCAGTTGCAGACATTAGAATTTTCGGTTAATTTTCAGTCACACTAAAGTGAAAAACACACTAAAGTGAAAAACACACTTCAGTGAAAAACACACTTCACACTAAAGTGAAAAACACACTTCAGTCACACTAAAGTTCAGTCCCACTAAAGTGTTTTTGAACTTGAACTGCTTGCTGCGACAATCTCTAGACAGAAAATTCAAAATATTAGAATTTTCGGTTTTACACTAAAATGAAAAACTGTTTTTAAACTTGTGCTTGCTGTGACAATCTCTAGACAATAATTTTAAAAGATAATTGAAGCTCTTTATATTATTCTTGTTGTTTCAATTCACACGGTTTTGAAACCCTAAACCCTTAGTGAATGGCAAAAAAAAATACAATTAAATTAATTTTTCAAAACGTGAATGGTAAATAACAAATACAATTAAAACTTTCAAAATACGATTTTGCAACTTTTCATGTTTCTTTTTTAATCATAAACCATACATAAATTGCACCTGTTTTTGAATTTATTTTATTTTGGTACAAATTTTATTCAATATAAATCCATTTTTACTCTTGGTTATATTCGCCTTGTTATCTCAGACCCTCTGGGCTGTGAACCGAACGAGTTTCAGTGCGACAACAAGCGCTGCGTGCTCAAGACTTGGATCTGCGACTCTGATGACGACTGTGGTGATGGCTCGGACGAGCGCAACTGCGGACCTTCTATTCCAGGTAATGCATTGCATGAGATACATAAAGGCATTCACTGAACGACAGAAATACGGTTATTAGTATTACCATCACCTCAATAGCATGAAGTGGTTACAGTTCAGAGTACCAGGATTGGAGCAGAGAGGCGCGGGTTCGATCCCAGCTCTGTGCGCCAGTTTCTGGTCAGAATCGGCGAAGAGGCCGGGCGGTTAAACACAGCAGAATTGTAGCTGAGAGTTGCGTGTTCGAGACCGCAACAAGTTGTCAATGTTCTGCGATGTTAAGAATCAGCGACAGGCCTACGGCCTAAAAAACGCTAAAACCGCTATTTCATTCTATAATAAAAAATGTTCTCGGAATTTTTTTCACAAATAGATTTTTTCTCAGTATTTGAATCTACTTATACCACAAATTGCCAATGACGTTCCCCGGTTTTGTAACTTGAGGTTCACAAATTTGTACATGTTAGGTTTTTCAACGTTTTTTTATGCAATACTTCACCAAAATTTGTTATTCTGCTCACCACCATAGCCTCCTACGCACAAGCTTTTGATTTAATCCACTAGACAGCCACCCTCTGCACGCGTCCAGGGGCCATACTTTCAAAATTCGCTAAGTGAACGTAAGTTCTTACGCTCTATTTTCATGTCCATGATTGGTGGATTTTGCTTGAAAGGCCTTCAATAATTGGCTGATGAAATTACGATCTCTTAACTTTTTTTGAAAGTATAGGCCCAGTACTGCATCCACCGCTACAGTCTCTGCAGAAACTTGATCGTTTCTTCATAAGCTTCTCAGGAAAAATATTTCGCTTACATTCTCTACGACATTCATGACGACATTATTACATTGTATGTGCACCAAACAGGCGCTCTTTGCAACATCAACGAGTATAGCTGCCAGGCTATGGATCAATGCATCCCTAAATCCTTCCACTGCGATGGAGAGGTCGACTGCCGCGACATGTCGGACGAAGTTGGTTGCTCTAAACCTACCTTCATCGAGTCTCCTCCTAGATCTTATTCAGTGCAAGTAACAGAGACCTTCACACTTACCTGCCGTGCCATCGGCGTGCCCGTACCCACCGTCATCTGGAGGCTCAACTGGGGCCACGTACCCGACAAATGCACCATGACCAGGTGAGCTCATAAATATAGTAAATACAAAATGAATAATATTAAATAGTAAATATATTAATAAACTAATAATATTAATCAGGGCCGTTAACCCTCTACCGCCGTGTGTGACTTCCGGGAACATGACTTTTAACTTAAATTATACGTAAGCTTTATAGTGTAGCAACCTGAGGACGTTTGTACGCAACAGAGAACATTTTAAAGTTGTCGTACGTGGCGGCAACCATCAGTGCAAGTCATTTTGCGCTCACTAGAACGTATCCTTTTTGGGAAGTAGGCGCGTGACAATATTGCTCCAGTTACTCATGTCAGGCGCTAGAGGGTTAATGAGCCTCACTCAGGAATAATCAAATTATCATCTTCTTAACCTAAATGAGATCAAGTTGCTCCTACTCGTTTGTTGCAGTTATAAGCCTCTGATTTTTTTTCGTCAACATAACGAGTCTCAATACAGACGCGGAAAAAAATCGTCAAGAATTCAATTTAGTTCACCCTGGATAAATATGAACTCTTGCAACATCTTCCTTTCAACTTTTTCAGCATGTTTTCTTCATGAGTAACATAAATAATTTCATCAGTACGATATTGACAAACAAAAGAATCGGTGTGGCACTTAAAACATTTCGAAAAGACCGCGATTTATCATGGCTTTATCCATAAAAAAATTCGTCCGGTGATAGCGAGTATGTGTATGGTCGAAATATTACTCATTGATATTATATTAATTTTACATGTAATCACATTTACTGAAACAATATACCGGTGATGCCGAGTATGTGTCTGGTCGAAGTATTACTCATTGATAATATATGAATGTTACATATGATCACATTTTCTATAACAATACACCGGTGACAGTGAGTATGTGTCTGGTTGAAGTAACATTAACATATGTAACATTAATAATATATGAATGTTACATATATGATCACATTTTCTGAAACAATATAACGGTGAGAGCGAGTATGTGTCTGGTTGAAGTAACATTAACATATGTAACATTAATAATATACGAATGTTACATATACTCACATTTTCAATAACAATACACCGATGACAGCGACGCTGGGTACGGCGTTTTGACATGCCCGGACGCCCGCCCGACGGACCAAGGGGCGTACTCATGCGAAGCCATCAACATCAAGGGTTCGGTCTTCGTCGTGCCCGACACAATCGTGACCGTCATCGGTCAAGAGTCGGTCTGCTCGCCCCCGCAGTTCAACGCTCTCGCCACGACCACGCGTGACTGCCTTACTTGCTTCTGCTTCGGGGCTACCACGGACTGTTACTCCACGGACCGATACGTTTCCCAGGTACGTGTGGTTTGTTGGTTCACGTGTCCCAGTGGTTCACCTTGTTGGTTCACGTGTCCTAGGTGCGTGTGGTTTGTTGGTTCACGTGTCCCAGGTGCGTGTGGAGCTGGGTTGTTGGTTCACGTGTCTTGGTTGTTGGTTCACGTGTCCAAGGTACGTGTGGTTTGTTGGTTCATGTGTCCTAGGTGCGTGTGGTTTGTTGGTTCACGTGTCCCAGGTGCGTGTGGTTTGTTGGTTCACGTGTCCCAGGTGCGTGTGGAGCTGGGTTGTTGATTCACGTGTCTTGGTTGTTGGTTCACGTGTCCCAGGTACGTGTGGTTTGTTGGTTCACGTGTCCCAGGTACGTGTGGTTTGTTGGTTCACGTGTCCCAGGTACGTGTGGTTTGTTGGTTCACGTGTCCCACGTGCGTGTGGTTTGTTGGTTCACGTGTCCCACGTGCGTGTGGTTTGTTGGTTCACGTGTCCCAGGTACGTGTGGTTTGTTGGTTCACGTGTCCCAGGTGCGGGTGGAGCTGGGTTGTTGGTTAACGTGTCTTGGTTGTTGGTTCATGTGTCCCAGGTACGTGTGGAGCTGCATGGGTTGTTGATTCACGTGTCTTGTTTGTTGGTTCATATGTCCCAGGTGCGTGAGGAGCTAAGTTGTTGGTTCACGTGTCTTGGTTGTTGGTTCACGTGTCCCAGGTACATGTGGGTTGTTGGTTCATGTGTCCCAGGTGCGCGTGGAGCTGGGTTGTTGGTTCACGTGTCCCAGGTGCGTGAGGAGCTGGGTTGTTGGTTCACTTGTCTTATGTGCACCATTACTGTTGGTTCTGTCAGGTAGTGTCAATGTCAATTGTTAAGGTGTTTGACGACGGGTATGGAAACGATGCCAATTGTCGTTGACGTGTTGAATGAGTAGCACTGAAGACAGAAATTGAGTTCTTCTGAAGTTACGGAGTTCCTTTAGTACGTAATCTTCGGTTTATTAGAGTAGTTTTGTTTCTTCAATTTACTTTTGTGTTCTGTACTTAATGCTTATGAAGCTTAATTGTTGGTTCTGGAGTTGGACAAACCCAGTGAGGAAGATACGTAGGAGGCTTGTTGGTTCGGGTGATCGAATTCACTTAGTGGTGCATATGCAATGTTACTCAATTGAAACGATGAAAAAAAAACTGATTTTATTTCCCCCAGCTTGCCATTAATATATTTGTTTCCCATCTTTTCAGCTGCCGCCGCCCTCGTCAGATTCCTTCCAAATAGTTGGCGTTAACCAGGACCAGACGCTCGGCAACTACGTCATCAGAGACAACGAGTACCCGCTGTCCAACCGCTACGTCTCCACCGACTACCTTGGATCTGCTGCCGTAAAACAATCCATTTAATCTCAACGTTATCGTTAGAAATTATTATCCGACTACCTCGGATCTGCCGCCGTAAAACAATCCATTTAATCACAACCTTATCGTTATGAATGATTAGTAGCGTTACAACGATAATCGATAATGTTTTTAAGGGGTTCATAATAATCCGTTATCGTTATAAATGATTAGTGTCACTTCGACGATAATAATAACGTTAACGATATTATAATTAGTTATCGTTATAAACGATTAGTGGCGCTGCAACACTAACAATAGCGTTAACTATGTAATAATTCGTTGTCCTTTTAAACGATAAGTGGCGTTTCGACGAAAATAATAACGTCAACTATATAATAATCCGAAATCGTTGTAAACGATTACTAGCGTTGCAACAATAATAATAACGTTAACGATATAATAATCAAATGCTTAACGATATGATAATCCGTTAACGTTAAACGATTAGTAGCGTTGAAACAATAATAATAACGTTAACGATATAATAATCCGTTATCGTTATAAACGATTAGTGGCGTTTCAATGATAAAAGTAACGTTAACGATATATTAATCCGTCATCGTTATAAAACGATTAGTGGCGTTTCAACGATAATGATAACGTTAACTACATAATAATCCGTTATCGTTATGAACGATTAGTGGCGAAAAAAACTTCCCAGGAAATTTAAGACCCACGTTGATCATTCCCTTCGATTAGTTCAATGCCTGATCGAAAAAATTATTCTCGATTTTGCCAAGAAATTCGGTGAAATTCGGAATGAAAGCTTTTATCAAAAAGTTAGTATAGGTTCTCCTCAACACCAGTGGTCTTGTAAAGATTATAAATTGAAGCAATCTGTAGCTCGAGTGAGCGGGCAATCCATTTTTGAAATCATTAAAATGATTTTTATTTAAATTTATAATCTGCTATGAATAGGAGAATTTTGCTACGCCGGCTTTTGGTAACAAATGTCATCGCCTGTTATTGCCCATGGTTTTAAAAATGGATTGACGTGAATACTAAAACACTTCGAAAATTTTAAATGGTTTTAGTCAGGCTTAAAAAATTTATATAGTTTTTTAGGTTGTTTTCTACTTTCCATGAGAAATATTCGCAAAAAGTTAAAGTTATGAAAAACTAATTTCTATCTTAATAGTTCTAGAACCCAATACGTAATCAATTGCACTCGCTATTTAAGTAATGCAAACGCAATCACCTTGTCTCCAACATTTATCAACAACCCAAACATAACACATCAATAATCCCACAGTTGAAAGTGCCTGACACAATTACCTTGTCTCCAACATTTATCAACAACCCAAACATAACTCAACAAAAATCCCGCAGCTGAATAATTTCTATCTCTATAGTTTTAGAACACATACGTAGTCAATTGCACTCGCTAAATAAACTATGATAGAAACTCAATTACCTAGTCTCCAACATTCATCAACAACCCAAACAAAACACGTCAATACTCCCGTAGTTGAAAGTGCCTTACCTTGTCTCCAACATTTATCAACAACCCAAACATAACACAAATATTCCCGCAGTTGAAAGTGCCTTACCTTATCTCCAACATTCATCAACAACCCAAACAAAGCACATCAATAATCCCACAGCTGAAAGTACCTTACCTTGTCTCCAACATTTATCAACAACCCTAACTTAACACAACAATAATCCCACAGCTGAAAGTGCCTTACCTTGTCTCCAACATTTATCAACAACCCAACAAAACACATGAATAATCCCGCAGTTGAAATAAATAAACAATGATACAAACGCAATCACCTTGTCTCCTACATTTATCAACAACCCAAACATAACACATCAATAATCCCACAGTTGAAAGTGCCAGACCGCACTCGGCTGGGCGGACCCAGTGACCTGCTGGTGTACTCGCTATTTAATCAATGCAAACTCAATTACCTTGTCCTCAACATTCATCAACAACTCAAATATAACTCATCCATAATCCCGCAGTTGAAAGTGTTACCTTGTCTTCAATATTTATCAACAACTCAAACATAACATAAATAATCCCACAGTTGAAAGTGCCAGACCGCACTCGGCTGGGCGGACCCAGTGACCTGCTGGTTTACTTCAGTCTGCCAGCCTCGCACCGCGGCGCTCGTCTGCTCTCGTACGGCGGCTACCTGCGCTACACCATCCGCTACACCGGCGTCGGTGCCGGCCAGAGCGTCAACGGCCCTGACGTCATCATCAGGGTATGTCTATTTTCATACTAATTAACGATGAATTTGCTTAGAATTTTCGTCGTTTCTAAATTCTTGGCCAACAATCTACGATAATAATATATAATATAACTAACGGCACCAAGATGTATCTCGGTCCTGAACCAGACGTTATCATCAGGGTATGTCTATTTTCATACTAATTAACGATGAATTTGCTTAGAATTTTCATCGTTGCCGGCCAGAGCGTCAACGGTCCGGACGTCATCATCAGGGTTAGTCTATTTTCATACTAATTAATGATGAATCTGCTTAGAATTTTCATCGTTGCCGGCCAGAGCGTCAACGGTCCTGACGTCATCATCAGGGTTAGTCTATTTTCATACTAATTAACGATGAATTTGCTTAGAATCATCAGGGTATGTTGCAGGCTATTTGCATTCTGATCAATAAACATTTCAGGTATGTTGCGCACCATTTTCATTCTGATTAATAATTATTTCAAGCAGTCAACCCTATTGCATCTGTACATATGCTAGAGATTTTATTATAGAATGAAGACCTTAGTGCGAGATCAGTTTGATTGTTTCTTGTAATTTACTTCTATTTCAAGCAATTCAACTATTGCATCTTGTACATATGCTAAAGATTTTATTATAGAACCAATACCTTAGTGTGCGATCAGTTTGGCTGTTTCTTAAAATTTACTTATTTTATTATTTTATTTACTTAATATATATATATTTTTTTTATTTATATTATACAAAATATATATTAAATATTAAAATATATATTATATTATATCTTTTTTATCTATATATATTTTATTTATTTATTATTTTATTTACATATATATTTTTATTTTAAATTTCCATATTTCGCATGGCAGGGCAACGGCCTAACCCTGAAGCACATCCTAACGTCGCCTCCAGCACCAGGGCAAGACAACCGCGTAGACGTGCGCTTCTGGCCCGGTCAGTGGTATCGTACCGTGCTGCAGGTCGGCACCCGACTCCTGCCGCAGGTCGCTGCCACGAGACAGGACATCATGATGGTGCTTGAGAACATGGACCTGCTCCTTATAAGGTGGGTGGCAATCATGATGGTGCTTGAGAACATGGACCTGCTCCTTATAAGGTGGGTGGCAAGGCCTTGCTGTGTGGGAATGCTTTTAAGAGGTTCATCTTAAACGCTGGTGATGTGGGAATGTTTTTCTGGGGTTCATCTCGAACGCTGGTGATGTGGGAAAGTTTTTATGGGGTTCATCGTGAACGCTGGATATATGGGGATGTTTTATGGGGTTCATCGTGAACGCTGGAAATATGGGGATGTTTTTATGGGGTTCATCGTGAACGCTGGAGATATGGGGATGTTTTTATGGGGTTCATCGTGAACGCTGGAGATATGGGGATGTTTTATGGGGTTCATCGTGAACGCTGGATATATGGGGATGCTTTTAAGAGGTTCATCATGAACATTGGTAAGGCCATTATGCGGTTTACGAACAATTTCGAACATTATTCGTAGGTATTCTGTATTATGCGGACATCTTTGAAAAATTTCCATCATTCCATGGTCCTGGAGAACATGGACCTGCTCCTTATAAGGTGGGTGGCAAGTCCGACACTTTGTCCTATTGACTTTTAGCTATCAATCGTCATTTATTTTCAAAGGTTAGTGTATAGTTATTAGTTATTTTTAACACCTATTAGTTATTTAACACTAACCCATGTGGGAATGCTTTTAAGGGGTTCTTATTGAACGCTGGTGAAGCCATTATGCGTTTCATGAATAATTTTAAACATAATTCATATTCTGTGTTATGGGGACATCTTAGAAGATTTCTATTATTCATTTCGTTGATCATTTAACATGTGAATCTTAATTTGTAACATAATTCATATTCTTTATTATGCGGACATCTTGGAAGACTTCCATTATTCATTTCGTTGATCATCTACCATGTGAATCTGGCAAAGCCTGTTTTGCAGACATGGATAATTTTCTGCCTTTATTCATTTCAGGCAATAAATGTGTTCCATTATATGGTTAGCCTTACCTCTGCACCACATCTCGCTTATTCATTTCGTTCATCATTTACCATGTAAATCTGGCCAATCATTATGTTGCAGACACGGATAATTTCATACCTTCGTTCCATTCAAGCCATAAATGTGTTACATTATAAGGTTCCTCTTACCTCCACACGTCACAGGGCGCTGTACGTTGACACACTCGCCCTGGAAGCGACGTTGTCAGACGTACAGCTGGACACGGCCGTTACGTCCAACACGGCCCAGGGGCGCGCTGTCTACGTCGAGGAGTGCCGCTGTCCGCAGGGCTACACTGGACTTTCTTGCGAGGTTACTGCTATAAAAATTCATATATCAATTCTTAGAAATTTGAACTATTGACTGTGATTACTTATTTCACTCTAAATCTTTATTATAAATATTCTCATGATTATTAAAATGAATAACACTTTGACATATCGGTGGCAGTCTGGCGCGCCGAACTATCGTCGTACGAGGTCCGCCTTTTTCCAAACTATTTACATTCAATAATTATTTCACTCTAAATCTTTATAATAAATATTCTCATGACCATTAAAAACAATGACGCTTTAAATTGTCCGTGTTTCAGTCTAAATCTTTATTATAAATATTCTCATGACTATTAAAATAAATAACACTTCGCCATATATGTTGCAGTCGTGCGCGCCGAACTATCGTCGTACGAGCTCAGGCGAGTGGCTGGGGCGCTGCGTGCCCGACGTGCAGTGCCGCCCTGGCGAGTACGGCGACCCTGGCAACAACATCCCCTGTCTACCATGCCCCTGCCCACTCACTTCACCGCCCAACCAGTGAGTAAAGTGCAATAATGACGTTACCAGTGAGTTACGTCTAATCTTGACGTTACCATTGAGTAACGTCAACCAGTGAGTAACGTCTGGTCTTGACGTTACCAGTGAGTAACGTCTAATATTGACGTTACCAGTGAGTAACGTCAACCAGTGAGTGACGTCTAATCTTGACGTTACCAGTGAGAAACGTCAACCAGTGAGTAACGTCTAATCTTGATGTTACCAGTGAGTAACGTCTAATCTTGACGTTACCAGTGAGTAACGTCAACCAGTGAGTAACGTCTAATTTTGACGTTTCCAGTGAGTAACGTCAACCAGTGAGTTACGTCTAATCTTGACGTTACCAGTGAGTAACGTCAACCAGAGAGTAACGTCTAATCTTGACGTTACCAGTGAGTAACGTCTAGTCTTGACGTTACCAGTGAGTAACATCTAATCTTGACGTTACCAGTGAGTAACATCTAATCTTGACGTTACCAGTGAGTAACGTCTAATCTTGACGTTACCAGTGAGTAACGTCTAATCTTGACGTTACCAGTGAGTAACGGCAACCAGTGAGTAACGTCTAATCTTGACGTTACCAGTGAGTAAAGTCCAATAGAATAGAAGTGTCGGCACTGAAGAAATAGGCCCATGGCCTGTTGCCGATTCTTGCACTTTTCGTGACGTGATTCCGCAAGGGATCCGGCCTTTGGAACCCGATCTTTCCATAACTGACGATTGATTGAGATAGCTGCTGGACTTATTGCAATAATGACCTGTACGTGATCTTTTTGTATTAATACCGACAGTGAGAGTCTTTCACAACCGAAATTACTATCAAAATAATGGTATCGCTACCCGAAATCGAAATTATACCTTTTTAATTATCGGTCTTGTGTTGATCAGTCTTGATTAACTTTGAGAATTTTAGTTGCTAATTTTTCGTTCACTTTTATTCATCAGTGATTAAAGTCTCGCAAAATACAACGCTATACCTGAAATCGACATTATATCATGTGACTTGATTAACTTCGAGATTTTGAGTTTTGAAATTTTTTTCGCTTATATTAATCAGTGTGTAAGGTCTCGCAAAATACAATATCCTTCGTACAGCTTCGTCTCAATAATTTTTACTTAAATTTTCGACGCGCAGATTCGGTCAATCCTGCTTCTTGGTGGTAATTTTTCGTTCACTTTTATTCATCAGTGTTCAAGGTCTTCTTGCACCTTCGTCTCAATAATTTTTACTTAAATTTTCGACGCGCAGATTCGGTCAATCCTGCTTCTTTGTGGTAATTTTTCGTTCACCTTTATTTATCAGTGTGTAAGGTCTCACAAAATACAATATCCTTCGTACACCTTCGTCTCAATAATTTTTACTTAAATTTTCGACGCGCAGATTCGGTCAATCCTGCTTCTTGGACACGGACGGACAAGTGACATGCAACTGTCCGACGGGCTACGTCGGCCGCCGCTGTGGTGTTTGTGCTACGGGATATGTCGGACAACCGACCGCTCCTGGCGGCAGCTGTCAACGGGGTGAGTTGACGGGAACTATAGTGCGAGTTGACGGGCACTGTAGTTTGTTGACGGTAACTATAGGTTGAGTTGACAGACACTATAGTTTGATTTGATGGGAACTATAGTGTTGCGGTTCTGGCACCAAGGAAACTATAGTGTGAGTTGACGGGAACTGTAGTGTGAGTTGACGGGAACTGTAGTGTGAGTTGACGGGAACTGTAGTTTTAGTTGACGGGAACTGTAGTTTGAGTTGACGGGCACTGTAGTTTGAGTTGACAGGAACTGTAGTGTGAGTTGACAGAAACTATAGTGTTGCGGTTCTGGCACCCAGGTAAGTTGACGTACACAATAGTGTTGCGGTTCTGGCACCAAGGTGAGTTGACGTGCACAATAGTGATGGGTCTCTGGCAACATGGATTAGTTGACGGTCACTAGAGAGATGCAGCTTTGGCACCAGGGTAAGTTGACAGGCACTATAGGGTTGCAGTAACCAAAAAAAAAAAATAATTTAGAGATTCAACGGGCACTTCATACTTCCGTAAGCAGGTACTCCTCTCCTACTCGAGTAATACTCTCCTACTCGAGTATTCCTCTCCTACACGAGTATTCCTCTCCTACACGAGTATTCCTCTCCTAGTCAGGTACTAATTTCATGCACGCATATTCAAGCCGACGCCTGGAGCCATACTTTCAAAACTCGCTAAGTGAACGTAAGTACTTACGCTCTATTTTCTTGTCTATGATTGGTGGATTTTGCTTGAAAGGCCATCAATGATTGGCTGATGAACTTACGATCTCTTAACTTTTTTTGAAAGTATATCGTGAACGTAAGTACTTANCAGCTATTTTCTTGTCTATGATTGGTGGATTTTGCTTGAAAGGCCGTCAATGATTGGCTGATGAACTTACGATCTCTTAACTTTATTTGAAAGTATAGGCCCTAGGCCGCTGGTGTCTGGACGATTGCGGTGCTTCTAGTGTTATTAACTCGATTTATTCTATCTGTAATTTCGATTGCATTTCTGATTTTTGAATGTATTTATTCCTCAGTTTTCAATAACTCTGTTCATTCATCTACCGAGTGGTATAATATTCTCGATTTTGTTCTTCGATTTAATATGACTTCTATTCTTTAATTTGTATTCAATAATTGTTTAGAAATACCTCTTCTTTATCAAACGCATAACCAGATAATTGCTTTCTTAAACACGTTTTATAATGGTGTTTGAATTTTTTTAATTATTTTCAATCTTTTGATATGATTTAAAATGAGAATATTAACCCTAATTTTTTGCATGATTATCGGCCTCATTTTCCTCAAACATAGTAATTAGCCATTTACCACATCCAGTTAAATTGAAAAGTTCTGTGCTACCATCATGAGATCGGAGTTTTTCTTTAGACCACACACTATTCGTTGGTCAGCACGACTAACTCAAAGAAACCGTCGCTCGTTCTATGATTGTAATGCATACCATATAAATTAAATGTAACCTTAAGTGACAGTAGTTACTGTTCTATCCCGTAAACTTTACGTCAAAATTTTTCGAGTAGACTAGAACTCCGACCCACGAGCTTGTCGTTTATAATGACCTGTGACCTCTGCGACACTGGGTTAATTTTTGTAATTATTTCTTGATTAAATTTTCAAACTAAAGATCCTAAGTAGATATAATGCCTCCGCAAAGCAGTGTAAATAGACTTAATTTTTACCCTATCAAAGAGGCTGGAGTGCGCACGTTTATATTGACAAAAAAACCTTTGTTTAACTTCTCTAGACACGCTGTTATTGACAAAAAGCCTTTGTTTAACTCCTCTAGACANATTGTAAGCTGTTCGTCGTGTGGCAGATGTCAATTGTAAGCTGTTCGTCGTGTGGCAGATGTCAATTGTAAGCTGTTCGTCGTGTGGCAGATGTCAATTGTAAGCTGTTCGTCGTGTGGCAGATGTCAATTGTAAGCTGTTCGTCGTGTGGCAGATGTCAATTGTAAGCTGTTCGTCGTGTGGCAGATGTCAATTGTAAGCTGTTCGTCGTGTGGCAGATGTCAATTGTAAGCTGTTCGTCGTGTGGCAGATGTCAATTGTAAGCTGTTCGTCGTGTGGCAGATGTCAATTGTAAGCTGTTCGTCGTGTGGCAGATGTCAATTGTAAGCTGTTCGTCGTGTGGCAGATGTCAATTGTAAGCTGTTCGTCGTGTGGCAGATGTCAATTGTAAGCTGTTCGTCGTGTGGCAGATGTCAATTGTAAGCTGTTCGTCGTGTGGCAGATGTCAATTGTAAGCTGTTCGTCGTGTGGCAGATGTCAATTGTAAGCTGTTCGTCGTGTGGCAGATGTCAATTGTAAGCTGTTCGTCGTGTGGCAGATGTCAATTGTAAGCTGTTCGTCCTGTGGCAGATGTCAATTGTAAGCTGTTCGTCCTGTGGCAGATGTCAATTGTAAGTTGTTCAACTTGATATATCTCAGCGGCGTAAATTTCGTAAAAGTCTGTTTTTGTGTTTAATTTTTGTTTCAATCAAGATAAATTTCCATGATATGTTGTTTAATCTCGTGCATGAACATTGCAAGTCTTGCCTGAGAATTACATTTGCAGTTACTCAGAAGTTTGCCATAGTCTCTTAGCCAAATTTCTCGGCCGGTTATGGAGTAAAAAATCACATGATAAAATATTTTTATATTTGTGTACATTGTTCCCTTGTTATATTGGCAATAACAAAATAAATTTATATTGCTTTATAAATTCCAAAAATCATTTTTAATTATATGCGAATCTTTATATCCGTAAATGTCATTGTACTGTTTTATATATTCCAAAAATCATTTGAGATTATTTTATAATCGTTATATCCCTACTTGTCATGAAAATGAAAGCCTAGTTGTCGAAGGAACAGTTCCGTCTGAACTCGTATCGCTGGTTCGTTTTCAGTTTGCTTTAACAACGGCTTCTTGTGCAAAGATGAACACTGCGTTGCTTCCAAGCAACTCTGCGACGGATTTATAGACTGCAACGATGGTGAAGATGAATTGCCTGTAAACTGTCCCGGTATGTTGATAATTGCTCCTTAAACATCATCAGTTGTCGAAGGATACACTATTCAACACACAATATGTGTTGATAAATCAGGATGTATTCCACTAAAATTATTAGCATGATATACTTTCTCAAAGATATCGTTTGGTATGTGACTTTTCAGGACTACGATCATTTGTCCAAGTTGTGTGTAACGATGTAAAGTCGGACCATAAGTGGTACTAAAGTTTTAAAATTTTCTTCGTTATGAAAGAAGTGTAGGATTCCTGTAGCTGAATATATACGTTTTTTGTAAAAAAAACGAAACTAAGGTGGTTATTGTTGAAGAAACACCTTTAAAATTATTATTGAACTATTTTGTATGTACAGTTTCATCTTCGCACGTCGTCAGAGACTCCTTGTTGTGTGAACAAAGCTGTCATCAGCAACTAAATGATTGCATTTAATTATTATCTATAAACTTTTGCATAGTTTCAATCTTCCGTCTTCGGAGAAGATTCATAAATCTTTCTTAAACATTCTGAACTAATGCTAGTGCTAAAATACTTTGTTTATTCTTTATTTATTCTTCACTTTTTATAATTATTTTTAATTTAATTATCTTTATCTTTTATTTATTCTTTATTTAAAAACTGCACGGGAGTGCCACGCTAGGTATTCTTCAGTAAACTCCCAAATTTGTACAATACTGGAAACTCTATCATTAACATTCAAGAATGATTTCTACTGTTTCAAGCTTTCTTTCTTATAATAACCGTCGAGCACCTGGTTTTTGTGACCGTTTTCAAGCTTATACAGTTTTCTTCACTCAAGATTCAAGTATTGTTTATTCGAACCTTCACAACTTCCAAAACATTTTGTGAACCCCGTTTATTAAAGTTCGCTATAAAACTAAATCGATTGTTTGCGGTAGAACAAAGTAGAACATGTCAAGCCTTATTGTGCGAAAATAGGCAAGCTAGAGTCGATTTTTAATTATACTTAAATTGCTCAACTATTATGAATATCATAAATTTCATTGACATAATGACGATTTTATTAGAAGTATTGTACCATCAGATTATCTTAGCTTGTTAACAAAAATATCACCCAATATTATTCTTAATAATAACTATGAATTTAAAAAAATTTCGCAGAGATTAAACTTTTCATCGAACGCAACCCTGATCAATAAAATGTACCCTGTATATATATAGACTTCCCATATTCCTTGCTAATATTGTTTGCTTGTAATTCTAAACATGCTTGCTTATTTTTTTCCTAACCTAGACATTTGATTCACTTTGAGGTGTAGTTTTTGATTTAATTTTACGCCATTAACGCTTTTTTCTGGCCATATCTGGTATGTTCTCTAGTTACGTTCCCGTCATGCCAAGCCGACATCGAATGGCAGTGCGCAGATGGCTCATGCATTCCAAAGCACCAGCACTGTGATAAGTTTATCCAGTGTCCCGACATGTCGGATGAACTGTACTGCGGCTGTTATGGCGGTAAGATGGAGCCCGACATGTCGGACGAACTCTACTGCGGCTGCTATGGCGGTAAGATGACCCCGACATGTCGGACGAACTGTACTGCAGCTGCTATGGCGGTAAGATGAAGCCCGACATGTCGGACGAACTGTACTGCGGCTGCTATGGCGGTAAGATGAAGCCCGACATGTCGGACGAACTCTACTGCGGCTGCTATGGCGGTAAGATGACCCCCGACATGTCGGACGAACTGTACTGCGGCTGCTATGGCGGTAAGATGAAATCCGACGAGTCGGTTAGGACTCCGTCGGCTGTTGTGGTGATAAGATAAACTGCTGCTGACCTCGAAAGTGCTGATGGCTGGTACATAAACTGATGAACGTTGACCGATGTAAAAAGCTCCCTGGAATTGTCATTAAAATCACAATATAGACCCTATAGTTAATTTCAATATCATTTGTATTATAATATAGATTCTATAGTTCACTTAATTATCATTTTTATCGTAAAATATACCACATAATTTACTTAATCATCATTTGTATCATAATATAGACCTCATTTTCAGTCATCTCATCATTTTCACATGTCAAACTAAAATCATTCACTTCTTGTAACGCTTGGACTCCCCACAACTTTAGCAGTTCAACTCAAAACTGTGCAGTAAATGTATATTTATATAACTTATTTCCATAGCAGCTAATGTTTTTGTCACTTGTTTAGAACGGTCCGATCATTTATGTCCGATCACCCTTTGTTTTCGACCTACAGTCAGAATGACATGGCATTTACAGCTCAAGGTTTGTTTGTGATCTCGTCAGTGTTTGTTATTGATGTACATATCCTAGAGTTATTACATTACATATTACATGTACATATCTTAGAGTTATCGAGGCAGACGCGGGAAATATGAGCTACGTCACTCCGACCATCCTCAGTAACAGAGTATTTGAGTTCCCCCGAGTTGATCATAGATACCTCATTTTCCGCTCTGATGTTATTTTATAGAATCTTTAGGCAGCTCGAATTATGGGAAATAGACTTGGGTGACATTACTTATTTATCAAATTGAGCTGTACCTGTGTACCTGACTAATTGAGCTGTACCTGGGTACCTGACTAATTGAGCTGTACCTGGGTACCTGACTAATTGAGCTGTACCTGTGTACCTGACTAATTGAGCTGTACCTGTGTACCCGACTAATTGAGCTGTACCTGTGTACCTGCCTACTTGAGCTGTACCTGTGTACCTGACTAATTGAACTGTACCTGTGTACCTGACTAATTACTTACCTGTTAAATTGATCAGTATACCTGTGTACCTGACCAATTACTCATGTACCTGTGTACCTGACAGTACATGTGTACCTGACTAACTACTTATCTGTATCTGGCAGCCGGCGACTGTGACCCTGCGGGCAGCAAGTACGTCCTGGCGAACCCCAACACCGGCGCCTGCGACTGCAAGGTGAGCGACTCAGGCCAAGATGAAGTAAAAAAATAAATAAATAAAAAAATCGTGTCTTTTTGAGTAGGAAATCTGGTGTTTTGAGATCTGCAGTGAGTTTCCAGTCTTGTTTCTTAGGTAATTCGTTCTCTGTGTTTGGTTTTTATTTTATTCAGAGATATAATCCTAACAAAATTTAGGGACCGCCTAGGCTTCGGCCGAATAGTCACTACACTCGGCGCAAAGTTATTCTGGGTCTGCTTGGCCACCCGATCAAAATCAGTTTTTCGTCAGAATCTCCTATCCGACTTTATAGTCGCCTATGGTACAAGGTATAGATATAAGGCCATAACTACATAACATATAAACTATATACCATAGGCGACTACCATATATGGTATGGTAGTCGCCTATGGTAGTATGGCAAGGGTTGGCCGAGCCGAGTCATACCGAGCTAGCAAGCTGCCCAGATGCTACCCTTCGAACCCTGAGCAGAAGCGGACAAAGAGAAGCTGATTTACGTGCTCCCCGAGTCTATATAGGCGGCCCTAATGCAGGGTCGCGCGCGCCTCTAAATTTTGTTAGGGTAATTAAGTAAAAATTCATTCCATTTTTTGCGCGTTTACTTTGTGTAGAAGTAGCCTACATTTTGAGCGCTGAGGAAGCTAACAGCTAAAATCATACCCTATAATGCTTTTACCTTCTCCTATCTCCAAACAACTTCTACATTACTCCCTTTGTTAACCTAAACCAACCTCTATTTGGTAATTGCCAAAATTATACTGGGGGCCGAAACTCCAAAATTCTTATTGTGATCTCGAAACATGGTTTCACGTCCGCAATACGGAAACGTCTCGTGGATTTATCATGCCGAGATTATTATTGGACATTTGGATATGAGGCACCCAACACTTTTTTGGAAATTCGCTATACGACTATGAATTTCTAAGGTAAAATGTATATTTATTTAACTTATTTCCATAGCAGCTCATGTTTATGTCACTTGTTTAGCCGTACCTGCCAAATCAATCCCCTTCAAAGGAATTTTTAAGCAATAAATTTCTGGAGTTGCCGCGAAGCCACGGAAAATTTCGAAAAATGAAATCAATTTTGGCGTAAATTTGTCCTTTAATGTCCAATTTAGGGAAGCTAACCTGGATTATTCAGGTTATGATGCAATATACAAATTCATTAATCTATTTTAAATCAATAAACAAAATTTAGCACAATTCGATCAAAGCCAAGATGTTTTTCAAGCCATATACACGTGTAAACCACCCCTCCCTCTCCACCTGGCCCTCAGTATTTTAATGTTGCTTGTATCCATTTGGGTCTGTATGTAAATTTATTGGACTCTACAATAATCTTGAGATGTTATTTAATATATATACCTATTTCATCTTTATTTTGTTTTTCGCTTAACAATAAATATTTCACTGCAAATAGAGATGATATTCTTATTAGATTAGGCAAAGTGAAAACTAAAACGGCTGTTTTTGAGCACATCGTCGAGGATAATAGGTTACGATGTTGAAGGTTATTTCTTTGCAATGTAAGTGAGAGAAGTTGTTTTGAATTACGAAATGTTTGAGCAAGAAGAAATGAAAAAACAGTTCTGGCTGATATTTGTTAATAATACAAATCCTGATAAATGAATTTTTATTCAGCTGTATCACCTGAATAGTCCAGGATAACGTTCGAAAATTTAGCCTTAAAGTCAAAATTAAGCTAATTTTCGCATATTTCAAATTTTTATCGGCTTTTCAAAAACTCTTAGGAATTTTTGTACGTAGAATATCTGGAATGCGGCTAATTGACACATCTGTCAATCTGTTATTGACAGCTATTCTCATATAAAAATCATAGTCGGATAGCGAATTGTCCAAAAAAGTTTTCTTCCATCCAAAGAAGTTTCCTTTGATCCTCTCTCCCGGTCCTGTTCAGCTTTTTCATATTCTAAATTGTTTGCTTTCTTTTAAACGTAGGAATTTGCCAGGCATCATAAATTAAATAAATTAATTGTCTGCATTTAGTGCAAAGCGTGATCTTGCGGTGCTCTCGTTTGCCAATATGCTAACTGGCTTTGTAGTTATCCTTCGCATTTCCCTTCGCATTTCAATTCTTTTCAGAAAATCAAGTCTTGGTTTAATTATCAAAGGGTCAACTATTCCTGAATCTGGTTTATTATGAACATTCATAAACAATCCGCCTTTATTATTTCATCTTCTCTTCTTTTATATGTCATTTTTAAAATGTTTCTAATCACCGCAACCTCCACATTACTTGTAATGTAACATAAGCAATTGTAAAGATTATATTAGGCAAAGAAACACTTAAATCTTCAACAAGAATGAGCAATTTTCGTTAATTTTGTGCTCCGGGGAAAGTCTGAAGCTATTTAATAATTAAAACATATTCTCAACCAAGCCACTGAATGGCTACGGCCCGCTTGGACTATGTATGTATTCGACTGGGTAATGATAAATAACAGCTTACTGTGTTATTCGACTGGGTAATGATAAAAATAACCGCTTGGTCTATGTTATTCGAGTAGGTAATGCCAAATAACCGCTTGGTCTGTGTTATTCGACTGGATAATGATAAATAACAGCCTGGTCTATGTTATTCGACTGGTATTGATATAAATAACCGCTTGGTCTATGTTATTCGACGCGTAATGATAAATAACCGCTTGTACTATGTTATTCGACTGGGTAATGATAAATAACAGCTTACTATGTTATTCGACTGGGTAATGATAAATAACAGCCTGGTCTATGTTATTCGACTGGTATTGATATAAATAATCGCTTGGTCTATGTTATTCGAGTGGGTAATTAAAAATAACCGCTTGATTTACGTTATTCGATTGGGTAATGACAAATGACCTCTTTGTCTATGTTATTCGAGTGGGTAATGATAAATAACAGCTTACTACGTTATTCGAGTGGGTAATGATAAATAACAGCTTGTACTATGTTATTCGAGTGGGTAATTATAAAAAATAACCGCTTGGACTATGTTATTCGACTGGATAATGACAAATAACTAAGAATATGAGCTTGTTTGTTATTTTTCCTGCCGCCTTGCCTGTCCTCGCCATCCTTTTAATGGACCCCTCCTCCTGGTAAGTGTTCTGCCTATCGCACTTCCTTCTATTCCATCCTGCTATTTTTTAATAGTATTTATTTCACACATTCTTAACACTTGTCAACCATTTGACCCGATAGAGTAACTTGCCACCGTATCCTTCTATTACATCCTGCTATTTTTTATTATTGTTTATCTCACATTCTTAACACTTTTCAACCATTTGACCCGATAGAGTAACTTGCCTCTGCCGCCATAGCAGTTTGTTTCGTAAATACCCAGTTTTCCATTGAGTTTCTATTGCAAGGACACAAATACACTATTATAATTAATAATTATTAGGGACACATATACATTACTATAATAAGTTTACTATTAGATTGCATAACGCTCTAAGTGTTTGGGCATTTCAGCTCAATTCGTATCGACTCTCTTCTATGTCGCTATTTTTTACTTTCGTTTTAATTTCTTTACAATATATTTTCGTATTTTCCAAAACAACTAAAAAGTGAGATCTGTTCATTTCATTTCATTTCGAAGTTAGCGTGCTAATCTCATACGATTTTTCTGCTATTGGTTGTTGTTAATGCTAAATAGGGTTAATACCTGGGCGGACTTGCTTTGACATCCAACTGTCACACAGATTGCATAAAAAATTGTAGTGCTATTTTCGTCGTTAACTGCTCACTCCGTAGAGACCTTTGGAGGTAGAAGCGAGATGTAGCCTCCAAGACAACGTACTTTCGGCGGTACCTGGCAAGTAGCATGGATGGCAACTCATCAATACATCAAATACAATAATGCCGCAATTAATTAATTAATACAATTAATTCCGGCGCTGATTTGTGGTCCATTTTAGGTAAACGATCGTTGTTCAATGATATCATTTTCTTGGCATTCTTGTTCATTTTCGACCTTATCTCTGCATAAGCTGCTTCACTGGCGTAAATCCGTAAATTTGTATCCGTATTAATATTGACTGCATTAACGATCCAAACACTTTTTTATCTACACAGGAATTGACGACTGGGGCGACATGTGGGGAATGCCAGGAGGGCAGCTTCTACCTGCACGAGAACAACCCTTACGGCTGCATCCGCTGCTTCTGCATGGGCACCACGAGCAGCTGCTACTCCTCCAACCTCTACAGGTCACAGGTATGCAAAGCTATAACACTAACAAAATTTAGAGTCGCCCCAGCTTCTGGTAACAAAATTTAGAGTCGCCCCAGCTTCTGGTAACAGAATTTAGAGTCGCCCCAGCTTCTGGTAACAAAATTTAGAGTCGCCCCAGCTTCTGGTAACAAAATTTAGAGTCGCCCCAGCTTCTGGTAACAAAATTTAGAGTCGCCCCAGCTTCTGGTAACAAAATTTAGAGTCGCCCCAGCTTCTGGTAACAAAATTTAGAGTCGCCCCAGCTTCTGGTAACAAAATTTAGAGTCGCCCCAGCTTCTGGTAACAAAATTTAGAGTCGCCCCAGCTTCTGGTAATCCAAATCAGAAGCTGCCGCGTCTGTAAATTTTCACTGGGAAGAACTCCTTCCCCAACAAAATTTAGAGTCGCTCCAGCTTCTGGTAATCCAAATCAGAAGCTGACGCGTCTGTAAATTTTCACTGGGTAACATAATTTAGAGTCGCCCCAGCTTCTGGTAATCCAAATCAGAAGCTGACGCGTCTGTAAATTTTCACTGGGAAGAACTCTTAAGAACTCCTACATATTCAGAGCACTTGTAACTGAGTTGCTACGGTACAGCTGAAGCTGATGCATCTTCAACATACTAGACTACTACTTTTTGTCATTAGTAGTAGACTACTACTTTCGACTAGACTACTTTTCGTCATTGCCTTGCACAAGATGCTTTACGCACGCGTCTATACCCAACACACAATTTTCTTCCAACCTGCTAAAATTCAGAACCACTTATGTAATTACGAGCCACAAATACCGTATGTGAGCCACATGTTATTATCAAAAAGAAGAAGTTGAGTTATATCAAAGTTAGTCACTTGTTTTAAACACAAACATCAACATGTAATGTATATGTCAATGATATTTTCCATTTTTACATTTGATTAGATTGATGAGAGTTGTTAGCCAATGAATAGTTATCTTTTGTTTGCAGATATCAGGCAGCCCCGGGAGAGGCAAACATCACCATGTAATGTTTATGTCGAAAATGTTTTACATTTTATATATAATTAAACTGTTGAGAGTTGTTGGCCAATGAATGCATCTTTTGTTTGCAGATATCAGCCAATGTTTATGTCGATAATGTTTTACATTTTATATATAATTGAATTGTTGAGAGTTGTTAGCCAATGAAAATTCATCTTTTGTTTGCAGATATCAGCCAATGTTTATGTCGATAATGTTTTACATTTTATATATAATTGAATTGTTGAGAGTTGTTGGCCAATGAAAAGACATCTTTTGTTTGCAGATATCAGCCAGTCCCGGCAGAATGTAATGTTTATGTCGATAATGTTTTACATTTTATATATAATTAAATTGTTGAGAGTTGTTAGCCAATGAAAATTCATCTTTTGTTTGCAGATATCAGCCAGTCCCGGCAGAGGCTCGCAAGGCTTCGCTCTCGTAGACCAGGACCAGACCCAAGCCATCACTGAGTTCCCTGCATCTTCTGACACTGAGCTGGTCTATAACTCCTTCCCTAACTCCGTGAACGTCGTGAGTTACTTTCCTAACTCTCTTTAATGTGGAGAAATCGTAAAGTTCCTCAAATATTTAACCTTCCACTGCCTGGTTCGGTAGATCTCAGGGGCAACTTGAGTCCAATAATCGAGAACAGTGGCAGCTGGGTTCGAAAAAATTATTGCCTTCTTAAGCATATCTTTTTATTTTATTGACTTTGCATTTATTTCCTACGCTATTTCAAAATTCACATTCATTTTTGTAGAATAATAATTCGGCGTTGAGTTTCCAGTTCACTTTCCGGTCTATCATTGATAAATTGTCTTCATTCTAGGTAATTTTACCACATGGGTAAAATTGTCTACAAAAATTAGCTACTTAAAAATTGCAGATCCATCAAAGCATTTCAACATAAACTATTGCGATAGAAAAATTTACACCGTATTGTGTGTTAGGCATGATGGTTTGATCACGCACCTTTCTATGAGCATTAATTCAAAAGTTCATGCATAAGTAAACATACATTTCCAAAATGTCGTATGAAGCCCTGTTCGTAAAATCAGTAGTACAATATTCATGCACTTCACGTAGTAAAATATCCTGATTCGTATATGCACCTCATAATAAAAATTATATTTCAATATAAATGAGAACATAAGAACTAACGGCTGAATATCTCCCGGGACAGCCGTACTACTGGCGGCAACAGTACAATATTCATGTACATCACGTCGTAAAATATCCTGATTCGCGTATGCACCTTGTAATATAAATTTTATTTCAATATACATGAGAACATAAGAACTAACGGTTTGATATCTCCCGGGACAGCCGTACTACTGGCGTCTGCCACCGATGTTCATGTGCATCATGTCGTAAAATATCCTGATTCGCGCATGCACCATATAATATAAATTATATTTCAATATACATAAGAATATAAGAACTAACGGCTGAATTTCTCCCGGGACAGCCATACTACTGGCGGTTGCCACCGCAGTTCCTCGGCAACAAGATTACAGCGTACGGCGGAGACTTGGTATACACGCTACGATATGTGCCTTACCCTGGCGGTGCTTCTTCCAGGAACACTGCTTACGATGTCGAGATTAAGGTTCGTTCTCTAGTGGATATTAACTCGATTAATAAGATTTGACATAGATAAGGTTCGTTCTCTATTGGATATTAAGTCTAAAGATTTGACATAGATAAGGTTCGTTCTCTATTGGACATTAACTCGATTAATAGAATAATATTTGACATAGATAAGGTTCGTTCTCTATTGGACGTTAACTCGATTAATACAATAAAGAGATTTGACATAAATCCACTGCTTCAAATATGTTTTGATTCTTTTCCATCTCTTGGTGTATAAATTTTTAGTTGAAATTTTTCGCATTGTACTGCGGTGACAATTTTGCAATTTAAAATTTGGCACCGATTTTCAGAGAGTAAATTTCAATAAATCGTGGTTAATTGTAAATTCATAATTATTGTTGCAGATCATCTTAAGTAATTTTACAGATACATGTTCATGTATCAAATGACGTCATTATTTTCGTCGTATAAAAAAAAGCTCCAGCTTACATGACGAGTTGAAGTTTGAGACAAACTTCATCTGTCACTGCTACACTCTCAAGTAAACCGTTTACTATGTACAATTAACTGATTACCGTGTACAACTCGCAAGTGAACCGTTTATCATGTACAACTGATTACCGTGTACAACATTACCGTGTACAACTCGCAAGTAAACCGATTACCGTGTACAACATTACCGTGTACAACTCGCAAGTAAACCGTTTACCATGTACAACTTATTACCGTGTACAACATTACCGTGTAAAACTCACAAGTAAACCGTTTATCATGTACAACTGATTACCGTGATTACCGTGTACAACATTACCATGTACAACTGATTACCGTGTACAACATTAACGTGCACAACTCGCAAGTAAACCGATTACCACGTACAGGGCAACAGCGTCATCCTCCGTCACTACGGCGGGCGCCAGATCTCGAGCAGCGCGGCAGAGACAGTGCGCGTGTCGCTCGTAGAGTCCGAGTGGAGACGTCAAGACGACCAGCCTGCCAACAGAGAACATCTCCTCATGGCCCTGGCTAAGATAGATTACATCCTAATCAAGGCTACCTACACTACAGCTACTTCTGAAGTCGCGTTAGTGTTAACTAGACTGTCGTTCTTCTAGTGCTTTCTCTGAACCTGTAAATAACCCCATGTATATATCGTCAAACCGAATTATGCGTAAAGCGCTTCTTCGTCTCCGTTTCTCCTTCTCCTTTCTGACCTCCCTGAGCCACCTCATGATCTTTGCCCACATTTCCTTGTGGCACCGCCACCACTACAATTTTTTAGGGTCAAACCAAAACCGGTACAGCGATATCATAAAAATTTGATTAATCATTTTTTGCGCATTTTCTCATTTATGGAAAAAATTCACTATTATTTGTTACTTATTCGTTGGTTCGAAATTTTCGTGTTATTTCTGGTTGTCATCATAAATGCGCTTTCTATCCAAATTAAACAAAATCCATGTGAAAAATTGCATGAATAAGAAATGATTTCAAGGTAGTCGGAGCAGAAATTTCATAAACCAATATGAGAATAGAAATTTTAAATTGATTTTTTGCATCACGCGTGTACAGACTCGAGAGCGTACGCATGGACATCGCTGAGACCAGGAACACCGGAGGACCTCGTGCTGGGGCTGTAGAGATCTGCTCCTGCCCTGTGGGGTACAAAGGACACTCGTGTGAAGAGTGTGAGGCGGGATACACTAGAGGTCTCTCTGGTCTCTATCTTGGGGTCTGCGTGCCTTGTGACTGCAACGGCCATTCTGATGAATGCAACCCTGAGACCAACGAATGCATCGTGAGTCGCTCTGCCTTTAATTGGGATATTAAAATTAGCATATTTGATGACGCATAATTTCACACATCTGCCACCAATAATTGAATGAACTTCGCCTTACTGCAGACAAGAGTAAATATCCATATAGTCATGCTCATATTATAAAAAATATTATATTTTATATCACATTAAAAAATACACGGTTAATAATAATAATGCCATCGTACAATTGGTGTTGGAAAAATTATAAAAGGCCTTCACTTACAGGCCTTTACGGCCTTGTAAAGAAGAATGGGCCTTTAAGGCCTTGGCCCGTTTCTGTGACTCTGAAAAAAGAATCGCTTTACTTGCGTTAAAATGCTGGGAAAAGACAGAGCACCGGCAGATAGAGCAAAGCAGAGCACCGGTTCATTGCAGCTCATTCAGATTTAATTGATGAGTGAGGAGCACACAAGTTCGGTGGTCACGGTCTGAAATGATTCCGTTTTTGAAGTCACGCTGAATGAAATTGAATAGGAAATAGACAAATAGTAACGTTTGATGTAAATATCTATCGAATTTTTAAATATCTATCGAATTTTGATCCCAAAAGTCATATATATGTATCTTTTCGGCACAGAACTGCCGTGACAACACCGCGGGCTTCTACTGCGACGAGTGCTTGCCAGGCTACTACAAGGACCCCTACAGCGGCCGCTGCGAGCGTCGCGATGGTCGCCCGGACTGCAGTGCGTGCGACCCTCGGGGTGCCGTGTCGGACCAGTGCCTCAATGGGGCGTGTCAGTGCAAGGTGAGGCTGATGCCTTATATATTCCAGTAAAAAATAATTATAAGATTGTCAATGAACTAATAAAGTATAAACTTTCATCAGTTCCTATGAATTACTATTAAACCAACTATAGTTCAAGAATGTACCCAATATCAATCACTGGCATGTAATCAGCCCTGTCTCGACACAGACGAACGTACAAGGCGACAGCTGCAGTTTGTGTGCCCCGGGATATTTCGGTCTGTCACTTACGAACCCCGACGGCTGCCTGCGTTGCTGGTGCAGTGGAGTCACTGACCAATGCTTCTCCTCCAACTTCCAGAAGATGCAAATCCCGATGAACCTCATCGGCGAAAACCATGGATTTGTCATCACCAACAGGTCCGTTGTACAAAATTCATTAAAAAATTCAGTGGTTCATTAAAAATTTAGCGGTTCATTAAAAAATCAGCGGTTCATTTACCATTCAGCGAAAACCATGAATTTGTCATCACCAACAGGTCCGTTGTAAAAAATCCATTGTAAAAATTCAGCGGTTCATTAAAACAGGTCCGCTGTAAAATTCTAATAAACCACTGCAGGTCATAAGAACAGAGTGGGTTTCCGAGTAGTTCCATGTGGCATTTTTCGACGAGGATTTAATCTCAGATAATAGGAAGTTAATGATGTGAGGTCTTATATTGCATACAATGACGAACCTGTATACAAAGAACTGTCCTGCTGGCTAAATCCACAAGATTATAAAAGTGAAGGGATAATATTATTATAAATCATTAGTCTAAGGAGGAAAATGACGATTTGAACACTGCTTTGCACGCTCTAACTCAAAGCAGAACAATCAAGAAAAAAGCCTACTGAACCTTAACTATTGAACTTCACCAATGAAAGTATTGAACCTCCACGCCTATATCAATACCCTTAAAACCGCAATGACGGAAACCACTGGAATTGGTTATCATAAACATGTACGTTGAGAAAGCTCATGTTTAAAACTGAAATTCTGGTCTTTTTCTATAGGTCATTGAATGCTTTAAGTACTAATATTGTATTTCGATTTGAAACTTCTAATTCGAATGATGATGCACAACAATCTATCCATTTATTTACAAGAATGTTAGCACTCGCTATTGCTCCCTTCATAGACTTGCGGTGCTTGGGCAATATCGTCGCATTCGAACCTCTAAATCTGCCCAAATAATAAAATCAATAGAAAGAGAATCAATCAATAAATACTAAAATCAATAGTGCTAGAATTTTCATCAACCGTCATGTGTTATCATAATTTTTGCAGAGCTCGTACTGACGTCAAACGCGATGGCTTCCGAGTTAATATCCGCGACAACCAAATAACTTACAACGAAATGAACCTCCTTAACAACCAGGACACCTACTACTGGTCACTGCCGCAGGTGAGGCTACTAGTGCACTGGACAAAGTAGTACTTTATTGTACTAGTGCTGGACAAAGTAGTACTTTATTGTACTAGTGCTGGACGAAGTAGTACTTTACTGTACTAGTACTGGACGAAGTAGTACTTTATTGCACTAGTGCTGGACGAAGTAGTACTTTATTGTACTAGTGCTGGATGAAGTAGTACTTTATTGTCTTTTTCCTCTATTCACTCCGTCGTATCCAAAGACCAATAAATCAGATGAAATTACTTCAGTATTTACTGGAACTATATTCTGACCATTCTGATCACTGTTTATTGCCCAACCTCCAAACATTCCACCATCTTTCCAACTGTTGTTTCAACACGTCACTAAATTAATAAAGTTTCACAATCGCGTAATCTTTACCGAAATTATTATCGAATTAGTTATTGTAACTCTGAATAAAAACACGAAAATGGCATTTATATCAATATTTTCCAAGCGTAAGCAACAGAGCGGCCAAATGATATGATTTATTCAGCAGAGCAACGCTTCTTGTCTTCCATATTCCTGCGTCTCTATTAGATGACATCAAATTCTTCCGTTCCATTACCATCCATTCAGTGACATCCTGCAGTCCTTTCTCATTACCTACTGCATCACCTGCTCATCCATCACCTCCTACTGCATCACTAATCACCTCCTACTGCATCACCTGCTCACCCATCACCTTCTATTGCATCACTTGCTCTTCCATTGCCTTCTACTGCATCACCTGCTCACCCATCACCTCTTACTGCATCCTCCGTCACCTTCTACTGCATCACCTGCTTATCCGTTACTTCCTAATGTATCACTTTTCATTCCCTCCTTCATTACGTTTTACTCTATAACCTCCTACTTCATTACCTCATGCACTACCCTAACAAAATTCGGTGCATGCTTCAGCCTCCGCCCCAGAGTTGCTATGTTCGCGTTAGAGTTATTCTGGGTCAGTTGGCCAACTGATCGCAATCAGCGACTAGTCAGAACCACCTTGCCGACTTTATGCTCTCCTGAGAGTAGGGCAATAGTTAGCAGAATAAGTACCAGGCGCTTGTAGCTGTCTCATTCGGGGACCGGAACGTAGATCGAAAAGCGGACATAGAGAAGCTGGTGGACTATGCTCCCCAAGTCCTAGGCGTTCCTTAATCCAGAGCCGCCCTCGGCTCTAAATTTTGTTAGGGTATAAAATCATGCCTCATCACCGCGCGTCATCTGCTGCGTTCTACTGCAGTCGTTCACCGGGAACCTGCTGCCGTCCTACGGCGGCCACTTGGAGGTGACGCAGTTCTACGAGAGCGCCTCTACGAACGTCATCCGAGAGGCCGATGTTGTCATCCGCGGCTCGAACGGTCAGGAGCTCGTGTGGATGTTGCCTGAACCGCTGCTGCAGAGCCAGAGGAAGAACTACTCGGTGCCGCTACAAGAGACTTCGTTCGTACTCAACCAGTATCCTGTTACCAGGTGACGTTTTGTTCCCTCGCGCTTTGTATAATTTTCTCTCAATTAGTGTCTATTTGTTCTGTTTGTCAGCGATTCCCAAATAGAAATATTCTTCTCTCATCCAGTAACATTTTGTTATTAATCGTTCAGTTATCTTTCTGTTTTCACAGAGTAAAACCAGAGTAAAATCCGAAATAGCATAATTTTCCGTCATTTAGGTCGGTTCTCTCATCCAGTCCAGTAACATTTTGTTATCAATTGTTCTGCTTTCACAGAGTAAAAACCACCGTAAAATCCAAAATAGCATTTTCCGTCATTTTGGTCGGTTCTCTCATCCAGTCCAGTAACATTTTGTTATCAATCGTTCTGTTTTCACAGAGTAAAAACCAGTGTAAAATCCAAAATAGCATAATTTTCCGTCATTTAGGTCGGTTCTCTTATCCAGTCCTGTAACATTTTGTTATCAATCGTTCTGTTTTCACAGAGTAAAACCCGTTCTGTTTTCGCGGAGCAAAAACCACCGTAAAATCCGAAATAGCATAATTTTCCCTCATTTAAGTCGGTTCTCTCCTCCAGTCCAGCAGTCCTGTAACATTTTGTTATCAATCGTTCTGTTTTCACAGAGTAAACCCCGTTCTGTTTTCGCAGAGTAAAAACCACAGTAAAATCCGAAATATCATAATTTTCCGTCATTTAGGTCTGAGCTCCTAGAAGTGCTGTCATCTGTCGAAGTTATCCTCATCCGCGCGACGCCGAGCGCCGACATGATCTCGACGACACTGAGCAACGTCGTGCTCGACACAGCCGTCTCGTCGCAGACGGGACTTGGACGAGCCGATCTCGTCGAGCAGTGCCGCTGCCCCAACGAATACCACGGACTTTCTTGCGAGGTAAAGTACTTTGTTTCCCTACCTATTTCAGCTCCTCTATCCTGACATGCTGCCTATTTCAGTTCATCTATCCTGAAATGCTACCTATTTATTAATATGGGCCCTGGGCCTATACTTTCAAAAAAAAGTTAAGAGATTGTAATTTCATTAGCCAATCATTTATGGCCTTTCAAGTAAAATCCACCAATCATAGACAAGAAAATAGAGCGTAAGTACTTACGTTCACTATACTTTCAAAAAGAAGTTAAGAGATCGTAAGTTCATCAGCCAATCATTGACGGCCTAACAAGCAAAATCCACCAATCATAGACAAGAAAATAAAGCGTAAGTAATTACGTTCACTTAGCGAGTTTTGAAAGTATGGCCCCAGGCCATCAGGGTACGCTGGTGTAGGGGGGTTCAGGTGGCATAGGGTATCTAAAAGCGTGGGAAGATATACTGAAGTTGGTAAAATTGGTAGCATATCAGGATAGAGGAGCTGAGGTCTCTAGAAATAATCTGAGAGAATGGTTGTTTTTATCCTTGGAAGTGTGATGCCATCACCACTGCCTGATTCCATAACCACAGCCTGATTCCATAGCCGCAATCGGTAGTACTTCTCTACAAAATTATTCACATTGCTTCACAATATCAGCTCAACGGTCATGAGCTGTCAGTCACATCTGTGACCAATTTTTGACCTAAACGAGTTCAGTGTTTCATAGTCGAGGTATTGTGCTAAGATATAAAGAAATAAAGAAGAGTGGTGGACATATTTAGGCAGCAAGGGCCAGCCTTCTGAAGATGTTTTCGATGGTTTCAAAAGTAGCGGTGCACGAAACATAGGAGTAGTTGATACAGCAGCGGTGAAAGTCATATGTTTTCCCTACCCTAAATAAAGGCTTCGACTTTAAGAAAGAAGTCTTCTTTTTATTGGCCTCCTGCAATGCTTGCCGGCGACTCGTCTAACATAAAAGTCTATGCACTTACACCACACCGAGTAAGTAGATTTCATCATTGATCAAGTGCGTGTATAAGCGTCTCGATGTTAATATATCTTCGTAAAATGTTGCGACGCGCGTCTTTTCCATGTTAAATATTTATTCCCAAACAAATACTAAGGATATGTTGAATAATGTTGTGTGTCTCTCTGCAGAGCGTTAGTTTATCTTCGCAAAATGTTTCGACGCGCGTCTGTTCCATGTTAAATATTTAGGACCTGTTAAATAATGTTGTATGACGCGCGTCTTTTCCATATTAAATATTTATGATATCTTAAATAATATTGTGTATCTCTCTACAGAGCTGCATGCCCGGCTTCTACCGTGACAGTCGCACCAACCGTTGCCTGCAGTGCAACTGCAACGGCCACGAAGAATCATGCGTCGAGGGACCGAGCGGCAGACCAAAGTGCAACTGCATTCCTGGATACTACGGCGACTACTGCGAAAAATCTGGTGCGTACCCTACAGGATTTGAGAGTCAGGACTACTATCAAAATTTCTATCCTGCGGATCAAGGGACGTATCAGAACAGCTATCAAAATGGATACGATCAACAAACCTACTATGAAGCTCCATTAGATGCATATCAATCTGATCCTGCAAGTTACGCTGGCAACGGTTATGAAGGTGTCTTGGGTAACGGCTATGGAGATGATTTGCCGGTAGGTAGTGATAATGGTCACAGCTCGTACTACTCGCTCAACGAGTATAATTCGCAAATAAATAGCGTACAAAATTCGCATTCATACGTTGGTTATAACGCCCCGCCTACTGCCTACGTTGCTCCTCCTGTAGCTCACAGTTACTACTACCCTTACCATCAACCACAAGACACATATCATCAACAACAGCAAGGTTATGTGCCGGCTGATGGCTATTATAATGGCTACTACAACCTGCCATATGCTTACCAAATCGGCCGGTAAAGTGTGTAGATAACCTAAACTATTACAAACGCCGTAAAAATCCATAACTTCACTATCGAGAATCTGTGAAATTTATTCTCTAATGTTTATTTTGATCGGTCAAGACGCTATATTAGTACGAAACTATTTTGAATCGCTCATTTGCTTCATATTTTTACATTTTCTCGAGAAATCCTGCAAATTTCAGGGAGATAAAAAATTAATTCTATCCTCGTTGCATCAATTTTTCCAACCTGACACTAAACTAAAAACTAAAGACACTAAACTAAACCAAACTAAACTAAAAAAACACTAAACAAAACGCCTAGACAATATATTAGTGCAAGATTATTGTTGAAATTTCAACGGTTAGCGTTTCTTCCAGCGCATTTCCCTATCTTCTTAGATGCCTTGTGTTTGTGCGAGTGAAATTTAATAACATTTAGAGGCATTGCAAAAAGTAGTTGTTCAATAATCTGTAGAGCTTTGATTTGTTTCATATTGTAATCCTAGTCTAAATTTTGTATGCTAACTGCATGAGTTTGTTTCTACTACTTATATTCTTTGATTATTTAGCTAATTTCTGAATTATATATTATTATAGACCTTTTAATTCATTTGATGTTGTTTGTTTGGTAGCTCTCAGTTGGTAGCTTGCTGTTTGTAATAAAAAACTCTTAGTTTAACTCCCATTCTAATACTGATTTTTTGCTGAGCAATTTTGCTGCAATGAATAAGATTATTTGTCTTTCATTTATGATAGTTGAAATTTATGTACAATAATTACTGTTCTAATACTCAATGTTTACTTGTTTGAATAATTTATACGTGTTTACATTTTTCCTACGTGAACGCATTTACTGTTGTTTGCTTATGTCACTTATCCTTCCATTTACGGTTGTTTGTTTATGTCACTTATCCTTCCATTTACTGTTGTTTGCTTATGTCACTTATCCTCCCATTTACTGTTGTTTGTTTATATCACTTATCCTCCCATTTACTGTTGTTTGCTTATGTCACTTATCCTTCCATTTACTGTTGTTTGCTTTCCTGTCTTCGCTTCTTCCCTATTCTCTTTTTAGTATCTTCAATATCCTCCAATTAATCATTAATAATCTCTATATATTGAAAATTGATTCATAATAATAATATTCATAAGTAGTTTATAATAATAATATTCATTTACAATAATAATAAAATATTAATTGCTAATAATCGCTAAATATTGAAAATCAAAAACTTTTTAAAAATGATCTTGATAGCGTTTTCTCATCAGTCTTTATTATAAATCAGGGTCTTTGGAGCCCAATTTTACAAACGCTGATTGAATAAGACTCAAGTTAAATATTTACTTATTATGTTGATTTTGAACTAGCATGTCTTCAAGCCAATGGTCACAGCAATATAGTGACATGTCAAGAATTTCGTTGTCAGTAAACTTCCATCTTGCCAATACTTTTTATTAATCCTTCATGGGTGAGGTCTCTTGCATGTTTTTACGCCTTTGGTCTTCTTATTTTATCATGCTGGACTAAGCGTCTTATCTAGCCATATTATTTCTATTTTTATTAAGCATACGGTACTTCACGGGTGTGTTCTCTAACTGTTTTTAATGGGACTTTTTTTAGCTTCGATAAATTCAGTTTGACTTTTTAAATCTCACATTCTGTACTATTTAAAAAAAATTCCACTTAAATTTGTTCAGTATCGGCACAAAAAGCTTTTAAAATTTTCTTATTTCTGAACGAAATCTTTAAAATTTGTAACTATTTTAGATTTCAACGTATACTGTTTTAACTCCATCTATGGATTCAGTTTTTTCTCCATGCAGTGTGGATCTTTCTTCGCATGAACTCAAGTCTTCATGAGTAACACATGAATCTCCTTGGTTTTATTACACTCGTTTATTTTCTTCCCTTCTGTTTACTGTATTTTAAGCTGCATTTTTAGCAGAAATCGTGTTCGTGCATTCATAGTGTGTTCTTCCTCCAGCTTTCCTGTCACAAAGAATGCCTGTCAGAAATAACTTACTGTCATGTCGGAGAATTTATTCTTACGGTTATGTTGTACGTATTTCAGCGTGGAATATTAATCTGTGCTACAGGCATTGTAAATATAATTAGATTGCAGTTAACCCTCCTGTAGCATCTGGGTCAATATGAGCCGTATTTCGAGCCCTTTGCCCAGAAGGCACAGGGCTAATACCGGAAATGAAGGCTAAGGGTACGCACACAGTGAAAGCAGGTTGCCAGCGTGCTGGTTACCTGCTCAGGCTGGCGCCTGAAACCATAGAATACAGAAGCCTATTCGTACAGGTTTTCACTGTGAACACTTACATTATTATCCTATGTTCATTCTTGTGGCAGGTTGGAGCAGGTTGCCCGCGCGGGCAAACCTGCTTCCACTGTGTGCGTACCCTTCAGGAGAGTTAAATGCATTCCAGTACAATGCATCCTTCCTTATGCCGAATAAAACCTATGTCTAAAGGCGGCTTCATTTTAATTTATTGTGTGTGTTCTTTTCCTAATGCATTTGAAACTATCCTTGCTAAAGGAGAGTTAAATGCATTCCAGCACAATGCATCCTTCCTTAGGCCAATAAAACCTATGTCTCGAGGCGGATTCATTTTAATTTTAGTGTGTGTTCTTTTTGTAATGCATCTGAATCTATCCTTGCTTTTTAAAATAATGTGCAATGGTTTGTTAACAGCCCCTCTGTAAGTACATTGACTATTATTCAGAAGGCATAGTCATTTGTTTTGAATTGATGCCTGGAACAGTCATGGATTGTGCTTTTTGAAGACTCGGAACTTGATGCATGCAAGTTATTCAATCAAAATAATCAGCATTTATAACCTGGATCGGGAAAACTTGTCATAGTTTTTGTATTTCGTTCATACATTTTGTCCATTACATCGTCCTATGTTGCAGCCAGACTTGCTTATTAGTTTAACTTTCATAAGTACTTATATCATTAGTCTGCTTACATCGCAAGTTCACAAGGAATTTAAAAGCAAAGAAAACGCCAAGAAAATATTCAATATCGATATGGTGAATTTTCTTGGCGTTTTCTTTGCTTTTAAATTCCTTGTTTAACTTTCATGTATTGACTTTCGTTGGTTTAACTTACTTAGCCCGACTGTGTTCGTTTTCGTGGCTTGTTTTATAATCTTGGTGTTACTCTTTGTCCTGAAGAAAATTCCAGATATTGTATCCCCGATACCTTTGTTTCCCGACCTACATAGGTATATCGTTGGAGCTACGACCATCCATCATTATCTACAATACCGTACATCCATACGAACATCACGAGTTTGTTTGTTCATACAACTCGTCGCACCCGCTTACGTTCCGTATGGAAGTCGAGCCGGCCGTAGGAGGGCCTTATGCTGCCCCATTGACGAGACCGAGACCGGATGCTCTCCAGCGACCGTATCCATACGGGGAGAAACTTCGCACTGTCATAACCCTGGCTCCCCACCACCAGCTTGTGCGATGTAGTCTTGTAGACATAAATGGGTTTGAGGTTGCCAGAGCCATCACTAAGATCCGGCACAACTTTTATGATGAGGTTATAAGTAAGTAAAATAAAGTGAATTGTAAACTTATTATGAAGCGAAGCGTACAATCGTACGGCTGCTTCGGGCTTTTGTGCAACACACATGAGTGTGTTCGTCTTCTGCTTGAAAGCTGATCAACTGAATTTCGTCTCTGGTGATTCCTCTGCAAATGGAAACTGATATTTATAGAATTGTGTGTTTTACATGCGTCGTTTTCGTACTGTAAAACATGGCTCTCAAAAACTCAGAAACAAATTGTGGGTATATCTCATCCAACTGATGATAGTAATTTTTGTGAATGATCCTTGACCAAATTCAAAGGATCGATGGCGCAGCATTAACTAAGATGTACAGAAAAACCTGTGCTATATATTTTAAAGGAAAATCCTATTCCATCCGATCCCTGTACCCACAATTTATTTCCAGTAAACTTATGAGCCATACCGTTATCGTCCCGGTGTGTGTCATGTCCGTCATTCGTAACGTAGATAGTACAATTTCGTGGGAATATTTTACTTGTCTGTACAATGTACAGTGTACATATGATCGCTTTACTCGTCTGTACAGTGTACATATGAGTGCTTTACTCGTCTGTACAATGTACATATGATCGCTTTACTCGTCTGTACAGTGTACATATGATCGCTTTACTCGTCTGTACAGTGTACATATGATTGCTTTACTCGTCTGTACAATGTACATATGATTGCTTTACTCGTACGTACAGTGTACATATGATTGCTTTATTCGTCTGTACAATGTACATATGATTGCTTTACTCGTACGTACAATGTACATATGATCGCTTTAATTGTCTGTACAGTGTACATATGATCGCTTTACTCGTCTGTACAATGTACATATGATCGCTTTACTCGTCTGTAAAGTATGCATACGATTGTTTTACTCGTCTGTACAGTATACATATGATCGCTTTAATTGTCTGTACAGTGTACATATGATCTCTTTACTCGTCTGTACAATGTACATATGATCGCTTTAATTGTCTGTAAAGTATGCATACGATCGATTTAATTGTCTGTACAATGTAAATATGATCGCTTAAAATAAACGCGCTGGGCCAGCTATCACTGCATGTGCAATTCTTCACGATGGAACGACAGATTCACATCCTGCCATTATATTTTCATGTGACGTATCAACAACAGTTCGCCAAAAATATCAATTATTTCACATCTGTATTTTGATTATATGTGCGTCATTCTCAATGAAATAGGAATTACTTCATATTGAACCGTTTCTTCATATATATATCGGAGTGGAAACGTACCGGAATCATTGGTATACACTTAATAGCTTGAATGATTTTAAAATGTGTGTGTTATTTGTCTGATTTGATTTCTCGCGTTCATTTTTTATCTCTTTCAAATTTTATTATTTTCATTTTTTTTTTATTATATGCAATTTCGTTTGCGCCTTTAACTTATTGTTTGAAGTTCATTATTGTGTCATAATTTTGTATTTATATTCACTTACTTCTGCGTTTATAAACGAGCAGAAATTGCGTTAAAATGAAAAATATGTTCGTTGAAATCACAAAATTGTAGTGGTATCTTTAATGAAGTAAAATACTGTTCAAATTTCTTTACCGAATTAATTTCTAACTTAACTCGGATCTATAACCGTTGCTTTGAAATGCTCGTTAATAATTTAAAATACGCTCTTAGTAGTTTAATTATTGAATTTGACACGATTTTTTGTTGTCACTTGGATGAACAAATAAAATTAATGAGTGTTAAATTAAAGCTTGTATCCAAATCATCTATTTCAACCAATTCATGAATGAAAAGTTTCTTTCTTCTTATCATAATTTTTGTTTTTAATGTGCTTTTCGCCGTGAATGATTATTATGTATTCATTGATTCTTCTTTCTTATACATTACCCTAACAAAATTTAGAGTCGCCCCAGCTTCTGGTAATCTAAATCAGAAGCTGCCGCGTCTGTAAATTTTCACTGGGTAACAAAATTTAGAGTCGCCCCAGCTTCTGGTAATCCAAATCAGAAGCTGCCGCGTCTGTAAATTTTCACTGGGTATATACTTACATGATGGGAAGTTATATCAACTTTTCTGATGGGAAGTTATATCAACGTGTTACTTTTAATTCAACAATTGATTGCTTTTTCTACTTGTGATGTTAGGGATGCTTCTTCTAGGGCACAAATGTCGCATTTACCGACCTAATTAAATTTTATTTGTTATTAATAATCGTAATAATATAATCATCGGACTTCATGAGTGCTAATTGGACATTCTTGACATAAATATTTGTTTAGGCTTGCTCCTCTACATTTATTACTTGATTTTTAGAGCAACCTAAATTTGGTAAATCGACGTTTAGTTCTAACTTATTAAAAAAATTAAATAGACTTCAATTTCAGAATTTCCCCATTGCTAAACAGCAGCATGCATCATTGAAATAATTGATATGAATTGCGTTATAATTTTTTATTTGTGGATGGATCACTTATTTACTCTTTAGTGTTGAATCACAAAATATTGCTTGAAAATAGCTTTAGTGTTGAATCACAAAATATTGCTATTGCGCAAAATATCATCAGCCTGCTGAATTACAAAAAATTTTTTCGATTATATATTTTTTATGCTTCAGCCAAGCCGGGCTAATATGGCTCGATATGAATGCGTTATAATTTTTTATTTATGATTTATTTATTTACTTTTTAGAATAACTGCTGATTACAAAAAATTTCTTCGATTATATATTTTATATGCGACCCAGCCAAGCCGGGCTAATATGGCTCGATATGAACAGGTCTACCGGAACCTCCCCCGGAGACAGACACCGCAGGCAGCTTCCAGCGAGCCGTCATAGACGAACCTGTTATACAAATTGTGGCCGTTGGCAGTACAGTCACCTACTTCTGTAGAGTCGGCAACCCTCAACAGGTTAGTACAGTCACCTACTTCTGTAGAGTCGGCAACCCACAGCAGGTCTGTACAGTCACCTACTTCTGTAGAGTCGGCAACCCACAACAGGTCAGTACAGTCACCTACTTCTGTAGAGTCGGCAACCCGCAACAGGTCAGTACAGTCACCTACTTCTGTAGAGTCGGCAACCCGCAACAGGTCAGAGCTGCTGATACTGCTACTTATATTGTCGTAAAAGTGATAAGCTTGTATACACAAATGTAAGGTAATGCCAACATACACAACCTAATCATTTATCAAAGAATAACTCTTTAAATCTTGCACTCTTGCTGAAGCTAGAGTGGAGAATTTAGGTTAGGATCTAAATTTCTTCCAGTGACTTAATAATTGAAACGATCTCATTTTCAGCACGGTGATCGCTTGTATATTTCCTGGAGCCGTGACAACGGAGAGCTTCCATACGGCCGAGCCTCTGACGACCGCAACGGCCGTCTCGTCATCACTCAGGTGAGCTTCCACCCAGTGAAAATTTACAGGCTCGTCAGCTTCTGATTCGGGGTACCAGAAGCTGGGGCGACTCTAAATTTTGTTAGGGCATACGGCCGCGTCTCTGACGACCGTGACGGCCGTCTTGTGATCACTCAATTGAATTTCCATACGGTCGCGTCTCTGACGACCGTAACGACCGTCAGAGACGGCTCCTTAAGGTCTCTGAAAGTATGCCTGTTAAAAATATATGGTAACGTTTATGACGGCATCAGATTTACAATTATGAAAGTTGCAATACCAATAAGGTAACGTTACGACGTCTGTAATGATCACAAGTGCAAAACAGAGAAGGCAACTTCATGATCTGTTCGATGTCACTTGCAATAACAAGAAGGGTACGTCATGTGTTATATAATTCAACTTAATAATATCAATGCAACTTAATTATTCGTAGTTAAAAATGGTTGAGTAAGGATGAGCATGAATCTCATAGTTTGTAATTTTGTTCATTGCAGGTTCAGACCAGCGACTCCGGTCAATATGTGTGCACCATTTCGGACGGCTTTAACCTCATCCTACAGACCACGGCCACGCTTGAAGTTGAAGGTATGGCGTTCCTTTCGCTTATTGCTCTTTATCAGACCTTCTTTTTCTTAGGTTTAATAATCAGTTACCTTTAAGAACCTGAGGATGCATCCTCAAATATTTTGAGTTTATTATAAATTTTGGGAACGAAATTAGTCATATATTTTTCTTCACTTTCGACGACCTCGTTTTTCCTTTAGTTTCATAATATTACATCAGTCGCTTTTAAGAACATGAGGTTGCGTCCTCAAATATTTTGAGTTTATTATAAATTTTGGGAGCAAAATTTCAGTCATATCTTTTTCTTCACATTCGACGTAGCAATTTGAGGTTCGAATACACTTGAAACAATCTTAACATGCATTCCAAAACCTTGTTTCGTATTTAATTGTCTGTTGATTCGGTCTGCGATTATTTTCATAAATTGATCAATGATTAAGAATTTAAAATAAAAGAAAACGCCAAGTAAATTCGTCACATTTTCATCGGGAATTTTTCGGAGACCAGCTTCATAATCAACTAAAAATTCAGAGAGTACAAGTACAGTCAATAGAGAGAAGCAAGATTTACACGAAACAGTCGGTTTAAATCATAATTAACGAAATACCGACCCAAAATATAAAAAATTGGTCGATTAACAATTTCAAGTAGATATGAACTATTAGTTTTTAAAATTTTTACTCGATATTTTTTTCATGTATTTGATTAGATTTTTCGGTACTTGTGATTTGGACCCTCTTTCGTGTAAATTTGGCTCTCCTCTATTGATTGTCTTGTATTTTCTGAATTTTTAAATTCATATTGGACTTGGTCCCTGAAAATTCCGATGAAGATATTATGAATTTATCTGATTTACTTTTCCAGTAAATTTCTTATTGACTCAAGGCATAAAAGTGCTTAAGATTACTATATAAAATGCACGGTTCCCAATTAATATATCGACGACCTGGGGGACCCTTGTAGGCAGCATAGCTACCCTAACAAAATTTAGAGTCGCCCCAGCTTCTGGTAATCCAAAATCAGAAGCTGCCGCGTCTGTAAATTTTCACTGGTAAGAACTCCTACCCAAAATTTTCACTGGGAAGAACTCCTACCCTAACAAAATTTAGAGTCGCCCCAGCTTCTGGTACTCCAAATCAGAAGCTGCCGCGTCTGTAAATTTTCACTGGGTAGGTCTTCGGCCTAAGTGTTAGTTGTAGTTATACCTTTGTAATTACTATGCACGCTCCCTTAAATTATTATAAGATGGAAGAACTCTCTTTGTTAACAATTAGCGACTCTTTGTTAAACTCAAAATTGTTCGACTCTTTGAAGATTATAATGCATTCTCTGGTCATTAATTGTACGTTCCCTTGAATGTATACTAACGTATGAACCTCTCTTTCTTTCCCTGCATTCCCTCGGCGTGACGTCATCTTTGTTTTCATACTTTTTATTATCAATTTTCTCTGACTTTATTATTCTTATTTGCTTTTTATTACGTTCTCCCTTGACTTCCGTCACTCTTTCACTTTTAACCTGCTATAAATTTCTGTTATGTTGACTAATTATTTACGTATTTTTGCTCAACGTTGCCCTGAGCCCACCCTTCTTAATATGTAATCCTGAAAACTACTACTGCTTCAACTCCTTCAAACACGCTGACTATTTTCAAACACGCTGAACATTTTCAAATACGCTGAACATTTTCAAACACGCTGAACATTTTCAAACGCGCTGAACATTTTCTAACACGCTCAATATTCTCAAACACGCTGAACATTTTCAAACACGCTGTACATTTTCAAACACGCTGAACATTTTCAAACACGCTGAACATTTTCAAACACGCTGAACATTTTCAAACACGCTGAACATTTTCAAACACGCTGAACATTTTCAAACACTTGGGATATTTTTCATGCATGCTGAGCCATTTTACACTTGGTGAACATTTTCTCCATTGTTGTGCATTTTCTTACACTCTAAATTTTCCTACATGCTCAAAATTTTCATACATGATGAATATTTTTGTATTCGCTGGACTTTTTTTACATTACGCCCAATTTCATATACTGTAAATATATTTTTTTCAATTCTGTGCTTTTTTCCTTACGCTGAACATTTTTCTACACGTTGAAAATTATCCCATGCGCTGAAAATATTCCTTCACGCTGAACTTATTTCGGCGTGCTGAACATTTTCCTACTTGCCGAATTTTCTACATGCTGAACATTTTCTTACTCGTTGAATTTATATTTGCGTACTGAATATTTTCCTACGCGTTGAACATTTTCCTAATCGCTTACCATTTCCCTCCTTCCTTTACATTTCCCTACTCCCCTAACATTCTCTTGCTTGATAAACATTTGCTTACACGCTGAACATTTTCGTACATACTAACATATTTTTGCACGCTGGACGTTTTCCCACACACCGACCATGTCACCCGTGACCATTGTACCATGTCACGGTCACCCGTGACACTTGTACCACGTCACGGTCACCCGTGACACTTGTACCACGTCATGGTCCCCCGTGACTCTTGTACCACGTCACTGTCACCCGTGACACTTGTTCCGTGTCACGGTCACCCGTGACACTTGTACCACGTCACGGTCACCCGTGACACTTGTTCCATGTCACGGTCACCCGTGACACTTGTAGGATCCTCAAGCAGTCACTCCATCAGTGCCCCGCCTCCTTTACTCCTGCTGGTGCTGGTGGTTGCCACTGTAATGTTTGCCAACGTTCTGGGTAATGAACACCAATAACTCGTGGTGACTTACCCCAATTAATTACAGGGAGATTGTATATGACAGACAGACTTACCCCGTTGATAAGTACAGGGAGATTGTGTATGGCCGACAGACTTACCCCGTTGATAAGTACAGGGAGATTGTGTATTGCCGACAGGCTTACCCCGTTGATAAATACAGGGAGATTGTGTATTGCCGACAGGCTTACCCCGTTGATAAGTACATGGAGATTGTATATGGCCGACAGACTTGCACCCCGTTGATAAGTACAGGGAGATTGTGTATTGCCGACAGGCTTACCCCGTTGATAAATACAGGGAGATTGTGTATTGCCGACAGGCTTACCCCGTTGATAAGTACATGGAGATTGTATATGGCCGACAGACTTGCCCCGTTGATAAGTACAGGGAGATTGTGTATTGCCGACAGACTTACCCCGTTGATAAGTACAGGGAGATTGTGTATGACAGATAGACTTACCGCGTTCATGTGCCGTTCATGTGCAACATGAACGGTTCTCTTGTCACCAGTAAATTTACAGCGAGCATGCGCTACTGTTTAAAAATGTCTTATTAAATAACGATATTTGATGGCAAATCGGGCGCAGTGCTGGAATCACGACGCTAGGCAAACCGGGTGAAGGGGGATTCTTAATAAAATTTAGTTTTTTTCAATTTAGCACTGTGAATTATTGTGAGGGAAACCTAAATGCGGGTTTTAAACGCTATTTCTCTTGGGAAGAATATTTAGTTTGAATTTTATCCAAAGGATCTAGGACAACCAATTCAGAATAACGGAAATGTGAAAAAAAAAAATCACCAATCACGGGGAACGCCGGGATAAGCTGCTTGTATTAAATGTGTTTCACATATCAAGAAAAACAGGCCAAGCCGAACTCTTGCAACATCAGCACCAACAAATTTTCAATTCGTCATTTAATCCATGTTCAGAGCTGACTTTTACGTATTAAACTAAGCACGTAACGTAAAACTGTGAGAAACGCAGATGTGATGTTTACGCTGTGTGTGTTTACGCTGTGATCAGCGTAAACACAAAAGCCGAAATTAAATAGCAATTCAATAGTGTAAGAAACGCAGAGTAGAGATTATTAATTATCGATCAGCGCTATCACAAAACCCGAAATTAAATTTATATTCAATTGTGATAAGGTCTTGAGAGTCGTGTTATTTCGTGGTTGGTTGCAGATCGTCGTGCGCCCGAGCGCCCCACCATCGTCATCGAGGAGCGCGAGGAGAGCGTACAGGTGACGGTTGGTCAGTACTTCGAAGTGCGGTGTCGTGCTGACGGCTACCCAACACCGCGTATCTCCTGGACGCGACTAGACAACCAGCCTCTGCCTGCCGAGGTATTTACGTGTTCTAGAAACGGATTATTTCTTCTGCAATTAAATTATCATACTGGTATTAAATTGTAACTGGTAATTATTGTAATTGGTAACTGGTATTAAATTGTTAATATAATATAAATTAATTAAGTAATTGAGTAATAATAATTAATTTTAATACATTAATTAATAATATTAATTATATTAATTTAATTAATTAATTAATTAATTTCGTTATTTTATTAAATTATTATTTATATAATTAATAATTATTAATAAAGATTAATACTTAATAAAATAATTAATTAATAATTTAAATTGGTTAATTGTTAATAAATTAAATACGCATCAACAATGTCACTTCTGTCTGCCTCAAACCTTCGAGGTCTCATATGAGAAATGAAATGATTATAATTTTTCATTCAAAAATTTTCATTCGCGTGATTTTCCTTTCGAACCTCCAACAGAACCGTGAACGTTCTTTCTATCTTTGAGCATCCTTTAACATCCTTTCTCTGCCTGCAATAGGGTTTATCGTGACAACGTTGAGTTTTAAAAGAAGCATTAGATGCTTCAATGACAGAAATATAGCAAACATTGGATAATCAAAGTGGGCGTTCGAATGATGGTTTAAGTTGAATCTGTCTGTATCAGAAAAATTACTTTTACAATTATGACAAATTTTTACATCTTCTTGTACGAAAGAATAAGATGTAAATCTCGAATTGCCTCCAAGTATACCATCGTTTTCTCGGTCTCGTATCAACGTTCAGCACACTGCGTCTCTGGCAGCATAGGACTGTCGCAACAGTTACTATCGTGGTTTCTATGTGCTTCATGACGAACTGAATTCCTCTTTACATTTACTGGAATTGGACTTAAACTTTGTCTCTAGTTTCATGAGCAAGATCTAATGTTTTCGATGAAAAATATTGTTGAGAATTGTGTACAGTAAGATAGTTGAATCTTAGGTGTAAAATGCGTAGACTTTTCTTCTTGGCTGGTGTGTAATGAGTTATTTGAATCTTAGTTGCATTATTCGTATTCTTTTCGCGAATGATGGACCGCGAAATCGTATGTGTACTCCCCGTATGCTTCGTGACCCGGATCATGTCATGTTTCATTTCTCTTATTAAGTTTTGATGTATAAATGTATTAGTTTGTTTACCTCAGTTTCTGGCAGCTCTGAAAATCGAATTCATAGATTTTACACGACTTAATTTACCTAATATCTAAACCCAGAAAACACTTCTCTCGCTGACATTACCTTATTACTCAATATTCCTCAAAATTATCAAATGATCATGAATTTAACCATTTAATTAATGTTATTTATCCCCTGTCAGGTTGTGGTACAGAATGGACTGCTGACGTTCCAGCAGCTGACACGGCAGGCGGCTGGCACTTACGTGTGCCGCGGTATAAACGAGGGTGGACAGGCGCAGGCGACCATCACCATCATCGTCGAAGGAACTTTGCCTGAACCACCATCACGACCCGTCGATACCATCACAGTGACAGTCAGTAGCTATTATTACCACCCATCGATACCATCACAGTGACAGTCAGTAGCTGTTATACCCACCCATCGATACCATCACAGTGACAGTCAGTAGCTGTAATACCCACCCACCGATACCATCACAGTGACAGTCAGTAGCTGTTATACCCACCCACCGATACCATCACAGTGACAGTCAGTAGCTGTTATACCCACCCAACCCACCTGACGATACCATCACAGTGACAGTCAGTAGCTGTTATACCCACCCACCGATACCATCACAGTGACAGTCAGTAGCTGTTATACCCACCCATCGATACCATCACAGTGACAGTCAGTAGCTGTAATACCCACCCACCGATACCATCACAGTGACAGTCAGTAGCTGTTATACCCACCCGACGATACCATCACAGTGACAGTCAGTAGCTATTATAACCACCTAACCTACTAATCTTTCTGCAACAACATTCAACTTCTTGAAATGAAAATATACGTATTAGTTTTGTGCAATAATATTGTTGTAAGAAAAGTTTTAATTTTCTAACATCTTTCTTTTTTGTTAGAAGAAGCAGTTTCTTCAAAACATCCCTTCATTAATTTTTTTAGATCCATTTCTTCATTAACTTTTCACTCTCATCGTCACCATTCATTATAAAACAGACATTTCATCTCACCCTGTACCCACCCGCTAACATTATGAATAGCATGGTGTATAAAAGTTTATAGTTTAGCATATATATTATAGAGTATAATTTAGTGTATCATATAGTATAGTATATCATATCAAGTATAGTATATGATATAGCATATCATATAGTATAGTCACCCTTAAGTTTTGTGACGCAAGAGACACAAGTCTATAATTTTGTATATACATTATAGAGGATGTTTTAGTGTATCATATAGTATATCATATCAGGTACAGTATATGATATAGTATATCATATATTATAGTAACCGATACGTTTTGCTACGCAGGTGACGCAAGTTTATAATTTATTATTTACATTACAGAGTGTGTTTTAGTGTATACATCATATCAGGTATAGTATATAATATAGTATAGTCACCCTCACCCTTAAGTTTTGCGACTCAGGTGACACAAGTTTATAGCTTATTATATACATTATAGAGTGTGTTTTAGTGTATCATATAGCATAGTATATCATATATTATATAATATAGTATAGTAATCGTTAAGTTTTGTGACGCAGGTGACGCAAGTTTATAGTTTATTATATACATTATTGAGTGTGTTTTAGTGTATCATATAGTATATCATATCAAGTACGGCATATGATATAGTATGTCATATAGTATAGTCACCCTTAATTTTTGCGACGTAGGTGACGCAATTTTATAGCTTATTATATACATTATAGAGTGTGTTTTAGTGTATCATATAGCATAGTATATCATATATTATATAATATATATAGTAATCGTTAAGTTTTGCGACGCAGGTGACGCAAGTTTACAGTTTATTATATACATTATAGAGTGTCTTTTAATGTATCATATAGTATAGTATATCATATCAGGTATAGTATATCATATACTATAGCAACCGTTAATTTGTACTACGTAGGTTACGCAGACAGAGGTCTTATAGTTTATTATATACATTAAAGAGTATGTTTTAGTTTATCATATAGTATATCATATCAAATACAGTATATGACATAGTATATCATATACTATAGTAACCGTTAATTTGTACTATGCAGGTTACGCAGACAGAAGTGGAGGTGTCACAAGGAGGGACGGTCCGCGTCGACTGCTCCGGTCCAGCGCAGTACGCGCTCGCTGCCATCAGATGGTCACGCTTCAACGGACAACTTCCTCAGGTGGGGCTATGCAGTTTTTATTTTTATGTACAATAAAGTAAAGTTATTTAGTTTTAGCTAATATATTACAAGAGATGATGTACATAGAATGAAGTCAAATGTATTTTTCTTTCGATTGAATTAAATTTATGTTTTCTTGCGATTTAAAAACCATTGTAACCACGCTTCAACGGACAGCTTCCTCAGGTGGGGCTATGCAGTTTTTATTTATATGTACAATAAAGTTAAGTTATTTAGTTTTAGCTAATACATTACAAGAGATGATGTACATAGAATGCATGAAGTCAAATGTATTTTTCTTTCGATTGAATTAAATTTATGTTTTCTTGTGATTTAAAAACCATTGTAACCACGCTTCAACGGCCAGCTTCCTCAGGTGGGGCTATGTAGTTTTTATTTTTATGTACATTAATTTAAAGTTATTTAGTTTTAGATGATATATTACGAGTGATGATGTACATAGAATGAGGTCGAATTATGTATCTTTAGATTGAATAATATGACAATGTAATTTTTACTTTTATGTACATTAATGTTAGGTTATTTAGTTTTAGTCGATACATTACAATAGATGATGTACATAGAATGAGGTCGAATGTATGTATTTTTAGATAGCTTGAATAATTGGTCTATGCAGTTTTTACTTTTATGTACAATAAAGTAAAGTTATTTAGTTTTAGCTTATACATTACAAGAGATGATGTACATAGAATGAGGTCGAATGTCTTTAGATAGCTTGAATAATTCGTCTATGCAGTTTTTACTTATATGTACAATAAAGTAAAGTTATTTAGTTTTAGATGATACATTACAAGAGATGATATACTTGGAATGAGGTCGAATGTATGTGTCTTTCGATTGAATAAAATTTATGTATTGTAGTAATTTAATAACATTGTAATTGTTGAGTGATCTATTTGGAACAGTAATTTATCATCACATAAATTACGTACACTTCCACCAGAGCGCTACCCAGAGAATGTATATACTTTTTGGTTGAATTAAATTATTGTTATGTAGTGATTAAATATCTATTGTAAATATTTGAGTGATCCATTAGAAACAGTAATTTATTATTACTTAAATTCCCTACACCTTCACTAGAGCGCTACCCAGAGGATGTATGTATTTTTAGATTGAATAAAATTTATGTTATGTAGTGATTTAATAACCATTGGAAATCTTTGAGTAATTCATTAGAAACAGTAATTTATCATTACACAAATTCCGTACACCTCGACCAGAGCGCTACCCAGAACAACGGTGAGCTGGTGATCCCTAACGCGCAGCCTGAAGACTCAGGCCTGTACCTCTGCTCCATACAAACCTCGGACGGCTTCAGCGGCGAGGCTACCACGCGCATACAGATCATCAGGACCTAGTGAGTGCCACCAGATTTTATGTGAATATTAATTCCAAATTTAGGTTTAACACGTTGACTACGTATTGGTACATATGCTTACCACGAAATGTATTTCTCCAGGAGGTTGTGGTACATAATTCAGGTTCCCTAAAATCAGCCAAATCCGAAAACAAAAAAGGCCAAAAAAGGCCGATAATTCAATGTATACTAGTTTATTTGTGGGTTCCGCTATAAAAATTCCATTTATTTTATTTTTGCAGCATTTAAAATTTAATTAGGAAGTACCCCTATCATAAATTTTAGCCGGCCAACGCAATTGAGAAAAACTAAATCGCGGAATTTGTCCGGAAAAAATGACCGTCTGGCAACCCTGCTTAAAAAAAGTACAAAAAATGAAATAATAGTACAATATGAAGCAATCGTAGTCAACGTGTTAATAAGTACTCATATTTTCAGTCTGCTTATATCGCAAGTTCACAAGGAATTTAAAAGCAAAGAAAACACCTAGCATATTTACCATATCGATATCGAGACCGTGCGTTTGCAATATCGATATGATGAATTTGCTTGGTGTTTTCTTTGCTTTTAAATTGCTTAGGTTTGATTATACGACCAGCTCTTCCATGAGTATTAATTCCAAATTTAGGTTTAATAATACGATAAATTAGGTTCAATAGTTTGACCAGCTCTTCTATGAATAGGACCTAGTGAGTGCGACCAGCTCTTCTGTGAATATTAATTTTAAATTTAGGTTTAATAAGTACTCATATTATCAGTCTGCTTATGTCGCAAGTTCACAAGGAATTTAAAAGCAAAGAAAACACGAAGCAAATTTACCATATACTTATTGAAAACGTCGATATGGTGAATTTGCTTGGTGTTTTCTTTGCTTTTAAATTCCTTAGGTTTAATAATACGACCAGCTCTTCCATGAGTATTAATTATTATTGTTAATATTATTAATATATAAATTATTAAAAACTAAAAAGATACTAAAACTAAAATTAATACTATATTATTAATTTTAATTTTAATAATAAAATATTATCTTATTTATGTCTGAATTTTCACTCTTAAAAAGTAGTTTTAAAGTTCATAGCGAGTCGAAGAGGATTAAGCGCTGCCTTGCCCTATGAAATGGACGCCATTAGAATCCAAATAAAGGTTTAATAATACACATATTATCTTGTTTTTTTTTTTAGTTTTCACTCTTAAAAAGTAATTTGAAAGTTCATAGCGAATTGATTGTGTAAAACATTTTAATGAACTGCCTGATGACTTCAGAATAAACTGTTCCAAATCCATTTTAAAGGCAAAATTTCGTGATCATATTCTTGCTCAATATTAATCTAACGTTGTTTATCTTATAGTTTTTTTTTCTTGTGACAATTTACTTATGTACTGCCTTTACTTTAGAATGTAATATTTGTATTATTTTTTTTTGTACTTGTTGCCACTATTATGTTCATACTCGTCACCTATTACGCCTGCGAAGCTTTTTTATAGCTTGTATAGGCTTTTCACCTGGAATCATTTATTTCTAAATAGCATGTTTATTTTTCTCTTTCTATTGAGTCGTGCTCTGTTGCTTCTGTGTGTGAAAGAATAAAGAATAAAAGAATCGAAGTGGATTAAAGGCTGCATTGCCCTATGAAATTTACGTCATTAGAAATAAAATTTGATGTTCAAAAAGGGTATTGAATAACTTAAGCGCTGCCTTGCCCCTATGAAATATACTCCATTATAAATAAAATTTGATGTTCAAAAAGGGTATTAAATAACTTAAGCGCTGCCTTGCCCCTATGAAATTTACGTCATTAGAAATAAAATTTGATGTTCAAAAAGGGTATTAAATAACTTAAGCGCTGCCTTGCCCTATAAAATTTACGCAATTATAAATAATATTTAATGTTCAAAAATGGTAAGAAATAACAATGCAACGTGTTTTTAGCGCATTTTCTCATTTATGGAAAAAATGCACTATTGTGCTCTCCATGTCCGTCCGTCTGTCCGTCCGTCTGTCCGTCCGTCTGTCCGTGACCTCAAGTTTTCGTCGACGAGAAAATGCGCTCTCTGTCACTCACTGCAGTGAGTACTGAGTTATATTTTTTTCAGCAACGTGCCTACGGTGCGCATCGAGCCTGACCGCCAGACCATCAGCCAGGGCAAGAGCGCCGAGGTTCGCTGCATCGTCTCTGGGTCACCGCAGCCCACCATTGTCTGGTCAAAGGTGCGAGCAAATACATGAAATAATAATATTTTATCCTTAATAATATATTTTCAATTGCTAAGCTAAAGCGAATTTATATAAGACCATGATTTACCCAACATAAAGTAATATTTTCTTGTTTATAGTTCGCCTCTGGCTCACCACAGCCTACCATTGTCTGGTCAAAGGTGCGAGCGAAGATATAAAATAATAATGTTTTCTTCTTAATAATATATTTTAAATTGCTAAGCTAAAGCGAATTTATATAAGACTATGATTTACCCAACATGAAATAATATTTTCTTATTGATAGGGTATCTTCAATGGCTAAGATTAAGCGAATTTATATAACACTATGATTTAACCAACATAAATTAATATTTTCTTATTGATAGTGTATCTTCAATGGCTGAGATTAAGCGAATTTATGTAACACTATGATTTAACCCAACATGAAATAATATTTTCTTATTGATAGTGTATCTTCAATGGCTGAGATTTAGCGAATTTTCATGAAAATATTGTATAATTATTTTAAGTATTATTTAATATTATTTAATGAAAGTATTATTTATTATTTTAAAGATGAAATGACGCCTGAGTTTATGACATACTTCCTGCTTTTTATGTTAGAACTTTTCCATCTCTAGAGATGCAAATAACTCTGAAAATATCAACCATAATCTTGACTGTATTTAAATGCATCTCAAAATTGCATGCATGTCTGTATATTAAACTAGCGGCAATTTAGTTCAAATGAAAAGACATCTAGTGTTAAGTTAAAAAAGCATTAGCCTAGCTTCTATTTGTTAAGAAACTTGATGATTGTCTCTGTAATCCTCAGTATAGTAACTACTATTCTTTGATATTAATCATGTGGTTATATATATTCATTTACTACAGGTTAACGACGTGTTTAATTGGTCGTGGCGTGACCGTTTTCTATTTATTAAGAAACTGATTATTCTCGCTTTAATCTTCAATATAGTAACTACAATTCTTTAATATTAATCATATGTTTATATATATTCATTTGCTACAGGTTAACGACGTGTTTAATTGGTCGTGGCGTGACCGTTTTCTATTTATTAAGAAACTGATGATTGTCGCTGTAATCTTCAATATAGTAACTACAATTCTTTAATATCAATCATATGTTTATATATATTCATTTGCTACAGGTTAAAGACGTGTTTGGTCGCTAATCTTCAATATAGTAACTACAATTCTTTAATATTAATCATATGTTTATATATATTCATTTGTTACAGGTTAATGACGTGTTTGGTCGCGGCGTGGCCGTGGACGGCGACGTGTTGCGTATTAATCATATGTTATATATATTTATTTGCTACAGGTTAACGACGTGTTTGGTCGCGGCGTGACCGTGGACGGCGACGTGTTGCGTATTAATCATATGGTTATATATATTTATTTGCTACAGGTTAATGACGTGTTTGGTCGCGGAGTGACCGTGGACGGCGACGTGTTGCTGATCAATCATATGGTTATATATATTCTTTTGCTACAGGTTAACGACGTGTTTGGTCGCGGCGTGACCGTGGACGGCGACGTGCTACGTATCGTCAACGCTGAGGTCAGCGACCGCGGCATGTACGTCTGCGACGCTCGCAGCAGCGGCGGCTCTGCTCGCGCTGTCACAGTCATCGAAGTTGAACGTATGATTTCGATCATTAATTTACCTAATGTAACTTTACAATAATTTTAACAAGAATAATTTTGCAATTGATCTAAGATATGTAACTTTTAATTTAATTTAACAAATGTAACTTTACTATTAATTTAACAGAGGTAACTTTACAATTTAAAAAATGTTACTTTACAATTAATTTAACACAGGCAACTTTAAATTTAACAAATGTAACTTTACAATTAATTTAAGAAATGTAAGTTTACAATTAATTTACCAACTATAACTTTACAATAAATTTAACAAATGTAACAATTACAACCAATTTAACAAATGTAACTTTACAATTACAAATCATTTAACAAATGTATCTTTACAATTACAAATCATTTAACAAATGTATCTTTACATCTTTACAATTACAATTAATTTGACAAATGTAACTTTACAATTACAAATCACTTAACAAATGTATCTTACAATTGCAAATAATTTAGCAAATGTAACTTTAAAATTACAATTAATTTAACAAATATAACTTAATAATTGCAACTAATTTAACAAATATAAATTTGCAATTACAAATCATTTATTAAATGTAAGTTTACAATTAATTTATCAAATGTAACTTTACAATTGCGAATAATTTAGCAAATGTAACTTTACAGGTACAATTAATTTAACAAATGTGACTTTACAGGTACAATTAATTTAGCAAATGTAACTTTACAATTAATTTAACAAATGACGAACATTACAATTACATATTAAACCTTCAATGATAAATGTACAATGATGGAAACGGTAGTTAAGTAATCAAATTAATAGGAAATTAAATTAGTTTCATTCTGCGCCGTTAATTACTCTACGCATTAATTGCTACCATTCCCTGAAGAAAAAAAAACGTTTTTATAATTTAAATTCGAGTGAATTTTTTATTAGTATTCGATTAATATGGAAGTTGAACTTAAAGAAGTTGCCGTTATCTAATATATAATGATTGTGATCCCTTCTGTTAATATTGTATGTAATCTTCAAGAGTAATACTTAGTTGTTCATGACTTTTGTCTCAATTCAGAATTCTATTTTAAATCTCTCAAAATTTACCGTTATTAAATTTCTGTGCGAGTTCACGATGTGCTGAAAAAGTCAATTCTCAGACTGCTTGACATTTTATTCAGATTTACTCATTTTACCTCATTGTTAAATGAAAAACATTCCGCAACTTAGAAAAAGTTTTAATTCCAATATAAAATTTCTGCTATTTTTATACCGTATCAAAATTTTGAGGTCTGATTCATAATAAAGATTAACACTATGTAATAATTTTTCTATTATCTTTTCTACTTCACTACGTTTCAACATTTAAATGAATCATTTAACTAATTATTAATTCGCTTATATTCTCTTCTAATTCACTATGTTTCAATATTTACGTGAATCATGTAATTATTTATTAATCCGCTTATATTCTCTTCTAATTCACCACGTTTCAACATTTAATTGAATCATTTATCTATTTATTAATTCGCTTATATTCTCTTCTAATTCACTTCGTTTCCACATTTACGTGAACCATTTAACTATTTACTAATTCGCTTATATTCCCTTCCAATTCACTACGTTTCAACATAAGTGAATCATTATTAGCTCGCTTTTATTTTCTTTTAATTCACTACGTTTCAACATTTACGTGAATCATTTACCCACTCATTAAATAGCTTATATTCTCCTCTTGTTCACTACGTCTCAACATGTAAGTGAATCATTCAACTATTCATTGATTCGCTTATATTTTCTTCTAATTCATTACGTTTCAACATTTTCCTGAGTCTTCTAACTATTTATCAATTCGCTTTTATTTTCTTTTAATTCACTACGTCTCAATATAAGTGAACCATTTATCTATTAATTAACTCGCTTTTATTTTCTTTTAATTCCCTACGTTTCAAGATTTACATAAACCATTTATATATTCATTAATTCGCTTATATTCTCTTCTAATTCACTACGTTTCAACATAAGTGAATCTTTATTAGCTCGCTTTTATTTTCTTTTAATTCACTACATATCAACATTTAAATGAATCATTTAACTATTTAATAATTCGCTTATATTCCCTTCCAATTCACTACGTTTCAACATAAGTGAATCATTATTAACTCGCTTTTATTTTCTTTTAATTCACTACATATCAACATTTAAATGAATCATTTATATATTAATTATTTCGCTTGTATTAACATCAGGTCGGGAGCCGCCGTCAGTGAAGATGTACCCCGACACGCGGCAGACTCTGCAGCCTGGCAACACAGCGCTGTTCCAGTGCCATCTCACGGGGGGCATACCCATGCCCGAGGTCACCTGGGCACGAGCTGATGGTCGACCTATGGCCTCTAACATTGAGATTCTGCCTGGCGGTATTATTACGTAAGTCTTATATATTATATTATTATATATTATCACGCCTGGCGGTATTATTACGTGAGTCTCGTATATTATATATTATCACGTGAGTTTTATATCTTTTATATTATTATTTATTATTATATATTATCACGTAAGTCTTGTATCTTGTAATTTATTATAGGTTATAACGTGAGTCTGGTATCTTATATATTATTATATATTATCACGCAAGTCTCGTTTCTTTTATATTATTACGTTATATCTTATATATTATTACATGTTACGTGAGTCTTGTATCTTATATATTATTAAACACAGGAAGAATTGGAGACATGGCCCAGCATTCGGTGTTGTACTCTGCAATTCATCATTTATGGCATACAATCATATTTTTAGTTAATCCTAATACACTTTTACGGAAATTAACTGTAAACTCGTACATAGATTAATTAGAATATTTTATTAAAAATATACTTATTGATCTGCACTGGCAGGTTCACCCAAGTGACAGGCAGCGAGGCAGGATCTTACGTGTGCACCGCGCGCAACGATGCCGGGGAGGTCCGCAGCACAGCCACCCTCGAGATCATTGCCCTGCCCACCATCAGGATAAACCCTGGCCAGAACCCTTATCAGGTGCCTTCATCTGTAGTCGTAGAGAACCCTTATCAGGTGCCTTCATCTGTAGTCGTAGAGAGCCCTTATCAGGTGCCTTCATCTGTAATGCAGTAACTCATAGAGAACCCTTATCAGGTGCCTTCGTCTTTAATGCACTAAGTCGTAGAGAACCCTTATCAGGTGCCTTGATCTGTAATGTACTAAGTCGTAGAGAACCCTTATCAGGTGCCTTCATCTGTAATGCAGTAACTCGTAGAGATCCCTTATCAGGTGCCTTCATCTGTAATGCAGTAACTCGTAGAGAACCCTTATCAGGTGCCTTCATCTGTAATGCAGTAACTCGTAGAGAACCCTTATCAGGTGCCTTTATCTGTGATGCAGTACCTCGTAGAGAACCCTTATCAGGTGCCTTCATCTGTAATGTACTAAGTCATAGAGAACCCTTATCAAGTGCCTTCATCTGTAAAGCACTAAGTCGTAGAAAGCCCTTATCAGATACCTTCATCTGTAATGCATGAACTCACAGCAAACCATCATCAGGTGCCTTCATCACTAAGTCGTAGACAACCCTTATCTCAGGTATCAGAGAACTCTTCTCAATCTCAGCCAGAAAATCTACAGAACTTTGGCTTGATTTGGAACGGGCGAAAACATCAGAGACATTTAATTACATTTAATTCACACATCAATCGTTCTACAGAGTCTGTGTTTCTTAGATAACAAATTTTTTTCCTAGTCGAAGTGGCGGTAACGGATGAGAAAATTCAGGAGAGTATACATATAATTTACATGCGACGACATTCCCGATACTAAATTAATACATTTAGAATTAACGTTTCGGTTTACAATTTAATATTTCTTAATTTTTCTCGGCAATTTGAATTCTTTTAACTGTCATTTACGTCGTACATCAGATTTTAGCTCAAAAACAGCCGTGTAACTGAGTGGTTTTCTTATGAAGCACCGAAGACAAATAGGATTTTATTGGTGGAAAATAATATCTCGTGTAACTTCTATAGCTTTTCTATATTATTAGTTGTATAACGTAGTCACAATTAAAAGAATAATTGATTAAATATACCAGACTATATTAATTGTGTGGTATATCAGGTAATTTTAGCTGATAAACATCCGTGTAACTAAGTGGTTTCTTCTGAAGCACGTAAGCCAAATTAGATATTATTAGTTGGAAAATAAAATCTCATGTAACATCTATCGCATTGCTATATTATTGGTTTTATAGATGTTATTATTAGTCATATCATAGATGATATTATTAATCAGAATTAAAAAAAATTTTAAATCTACTATATTTTGTTAATTGTGTTGTAAATCAAGCAATTTTAGCTGAAAAAACAGCCGTGTAACTGAGTGGGTTCTTCTGAAGCACTTAAGCCAAATTCTATCGCATTGTTATATTATTGGTTTTATAAATATTATTATTAGTCATATCATAGATGGTATTATTAGTCAGAATTAAAAAAATAATTGTTTTAATGTACTATATTTTGTTAATTGTGTTGTAAATATTTTGTAAATTGCGTAAATGTAAATTTATAGATGTTATTATTAGTCACATCATAGATGATATTAATAGTCAGAATTAAAATAAAAATTGTTTAAATATACAAGAGTATATTAATTGTGCGGTAAATCAGGTATTATTAGTCATATCATAGATGATATTAATAGTCAGAATTAAAAAAATAATTGTTTAAATGTACTATACTATATTAATTGTGTTGTAAATCAGGTACTGGAAGGCAGTCGCGTGCGGCTGGAGTGTTCAGCGTCAGGCGACCCGGCGCCTTCTGTGACGTGGTACTTCCTCAGGGCCAACTACCCTACCAGCCTGTGAGTGCAGCGAGTTATTTTATTTAATTATATACACGAATTATTTTTATTTATTCGGCGGTTATTTTATTTAATTATATACACGAATTATTTTTATTTATTCGGCGGACGGTTATTTTATTTAATTAATTAAATACACGAATTATTTTTATTTATTCGGCGGTTATTTTATTTAATTAATTTTACACGAATTTAACGCAATTCTGTCGTGTTTAACTTTGTCATGAAGATTATAAACTTGTCTAAAAAAATTGTGAATAATAGCAAATTCTGTAAAAATTTGTGTAAAATAAAGAATTTGTGTATAATAAAAAAAATTGTGTAAAATAAGAAATTTGTGTAAAATAAAAAATGTTTGTAAAATAAAGAAATTGTGTAGAAATTTGTGTAAAATAACTAGTGATTACAACTTCAATCATGCTTCTTATGAATCTCTTTGTTGATCTCGCCAGCAGTTTTGAATTTGCGTGTTTAATTTTTAATGAAACATAAATGTACCATGTGATATTTTTTAATGAGTGTCGTGTTCTTATTATTTATTATTATATTTTTGATGTGTCGTGTTATTTATTGAGATTATTTTTTGCTCATTACCCGTCAAGTTCCTTATTGAAATGAAACAAAAATGTACTGTTTTTTTTGTCGTGTTATTTATCGATATTAATTTCTCTTTGTTACCCGTCAAGTTCTTTATCGAAAAAGCAACTACAGTTTCCTGTAATGCATTTCACGTTACGTTACGCGCCTCGCTCCCACAGCCCCGGACGCTCGCTCTCGCCGTCCTCTGTAGAGTATGAGATCTCGAGCATCTCTCCTGAGGACTCGGGCAACTACCGCTGCACTGCCACCAACGCTGCAGGTGCTCTACTATCTACTTTATCTACTCTCTACTTCATCTCTTCTCTACTTTATCTACTCTATACGTTATCTACTTTCTACTGTACCTACTCTCTACTTTATCTACTATCTACTTTATCTACTCTATACTTTATCTACTCTATACTTTATCTACTCTCTACTTTATCTACTCTCTACTTTATCTACTCTCTATACTTTATCTACTCTCTACTTTATCTACTCTCTATTTTATCTACTTTTTACTTCATCTACTCTCTCTACTTTATCTACTCTCTACTTTATCTTATCTTCATTGGCGCCAAAGTTCACTTCACCTACTCTTTTATGCTGATCTTTTTCGTATTTCAATCGACTTTTTCGGCAGCTTCGGTAGAATCATTTTCGTAGAGTCATTTTTTGTAGAGTCATTTTCGTATAATCATTTCAGCAGCTTCCGTAGCTTCATCTCCAATAGTGCAAATCTTTCATCTAAGAATACGTGTGTCCATTAAACTTCGTATATAAAATTTAAAAATGTTATTGTAATTATGGCCACAAACATACAAGAAAATCACCATGCCATTACTACTTCAAAAAACATATCGTTCGTTTTATTTCATGGCTCAACCGCTTGAAATAAGTTTATGTGTGTGCTGTCCAAAGTGTCCATATTTTGATAATGATTTTACTTTCTGCATCTTGCGTTTAGTAAATGAATGCTGGAATTGATGCAATTCAATGAATTAAAAAATTATGAACTATTCATAAAACATATTGTATTTTTGTAATTAAGCACTTATATTATCAGTCTGCTTATATCGCAAGTTCACAAGGAATTTAAAAGCAAAGACAACGCCAAGCAAATTCACCATATCGATATTGAAAACGTTTTCAATATCGATATGGTGAATTTGCTTGGCGTTTTCTTTGCTTTTTAAATTCCTTGTGATATTGTATTTATTACTTCTTCGGTGACTTACCGTCCTCATGTCGGAGGATAATGCAATCACTTTCAACTTTGTCATCAAATTCTTAAAAGAATAACAACCTAACCTACTTTGTGGTGTCCGCCCTCAGGCTCCACCGAAGAGTACATCCAAGTGATCGTGACCCCTACGCTACCTGGGACCCCGTATCCTCGACCCCCCGTGGACAGACCCGTGCCATCAGCACCCGTGGACAGACCCTTGCCGCCCAGACCCTTCCCGCCCTCGCGACCTGTTACAGAGAGCACACGGATCAATGTCGGGTCAACCTTCGAATTTTCTTGTTTAGACCGAGGTAAGACATAGTTTAATTTTTTAGGTGAGATATTGTTTCATTTATTTAGGTAAGACATAGTTTAATTTTTTGGGTGAGATATTGTTTCATTTATTTAGGTAAGACATAGTTTAATTTTTTAGGTGAGATATTGTTTCATTTATTTAGGTAAGACATAGTTTAATTTTTTAGGTAAGACATTGTTTCATTTATTTAGGTAAGACATAGTTTCCTTTTTTTTAGGTAAGACATGGTTTTATTTTTTTAAGTAACGTTAGAAAGTATTTTATGAAAACTATATCATTCCGTTTCAAGTGAAAAATTAAATTTATCTAACATTTTATAGTCCCAGCAAAATATTTTGTGCCGATCAACTCTAGTGTAGAATGCACTTTAAATACCAACGCGCTTGCTCGAATTTATTCTTCTATCATTAACAGCAACTTTCCTCCATAATTGACGATAAATACCAACGCGCTTGTTCGAATTTGTTCCTCTATCTGTTGTTTGCTTCAGAAAAAGCAACTTTCCTCCAAATTTACTATAAATTCATATCATTCAAGATACTTGACTCCGTTATATTTTGGATTCCTCTTCTCCCAAAATTGACTATAAATTCAAATCTTTAAGGTATTTGACTCCGTTGTATTTTACATTCCTGTTCTCCTGATTTGATTTCGATTCTTGCCTCCTTAGAAAGTCCCAGCTCGGGCGTGGTCGTAACGTTCCGCCGCGCCAACAACAAACCTCTGCCTGCATCTCACCACGTCGACAACGGCGTGCTCACCGTCTACAATGTGCAGAAGGAAGACGGTGGAGAGTACGCTTGTGTTGGGTCCAGTACGGCCGGTGGTCAAATTCTCTTCACCGTCTACCATGAAGTCTACATCATCGGTTAGTCTACCATGAAGTCTACATCATCGGTTAGTCTACCATGAAGTCTACATCATTGGTTAGTCTACCATGAGGTCTACATTTGGTTAGCCTCTCCTGATCTAAAGTCTACCAGGAAGTCTACATCATTGTTAGCCCCTCCTGATTTATAAGGAGGGGCTGAATATAAGATGAATTCTACGTGGTTTGTGGTGTCTTTTTCTTGAGTTCTCGGGACCGAAAACCTTTCTTCAAATCATTTCTTACGAAATTTACGCCGCGCTGTGGCTCAAATAGAAATCGAGAAACATTTACTTGTTATTCGAACAATTTACTGAGTCTGCATTGATAGTAAAACCTTTTTTTCAAGAAAACAGATCATCGTTCATTTCTGCTTTTCTCATAACTTCATTCAACTTCAAATAAATGGAATAAACGTCCTTGTACATTTCTATGACAACGTTTGATATAATTTCTGGTTAGTTCATTCTTGCTGTTATACGCCTCAGGTGTTATTTTTTTCATTGCAATTTTCCCCTCACAAACCTTTTGAATGTTGATTATGTTCTTTTTCGTTTCAATTCGAAAATCCGGTCAGCCAGCGTGTCTGGTCACCTGATTCAAAAGTCACTCAAACCATACTCTCTCATATCAATTACCCTATTTAATAGATCACAAACAACTTCTTTTCTGATCTAATCGTTAAGATACATGGTATAATTAACAAGCTTGCTATTATTAACAAACATACCATAATCATATAGTATATAGTTTATACTATAGTATTTATAGTATGTATAGTATAGTAAACATATAACAAAGCTGGTTATGCACAGCACCACCTGTGATCGAGCTGGAGCCAGTGCGACAGGTGGTGCGACCAGGTGACACGGTCTCGCTGCTCTGCAAGGCCACAGGCGACCGTCCTATAACCATCACGTGGGCGAAGGAGGGAGCCCGTATGCCGCCCTCTGTCATCATCAACGATGGCGAGATGATGGTAGGTATTTTAATGACACAATGTTTCGTGCATTAATTTAATAATTAGAGCTGGTAATTTTTAATTCTTCCGTTCTTTGATGCAAAATAACGTATATAATATCATTATATGTTATTGTTCTATTGATAGTAATATCGCCTATGCCGCCTGTGAAGCTTTTTAGCTTATATAGCTTATATAAGCATTCATAAGGAAGCATTTTGTATTTTTTTCTTCAAATTTTTGTTGTTCTCCTGTTATGTTTTTTGTGTGCTCCCGTGTGAATAAAGAAAGAAAGAAAGAATAAACGACTATGATCGCGGAAATGTCGACGAAGGTCGCTTACTTGTTTCAGCCCAGTTTTATTGCCGAAAAATCGACGAAGATCGCTTATTTGTTTCAGCCCAGATTAATTGCCGAAAAATCCGCGAAGATCGCTTATTTGTTTCAGCCCAGATTTATTGCCAAAAAATCGACGAAGATCGCTTATTTGTTTCAGCCCAGATTTATTGCCGAAAAATCGGCGAAGATCGCTTTTTTGTTTCAGCCCAGATTTATTGCCGAAAAATCGACGAAGATCGCTTATTTGTTTCAGCCCAGATTTATTGCCGAAAAATCGGCGAAGATCGCTTTTTTGTTTCAGCCCTGATTTATTGCCGAAAAATCGGCGAAGATCGCTTATTTGTTTCAGCCCTGATTTATTGCCGAAAAATCGGCGAAGATCGCTTATTTGTGACAGCCCAGATTTATTGCCGAAAAATCGGCGAAGATCGCTCCAGATTTATTGCCGAAAAATCGGCGAAGATCGCTTATTTGTTTCCGCCCAGATTTATTGCCGAAAAATCGACGATGATCGCTTATTTGTGACAGCCCAGATTTGTTATCGAAAAATCGGCGAAGATCGCGCCAGATTTATCGCCGAAAAATCGGCGAAGATCGCTTATTTGTTACAGCCCAGATTTATTGTTGTCTTTGCCTGCAGTTCCGCGGCATCACTCCCAGCGACGCCGGACGCTACATCTGCGAAGCCGTCAACGCTGCCGGCACCGCGCGTGCAGTTGCAGAGGTCGTTGTCAACGGTATGTAATAGATAATTTCTTCACCTCGTGCTATCATTCCGTATTTTTATTTGCAATACGTGCGTCAATCTATCATAAACGCGTGTCCGACTATGCCAAAATCCACGTGAAACTCTAACATTCTTCTACGGTTTTCTCGTTCGAAAGAAAAATCATCATAATGGAATCTTGGATTGATTTCATTAATATGCGATGATGATGATGGTTAAACGATGACGTTACGATGGGTTATTAAGTACTTATTACCTTTTTCTGACGAAATGCTAAAAGATGTTTTGAGGATAATATGCATATCAAAATTATATTCGCACGCATTCTCTTTTTTATTGAAATAGTTAATTAAAATCGCTCGCATTTCCAATTTTTGCAAGTCACCTCTCACCCAATTATCTCTCGTGTCGGTGAGGTAAGTAACCGCAAGTCCATGAACTGAAGGTGAGTCTTTGAATGAAATTTTTGTACATAATAATCTCCTTACAAACCTCACGGCTCTCTAAGCGAATCTTGTGCAAATAACTTCAATAATAATTTAATATCTTTTCTTCTAGAGTGCCTTATTTACATAGAATTCTATAATAATGTGTTCGCTGTTTGCTCCTCTCGCATAAGAAATTACTACGTCACGTGATTTGATTTATTTAGCGATAGTAGATTAATTCATTTGTAGATAATCCGACCCCATTAATCCAATTAATCTTTAGGGTATTTTTAAAAATATGATCCTATTTATTTCTTAAAATTTTGCTGATGGTACACATTTTATTTATACTTTTTTAGTCATTCCAAATTTACATAATGGTTCTGTGTATATATTCTTCTATTTTCATTCTATATCCTGAACGCAAACGCACCCCGCCTTTTGCCTCCCTTCATACCTGTCCTGTAAAGTCTTCACTTTTCTCAACAAACGTCTCGAAAAAATTTCCTGGCTTGATTAATAACGTGACCAATATTTATTGAGATAATTATATTCTAATTCTTTCGTTCCTTATTGAAAGTTTTCTATCAGCTTCCAAATTGTACAATTGTCATTGCCTTCGTCTTCACTAGATTATTCCCTATGTTTTTCAACTTGAATTACCCTAGATTTTTCCCTATGTCTTTCAACTTAAGTTACCCTAGATTTTTCCAAATGTTTTTCAGCTTAAATTACCCTAGATTTTTCCCTAAGTTTGCCAACTTAAATTAACGAGTATGCCGTGTTCATTGACGAGTTGCAGCTCCAACCATGAGTGAACGTCTAGTTTCCTACTTTCTGTACCATCAGTTCTATTCTTTAGCTGAAGATAGAAAAATACCACATTTACGTTCATTTTCTCTTATTCCCTTTCCATCACAATTGTTTTGAATTAGAATACAACAGGTGTATTGTTTTTTCCAAATACAAGTTCATTAGAATGAAATTGGCTAAGCAAAACGGCACATTAAACGAATTAAAGTTGACATCGACTCGATTGGCATTTTTCGACAGATTTTGGAAAGCCTCCATCGACCCCAGCTTCCCACTTAGGCGATGACGAAGATTTAGTTCTGGAAGGTTCAGGCGTGTTCTCACTTAACGGATCGCCGCTCGATTCTTTTATATTGCCACGCAGTACGCAATGTAATTTGAACCATTTCAAGTGCTCCGATGGTCAGTGCATAGATGTCATGCTACTCTGTGATGGCATGCGTGACTGTCTCGATGGCTCCGACGAGTCCGATTGCAATGCTCTGCTCGCCGTCACTAAACGTTAGTACCCGACGTCCCGTTTTAGTCCGTGTTCCTGATTTTGATGTTTCATTGTCCGTATTCTTGATTTTGATGTTTTTTTTTCCTGGAGATTATCCCGTTTTAGTCCGTGTTCCTTCGTCCTTATACATTTTCCTGATTTTGATGTTTCTTTTACCTGGAGAATATCCCATTTTAGTCCGTATTCCTTCGTCCTTGTACATTTTCCTGATTTTGATGTTTCATTGTCCGTGTTCCTGATTTTGATGTTTCTTTTACCTGGCGATTATATGTTATATGTTTATTGATGGCATGGCACAAATGTTCATTCGGTGTTTCGGACCGTCCTTCTGATCATATCCTGGCGACTTCAATGAACATTTTTGTCCTAATTGTGTCATTTTGTTGTTGTCCCATTTGTGTCATATATCTGTTTTTTTTGTGGTGGTGTTACGTTTCATGTATTGGGTTCAAATTTTACTTTACCACATGCTGCTGTTTCGAAGATCTGCCAGCTCCCTGTTTGCTGCGCTCGGTGTCAGCTCCTTGATTTTGGAACGCAAGATTGCAAACTCTTTACGTGGCATTAATACTTGGCTATGATTTCAGCGTTCCTATTTCTGTGGTTGATGTTGCTTTTCATTGGCTGGTGTTGATAATTATTTGCAACTAAATCTAACTTGTTATCGTGTCAGACATAAAAAAGTTCATATGATGCTATCAGATTTATTTTCAGAAAATAATTCGTTGACTCCGAACCTTGAAAAAATTTATCCCTTAAAAAGGATATCGATTTATTTCATTGGACCTTAAACCGTCATTATGACCAATTTGGTCAGTAAGCAGATGCGTGAGCCTGCATGCCAAAATGTTCTTGATAATGGTCACTGATTTCCCGTGCTAAAAATTTTGGTTAGCCTAGCAATAGGCAAAAACAAACCCACAACTTGCGGCAAATGATTCACCTGGTTATTTCCGTAGAGATTTCGCATTTTAAATGAAATTTTGCTTTTGAAATTTCAAAATTTTTTGAAATTTTGAAGAAAAAAATTTTTTTGCTTTTTTTAAATGTGATTTCACATTTTAAATGAAATTTTTGTGCATCGCATTTTATATTTCAGAAACACACATTTATTTTACATTTCAGACATTTGTTACTAAAGTGAGCTCTGCTCTGTTTATTGATTTTTATCCACACAAACCGCGATATTTTATGATAGTAAATTCTGTGTTGAAGCTTGTAGTGGTTACACAAAGCCTCTGTAGAAATTGACTGCCAACCACCAAGTATTTTGATCTGCTAAATGTGAGCCTTTGACATTTTTTTTAAATGAAACGAAGTTCGAGCACACAAAATTGCTTTACTACAATGATTACGCGTAGCGTTGGCCGTTGTAGCATTGTGGTCCATAGTCGATGGGACCAAAAATCGCTTTTGGCTTCATATATTATTCTTACAATCGCGCTTGAATCGAAATTATTGGATGAATCTATAGCCTGATATTGTTATATTTAATGAAACATGCATCATAAAGCTGATGGTTTAAAACATGGAAAATTTTCACGTGATTTTTGCTTGAAATTTCCTTATTTTAGTGTCATTTCTATTGATTGGAGAAAAAGTTAATCAAGTATCTTACATGATTTAGGATTTTCCTGAAGTCTCCATTTAGATTTAAAACTATACATTTCAAGGAACCATGGACTCGGTCCCTTGAATTCCGTCTCGACTTGATCATTTTTGAAATAGTTTATAATATGCTAAACATAAACCACATTTGTACGCAAAAAAGGTTGTCCTAACTCGCCGTGTGGTGACGGCCGCTGTGTTGATGAAGTAAAAATTTGCGATGGCGTGCCCGACTGTCCTGATCACGGTGATGAAACTAATTGTCAAGGTGAGAGTCTGATAAAAGGCTGTTTAACTGCCACTATTCTGCGAATTATTTGGATACCCTAACAAAATTTAGAGTCGCCCCAACTTCTGGTAATCCAAATCAGAAGCTGCCGCGTCTGTAAATTTTCACTGGGACCCTAACAAAATTTAGAGTCGCCCCAGCTTCTGGTAATCCAAATCAGAAGCTGCCGCGTCTGTAAATTTTCACTGGGTATAGCTGTTCGCTATAGGCTTTTAAAATGAGCGTTTAAAAACTTACGAACTGGACCGGATGATGCTATCAGTATACCCACGATAATGTTTTTTTATCGAGTTCAAAATCTATTTTGTATACATTTCAGTTTGTTTAGCTATTCTTAGGCTGAAGGCGCTATTCCTGCGTAGTTTTCTCTACTGCATAGCACGTTAAAGATGCAGAACTGATATATGAAAGAATACCACGAAAAGTTTGATTTTATATAATTAATGTGTGAGCATTTATGTATGGTGCATGCAGTATTAGAGATGTTCCTATTGTGTACAGTTGTTCCTTAAGGTTTCTTTTCTTTCTTATTTAATGTTGGTACCGCTTTTTCTGTCTTCGCTGTCACTGCAAGCTTCGTTTAAAATTATGCGAATATTTTCACCTATGGGATTTTCCTTTAACTTTTTAATGGGTTAGTGTGCGTTTACTTATAGCAACTCGGTGATGTACTTCCCTTAAGTGGAGATAACTGTATAAATGTTGAGAAATGTTATAATATTTGTCAGTTTTATTGCATGCCATCAGAACTTATTCATTCACTTGTATTGGCACATTCAATCACACATTTTTTTAATAACATTATTCTAATTGTTGGAATAGGCTTTCGATACGTGATGCGTACTGGTGTCAGCTCAACAAATCAAATCAAGTATCTTACCTTGTCTTTCATTACCTTGTTCTGGAAGTGTCACGTATCACTATAATGCGTCATACTTAATGTAAATTAATTTTGTGACTTCTAGTGTCAGCTACAGGCTAAACTTGTTATCAAACAAATTTTGTGGCCTAGTTGCTCATTCGAATATTTTGACCTGACACTCTTACGCATCACATATCGAGCCTAAAATGCTCGATCGGAACAAACAATTAATCCTTATAAGCTCTGGTATTTTGCTGCATGCTCATTGTTCCCCCAGACGACATATTTGACCTGGGATCTTGCTCCGAGTTCTTTAAGTGTGGCAATGGAACTTGTTATCCATTCTACACTAACTGTGATGGATTCTGCGACTGTGACGATTGCAAAGATGAAGCTGTTTGCTTCAGGCGTAGGAGGTCAACTTCACTCAGTAAGTTTCCAAAAAAAAAAAATATACTGAAAGTTTTATTTTTACCTGAAAGTTTTTTATTTCCATTGTAGCGATTTGAACTGCACAATAACCGAATAAATAATTATAATATTATTTTGTATATCATTTAACTATCAAGATAACTCGTTTTCAACTGGTCACTTGCTGGATGTACTATCATCCGTCCTGTAGTAAGTAACGTTTATCGGATAAGAGAGACATTACCTGGCGATGTAGAGGGTGAGTGCAATAGGCTTTTAATGCTGCTTGTCGTTTCCATGTTACAGATCAGGGGCCGTATTATCAGAACTTCGTAAGTACGCAAAATCGACTTACGAGTGGCGTTGCTATGACAACGTAATACTAACGGTAGTATTATAAAAACATTTGCGCGGGAAAAATTTGCGCGGGGAAAAAATTTAGGCTTTTAGCTAAGACTTGCGTACGAAAGTTTTGATAATGCCAAAATTAGGGTGTATTTACGTACCACAGAACTTTTTTGTCGTAAGTACAAAAAGTTACGAAGTTTTGATAATCCGGCCCCAGNAACACTTTATTGTACAACATAACACTGTGGTGTACAACAGAACACTTTGGTGTACAACAGAACACTGTGGTGTACAACAGAACACTGTGAATTACAACAGAGCACTGTGGTGTGCAACAGAACACTTTATTGTACAACAGAACACTGTAGCTGTCTCTTATACACATCTAGATGTGTATAAGAGACAGCTACTACTGCCAGCTCATACCCTAACAAAATTTAGAGTCGCCCCAGCTTCTGGTAATCCAAATCAGAAGCTGCCGCGTCTGTAAATTTTCACTGGGTATAGCTGTTCGCTATAGGCTTTTAAAATGAGCGTTTAAAAACTTACGAACTGGACCGGATGATGCTATCAGTATACCCACGATAATGTTTTTTTATCGAGTTCAAAATCTATTTTGTATACATTTCAGTTTGTTTAGCTATTCTTAGGCTGAAGGCGCTATTCCTGCGTAGTTTTCTCTACTGCATAGCACGTTTAAGATACAGAACTGAAATATATGAAAGAATACCACGAAAAGTTTGATTTTATATAATTAATGTGTGAGCATTTATGTATGGTGCATGCAGTATTAGAGATGTTCCTATTGTGTACAGTTGTTCCTTAAGGTTTCTTTTCTTTCTTATTTAATGTTGGTACCGCTTTTTCTGTCTTCGCTGTCACTGCAAGCTTCGTTTCAAAAAATGTGAATATTTTTACCTATGGGATTTTCCTTTAACTTTTTAATGGGTTAGTGTGCATTTACGTATAGCAACTCGGTGATGTACTTCCCTTAAGTGGAGATAACTGTATAAATGTTGAGAAATGTTATAATATTTGTCAGTTTTATTGCATGGCATCAAAACTTATTCATTCACTTGTATTGGCACATTCAATCACACATTTTTTTAATAACATTATTCTAATTGTTGGAATTGGATTTCGATACTTGATGCGTACTGGTGTCAGCTCAGCAAATCAAATCAAGTATCTTACCTTGTCTTTCATTACCTTGTTCTGGAAGTGTCACGTATCACTATAATGCGTCATACTTAATGTAAATTAATTTTGTGACTTCTAGTGTCAGCTACAGGCTAAACTTGTTATCAAACAAATTTTGTGGCCTAGTTGCTCATTCGAATATTTTGACCTGACACTCTTACGCATCACATATCGAGCCTAAAATGCTCGATCGGAACAAACAATTAATCCTTATAAGCTCTGGTATTTTGCTGCATGCTCATTGTTCCCCCAGACGACATATTTGACCTGGGATCTTGCTCCGAGTTCTTTAAGTGTGGCAATGGAACTTGTTATCCATTCTACACTAACTGTGATGGATTCTGCGACTGTGACGATTGCAAAGATGAAGCTGTTTGCTTCAGGCGTAGGAGGTCAACTTCACTCAGTAAGTTTCCGAAAAAAAAAAATACTGAAAGTTTTATTTTTACCTGAAAGTTTTTTATTTCCATTTTAGTGATTTGAACTGCACAATAACCGAATAAATAATTATAATATTATTTTGTATATCATTTAACTATCAAGATAACTCGTTTTCGACTGGTCACTTGCTGGATGTATTATTATCCGTCTTGTGGTGAGTAACATTTATTTTTAAAGAAGAGAGACATTACCTGGCGATGTAGAGGGTGAGTGCAATAGGCTTTTAATGCTGCTTGTCGTTTCCATGTTACAGATCAGGGGCCGTATTATCAGAACTTCGTAAGTACGCAAAATCGACTTACGAGTGGCGTTGCTATGACAACGTAATACTAACGGTAGTATTATAAAAACATTTGCGCGGGAAAAATTTGCGCGGGGAAAAAATTTAGGCTTTTAGCTAAGACTTGCGTACGAAAGTTTTGATAATGCCAAAATTAGGGTGTATTTTCGTACCACAGAACTTTTTTGTCGTAAGTAGAAAAAGTTACGAAGTTTTGATAATCCGGCCCCAGACAAGTTACGTCGCTGCCAAAATTTAATTTATACGCGGTAATTTCATATGATTATGAATAATAGTCCCTTTTATACATTCAATGAGGTTACTAAAAACATTTTGGAAATAACAGCATGGTTGTTCATCGTCAGCGGGAAAATTTTGAAATTTGAATGTTCTCTTGTCTTTATGTTCAAAGGTAAACAATTATTGGAACGTTTCATTTCTGAACTAAGTTATAGGTTCTGACATTGAATCAAATTCATTCCAGTGTAAGTTGCATATATGTGAATAGTTTAAGTTCTAGTTTTTAAGTTGTTTTGTTAATGTGGTGGCGTGTTGAAGGGAGGTGACCGGACTTCAAATATTATGGATGTGTAACATGTCGGTTCATACTTGAAAAATGTTTGCGAAGTGAAACAATTGCTTTTCATGTAATCATGTTATATGTCGGCTCGGATATTCTCATTTATGCGCCTGTTTTGTCTTTGCATGAAGTTAATGTTTCATGGTTTACTTATTCAAAAAAATTATAAGTTTTACTAATTGTTCACTCGTGTCATTATATGCAATACCAAAAAGAGTTACTGTCAGGTAGTGAGATTTTGAATATTTCATCAACGTGAGCGATTTACCAATTATTATTTAATTAATTATTAATTTACGTATTACCAAGTTTTGGTTTTCAAATAGTTTGGCTCACCTCTGCATTCGTTACTCGATCACTTTTTTGGAATCACCGTTCAATATCCAGTGAATTAAAATGTAATTTCAGGAAAACGGGTTTCTGACATCAAAATTTTATTTAATTACAATCCAGTAATCTGTGATATTTATTTTTTTCCAACAATTTTGGTTATGAATTTTACCAAATTTTGGTTATGAATTTTACCAATTTGGTATTTTACCAACAATAAAATAAATAAACATTTCATTTATATGTTCGCGCGTGTTTTTTTCATTTTTTCATTGTTGAAATATTCTTCACATATTATCATAAATTGTAATGCCTTATCCTCCACGTTGTTTAAACTCATTGCATGTCTTTATCCCGCTTCCCACTAACAGAAGATCCGCTGGTGACAGCGCTGCGCCAGAACATCCGTGCAGTTGAAGGCACAACCGTTGACCTGCGCTGCGAGGTCTCAGGCTTCGACCCCAGCCGAATGCGGTGGTTCAAAGACGCTAGCGTCTTGCCTCCCAACGCTCTACCTCGTGCCAACGTCTTGACGTTAGTAATTCTTTACCCTCAAGTACTGGACCAATCTTGACTATTACCCTCAAGTACTGGATAGTACTTGAGGGTAATCGTCAAGATTGGTCATGATTAAAGACCAATCAGTAACCGCTGATTGGTCTTTAGTCGCTGAAAGACCAATAAAGACCTATAGTCAAGATTGGTCTTAACTAAATAAATTCAAAGACGCTAGCGTCTTGACGTGAGTAATTCTTTACCCTCAAGTACTGGACCAATCTTGACTAAATAAATTCAAAGACGCTCTCGTCTTGCCACCCAACGCTCTACCACGCGCCAACGTCTAGACGTTAGTAATTCTCTACCGTCAAATAGTGGACCAATCTTGACTAAATAAATTCAAAGACGCCACCGTCTTGCCTCCCAACGCTCTACCACGCGCCATCGTACTGACGTTAGTAATTCTTTACCCTCAAGATTGGTCTTGACTAAAGACCAATCAGTGACCGCTGATTGGTCTTGACTAAATAAATTCAAAGACGCCAGCGTTTGCCTCCCAACGCTCTACCACGCGCCAATGTCTTGACGTTAGTAATTCCCAAATACTGGACCAATCTTAACTAAATAATTTGATTAAAAATGCTAATTTAAGACTTAATTTACTAGACATTTAAAAGCGAAGATAACTCCACAAAAATTCAGCATATCTCTATTGAAAACGAGATACGTTTTCAAGAGAAATATGCTGAATTTTTGTGAAGTTTTCTTCTCTTTTAAATTTCTAGTGAATCTGCGATTCAAGCAATCTAGAGACTTTAAGACTTAATTTGACCGCAGAAAAAGAGTCTAATTTCATCGAGATTGAGTCTCACCTTGAGAATCTAATTTTGAAGAGTACGATAGGAAACCATAAGCTATAAATTAACTGAGAAAACTGATATACCAATTCGCTATTGCGCTTCCTCGAAACAGGATGTCTTATTAATGTCTGGCCTGAAGAAATGTTCCTACAAATGTGTCAATACATTTTTTAAAAATGTTTTGACAGATTTATTTTTATAATTTTGTTCATACCGTGAACGAAAGGATTCTGTTCCCAAATTTACTTTCCTCTAACTATTCACGTGTAGGATTTTTAAGGTGTTATCTGCTAAAACATTATTATCGTTCACGAAAATGTAAAAGACCGCACGCGTCAAATCATCGTGTCATACACGCGACAGATGAACTTGTACGGTACTGGATATGACGTAGCTAGGCAAGATTAGTACTTTAGCAGTCGCTTCGCAGCATGAATCAGGGCCTATACTTTCAAAAAAGTTAAGAGATCGTAAGTTCATCAGCCAATCATTGACGGCCTTTCAAGCAAAATCCACCAATCATAGACAAGAAAATAGAGCGCAAGTACTTACGTTCACTTAGCGAATTTTGAAAGTATGGCCCCAGGTTAGGCTGACCGTGGCCATGTCCATGAGCAGTCAGTTGTTAGCTGACCGTGACGCTGAGCAGTGAGACGAGTGCTACCAAGGCGGACTAGCTAGTAGCTAATGTCTGTGACTATTATGTCAGTCTAGTTTTGCTAACTAGCTGAGTCGTGCTGACTATAACCAGCATTCCCTGCTGTCGTTTCGCCCATGTGAATGAATTAATGTTTTTCCTGAAAACGTGCTTCTATAATGTGCAATACAGACAGTTGAACGTCTCTTGTAAAAAAGTGCTTTTAGTCGGAATATGAGCATAATAAACTCTTTTAAATTTGCGCAATTACGATTTTAACAAAAGTGATATCAAATAAACTATTTCATCCTGTTTGTGGAACTACGATTTTAACGAAAAGTGAGTTTAATGAACTGTTTTAAGGGTCCGATCTTTATGATTTTCATCCATTGCCATTGAACCCGCACTCGACTGACATGAGAAGGAGAGACGGCATTGAAGGTTAAATAAAGGAGCACAGTTGCCTGAAATTAATTAACATATTGTCTATGCCTGGAGCTGACAGCGTCCGCCCCTGACATTAGTAAACTATGGTCCCTAATAACGTTCAGTTCGCTTGTAGCAGCTCTGGCCGGTGACAATACTTTGAGTCGAATTTTAATTTACCTTACTGTAACCTGTGAATTTTTGCCATCACTGCTGCCTTTTGATCAATACAGAGAGTTTTTAATGAAATGCCATTTTGTAATTTACCAGAGCTTCCGCCCCTGACAGTATTAAACTATAGGGCCCTAAAAACGTTCAATTAGCAGTAAGCTTGTAGCAGCTCTGGCCGGTGACAAATGACAATACCTCGAGTCGAATTTTAGTTTACCTTACTGTACCCTGTGAATTCTTGCCATAACTGCTGCCCTCTGATCAACAACTTACGGAGTTTTCAATGAAATATAAATTTGTAATTTACCAGAATCCGCGACGTTGACGTCAACAACCAGGGCCGTTACACGTGCGAGGTCGTCAGAGAGGACGGCTCTCGAGGCTCCTCCGACTTCATCGAGCTCATCGTCGACCGTAAGCCTGAGCCTGTACCTTCTGTGACAGAAACTTCGACAACTAAGCCTTGGTTCTACTTCGGTGTTGGATGAAGACTTGCATGCTGATCGGTGGCCAATTTTTTAGCTAAACCTATAACCTCTATAATCTTTCTTATCAATCTGCAATCTATGTAGCAGCAACCTCTATCTATCTTGGATCTATTTATCTATCTTGCCAAATCTGTAAACTCTGAGACTGGAACGGAGGACTTTAAACTCCGAATCTGTTGCCTTTGAGCACGACTATCGATAATCCTGTAGTATTTGATCAAAGCCTGAATCTACATCCTCCTAATTCCTATCCAACTGTAAATGCCCCATAAGTGATAATTTTGACACCCCACACAAAAAAAAGGGTGAAAATTCAAGTCTTCCACATCAGTCACTTTAAAAAAAAAAGCAGATTAGTTCCACCGAGTTTATCTTGTTTTAACCCTAAACCCAGTTTGTTTACCCTAAATACGGTGATTGGTTTCCTTTCCTGGTCCATCAAAAATTAAACTGAATGACACCTATTGATGTTGCTATAATGCATTCGTATATTGCATGCAATGTATTTCTCCCAAACATTAGCAATATAGTCAAAAATCATTTCTTGGTTGTTTTTGCAACTGCATGCACCAAAAATTTCCTCCCTTATATTAACAGTTATGTTATCTTTCAATTTTAAGTAAGATTGAATATTTAACGGTGTTAAATTTACATTTCACGTTATTAAACGGCTTACGGGTATTTTCATAGATTAGATGGTGTGTTTAACTCTTGTAGAATTCTCTCCAACATCTCCAGTTTCTGGTTTTACGATTTTATGCATAGTGACGTACAGAATACGTGCATTCAAACTTAAACTAAGACATTTTCCACCCTTGGCTTAGCGTAAAACCCCTTTGTATTTTGTGTCTAGATTGATAACTTTGAATTGATTGCGTGAATGTAGTTAAAAAATTGAATGTTAAATTAGTAGATCTTGACTGTAATGTTTTCGTTGTAGCTGTTTAAAGTGCCTAGATATTTTGTTCATGTCTCTCATTCAATAATTTTATGTACGTTCATTACACTAAATTAGTAGTGGGAATTGTCACAATTGCCTTCATGTTTTATTCATTTGTAATTCGTTAATGGGCCATAAAATCCTTGTATCTTTTATCCCAAAGCCAAATTTTCAAACTTGTCAACGTTTCCTGGAAAGTTGATTATTATCAGTTTATAATCATTGTTTTGACACAACTCAAATTAAGAGCTTAAATCTAGTGATTCTGAAATGCGGCCAAGTTCCTTAAAAGTTCATTTATTAAATTGTTACGTTCACTGCAATCACGACTCTGAGTTCATCCGAGAAATGTTCATTGCGTCTCTCAGCATAAAATTATTACATTTGTAACCGGCTAGCACTGCTGGTATTCTTCTTTAGTAAATGTTATGATTTATTCACGTCGTTTTTGTTTATTATCTTCAGTAATTTGCCTTTTCAAAATATTGCATCCTCGCTCCTGAGAAAATTTCAGTTCATAAAGGTCGACTACAAATACCGAATTAAGTTTATGAAAATCACAATAAAAAGTTACTTGCTGCATGAGTGATCAATTTAATTTTGTTTTCGACCGTAAATAGAAGTGAAATACCTCTATAGTTGACCTGAGGCTCTTCTCGTTGACATCACATTCTGAGCAATTTTGTGCCAATGAGTGATACCATTTCTGTTTTACTCTCATGTTTTTCTGCAATATTAGTATTATATTACACAAATCTAATTAACCGAATCGAAATTAAACGAAAAAATTCTAACGTATGCATATGCATGGCCTATCCAGCATCAACCGAATCGAAAAATCGAACGTAACGAAAAAATTCTAACGTATGCATGGCCTCTCCAGCAACATTGCTACAATGAATTTAGTTAGTTATATGTGCTTCCTAGTTCTATATTTAATTTGCATGGCTTGTACTAATTGTTGTCCCTTCTTTTTAGTAGATAAAAATTAGTTTGTGCATTCTCCTTCTTCGTACTTTTCAACTAAGGTGAGTAAACTGCACTCTCAACCATGCCACAATTTCCAATTAATTAAATTAAAAAAATAATAATTTCAATGATTGTTGCACGTTTGTATTGTGTCCATTTATTGTTGCGATCATGGAATATATTGTAAAATGTCTGCAATGTAAATAGCATTTCTCGTTCTACATATACTCTATATAAACATGTCTTCTATGCCGCGCGGATAGGTTTTGGTAGCATTGATATTCGCATCGATGCGGACCCTCTCAATCCACGCGTCGGCTCTGTAGTGTAAATAGCATTTCTAGTTCTACATGTACTCTATATAACCACGTCTTCTATGCCGCGCGAATTGTGTTACTTATATTCTTATGTTCGTACTATTGTCGTATATAAAATATCACAATTGCATTGCTCGTTCTACATATACTCTATATAATCATGTCTTCTATGCCGTCGGATAGGTTCAGGTAGCATTGATATTCGCATCGATGCGGACCCTCTCAACCCCCGCGTCGGCGAGACCGTGGATCTTTCATTTCTCATATTACTAATATTGTCATTGTAAATAAATATCACACTGTTTTTCAATATATTCAATGTAAATAGCATTTCTCGTTCTACACGTGTTGTATATAAACATGTCTTCTATGCCGCGCGTCTAGGTTCAGGTAGCATTGACATTCGCATCGATGCGGACCCTCTCAACCCTCGCGTCGGCTCTGTAGTGTAAATAGCATTTCTAGTTCTACATATACTCTATATAACCACATCTTCTATGCGTGTCGGATAGGTTCAGGTAGCATTGACATCCGCATCGATGATGACCCTCTCAACCCGCGCGTCGGCTCTGTAGTGTAAATAGCATTTCTCGTTCTACTTATGTTGTATATAACCATGTCTTCTATGCGTGCCGGATAGGTTCAGGTAGCATTGACATTCGCATCGATGCGGACCCTCTCAACCCACGCGTCGGCGAGACCGTGGAGCTGACGTGCAGCGTGACTGGCGACCCAGGAGCTTTGGTGTCGTGGTCGCGCTCCGGACGCAGACTGCCCCAGGGCGCGCGTCAGTACGGCAACCGTCTGCGTATTGCAGACCTAAGACCCGCAGACAGCGGCATCTACACCTGTGAAGTGTCTGCCATCAGCGGTTCCTTTGAAGAGAACTACGCCCTCGTGCTTCAAAGTTAGAAAATATTTATTTGCATTTTTAAACACCATCATGATATTTAAATAATTCAAGTTAGTAGACCACTTAATGATACGAAAGATATCTTTCTTCAAACATAGCTATAGAGACCAACATTCTATAAATTAAAAATTTTTTATTTTGACTTATGAGTTTTACCTCATAACATATCCCCTAATAAATTGTTATAGTCTCTCACTTATTATATATATATAGTCTCTCACTCGTCTCATGAAATTATTTGTATATTTTCCTCGGCGGAAATCAACAACGAGTGTTCCTACCGAACCTGTTAGAGTATTCGTATATACACGCAGTATCCGTGCGTCCTGTATAGTCGCTTGTATAATGTTTGTATATTTTGCTTGTATTTTTTTTGTCATTTTGAAACCGTCTGTTGAGATCTTTACAGTTTGTCCTGTCATGACTTACTTGCTGGCTGGTGCAGCGATGTTGAAATATGTCTTGTAAATAAATATCTCCTTGCGAATTATCTATCCATTGATTGAGCAAGCGCAAAATTACCTCATTTTCGCTGTATATCGTTAGTGATCTCCGTTATGATAATGTAAATTCAATTGTTTCTTCATTTAATGACTTCATTTATGTATCTATATCTAATTTATTCTATCCTGTAAATCTCGTGCCTTTAGCGAAATGTACCCAAGAACATTCTCATACATCCAATCGGCCTGGCATATTGTGCTACTTCAGATAAATCTCTGTGATTCAATTACTGTAGCTCAAAATCTTATGGAAAAAGTTATTTCTGATTGAAATGAAAGGAATCACATGGAATGAAGCTATTTCAGAAAAGTCCGATTGATCAGGAATACAAAGATTTAGCCAACTATAAGTTGATTAATGCGTTATCCCCAGCATTTCCAGTCTTGGTGCGATGGAAGCTGTTTCATGCGAAAAGGAATACAAACATTTCAAAAACGTTAGACAAATACAAACATTTAGCCATCTATATGTTAATTAATGCGTTATCCCCAGCATTTCCAGCCATGATACCAGTTAATGTGCTAAATCTTCTCAGACTTGGTGGCCAGCGATGTGGTGAACTACGCCCCGAACGCGCGGTCTGTAGAAACTCGGTCAGCGGAGTTTGGCTCAACCGTCGTGATGAAGTGTCAGCCAGAGTTGGAGCCTCCAGCGTCCTTCACGTGGATGAAACAAGACGGACAGTTGCCTATACAAGCATCCGTGCGGGAGGTCAGTGGCAGAATGTCAGGCCTTAATTATCTACTTCTAATAATAATATACCCAATAATACCAATCACCTTGCCTATACAAGCATCAGTGCGGGAGGTGAGCTGCAGAATGTCGGGGCTTCTAATGCTTTTAAAATCTTCGATAGTTTTCTCTATAATGAACTTATCTACTTCCAATAATATTATACCCATCCCCTTGCCTATACAAGCATCAGTGCGGGAGGTGAGAAGCAGAATGTCAGGCCTTTTAATGCTTTTCAATTTTAATTTTTCGATAGTTTTCTCTACAATGAAACTATTTACTTCCAATAATAATATACCCAATAATACCCATCCCCTTGCCTATACAAGCATCAGTGCGGGAGGTGAGAAGCAGACTGTCGGGCTTTCTTGTGTTTTTAAATTTTTCGATAGTTTTCTTTACAATGAAATTACCTACTTCTAATCAAAATTATTTATTCTTGTAAAATGTAAATCCTATTATTATACTAGGCTGTAAACCTTGTTTATTTGTAAAAATGAATTTCTATTCCACCCCCCCTCCCCCCTATTCTGCAACGACTGGTTTAATTGCAGCGGTGGCACTATAGTTAGTAGTTAATCTCTTATTTTTATCATTGAAATGCTATGTAAAAAAATATTCTCCTATCATATCGTTCGTTTTTTATCCACACCCTCTTGTTTGATTGAGTAGAAAAGCCTTTTGCATAATATTTGTTTTACTGCCCTCTGACATTTGCGTGATTCATAACTCTATAAGATCCATAAACTCCATTTGACGTCAACAACAACTTTCCATGCGCGTTTTCGGTTTTTGTTTTACTACTATTTGACACTTGCGTGATTCATAACTCTACAAGATCCATAAAGTCCATTTGACGTTAACAACAACTTTCCATGCGCGTTTTCAACTTTTATTTTACTACTATTTGACACTTGCGTGATTCATAACTCTATAAGATCCATAAACTCCATTTGACCTCAACAACAACTTTCCATACGCGTTTTCAGCTTTTGTTTTACTGCTATTTGACACTTGCGCGATTCATAACTCTATAAGATCCATAAAATCCATTTCACGTCAATAACAACTTTTCCATGCGTGGGTGTTCTCAATGACGTTACACAGCTATTTGACACTTACGTGATTCATAAGTCATAACTCTACAAGAGCCATAAAGTCCATTTCACGTTAACAATTGTCCATGCTTGCTTTCAGCTTTTGTTTTACTACTATTTGACACGCGTGATTCATAACTCTATAAGATCCATAAACTTCATTTCACCTCAACAACAACTTTCCATGCGCGTTTTCAGCTTTTGTTTTACTACTATTTGACACGCGTGATTCATAACTCTATAAGATCCATAAACTTCATTTCACCTCAACAACAACTTTCCATGCGCGTTTTCAGCTTTTGTTTTACTACTATCTGACACTTGCGTGATTCACAACTCTATAAGATCCATAACGTCCATGTCAAATGGACGTTATGGATCTTATAGACTTGTGAATCGTCCATTTGACGTTAAAAAAAATTTCCATGCGTGTTTTCATGACGTTATACAGCCGTAATCCCTCCTGCAGGCCACGCTTGAGATCCCCGGTGTTCACGCCGACGATGCGGGCACTTATCTCTGCACCGCGCGTAACGACGTGCGATCCGTCGATCTGCCTATCATGCTCATCGTCACCGGCGTCATCCCCAAGTAAGTTTCATATTACTGTTTCAGTGGTTTATTATTAGATTTATCTCTTTATTTACTCATTTTGAATATATATCCATTTATTCTTATCGTCACCACCGTTATCCCCAAGTAAGTGCAGTGCGACGTGCAGCTTTGTCCAACGTCCTTGTTAACGCCATGTTACAATTTCAGTGGTTTATTCTTAGATTTATCTCATTTTTTACTCATTTTGAATATGTATCCTTTTATTCTTATCGTCACCGGCGTCATCCCCAAGTGAGTGCTGCTATGTTCAACGTCTTTGTGAATGTCATACTACAATTTCACTGGTTTATTCTTAGATTGATCTCATTATTTACTCATTTTGAATATATGTATCCATTTATTCCATGATGTCAAAATTTTTTAAGATACTAAATTATTTATTTATTTTTAATATAAATCCACTTAATCCATGGTGTCAAAAATTTTTAAGATACTAAATCAAGTTCAGCTCCTTGAGAAAATTATTACAATTTCAGTGGTTTATTCTTAGATTGATCTCATTATTTACTAACGTTGAATACAAATCCATTTATTCCATGATGTCAAAATTTTATAAGATACTAAATCAAGTTCAGCAAATATTAGCATATAAATGCTCTTGAAATGATTTTAAGGTTCATGGGCAACTCGTACCTCGCGCTGCCTACACTACCAGACGGCTACCTGCGCTTCGAGATCGATATCTCATTCAAACCCGAGTCTCCTAATGGTAATGTAGTCACAATTAATCTAATTTTTACACAATTTCTTATGGGTAATTGGAAGCAAATAAAAAATAGATCAGTACTAACTGGAGTGACAGAGAGCGCATTTTCTCTGTCACGTGAAGTCACGGACGGACACTTGAAGTAACGGACGGACTGACAGACGGACATGACGAGCACAATAGCGCCTTTTAAATAATGAGAAGATGCGCTAAAAAGTATTGTAATGATTATGTATGACTGCTCATATATGCACAGAGGTTCTATTATTCTCCTCTTACTCCGAAGGTTCTTTCCTTTCGTTGTAAACTTTTCGAACGAGATTTTTTCTATTGCAGGCACCAAGTTTCCTTCCGTTGCAAACTTTCCGAACGAGAATTTTTCTTGCAGGCATCAAGTTTCCTTCCGTTGTCAACTTTTCGAACGAGAATTTTTCTTGCAGGCATCAAGTTTCCTTCCGTTATTACTATGTATTTATTATGTATTTACTATGTATTTACTGTGTATTTACTATGTACTTACTATGTTTTTAATATGTATTTACTATGTATTTACTATGTATTTACTATGTATTTATTATGTATTTACTATGTATTTACTATGTATTTACTATGTTTTTACTATGGATTTACTATGTATTTACTATGTATTTACTGTGTATTTACTACTTATTTACTATGTATTTACTATGTACTTACTATGTTTTTACTATGTATTTACTATGTATTTACTATGTATTTGCTGTGTATTTACTATGTATTTACTATGTCTTTACTATGTCTTTACTATGTATTTACTTGAAACAATATTGCAAAAGTAAATAATTTTTTCTAATTAGATTCTTTCCATACCAGATTAATATCATTGGAAATATGTTTTTGCTTCTTGTTGTCGTTGCGCTCAAAAGTTACTGTCGTTATTAACACGATGAAAAGAATTATTGCACTTGATGTAAAATGTAAATCCTATGAATTGAAGATACCACGTTTACAAAATTTATTGCATGTTAAAAATATTAAAATCAAAATTAATAATACATTGTATATTAACTTAAAAATTGCTTTCTTTTTTCTGAAATTTTGAGCTAAAATAATTCGACAGGTCGCATGAGCGTCGCCGTTACTTTAAAATGGCATTATCTTCTCTAAAATTTTAAACTAAAATAATTGGACAGGTCGCATGAGCGTCGACGGGTCAGCGTCAGTAACAGGAACGGCATCAGGCCGTCATGTGGGACTAGAGCTGCTGAAGCCCATGTACCTCGGAGGCGTGCCGGAGGGCTTCGTTCTCAACAGCCAAGCCAACTTCACGCGTGGCTTCCGTGGCTGCATTGCCAGACTCGTCGTCAAAAACTCCATCGTGGAACTCCTCAGGGTAGCTGAGCAAAAGGTATGTGCTGGTATAACTCTAGTATTATATCAAACCTCGGAGGCGTGCCGGAAGGCTTCGTCCTCAACAGCCAAGCCAACTTCACGCGTGGCTTCCGTGGCTGTATTGCCAGACTCGTCGTCAAAAACTCCATCGTGGAACTACTCAGAGTGGCTGAGCAAAAGGTATGTGCTGGTATAAGTCTGGTGTTATATCAATTTATTCGGTAATAGACCTCAGAGTGGCTGAGCAAAAGGTATGTGACGGTATAAGTCTGGTATCAAAGCAATTTATTCGGTAATAGAATAGACAAGGTCATGCTGCATTGCCAGACTCGTCGTCAAAAACTCCATCGTGGAACTCCTCAGGGTGGCTGAGCAAAGGTAGTGCTGGTATAACTGTGGTATTATATCAATTTATTCGAGAATTGGCGCGTAATGTTGGTATCATATCAATTTATTCGGTAATAGACTAGACAAGGCCATGCTGCATTGCCAGACTCGTCGTCAAAAAATCCATCGTGGAACTCCTCAGAGTAGCTGAGCAAAAGGTGTGTGCTGGTATAACTGGTATCATATCAATTTATTCGAGAATTTGCGCGTAGCGTTGGTCTCGTATCAATTTATTAGGTAATAGACTAGACAAGGCCATGCAGGAGCATATGTTTAGTCTTGAAATGCCTCGTATTCTACGGAACAACTGAAGTCTAGAAGCGATTTTTAAATCTACTGTCCGTTGAAAAGATTTGATCAAAAGGCCAGTCTAGTCAAGAAAAGTACAAGAATCGGCGACAGGCCTATCCAGGTCTATTCTTCAATGCCGAAGATACTATACTATACTAATGTATTCGGAAAGTTAACTTACTGCAAACTCCGTCATGGAACTGATTTTGGCTGCTGATGAGAAGTCCAGTATTGTTCTTGTTTAGTAAAATCTTTCTGAAAAAAAAATGAATTAGAACACTTCATCTCGGAATCCAACTTGGACAACAAGCTTCTGGATTTGATTTTCTGACTAGTGTGTAAAAAAGTTCAGCTTTGCCTTGCTCCAGCAAGCTGTGAGAATTTGTTGGATGTGATACAGTACTGAACGAGTGAAAATGTTTTTCTTTTTCTATTTGGATGGATTTTAGATGTTGATACATATACTTGCAAGTATGATGTTTTTCTTTTTACATTTGGATGTATTTCAATGTTGATACGAGTTTTAATTTTAATGTAAATTTTAATGTACTCGTACATATACTTGCATGCCTAAGGGTACGCACACAGTGGAAGCAGGTTACCAGCGTGCTGGTTACCTGCTCAGGCTGGCGCCTGAAACCATAGAATACAGAAGCCTATTCGTACAGGTTTTCACTGTGAACACTTACATTATTATCCTATGTTCATTCTTGTGCCAGGTTGGAGTAGGTTGCCCGCGCTGGCAAACCTGCTTTCACTGTGTGCGTACCCTTATATCTGACTTACCCCCTGAATACACAGGTCAACATCGAAGACTGCAACACGTGTGGGGACAGCCCGTGTAACAATGGAGGGATCTGTCAGGAGTCATACACGGAAACTGGCCACAAGTGCCTCTGCTCTGCTGGATATACTGGTGCATCATGCGACAAAACTGGCGACACATGCTATCCTGGTGAGTATCCTTTTATTTATTTCAATTGTAGGCATTCTCAATATTATCTCTAGGCTATGTTTAGCCTAGAAATTATGTTGAGAATGCTTACAATTGAAATTACGAGACTGATTTGCTGAGACTTTGGGAAAATGTGGATTTCGGTCCATTTCATCTGATGCAAGGTTTTGAATTCGCCGTGCTTGTCTAATGTCAGCCTCTTGATTAAACGTATAGAAGAAATTCTTCGGCTGCTAACCGGTCTAGACGGGGTTCGGAGTTTGTCATTTATCTCTAGCGGAACTGGCCGTTGTTTAATGTTTTTTTAGCGGATCCCGACATTAACAGGTTATCTTCCAATGTAATTTCGTTCAGCCAAAGTGGATTACATTCTTCCTTCCAATGTAGTGCACCATGCATTTTACTAATTACTTCATTTCCATCAATCCTTATTCCTTCAATTCATCAGGCTTTAGACTTTGCGCTGAGATAAATTTGTGAGACTTTTGAGTATCTAGGTTGTTCCCATAAAAAGGCATCCGTATTAAATTTTGAGCAATTTTTATACTAGTAATTTACTAGCTTAAAAATTTTAATTCTGAACAAATCAATTCGAATAAATATTCTTACCCCCGACTTTTCATGCTCACGTGGTATCTCAAAAGAATTTTCTCTTCGTGTGTTCCTACTCTCATAGAATAGAATACATAGAAGTGTCGGCCCTGAAGAAATAGGCCCATGGCCTGTTGCCGATTCTTTTACTTTTCGTGACTTGAAGAAATAGGCCAATGGCCCGTTGCCGATTCTTATACTTTTCGTGACTTGATTCACAAGGGATCCGGCCTTTAAAACCCTATCTTCCCATAACTGACTCGTACTGAGGAACATTGTGGGATTAAAATATTACGGTAGTGAACTAATAAATCAATCAAATATTTATGCCAGGTCTATGTGGAGGTGGTCGGTGCGTGAACCGCCCCGGGGGCTACGATTGCTTGATTAACAAGGAATCTGGAACCCTATCTTTCCATAACTTTCTCATACTGCGGAACATTGTGGGATTAAAATATTACGGTAGTGAACCAATAAATCAAGCAAATATTTGTGCCAGGTCTATGTGGGGGTGGTCGGTGTGTGAACCGTCTCGGCCCCCCTTGGACTACCTTGGAGGAACCCTATCTTTCCATAACTTTCTCATACTGAGGAACATTGTTGGATTAAAATATAACGGTAGTGAACCAATAAATCAAGCAAATATTTGTGCCAGGTCTATGTGGGGGTGGTCGGTGCGTGAACCGTCCCGGGGGCTATGATTGCTTCTGCCCCTACGGCAAGACGGGCATCCACTGCGAACACGACATCGTCATCACAGAACCTGCCTTCGCCGACGGCTCGTACATCGCCTACCAGACTCCCAGCGCCATCAAGAGGTTCTCTTTCGGACTCAAAGTTAAACCTACTGAGGTGAGTGCAAACGTTTGTCCATGTTTTGTTGTTATTATAACGTCGCATTGACGTTCAAATGATCGATGTAATTGTCGTCAATAATAATAATAATAAAAATAATAATGATCCTAATAATCGCGATTCTGTACTTAATGTTGAAATACTCGATTAACCTTACATGCCCAATCATTTTAACTTGCATGATCTAAATTAATCGATTTAGCTTCTACTAAATTTCTATCATACTCTGTTTACGAACCTTCGTTAATCAATGTAAAGATAAATGGTTTAGCATCATTGCGTTTTAGTAAGTTTAGTTTTCTAACTTCTATGCACAAACGTAGCGGCTACTGTAGACTTGACTGAAGAGTTTTCAGCACTCATATGTCTGCGTTTATTTTAGTTAGTTAAATTTTATTTCAGATAGTTAAGTTTTCTAACTTCAATGCACAAATGTAGCGGCTACTGTAGACTTGGCTGAAGAGTTTTCAACACGCGCATAGGGTCAGTAAGTTAAGTTTTCTGTTTTCAACACGCGCATTTGTCTGCGTTTGCAGGAGATGAAGGATGGCCTTCTGATGTACTGCGCTCAGGACGAACAAGGTGAAGGGGATTTCACTTCCTTGGCTCTTAGGAACAAGAAACTTGAATTCCGCTTCAATACCGGCACCGGCACAGCCACGCTCGTCAGTGATGAACTGACACCCGGGGCGTGGGTTAAGGTATAAATTGCTCATACATAATAAATAAATGGATAAATTAAATAAATTGATTTGTTCATTGCTCATGGTATAAATAAATATGTTGATTTGTTCATTGTTCATAGTATAAATAAATAAATTGATTTGGTCATTGCTCAAAGTGAGCTATGAACAAATCTAGATGGAAGTAGTCGAATTCAAAAACAAAAATGACTAAATAAATGAGAAAGTGCCTTGTGAAACTATATTATTATAATAAATTAAGATAAAAATTATGAGCTACAAGAAACTGCAATTTCAGATCATAATTACCATACTATTAGAATAAATTCAGATAAGAATTACGTTATAAAAGAAACTGCAATGGATGAAACTGCATTTGTTTCAAATCAAACTACCCTAACTCCGTACAGATAACTAAATAAACGAGAAAGTGCCTTGTGAACCCATACTAATAGAATAAATTAAGATAAAAATTACGAGTTAAAAGAAACTGTAATTGATGAAATTGAATTTGTTTCGAAACAAACTACCATAACTCCGTACAGATCCACGCAAATCGCACGGACCGCATGGGTTCGCTTCGTATCGACGACGGAGAAATGATCCACGGCGAGTCTCCGGGAGCGCACAAAGGTCTCAACCTGCGCATCCCGCTCTACGTCGGGGGCGTTGACACCAGCAAAGTCGAGGTGTCCTCCGAGGTTGAGGTGTCCAATGGTTTCTCTGGATGCATCTCGCAGGTGCGTTTTTAGCGCATTTTCTCATTTATGAAAAATATGCGCTATTGTGCTCGTTTTACTCTTTGGAATTATCAATATTTACAAATTTTCAGTGCGTGCTTTAAAGCATTGTGCATATATAAATTTTAAATCCTTGTGAATATAAGTTAATGTCTACTTTTAGTACCTACTTCGATAAACAAAAAAGTTCGATTGATGCGGCTTTCAAATACCGGTGCTTGAAGCTCAAATTTATTATCCTAAAATTCGCGATTACTTCTTAGCTGCCATGCGACCAGCTTAACATTTTATCTCTAACTAATTAATCATTATAGCCTCACATGCTTGCTTGTGTTCACTACCCCATCATTTTCTCCAGATAAACGTAAACGAGCGCGAAATGAACGGAAAGCTTAACATTTTGTCTCAAATTAATTAATGATTACTTTAGCCTCCCATGCTTGCATGTGTTTACTACCCCATCATTTTCTTCAGATAAACGTAAACGAGCGCGAGATGAACATGGCGGACATGGGCAACAGCCTGGTAGATTCTGCAAACATCGGACAATGTGAGGGGGCAGCGAACCCCAGCGGGGCTTGCAGTCAACAGGACCCCTGCACCAACGGTGGTGTGTGTCACGACGACGCCCACGACAATTACCACTGCGTCTGTCCCCTCGGATTTACGGGACGCCACTGCGAGACTGGTGAGACAATACTTAGAATAGAATAGAAAAGTCGGCTGAGACCGGTAAGACAATACTTAGAATAGAATAGAAAAGTCGGCCCTGAAGAAATAGGACCATGGCCTGTTGCCGATTCTTGTATTTAACTTGACTTGATTCGCACAAGGGGTCCGGCCTTTGGAACCCGATCTTTCTATTACTGACGATTGATTGAGATAGCTGCTGGACTTATTGCCTGGTCCGTAATTTGCTAGGCATTTTAAGACTGAACATATGCTCCTGCATAGCTTCGTCTAGTCTGTTATTGAAGGCGTTCATACTCGGAGCGTCAACGACGCTATCAGGGAGGTTGTTCCACATGTCGGTGGAACCGCCGACACTTGGCCGTGATGAACGAAACTTCTTGAGAAAAACAAACATTAAACGTAGTTCATGTCCAAGTTTTCACCTCCCGATAATTGGTTTCCGTTTACCGATAATCGGTTTCCGTTTCCCGATAATTGGTTTCCGTTTTCCGATATTTGGTTTCCGTTTACCGATAATTTATTTCCGTTTCCCGATAATTTGTTTCCGTTTCCCGATAATTGGTTTCCGTTTCCCGATAATTAGTTTCCGTTTCCCGATAATTGGTTTCCGTTTCCCGATAATTGGTTTCCGTTTCCCGATAATTGGTTTCCGTTTCCCGATAATTGGTTTCCGTTTCCCGATAATTGGTTTCTGTTTCCCGATAATTGGTTTCCGATTCTTGATAATTGGTTATCACCTCCCTATTGGTTTCCTTTAGGTTTTTATCTTACTGTGTGGCTCGGAAGAATACGAACGTAAAAGCTTGCGTTTTTCTCTTTAAGTGCTTGTAGTCATTCATTTTTATCTCAATTAATTTATGTGCTACCCTCAGTTCTTTTTCAAATAACGATTGCTATTTTCGATTTCTTCTGATCAAACAGAAACGCCATTGGAGGAATCACTCAATTCTTTTTCAAATAACGATTACAACTTCTTGCTATTTCTGATTTCTCCTTGGAGGAATCTTTCAATTTTTTTCAAATAACGATCGCAACTTCTTGCTGTTTTTGATTTCTCCTGATCAAACAGAAACGCCATTGGAAGAATCATTCAATTCTTTTTCAAATAACGATTACAACTTATAATTTCTCCTAATCAAACAGAAACGCCATTGGAGGAACCACTCCATTCTTTTTCAAATAACGATTGCAACTTCTTGCTGTTTCTGATTTCTCCCTGGAAGAATCTTTCAATTCTTTTTCAAAGAACGATTACAACTTCTTGCTATTTCTAATTTCTCGTAATCAAACAGAAACGCCATTGGAGGAATCAGCTTCGTTCTCCGGCAAGTCTTGGGTTGAGTTCGGCCGCGAGCTGATCAAGAGCGACCGCAACGAGCGCAGCGTTGCTTTAGAGTTCACGACCTCGCAGCCTGACGGGGTGCTGCTCTGGCACGGTCAGGGCCCCAGGACTTCCGGCACTGGGCTTGACTTCTTCAGCATAGCGCGTGGGTGCCTCCAAATGTGTAGAATAATGCCGGTTCATGATTACAATGATAACAGAAGCAAAGTTCAAACAAATCTTATTTGTTTGACAAATAAGATTATTTCTGAAAAATGACAAATAAGATTCTTTCTTTCTTTCTTTCTGAAAAATGTTTAACGCCATCAATTTACTCCAAACCTGTTACAAGTTTCGCTGGCCAGGAGTTCCAGTAGATAATTATCTATTTCATTTTCAGAATACGTATTATTCAACTACTAAGTATATTTCCTAATTTTTTTCGAATTATAGCTTCTGGTTCCTGCACTTAGCGTATATTTTGTTAAAAAAATATACCAAACAATGCTGCTACAACTACGCATAAACTGGTAGTAGTCAATGCTGCCCCAAAAATTTAGCGCTCACATTTCTAACGATAAAGTTTTCAAGTATCGATTGCAACTTCTTGCTATTTATATTCGCACTTCATTACGCAGTGGAAAAAGGTTACGTGGAGCTGAGATATAAGACTCGTGATGGCGAGAGTTTGGTGCGGTCTCTTAACCGCGTCGACGACGCGACTCGCCACAGCCTGCGAGCGACAGTAGTTGACCAGCTGGCAACGCTACAGATCGACAACTTGCCTGTCGAGACGGCTACTCTACCGTCAAATGCTCCCGTCAACGCGAGAGGAGGCGTCTATCTGGGTACAGCTTGTTACTAAACACTATTGCATGATGCTACTTTCTTCTAGACTCTTAGTAATTCCTAGGATTTATTGCTAGAAATGGGAGGCCAAACCAAACTCTAGTCTGGGAGCTCAACAGAATAATATGCGTTAAAAATTACTTTTCAAAGGCAATACTACTAAAGAGGCCGGTGTCTCCGATGCTACACATGTACAATGAATTTCTTATTTTAATTTTTAAAATTATTTATTCTGTCAATTGATTCATGCATTGTCTCCGACTTTATGCAAGTGTGCAAAATGTCAGATCGATTGGACGGGTAGAATTGTGTTAAATATTGATTATAAGATTTGTAGCAAACATACAAACAAACAACAAGTGAAGTTAAAGAGAAGTGTTGTAAAAAGTGGGATATTCACGATCATTTCATGAGCGTATTTTCAAGTTATTGGCATTTTGGGTAAAGGCAGTGGTGCCCACTTATGCCCAGTGGATTTAAGCCAAGCAATTCGTGTGGCGAGTATTACACACCCTTCGTACATCACTGCTGCGAAATTTGTCAGTTCATTTGTTATTTTTAGCGCATTTTCTCATTTATGGAAAAAAGGCGCTATTGTGCTCGTCATGTCCGTCTGTCTGTCTGTCCGTATCATCACGTTTTCGTCGACGTGAAAATGCGCTCTCTGTCACTCACTGCAGTGAGAACTGAGTTATTTTTTTTTATACTGTGGATAGGTGGCCGTTCTGCAAAAGATGATATTGGATATAATTGAAACGAATAACCTGGGCTCCTGTTTTTTCATCCTTGAACAAAATTTTAAAATAACTTTTTAACTGTTGAACAAATTAAGCCCTAAAAGCACTGAATTGGTTTCACTAGACGTAATGGATTTTCTTGTGTATTGATTTGTTGCCCACAGCTGGAAACATGTTAATAATTTCCTTTAAATCCTGATTTTTGATTTGATTTCTAACCATTTACCTTTCAAACTCAACTTATAAGCGTCTCTCTTGTCAGGTGGCGTCCCCGACGTTGAGCTGATGACAGGCGGCCTGTACAGCGCAGGTTTATTTCTAACCTTTTACCTTTCAAGCTCAACTTATAAGCGTTTCCCTTGTCAGGTGGCGTTCCCGACGTTTATTTCTAACCTTTTACCTTTCAAGCTCAACTTATAAGCGTCTCCCTTGTCAGGTGGCGTTCCCGACGTGGAGCTGATGACAGGCGGCCTGTACAGCGCAGGTTTCGACGGCTGCCTACACGGAGTGCAGCTCGGCAAGACGCGCGTCAACGCCATCTCTGAGAGCGCGTTGTCCGGCGTCGACGTTGTCGCGTGCTCAAGGTACTTTTTAGCGCATTTTCTCATTTATGGGAAAAATTGCACTATTGTGCTCGTCATGTCCGTCCGTCTGTCTGTCCGTCCGTCTGCCCGTCTGTCTATCTGTTTGTCTATCTGTCTATCTGTCTGTGTCTGTCTGTCTGTCTGTCTGTCTGTCTGTCTGTCTGTCTGTCCGTCCGTCTGTCTGTTTGCCTGTTTGTCTGTTTGTCCGTCCGTCCGTCCGTGACTTCATGTTTTCGTCGACGAGAAAATGCGCTCTCTGTCACTCACTGCAGTGAGTATGGAGTTATATTTTTTACCTTAGGCCTAGTGAAGATAGATCTTCATTTAACGTCATATAAATGGTCTACGTTTTATGTTTTTTGTCACTTGCCTCTTGATTCTCAGCAAGGGATTTCAGCGCGAGTTATTTTAGCTTAAACGATTGTTTGCCAATTTTCCTCGCTTCGGTCTTTTATAGGTAAAAACTCAATTGTTAGATCGTTGACAATTTTGTACCCTCAGATAGTTTGAGACTCGAATAAGGTATTCTAGTTATTAATATTATCACTCATGCTCTTCATAGTCGACACTTGAATGTGATCCTTCCACATTGAATGCGTACTTTTAAATTAAATAAATTTCTTTGTTTATACAGTTAGCTCCATTTCACTTAGTTTTCCTTCAAAAGAGCAATAAAAAATGTAAAGATCGACACTTAAATGTGGCCCTTTCACTCTCTCTCACTGAATACGTAGTTTTAAGTCAATTTCTTTGTTTATACAGTTAGCTCCAGTTCACTTAGTTTTCTTTCATAAGAGCAATAAAAATGAAAAGATCTTCCAAATTCAGCATGGTAAATGATTTCTAAAAGGAAATATCTATTCAAGCCCAGAAGCTTGCATTGCGGACTTATTTATATCTTGGTAAATGATTCCTATAAGAAAATATCTATTCAAGCACAAAAGCTTGCATTGCAGACTTATTTAACTAACCCAAACTTTCGTCCACTCTTTACTGGATCGCATCGCAGGTTCCGGCGAACTACTCGCACACAAGCCAATATCCCTTGGCCCTTCCTTCCCAACCAAACATCGATTTCTTTCCTTCCTCCCTCATCCTCAGTTGCCTTTGCGTCTGCCCTCTCGTCAGGTCCTTTAGACTCTTCTCCATCATCTGCATCCTCTGTTTCCTCATCCTTTGTTTTCCTTCTGTACGGATTTTTCCTATGTTTCTTCGTTGGCGCCGCGAACGCTGGACTTTGCTCCAGGTAATAATAGAAGTGGTTACGTACATGTAGGTTTGATCTGTTTTCCCTACATCGTTCATGTTCGCTGTTTTTAGCGCATTTTCTCATTTGTGGAAAAAATGCACTATTGTGCTCGCCATGTCCGTCTGTCTGTCTGTCCGTCTGTCCGTCCGTCCGTGACCTCAAGTTTTCGTCGACGAGAAAATGCGCTCTCTGTCACTCACTGCAGTGAGTACTGAGTTATATTTTTTCATGCTTGGCTCCCTGATATTGCTCTATCTGTAATAACCTGTTGGCTTTGTTTCTTATAGTCTGTCTACATGTTATGTTAATGCCTTGTCTTCTTTAAATTTATTTTATGTAAATTCAAATCAAAACACTTCGAATGAGGCTTGAATTTCTCGACGCTATTTCCAATTCAGATACCATATATACATGAACATACTATTTATTTACTCGTCATAACACAACACCTCGCTCACCTGTTACGTGTGCTTACGTAGGTTGACATATTTGTGTGGACTCTGAGCCTTTATAGCTGCTGGTCAAGCTTCTATTCATCAACGTACATCAAGATCATTTCATATAATTGATGTGGGTCTAGATTAATATTTTTTAAATCGCAATTCCATCAGCTAGCTGACTGCTCACTTGGATCCTATCCTGAAAAATCTCGCCTCATATAATATCATTCCATTTATTAACTCTGAGACGATGGTGACACAATACTTATGCATTTATAGTATATATACAGTTTTCAATGGTAGCCATGCGTTCCTTTGTCTAACCGAAATATGTGCGTAACGAGATCGCAGGCAAGTGAGAAGGTAGTCTTGTCAATTAATTGAAATATTGCTCTTCTCAGTAGATGTTTTTTCCTTTAAACTTGCATGCTAATTTATTAAGAATATGTCAGCTATCATCGATTTGGATTATGAAGTAATTACGGCAAACATTTTCGAGCCTTTGCTAGAAAACTTTCAAGTTTGTTCAAAAGCGCCGCTGTCTCATTTTCGTAAGTCAGTTTTTGCCGAACAATACTTCAGTAATTTATAAGGCATTGTTTTTGTATGCATCCTACAAGAAGCAACAATTATTTTTATGTTAGATTTTCCGATAAATTAATAAATATTTTGATATACTGTAATTCAATTGGTATTACAAAAATTTTACCCTGTTGGTTACGGTTGCGTGTTGCCTCGCCATTAACTGAGAATGACATAATATTATTAATTTTCGATAAAATATCTCTACGTTGTATGTTAGGGCTCTTTGCCATGAAGCTGCAGCTAATATATTTAACTATTATTACAGTTAAGGATCGTGTGAGCATCAGCCTTCAATGGCATCTTACGACCAGCGAAGTTCAGAGCGCAACCAACGAACAAGTTCCGGCTGCGCAAGTCTCGGCAGCCGACGACGCTATGTTTTTTAACACTGAAATAAACTCGATAAAAAAACACACTAAATTCTCGATACTAAATTCTGTTTTTTAACACTCAAATTCTCGATACCATCGATTTGTAATCCGGAATATTATTGCTAGATGAGGACGGAAATCATGCTGATATTCGAAAAAAAAATTTATTTGAGAACTTTTCTTTCATTGTTCGAAAAAAATTCAAAATTTTTATTTGAGAATTTTTCTTTCATTGATTCTCCGAGGTTTTGAAATATGTACATTAACTTTGTCATTAATGCTTAACTGTTGTGATGATATACGTGTTCATTTACGTGTTCTTCCAAGCTTTTTGGCTTTTCTAACTATGTCTTCGCTAAATGGCTTCCAATATTTTAAGGAAATGAACCTAATTCTACGATTCCCATTATTTCATAATCTGCAACTGTTTTTCGATGCTTGATCAGGAGATGTCGCTGCTCTGAGGTTTTACTGTATTGTTTGTATTTGAAAATTTTATTGTAATATTAATTATTGGCCGTAATAGTTGCCATTAAAAAAGGAAGCTTTTTGAAGTTAGCCATTAAGAAAGTTACACGTGCCTTGAGCTGTATCTTTTGGCTTCTTGTTGGTCGTTAGCGCCGGATTTAATTAGAAGTTTTGTATAATACGTACGTACGTGTGAGAAATGCAATAATACGTACGTGTAATTAATGCAGTAATACGTACGTGTGAGAAATGCAGTAATACGTACGTGTAAAAAATTCAATAAAACGTACGTGTGAGAAATGCTAAAATACGTACGTGCGAAAAATGCAATAATACGTACGTGCGAAAAATGCAATAATACGTACGTGTAAGAAATGCAATAATGCGTTCAGATCCTAGTCCCACAGCTCTTCCTTCCAATGTTGCGTCAAACCTGACTCACACGCTGCAAACTTTGCAATTTTTTTCAATTTTCACCTTGTTTTCCCCAATGACGTTCGTCTCACCGGTTTCGTTAAGTAACTTCAGCTGTAAACTAAATTATTTTACAATATTTTTTGGTGCTCACATTCTTTTTATGACCAGAATATATTCACAGTAGGAATGAAGTCGATATTTCTGGTGCGTACGTATAGAGGATGAGCTTCACATCCACACCATCTCATGGTTGAATAATAAGGTTGACCCACGATGATTTTCGTCTTTCAGTTCATCTTTCTTGTTTACGTCACGTAGATCGAGAAACGTAAACAATCCCGTCATTCCCATGACGGATTGGTTGACTGGTTTAAACGCATTTCGGTGATTGGTTAATGCCCGTGACGTCACTGAGATCGAGAAACGCAAACAATCCCGTCATTCCCATTCATTTGGTTGACTGGTTTGATCGCATTTCGGTGATTGGTTAATGCCCGTGACGTCACTGAGATCTGTGACGTCACAGTCGAACAACAAACTACAACCGCAAAAATGAGCTTCCCATGCGTCAACCTTATATACTAGTTCAACCATGACCATCCCAGTCTCTGGTTGTTTCTCATAGTCATAAGGACAACTCGCAACGAGTTTTGAGTAAGCGTTTCTAGAGAAATTAATACAACTTTTCAAAGGTTCCCGCTGACTGTGGTGCTATTCTCTAGTAGAAATAATAACTTAGTTATTTTGTGTGTTAAAATGTTGGGCTTCATTGCCCCCATGGCTTCTGCTGAGTTAGTGTGGACGTTTGTATGTTGACGATTTCTAATAACTACATTTCGCATGAGAAGTTCGTCCGATCAATCTAAAGTTACCCCTTGTGTAACTTGAATTTCATAGAAATTTCAAAATTTTATGAAATTCAAAACAAATTTCATAAAAATTTATACAGTTTGTCTTACGATTTCATTTCCATTCAATCAGGTTCGTCCTATCAATCTAAAGTTACCCCTTGTGTAACTTGAATTTTATAGAAATTTCAAATTTCTATGAAATTCAAACTAAATTTCATAGAGATTTATACAGTTTGTCTTACCATTTCATTTCCAGTTATTCAGAATCGATGTCATACACAATTCATTTGCCACAATTATCTTTTTGAATTTTGATTTTACGCTATCTCAAGGCTGGAAAAATTCGGTGGTAGCTAACTTACGCGAATGTCATTTTTTTTTTATTTTAATTTTTAAAAGCTTTTCCATCAATGAGGCTTAATTACGTTGGTTTACATGCTCTGCGACGTAGCTATTTATATTAACCAATTAAAATAACCTTTTAAATTAAAAATAATGGAATAGAACCTTCGGAATGACAAGGAAACGGTAAGTCCCAGAAATCAAAATCGTTTAAGATTAGATTTTTTTCAAGATGACCGATTAAAATTAGTGGAAACTCAAGCGTATTGATTTATGATTTTAGCGTTATAATGATTACTGAAAAAAGCTCTCGTGTATTTAATAACATTTCATCATCTGACTGACCAGAGCTTTGGTTAAGGTCAGAAAATTGCGACATGAGTTGCGAACGTCTGCTCTGTAGTTCATAGAGGACTTGTAAGTCAGATTTATTTAATGTTCCTTCTTAACACGTTGACTACGATTGCTTCATATTGTACTATTATTTCATTTTTTGTACTTTTTTTAAACAGGGTTGCCACACGGTAATTTTTTCCGGATAAATTTCGTGATTTAGTTTTTCTCAATTGTGTTGGCCGGCTAAAATTTATGATAGGGGTACTTCCTAATTAAATTTTGAATACTGCAAAAAGAAAATAAATGAAATTTTTATAGCCGAATCTACAAATAAACTAGTATATATTGAGTTATCGGCCTTTTTTGTTCTCGGATTTGGCTGATTTTAGGCAACCTGAATGATGTACCACTACGTCCTGGAGAAATACATTTCGTGGTACGCATATGTACCACTTCGGAGTCAACGTGTTCACGTGTTCAGGCAACCTGAATTCTGTACCACTACGTCCTGGAGAAATACATTTCGTGGTACGCATATGTACCACTTCGGAGTCAACGTGTTAAGATTGCTTGATCGTTAACAAAATTGTCCATAATTTGAAATTGATTAATTCCCCGTCATATTGAAGAGTGTAAATTAAAAACAGGAATGAATGACGTCTTGCTTGATGAATGTTTTCGCCAGTCATAGTTGTTGTTCTCATCACTGCCATGAGCTGAACGGAAGTCTCATTTACTTTAGTTAACTTCGTTTGTATGTGCAACTTCATAGACTGTTAGAAAAATGACCGTTAACGGTATTACCGGCGTTTCAGTGGCCGGTCGGCACGTGAAAAGAAACACCGTTTCACCGTTTTTATTCCAATTTAACACCAGAAATCCGTAAAATGTCTGATAAAAACGGCAAAACAGTTTATTTTCACGGGGCGACCGGCCACTAGGATGCCGGTGGGACCGTTTTTTCACCGTTTTTTTCTAACAGTGATAGATCGTAATGCTTTAACCTGGTGTAATGCATGCTCCTCATATCGTAACGCTCCTACGTAACAAATTACGAAACACACTTCGGAGTTGCATTCATTGACGTGTACGGATAGTTGATTTATAATTGACTTATAATCCAAATTACATTTTATAATTGATTTAATCAATTATTTTATAATTGATTGATGATAATTGATTTAAGTTTTAAAATCATCATGAGTTCTAGTGACAAAATTTCGTGTGTATTTTACAGTAATTTCAAATTGCCTCGTTTCAAAATTTTTTTTCGTTTTTAGCTTTGGAAGAATTTTAGGTTTGTGCTAGCGAGAGAACACTCGGAAGCCGTCCGAGTTTGCATTGACAAGAATTTCTGTGTCTCATGAATATTCACGAAGTAATTTAAAGTAGTTGCAGGTTCCTTTCAATTGTTAAAAACTGTCAGGTGGATAAGGGACTGTATTTAAATTATAAACCACACTCGTGTTCCCGTTGGAATATATGCTGAACTCTGGAAACCATGAGTTGGCATTTTCATTTCACCCTATTTTGAACTTGCGTTCTATTCCCTTGGGGACTGGAACGGAACGGCCATACTTTAAAAAAAGTCAAGAGATCGTAAGTTCATCAGCCAATCATTGACGGCCTTTCAAGCAAAATCCACCAATCATAGACAAGAAAATAGAGCGTAAGTACTTACGTTCACTTAGCGAGTTTTGAAAGTATGGCCCCTGCACTTCAATAGGTTTCATGATAACCATATTAGCGTCTGGAAATCATTTCACAGTTCATCCAAATTTCAACTTTTATCGCCATAATCGCAAACGCTGTACAGCGATTCATTGAAATTTTTGGTTGTACTGCCAGCTAATGAATTTTAAATGTGTCGTCAGTAATTCGATTAATCTTGTGCATCATTAGATTCATGCTCTTTGCCTGAATACTAATTAAAGAACGAGTAAAGTTATCGTTCATAAATATATGTAACTAAATGAGCTATTTACGAATCACTGCGTTCTATGCGTAAACTTGGATAAATACTAACGATTTTCGAAGTATCAGCCGTTCATTTCAGTTTTTTTTTCGCAAAATAGGAACGGGTTAACTTTCAAGTTGAATTCTTCCAGATCAAACTGCTTACTTAGCTTCTAGATTCTCCTAGAAGGTTCAAGAAGTTTCTAGAATGTTCTAGAAGTTTCTAGAATGCTCTAGAAGTATCTAGAATGTTCTAGAAGTTTTTAGAATGTTCTAGAAGTATCTAGAATGTTCTAGTTCTAGAAACTAGATAAAACTGGCCAACGAGCTTCAATATCCTCATGGCATCTCAAATCGACAGCTATTTTCACATTATTGTTGTTATAGTCGTACTTTCCACAATATATTCAATTTACTCACTATTTGGAATCTGTAATTCGGATAAAATGTAAAAGGATACTCTTAGGACTTTTCTGGAGCAACTGCTGTATATACAGCCGTATACAAGCAGCCAGCCGTAACACAACACGAATAAGTGATCGCCATATTTTGGACACGAATAAGTGATCGTCATATTTTGGAACGCATTTATTTAATGTGGATTGATACAGAGCTATAAATATTCAATAGCAAAATAATTTGCGAGTGCAGTAATACATCAACAAGAAGTTAACTTCTATAAAAATATTCGTCGAGTGTATTCGCTGGATATTTGAAATCAAGATCGTACAAGAACAGACGTTATAGAATAAAACTTAATGCGTGGTGGACAATTGCCATAACAACTCCTAAAGCATAAAGTTCAGCCACTGAATTTTGAAACTATTTAACTTAAAGCAATTAAACTGGTGTTATCAAGTACGTTATTGCTTATCTTTCAGTCCAGATAGTTTTGCACACCAATACACTGTTAGAAAAATGACCGTTAACGGTATTACCGGCGTTTCAGTGGCCGGTCGGCACGTGAAAGAAACACCGTGTCGCCGTTTTTATTCCAATTTAACACCAGAAATCCGTAAAAAATCTGATAAAAACGGCAAAACAATTTATTTTCACGGGGCGACCGGCCACTAGGACGCCGGTGGGACCGTTTTTTCACCGTTTTTTCTAACAGTGTCCAAACAAATAAGCAAGATTAACAACTGGAAATTCTAAGCAACTTAGCAACACGAAAAAAATTTTCGGCGTTAACATCTCCTGCAGCCTGATATAATGATATTCAATTAATATTGAATAGAACAGCTGCATCAATTTCATAATTGACGGGCTGCTTATGTTAGAAAAAATTACGCAGTATTGATAACATGAAAGAAAATCGGTTTTTCTCTTCATTGCAGAACTCGCTTGACTCATTTGGTAAATACAAAACTACATCACGCAGAGACTTACATGTTTGTCGTACCGCATATGGAATATAAGAATTGAGGAAGCGTCCTTCAAAGATGCAGTGTAGATAAATGGAGTCGTTCAAGAGCTACCAGCCTTTTAGCACTGGAGTAACTTCGAAGACCAAATTAGCTTCCAGTCGTTGCCTGGATTATTACACAATATCTTAATCCACATTCTAAAATTAAATTCAAGTCAATTTAATTGCTGATGGTTATTCTTCAGTAAATTAAACCATATGTTCACAACTAATTGGGTGCGTGCTGGAGGTCTATGGAGAACGAGTTATACTTGCATTAATATGATTTAAAGATGATATCTAAATTAACATTTTAAAATTAAATTCAAGTCAATTTAATTGTTGATGGTTGTTCTTCAGTAAATTAAACCAAATGTTCACAATTAATCAGGTGCTCGCTGGAGGTCTATGGAGAACGAGTTATACTTGCATTAATATAATTTAAAAACAATATCTAAATACACATTTTAAAATTAAATTCAAGCCAATTTAATTGCTGATGGTAGTTCTTCAGTAAATTAAACCATATGTTCACAACTAACCGGGTGCGTTCTGGATGCCTATGGAAAACGAGTTATACTTGCATTAACATGATTTAAAGACAGTATCTAAATACACATTTTCAAATTAAATTCAAGCCAATTTAATTGCTGATGGTAGTTCTTCAGTAAATTAAACCATATGTTCACAACTAATCGGGTGCGTGCTGGAGGTCTATGGAGAACGAGTTATACTTGCATTAACCTGATCAGTCATCGAATTTAATATTATGATGACGTTCACTTCACACACAGCATTAAAAGCTGTGGTCCACTCTATACTTGCATTAATACGATGACGTTCACTTCACACACAGCATTACGAGCTGTGGTCCACTCTATACTTGCATTAAATATGATGACGTTCACTTCACACACAGCATTAAAAGCTGTGGTTCACTCAATAAGTTGTATGTTTAAAGCAGGATCATGCAAAGAAAAATAACAGGCCGGCAACATGACAAGCAATGACAAAAAAACTAAAGCGACACAATATAAAAAGTATACAAACAATAAAGCTCACATTGTCGAAAAACTAGCAAAAACTTATAAAAAGATACATAGAATTACACAGATTCTCATTAAAATCCAGTTGCTATATTTAATAATTTACAACACTCGGCAAGAAATAGAAAAAGGCATTGTCAGTACGAATACTTCGCAGACGAATTTATGTCGACTTGAAATGTTGAAATCTAATTCACTATATGATGAATCAAAGGCAATTTAGAGCGCATTTGTATCATGTTATGATATGACGATCATACTAAACCCTTAAGCATAGTGCTTTAATTCAATTAATAACTTAATAATGCATAGAATCAACGAAACAATCCGTGAATTCGACCTCAAACCAACGCAAAACTTCCACGTTGAATTGATTCAGATCAAACGTTATTTTTGGTAGCAGCACCAGCACTTCCAGGCACTTGCATCAGCCGGAGCTAGATAGCAATGAAGTGATATTTTAGAGCAGGGGCCTCCAAACTTTTTTCACCATAGGCCATGAGCAAGATTTCTGAAACCTTCGGTCACGCTTTCTGAAACCTTCGGTCACGCTTTCTGAAACCTTCGGTCACGACTCACGCTTTCTGAAACCTTCGGTCACGCTTTCTGAAACCTTCGGTCACGCTTTCTGAAACCTTCGGTCACGCTTTCTGAAACCTTCGGTCACGACTCACGCTTTCTGAAACCTTACACGCTTTCTGAACCTTCGGTCACGCTTTCTGAAACCTTCGGTCACGCTTTCTGAAACCTTCGGTCTGAAACCTTCGGTCTGAAACCTTCGTGGGCCGGTCACGTCCGTTTACTGTTTTCAGTTCATGCGTAACCAGAAAAAAACGTATACATTTTTGTACACATTTTGTTAAACTACGAGATATCCTACAGGCCGTAGTTTGGAGACCCCTGGGCAGTAGAGTCGTAAACAAGTTGCTTACCAATTCAAGTTCTTACCTTCAAGTTGCTTACCAATTGCCTTCATTGTTCGTCAAAGTTTGTAGAAATTTTGGTCCTGACTCGTAGATGGAAGACTAGTAACTTACAAGCAAAATTGGTCCATCCATAAATAATATAATTAAAGCTTCTAAATTAAAATTATAATAATAATAATAATAGTACATCTCATTAACGATAGCAGAGGAAAAACATTATCATTGAATTTTTCTCATTGAACGTGGACAAATTCTTCAATCGAAGTTTACCACAACAATGTACAGAAAAATTTTCAAAAGACAAACGTTTCCCCAAGACTGTCGGGTTCGCAATGACCCAACATAATGAAAGCAAAATACGTGCAAAAATACAAAATCGAGAATCTCGAGCCAATAGCTCAATGATAATAATACGCTTACATTCAAAGCAAAACATCAAAATAACCGAGGAGTTTTAGAGTTTTGTTGAAAGTGAGTATTTCCAACAAAACACTGAAGCAACAAACACAAAAGCGAATATTCTCGTGACATTCAAGGCGACGAAGCTCCGAAAATCCAAAAAGAAACTATGTTCGTAAATGTCAATAAAGTTTCAATTACGGTAGACAATCTAGTAGTTATAAACCTAATGGAAATGTGAAAGACAAGATCCGAGTTTCATAAGAAGGTTAAGTCTTTCCGAGCTTCAGACTGTGATGGATCAGAACGCAGGCGACATGTCGCGTTCATCGACATCGCTGACCGCAATAGAGTTAGGGGAGAAGAGACGGCCTAAATAAATTAATGATTAATTTAACAATTAATCATTAATAAATTAATGATTAATTATTCCTGCAGCTGAAACTCTTTGCTTCACAACTTCACAAGTATTAAAATGACATGCTATTTCCCTGCTAAGGCATAGTAAGCGGAATGCAAATTGGTACAAATTCAGGAAGAATTTGGGAAACATGGCCGTGTTTTGCAGCCATAGAACGGCCGCATCAATTTCATGGTTTTGATCTCCTTATATTAGAAAGAATTACGCAGTTTTGATAACATGAGGGAAAATCGGTTATTCTCTAGATAATTTAAAAAATCATTCTAAGAAACAAATAATTAGACCAGCAGAGTTGGCAAATAATGATGTGAAATTTCGTGAGAACGCAATTATACCAAATTTTGACAAAATGACGGTACAAATAGCAATGCCAATCGAAAAAATACTCACAAGACTTCTAAAGAATCTGTTGTGCACTGAATTGCAGAGCAGTTAATTATATCATATTAAATACGGTTTAACTTTCTTTACACTTCAAGTGTACAGGATTTATAGACCATCAGATTCAGGGCAAAAGATAACTTCGATCACGGCTTAGCGGCGAGAAGCAAGCAACAGCATCGTGCATCAGGTGGCCCAAATGAGGGCATCATCAGGGGCCCAAATGAGGCCCAAATTAGGGCATTTGCATCGTGCATCAGGTGTCCCAAATGAGGGCATCATCAGGGGCCTAAATAAGGGCATTTTCATCGTGCATCAGATGGCCCAAATGAGGGCATCATCAGAGGCCCAAATGAGGCCCAAATGAGGGCATCATCAGAGGCCCAAATGAGGCCCAAATAAGGGCATCATCAGGGGCCCAAATGAGGCCCAAATGAGGGCATTTTCATCGTACATCAGGTGGCCCAAATGAGGGCATCATCAGGGGCCCAAATGGGGCCCAAATGAGGGCATTTTCATCGTGCATCAGGTGGCCCAAATGAGGGCGGATGAACGATAATCAGAGGCGGCGATCCATCGTGGCCTGGGACTGCTAAGGCCCAAACAAATACTAAGGATACCAAAGGCTGGAAATACCGCCTAATATTATGCTTATGAGAATTATGCGGTGGCAATACACTGAGAAAACTACACGTGCACTTCTCCGAATCGTCGATGTGCCAGTAAACGACTTTCATCTGACGCTTGTGTATTGAGAAAAATAGAAACAAAAAAGAACGAAAATAATGAAAGGAGGACAGGGAAAACAATAGACAGAGCAAATGGTCTAAAGGCTCTACCAGATAAATGTGACCTAACAATCATATAAAAATTATTCCATCATGCGTTGTGAAAAATAGATCAGACTTAAGCGGGAAATGATAGTGTGTAACTTACGTGAAGAAGGCAAGAAATAAGAAATATAACTCAGTACTCACTGCAGTGAATGACAGAGAGCGCATTTTTTCGTCCGTCCGTCCGTGAAATCACGGGAGACGGACGGACATGACGAGCACAATAGCGCATTTTTTTCTATAAATGAGAAAATGCGCTAAAAACAGACATTATCCAGGACAGGCAGTACAAATATTATACAAAATTTTTACGTGGGACACCAGCACGCTACGGGCAACTGATGCGACAAAGATGGGCAAAAGGAACCTCAGGCCGTTAAAGGAACTAGCCACAAATGGCGATAAACGTTTATTACACCGTGACAATAAGCACGAGAATTTCTTCATCGGAATGCATCTTTAGAATACGCTGTCATTCAGAACAGACTCAGCAACTAACATATGCTAATTGTTATTACTCCAGATCACGTAATTTTCTGAAATATAACTATATATGATTAAAAACTGGGTAAATTACAGTGAACTAGAGTAATAATACCGTTTGAATTTTGCAAAAGAGGAAGAATTCCATACTAAGTAAAGAGCAGCACGGATTCAATGTAGGTTTAGGCTGGAGAAAAAGAGAAGAAATCAAATACTTAAAAATAAGTGCCTCATTAGCTCATCGTGCTGGGACAGTGTGCTATGCAACGCAGCTTAGGTTGATGATCTTCGTACAGTAGAGCAGCAGTCATACAGTAGAGCAGCAGTCATACAGTAGAGCAATAGTTGTACAGTAGAGCAACAGTATACAGTAGAGCAATAGTCGTACAGTAGAGCAACAGTCATAGACTATGTGAAGTATGTAGCTCACTACGTTGAATAGAGTACATGGTCTCTGGCAGTTCGGATGTTATGTTCGAGCAACAGTCATAGACTATGTGAAGTAGCTGACTACGTTGAATAGAGTACATGGTCTCTGGCAGTTCGGATCTTGTGTTCGAGAGTTCGAGCAACAGTCATAGACTATGTGAAGTAGGTAGCTCACTACGTTGAATAGAGTACATGGTCTCTGGCAGTACGGATGTTGTGTTCGAGCAAGTCATAGACTATGTGAAGTAGCTCTCTACGTTGAATAGAGTACATGGTCTCTGGCAGTTTGGATGTTGGGTTCGAGCAGTACGGATATTATGTTCGAGCAACAGTCATAGGACTATGTGAAGTAGCTCACTACGTAGAATAGAGTACATGGTCTCTGGCAGTACGGATGTTGTGTTCGAGCAACAGTCATAGACTAAGTGAAGTATCTCTCTACGTTGAATAGAGTACATGGTCTCTGGCAGTACAGATGTTGTGTTCGAGCAACAGTCATAGACTATGTGAAGTAGCTCACTATGTTGAATAGAGTACATGGTCTCTGGCAGTTCTGATGTTGTGTTAGAGCAACAGTCGTAGACTATGTGAAGTAGCTCACTACGTTGAATAGAGTACATGGTCTCTGGCAGTTCTGATGTTGTGTTCGAGCAGTACGGATGTTGTGTTCGAGCAACAGTCGTAGACTATGTGAAGTAGGTAGCTCTCTACGTTGAATAGAGTACATGGTCTCTGGCAGTTCGGATGTTGTGTTCCAGCAGTACGGATGTTGTGTTCGAGTGAGAGACGTAGACTATGTGAAGTAGCTCACTACGTTGAATAGAGTACATGGTCTCTGGCAGTTCGGATGTTGTGTTCGAGTGAGAGCCACTCAGATATCTCTTGATCTCGTTGCAGACCAGAGAGGGGGAGGTAGCAGGAGCCAAGGTAGGTGTTTTCCCTCAGCATGTCTTCACTCCAGATGGAGATCTCCAGGGTCCGTTGCTGCACCACGTCCAGGGTCATGCGATAGGTTATCTGCAAGGCATATCATTTATTAAACGCTGACTCGCATTCTAATGCTCATATACCTTAGGATATTCGCGAGGTGGGCATTTTCATAATAATTTAAAACATTCATAAAAACTACCTATATCTCTTAACCCTACACTGACTGAAATGAGTACCTACCCGAAGCAATATTGTCACACAAGCCTAACCAAAAATAACGCGTTGCTAGTGAGCACAAAATGACTTACACTGATGGTTGCCGCCACGTACGACAACTTTAAAATGTTCTCTGTTGCGTACAAACGTCCTCAGGTTGCTACACTCACTAGTTTACGTATAATTTGCCGCCACGTACGACAACTTTAAAATGTTCTCTGTTGCGTACAAACGTCCTCAGGTTGCTACACTTAATAGTATACGTATAATTCAAGTTGAAAGTTATGGTCCCGGAGGCGGTACATACGGCGGTAGAGGGTTAATAGGTCATAAAACATGAGGTTAAACTCCCTACAAATATTTTCATTAGACATCAATTTTGCCAAGTTCTTTGAACAGCACGAATAAAAACCTTCTTGAACAAAATGTTAGGCATCAAGTACGGCTTTTTCAAACGGAATAAAGTAACGTATAGCACCTGTTCCATGAAGGTGGGATGACATGTCTTTTTACAGACTCTCGTTTTACGCTTGGTGAGCTTGGCTGGATCTGGTAGTAGGTAGAGCTTGGCGTAGGGAGAAGGTTCAATGGTACCAAGAAGAGCAAGTTTGCGAGCGAACTGAACCATTATCTGTAGCTGGCCTCGCTGGTACTGCAAGTTCACTTTGACTTGACCACGTCCTATGCTGCTCGGGTCGTCCAATGGAGCCAGCGAAATCTCTGCCATGAACAATTCATGTCAAGAAAAACTACTAAGTGAAAAATAAATATTTAATTAACAGGATCTATATTCTATAAATGGAGATCTAATGCACCCTACTTCAATACATTTATAGAAATAACTAACAATTGATTCTCAAGGGGAAATTAACTATTTAATCAACAAGAGCTATGTGATGTAAATGGAGATTTAATCCACCCTACTTCAATTCATTCAGAGAAACAACTATGGCATTTGATACCTGCTGACCAATTAGGTGTTTAACAGTAATCCAATAGTTTAGACATCCACCAGGCTTCTTTAGTTTGGTGATATGTTCTAGAACCAAATAGGTGTTTAACTATAATCCAATAGTCTAGACAATTAGACATTCACCAGGCTTCTTTAGTTTGGTGATATGTTCTAGAACCAAATAGGTATTTAACTGTAATCCAATAGTCTAGACAATTAGACATTCACCAGGCTTCTTGCCAATTCGAGAACTAAATAGGTGTTCAAATGTAATCCAATAGTTTAGACATTCACCAGGCTTCTTTAGTTTGTGATATGGATGTGTTTAACAGTAATCCAATAGTTTATACATTCACCAGGCTTCTTTAGTTTGGTGATATGGATGTGTTTAACAGTAATTCAATAGTTTAGACATTCACCAGGCTTCTTGCCAATTCGAGACCCAAATAGGCGTTTAAATGTAATCCAATAGTTTAAATCTGTTTAAATGTAGTCCAATAGTTCACCAGGCTTCTTCAGTTTGGTGATATGTTCTAGAACCAAATAGGTATTCAACTGAAATCCAATATTTTAGACATTCACCAGGCTTCTTTAGTTTGGTGATATGGATGTCGGTGTCTTCCTGGTCCCGGAGTAGCGGGTGCAAGAACGTGTAGACGATGTCTGAATGAGCGACCTCGTCTTCCAGGGAGAAAAGTTGCTTCAGAAAATTTTCGATGCACGTCATGCGGCGACGAGTGACAACACTCACTTCTGACCGACCCATCAGCACTCCGCGGGGCAGGCTGTAATGTTTACCGGAAATATAAGTGGCACCAATATCAAGTAGGTAACTGGCACCAATGTTTACCGAAAATATACAGTAAGTAGGTAACTGGAACCGATATCGAGTAGGTAACTGCGTGGCACCAATGTTTACCGAAAATATAAGTAGGTAACTGGGACCTTTATCAAGTAGGTAACTGGGACCAATGATTACCGAAAATATAAGTAGGTAACTGGGACCTTTATCAAGTAGGTAACTGGGACCAATGTTTGCCGAGAATATAAGTAGGTAACTGGCACCAATATCAAGTAGGTAACTGGCACCAATATCAAGTAGGCAACTGGCACCAATATCAAGTAGGTAACTGGCACCAATATCAAGTAGGTAACTAGCACCAATATCAAGTAGGTAACTGGCGCCAATATCAAGTAGGTAACTGGCACCATTATCAAGTAGATAAATGGCACCAATATCAAGTAGGTAACTGGCACCAAGATCAAGTAGGTAACTGACACCAATATCAAGTAGGTAACTGGCACCAATATCAAGTAGGTAACTGGCGCCAATATCAAGTAGGTAACTGGCACCAATGTTTACCGAAAATATAAGTAGGTAACTGGAACCAATGTTTACCGAAAATATACCAAGTAGGTAACTGGCACCAATATCAAGTAGGTAACTGGCACAATGTTTACCGAAAATATAAGTAGGTAACTGGCACCAATAGCATGCAAAAATCCAATCACAAATACAGCAGAGACATGCGTTATTAAAAAATTAGTGATATCCGATCATGTGATGAAATCAATACCTGTGGAGCGGCACAAACGGGAACAGCAGGCATTGGTCCCTGGCACCAATATCAAGTAATAAGGATCTAAAAAATATAGCAGAGACATCTCACAAATATAGCAGAGACATCTCACAAATATAGCAGAGACATGCGTGATATCCTATCATTGTGATGAAATAAATAAATACCTGTGTAGTGGCACAAAAGGGAAGAGCAGACAAAGCCGCGCATGGAACTCAGTGAACTCCTTCCAGGATCGGAAGAGGTACGAAGGTTCCCTATGGTTGAGTCTGTCCACTCTCAAGATGTAGACGTAGAACTTGTTTGGGTCGTAACGTTTCTGGAAATTGTACACAGACACTCGGCCGATACGACCATCGTCTGCCATGGTGTAGATGCGAGGTATAAATGACAACAACTGTCCACACCCTGGGTCTACCACTTCAGGGCTGCTCGGATCGTTCACGGAGTACCGGAGTTGTGCCAGGTTGTGGATGAAGAAGTTCACCTGCAGGCAACATGGAGTAGGTCGTACAAAATCGGAAACGCACCAAAAAGAAAAATATATCACTGCCGTCCCCTACGGCCCGGCCGTCTTACGGTATCCTGAGATAAGGCACGCAATAAAAATTAAGGAGTAGGTCGTAAAACAGGAATTTAAAAGCAAAGAAAATATACAAAAATTCACCATGTCTTCATAAGAGAAAACGTTTCGGAGTCCAGCTCCATCGTCAGTTCATAACACAAAATTCTGTTCAGAAAAAGTTCGGTCCTAGACTGAAACTGACAGTCGTAAAAAATCGGAAACGCACAAAAATATATAACTCAGTACTCACTGCAGTAAGTGACAGAGGGCGCATTTTCTCGTCCGTCCGTCCGTGAAGTTACGGACGGACGGACGGACATGACTAGCACAATCGCGCCGCCTTTTTTCCATAAATGAGAAAATTCGCTAGAAATAAACTAAGCAAAAAATAAGCATCTAGATGAAATAGCTTTCACTGTTTTTACCTTTCAAAGTTTAGAAAAAGTAATTAATTGACAGTCAGCACTTCTTGGACAGAAAAGAATGGGACTTGTAGCAAAAGAACGTAAGTGTGAAAAATGTAAGAAAATTAAATTCATGGTCACTTCGCACTCATTCATTAAAAGCATTCAATTTCATATAAGACTGCAAGAGTGGAACTTAAGTATACCTGAGTACTACATTTGCACTCATTAATTAAAAGGCTAAAAAAGAATTCAATTTCATAAGCCTGCAAGAGTGAAACTCAAGTATACCTGAGTCATTAAAATCATCAAATTTACCAAGACTGCAAGTGCTTAACTTAAGTACCTGAGTGAACCAAGACTTAAGAGAATCTTGTATCATCCTGGCAAAGAAGGCGCCAGCTTCTTGCGGGCTGTGGTCCTGCTGTAGCGCCTTCTGCACGAACATCACAGAGCCCCACGACACGCCGCCCACACCGCTGCTCGCCATCTACAAAAGAATTGTGAATTTTATACATGAATATATTCTATAGATGAATGTATTTTATACAGAGGTGGCCACGACACGCCGCCCACCCCGCTGCTCGCCATCTACAAGTAAATTCCGAATTTTATACATGAATATATTTTATAGATGAATGTATTTTATACAGAGGTGGCCACGACACGCCTCCCACACCGCTGCTCGCCATCTACAAAAGAATTGTGAATTTTATACATGAATATTTTATACATGAATGTATTTCAACGGAAATTGCGAATTTTATACATATATACATTTCATACATGAATATATTTTAGACTCTAGACGCAAATTGCGAATTTTATAATTTATACATTTAATACATGAATGTATTTCAACGGAAATTGCGAATTTTATACATTTATAGATTTAATAGATGAATGTATTTTATACTCTACACGTAAATTGCTAATTTTATACAGATATACATTTTATACATGAATGTATTTTATACGTGAATATATTTTATACATGAATGTATTTTATACGTGAATATATTTCATACATGAATATATAAATACATAATACATTTTATACATTAATCTACCATTTTCCAGGAAGCTCGTTCACAGATTCTGCAATTGTGTTTTTTTTTCAAGTGGACACTTGCCCAATAAATTCTCCTACGAATAATTTTCCAGTCATACAATTTTTAAAGATTTCTTGAATACACTGATAATATAAAAAAATACCTTCAATGTAATTTTAATTTAAAATTTAATTTTCACAAGTTCAATTCAAGTTGACCCAGAGTCATAAAAATTATTCGAAGTTGATTCATTCTCTTTGATAATACTTTAAAAAACTATGGAATTCGAAAGAAAACATAAAATCTCATTACAAAAATACTGGACACAATTTTATACTTTAAAAACTACGGAATTCGAAATCAAAACATAAAATCTCATTACAAAAATAAACTGGACACATTTACAGGTTTCAAAACTACGGAATTCGAAATCAAAACATAAAATCTCATTACAAAAATAAACTGGACACATTTACAGGTTTCAAAACTACGGAATTCGAAATCAAAACATAAAATCTCATTACAAAAATAATGAATAGTGGACACAATTACATGTTTCAAAAAACTCACCAGGGCAAAGAGATAGAGCAACAAGTGTCCGTTGGTGCGAATAATGTTAAACGCTTGACAGCAAAGATCAACAAATCTGTGGAACTTGTCAGAAGGTTTGTCACATCACAAAAAATTGGACAAAATTACAACAGGTTTAAAAAAAAAACTCACCAGGGCAAAGAGATAGAGCAACAATTGGCCGTTGGTACTAATAATGTTAATCTTATCACAAGAAATTGGACAAAATTACAACAGGTTTCTAAAAAAAAAAAACTCACCAGGGCAAAGAGATAGAGCAACAAGTGTCCGTTGGTACGAATAATGTTGAAAGCTTGGCAGCAAAGATCAACAAATCTGTGGAATTTTTCAGAAGGTTTGTCACCCCAAAAAATTGGACAAAATTACAACAGGTTTCAAAAAAAAAAAAAAAAACTCACCAGGTCAAAGAGATAGAGCAACAAGTGTCCGTTGGTGCGAATAATGTTAAAAGCTTGACAGCAAAGATCCACAAATCTGTGGAACTTGTCAGAAGGTTTGTCACCCCCAAAAAAATTGGACAAAATTACAACAGGTTTCAAAAAAAAAACTCACCAGGGCAAAGAGATAGAGCAACAAGTGTCCGTTGGTGCGAATAATGTTGAAAGCTTGACAACAAAGATCAACAAATCTGTGGAACTTGTCAGAAGGTTTGTCACCCCCAAAAAAATTGGACAAAATTACAACAGGTTTCTAAAAAAAAAAACTCACCAGGGCAAAGAGATAGAGCAGCAAGTGTCCGTTGGTGCGTATAATGTTGAAAGCTTGACAACAAAGATCAACAAATCTGTGGAACTTGTCAGAAGGTTTGTCACCCCCATTGATGACATAGGCCATGTCGGCTGTGAGCACGAAGGGCGTTCGATCTCTTTTGATGTTACCGAACTTTTGTGCATCGCCCAAAAACTTTCCAAAGTCGATATGGAAAAGATGACCGGTTGTTTTGAGCATAATATTATCGTTATGTCTGTCACAAATGCCTAAGATGTACGTAGCAACACAGTATCCAGCACAAGATGCAGTAAAGTTTTCAACAGCTCGCTGGTATTCCAAAGCAGACGTGTTTTGTTTTGCAAGCCACTCGGCTATAGGTCGGTCTTTGAACACGCCTGTTACGCCGTACTCCGTCTGGATCTTCCGAAGTGTTTCTGCTTCTTTCACAAGCTCGATGATACCTGGGAAATATTATATTATCTTTATTATTTTCTTTTTTATTTTCTTTATCTTTATTATTTTGTTCGTATAACTAGTCTTTGTTACAGTAACGAATCCAAGGTAATGTAACGTAACTAAACAAATACTAAATGATTTTTTTTCAGATTTATCAGTTAAACAGAAACAAAGTTGATCATTTTTCCCAACTTTGAAATAGTTTGGGTAATATTTACATAACCAAGGTAATGAGACGTAAGTAAGCAAATAGGTACTAAATGATTTCTTCAGATTAATCAGCTAAACCGAAACAAAGTTGATCATTTTTTCCAACTCTGTATTAATTTGGGTAATATTTACGAATTTCTTGCCATTTCTCTCGCCAGATCGTTCAGATACTAAACAGTTAAACAGAAACAAGGTTCATCAGTTCCTCTGAATTTGCTTAGATAATATTTACATAACTTCTCGCCATGTCTCTCACCAACTCTGAATAGTTTTCGCAACTCTGGATTAGTTTAGGTAATATTTACGTAACTTCTTGCCATACTAAACAGTTAAACAGTTAACAAGGTTGATCATTTTTCCTAAATCCGAATTAGTTTAGGTAATGTTTTCGTAACTTCTTACCATATTTAACAGTTAAACCGAAACAAGATTGATCGATTGATCATTTCTCCCAACTCTGGATTAATTTGGGTAATATTTAGGTAACTTCTTGCCATTTCTCTCACCAGATCGTTCAGATACTAAACAGTTAAACCGAAACAAAGTTTATCATTTTTCTCTCGAATAGTTTAGGTAATATTAAGATAACTTCTCGCCATGTCTCTCACCTAAATAGTTAAACAGAAACAAAGTTCATCATTTTTCTCTGAATTAGTTTAGGTAATATTTACTTAACTTGCCATATGAAACAGTTGACAAGGTTGATCATTGTTCGTAATTCTGAAATACTTTAGGCAATATTTACATAACTTCAGGCCATGTCTCTCACCAGACCGGTACCCCGTAGGCACGACGTTGAAGGTGACGATCTTGAGATCAAGTCCTGCCTTCAGCCACAGTCTGTCCATGAGTCTGATCATCTGGATGACCAGCATGTCTTGTCTCAGGTCGTCTCCAACCTGACCACATACAATTATTTTTGTATTCATTCATGTATATTCATTTCATGTTCATTCATTTGATATTCATTCATTTTACATTCATTCATTTTTATATTCATTCATTTTATTTTAATTCATTTCATGGACGTCACCATTTGTTTCCATTAAAGATTACGATTTATGTACGTCACCATTAAAGTTTAAGAGCTTAATACTTAAAATTCGTTCAATTTATCCTCGTCACCATTAGTTTCCATTAATTTTAAGAACTCAATATTAAAGTTTAAGAACTTAATACTTAAAATTCATTCATTTTATGCACGTCACCATTTGTTTCCATTCATTTTAAGAACTTAATATTTAAAAATTCATTCATTTTATCTACGTCACCATTTGGTTCCATAAATTGTAAGAACTTAATACTTAAAAATTCTTACATACTTAATACTGCTCATCATCATGGTTAATGGCAAAAATCTGGAGTAAAATGAATTATACTACATATATTTTTTTAGATTTCTTTATCGAATCAACGTGGATGAAGCACACCACACACCTTAAATATGGCGTGGATGAAGCACACTACACACCTTAAATATGGCGTGGATGAAGCACACTACACACCTTAAATATGGCTTGTTTGAGGACCCAACACACCTTAAATATAGCGTGGACGACATTACCCACCTTAAATATGGCATGGATGAGACACACTACACACCTTAAATATAACGTGGATGAAGAGTATTACCTTAAATATAACGTGGATGAAGCGTTTTACCTTAAATATAGCGTGGATGACACTACACACCTTAAATATAGCGTGGATGAAGCGCTTTACCTTAAATATAGCGTGGATGACACTACACACCTTAAATATAGCGTGGATGAAGCGCTTTACCTTAAATATGGCGTGGATGAAGAGCACTACCTTAAATATGGCGTGGATGAAGAGCTTTACCTTAAATATGGCGTGGATGAAGAGCACTACCTTAAATATAGCGTGGATGTTGCTGGTGCCAGGCTCGACGCTCCTGAAGGCAAGACGCAGGGGGATGGTGAAGCTGTTGTAGTACGAGCAGAACTGAACCTCTAGGCACGACACTGCGAGGGACGGTGACAACGGCAGCGACGTACAGCGGTTCTGTTATAGGAATACATTGTTACAAGATAACAAGACAATACATTGTTACAAGATAACAAGACAATACATTGTTACAAGATAACAAGACGCAGGGGGATGGTGAAGCTGTTGTAGTACGAGCAGAACTGAACCTCTAGGCACGACACTGCGAGGGACGGCGACAACGGCAGCGACGTACAACGGTTCTGTTACATGAAGTCTTATTTATAAGGTCATATTATTTATGAAACTGCTCATAAAACTGTTACAAGAAGCCTTTATAAGGGGATTTTATTCATGAAACTGTGGCAAGAAGCCTTCTTTACAAGCTGACATTCTCCATGAAACTGCTCATAAAACTTTGTGAAACTACTCATGAAATTGTTAAAAGAAGCACTCTTTACAAGCTGATATTCTTCATGAAACTGCTCATAAAACTGTTACAAGAAGACTTCTTTACAAGCTGACTTTCTACATGAAACTGTTGCAAGAAGCCTTCTTTTTCTTCATGAAACTGCTCATAAAACTGTTACAAGAAGCCTTCTTTACAAGCTGATATTCTTCATGAAACTGCTCATAAAACTGTTACAAGAAGACTTCTTTACAAGCTGACTTTCTACATGAAACTGTTGCAAGAAGCCTTCTTTACACACTGATATTCTTCATGAAACTGCTCATAAAACTGTTACAAGAAGCCTTCTTTACAAGCTGACATTCTCCATGAAACTGCTCATAAAACTGTGGCAAGAAACCTTCTTTACAAGCTGACATTCTTCATGAAGCTGTTACAGGAAGCCTTCTTTACACGCTGACATTCTTCATGAAACTGTTACAGGAAGCCTTCTTTACACGCTGATATTCTTTGTGAAACTGTTACAAGAAGACTGCTTTACAAGCTGATATTCATCGTGAAACTGCTCGTGAAACTTTGTGAAACTGCTCATGAAACTGAGGCAAGAAGCCTTCTTTACAAGCTGACATTCTCCATGAAACTGCTCATAAGACTTTGTGAAACTGCTCATGAAACTGTGGCAAGAAGACAGCTTTACACGCTGACAATCTTCATGAAACTGCTTATAAGAGCTTTCGAAACCAAATCTATGTCCAACATTACATCAATGTAGTTCATTTGTCTCGCTGCCCTTTGTTCAAGAACTATTGTGGAACAGAATAGGTGTTGTATTTATCATGATGAACTTAATTAAGGAACTCTCGGGGCGGGCTAAATACAAAATAAAGATTCCTGTAGTATACAAATCATGATTTAATTATGTTCAATGGATTGATAGAATTATTCAATTTTGCTTCGGAAGCCTGAACTTACATTAATAATTGTCCAATAGATGACGTATAAAAAAACATCAGATGAAATGAGTTATTGAAAAGAATTTGTTTCCAATGCACTGTACGATGAGAAGAAACATTGCATTCGTACCTTCGATTCTTACGTAAGAATTGACGCATAAATTTCACTTAAAGCCATTCAGACGACGATTGGGAAATGTGAATGTACGGTATAGCTGATGCGAATGTATGGGAAATGCGAATGTATGGGAAATGTGAATGTATGGGAAATGTGAATGTATGGAGTGAATGTATGGTAAATGTGAATGTATGGTAAATGTGAATGTATGGTAAATGTGAATGTATGGTAAATGTGAATGTATGGGAAATGTGAATGTATATCTGATGTGAATGTACGGCAAATGTGAATGTATGGGAAATGTGAATGTATGGTAGGTAAATGTGACTATATGACAAATGTGAATGTATGGGTAATGTGAATGTATGGCAAATGTGAATGTATGGTAAATGTGACTATATGACAAATGTGAATATATGGGAAATGTGAATGTATGGTAAATGTGAATGTATGGGTAATGTTAATGTATAGGAAATGTGAATGTATGGGAAATGTGAATGTATGGGAAATGTTAATGTATAGGAAATGTGAATGTATGGGAAATGTGAATGTATGGGAAATGTGAATGTACCTATGTGAAATGTGAATGTATGGCAAATGTGAATGTATGGGAAATGTGAATGTATGGTAAATGTGAATGTATAGGAAATGTGAATGTATGGTAATGTGAATGTATGGGAAATGTGAATGTATGGCAAATGTGAATGTATGGGAAATGTGAATGTATGGGAAATGTGAATGTATGGGAAATGCGAATGTATGGGAAATGTGAATGTATGGGAAATGTGAATGTATGGGAAATGAGAATGTATGGGAAATGTGAATGTACCTATGTGAAATGTGAATGTATGGCAAATGTGAATGTATGTGAAATGTGAATGTATGGTAAATGTGAATGTATGGCAAATGCAAATCTATGGCAAATGTGAATGTATGGTAAATGTGAATGTATGGGAAATGTGAACGTATGGGAAATGTGAATGTATGGGAAATGTGAATGTATGGCAAATGTGAATGTATGGTAAATGTGAATGTATGGTGAATGTGAATGTATGGTGAATGTGAATGTATGGGAAATGTATGTACTCACGTTGAGCATGTCGTTGATGACACTGAGCTCCTGCCCCAGCACGGTCATCTTCATGGAGTCTTTGGTGTCTTTGATGCGCATCGCTGTCTCGTACAAACTCTGCAAGAGCAAAGGAAGGTTTGTAACTGACAGAAATTACTGTCAATGCTATTGTTAGCGCATTTTCTCATTTATGAAAAAATGCCCTATTGTGCTCGACATGTCCGTCCGTCTGTCCGTCCGTGACTCCACGTTATCGTCGACGAGAAAATGCGCACTCTATATATCACTCACTGCAGTGAGTACTGAGTTATATTTTCGTTGTAATTGCCCATCCTGGTAGTGGCGACTAGGTTAAGGGAGGGTGATAGGTTAGTTTTTCCGGGCACTTAATGCCACTGGTAATCCTGGTAGTGGCGACTAGGGATGGGTGGTGACAGGTCTGTTTTTTCGGGCACTTGGTGCCACTGGTAATCCTGGAAGTGGCAACTAGGTAAGGGAGGGTGGGTGATAGGTCTGTTTTTCCGGGCACTTAATGCCACTGGTATACCAGTAGAACCACTGGTTCTACTGGTATACCAGTGGCACCACTGGTTCTACTGGTATACCAGTGGCACCACTGGTTCTACTATAGTGTTACGACCTATATATAGTTTCGAGTTAGTTTATAGTATAGTTTATAGTTTCTACGAACTATATTTCTACGACCATCACTGGCTCGCTGACCCGCCAGAACCATTTCATTGCATTACACAACACCCTGGACAAGCCAGGTACTCATTTATCAACCAGAGTAAATTTCTGACAACAGAAGCAAGTGCCTTCTAAATAAAGACATAAACCTCACATTTAAAATGCAAGAATATAATAACCTCGTGTGAAACCTGAAGTGAAAGTAATGAATCCATCAAAAAAAATAAATAAATAGCAATACGATAAATAAATAGCAATACGATAAATAAATAGCAATACGTAGAGGTATTGCTTCATACTTTGACCTGTCAATAGAAGCGAGTGTCTTCTAAATAAAGACATCAACCTCATATTTGTAATGAAAAAATATAACCTTGTGTGAAACCTGAAGTGAAGGTCCCATGAATCCATCAATAAACAAATATATAGCAATACTTAGAAGTATTGCTTCATACTTTAACATAATAAAGAGCAAATCTTAGAAGTATTGCTTTATACTTTATTGCTTTATGCTTTATACTTTATATACTTTACTCTTTTTATATTATACTTTATACTTTTTCTACACTTTTTTTAAGTATTGCTTTATAATTTAACGCGTTGCGGAAATTGCAATCATTTTTCTTGGTAGAAAGTACAAGAAGCTTAAAAATCATGGCTGCATTGAGTGCTTTCAGAAACAAATGCCCCCGTAGAAAACAGGGCAAACTTAAACGTAGCGGCGAGTTTAGGAGAACTAACCATTATAATTAAAAAAAACAGTTTAATTGTAATTAAGTAAGAAACTCGGGGGAATGTAATTTGTAATGTAAATGTAATTTTCAAAAATCATAACTCAGTACTCACTGCAGTGAGTGACAGAGAGCGCATTTTCTTGTCGACGAAAACGTGAAGTCACGGACAGACAGACAGACATGACGAGCACAATAGCGCCTTTTTCCCATAAATGAGAAAATGCTCTAAAAACATTTTAATTGTAATTAAGTAAAAACTCGGTGGAATATCAACGGCATAACTAAAACTCTACAAAAACTCTACAATAATTCTATGACGAGCTGAGAAATGTTTTAAAAACAGTTTCCTCGTAATTAAGTAGAACCTCGGGGGAATGCATAACTAAAACTCTACAATAACTCTACAATCTAACCCCTATACAATAATTCTATGACGAGCTGAGAAATGCTCTAAAAACAGTTTAAACGTAATAAAGTAGAACATCGGGGGGGGGGGAAATTCTACCCTCTAAAATTCTACGATACTACCTAACAATGTACAATAATTCTACAATCTAACCCTCAACAGTGCCTCCTACTGCAGAAGTCTGTTCTCAAGGTTGCTGCCGCGATACAATTTATCTACCACATTTTATTAGGTAATGAATAAATAAGGAAAACTCTACGATACAACCTAACAATCTAACAATCTACAATAATTCTACACTCTAACAATCTACAATAATTCTACACTCTAACAATCTACAATAATTCTACAATCTAACAATCTACAATAATTCTACACTCTAACAATCTACAATAATTCTACACTCTAACAATCTACAATAATTCTACAAACTGACCCCTCTACAATAATTCTATGGCGAGCTGAGAAATGCATACAAAAAGAATTTAATCGTAATAAGTAGAACCTCGGGGGGAATAGCAACGGCATAACTAAAACTCTACAATACAATCTACACAATCTAAAAAAAAATTCTACAATACTACCTAACAATGTACAATAACTCTACAATCTGACCCGCAACAGGGCCTCCTGTTGTAGAAGTCTGTTCTTAAGGTTGCTGCCGCAGATGACGTTTTATTAGTTAATGAATACATAATGAAAATTCTACAATACTACCTAAAACTCTACAATAACTACGATACAACCTAACAATCTACAATAACTCTACAATCTAACCCGCAACAGGGCCTCCTGCTGCAGTAGCCTGTTCTCCAGGTTGCTGCCGCAGATAACGTTTTATTAGGTAAGGAATACATAATGAAAATTCTACAATACTACCTAAAACTCTACAATACTACCTAAAACTCTACTTTAAGTCTACACTCTAACCCGCAACAGGGCCTCCTGCTGCAGAAGTCTGTTCTCCAGGTTGCTGCCGCAGATGACCAGCAACGCGCGGGTGATGAGCATCAGCCGGCGTCTGTAGCGCGCGTCTTGTACGCACGAACCCTGCGATCCACTCATATTTGTCTGTAAATATTATTAATATTATTATACTAAATATTAATTCGTCTGCAAATATTATTAATATTATTAAATTAAATATTATTACATGTTGAGTAGTTCGTAGCATTGTCATGTTTTAATTATGTCTGCCTATAAAAGAAACTTGTTATGCCTGCCTAGAGAAAAAATCGTTAAATAAACATGACACTGCACGACGCCTGAAATTTGCCTCCTGACGCGACAGGCGGCAGAATTTCAGGCGTTTTTCAGCAGAATTTCACCTCCATTTCAGCAGAACTCAGAATTTCACCTTCATTTCAGCAGAACTCAGAATTTTACCTCCATTTCAGCAGAACTCAAATTTTACCTCCATTTCAGCAGAACTCAAAATTTTACCTCCATTTCAGCAGAACTCAGAATTTTACCTCCATTTCAGCAGAACTCAGAATTTTGCCTCCATTTCAGCAGAACTCAAAATTTTACCTCCATTTCAGCAGAACTCAGAATTTTACCTCAATTTCAGCAGAACTCAAATTTTACCTCCATTTCAGCAGAATTTCAGCAGAACTCAGAATTTTACCTCCATTTCAGCAGAACTCAGAATTTTACCTCCGTTTCACCAGAATTCAGAATTTCTGCAGAAATTCACCTCTAAGTCAGACACCAGAATTTTATCAGGAGGGTTTACAAAAACTGGTGCCACGTTATGACAAGTGCCTTAATATTCACGGAAATTATGTAGAAAAGTAGATTAAGGTACAGGCTTTCATGCAAAAATAAAATTATTGTGATATCTTTGCACGTCTTTTATTAATTCCAAAACGACCCTTACTTAAAAAACATGCCTCGTATTATGTCTGCCTAGCAGAAGAAACTGGATTACGCGCCCAAAAACTTCTCTGATGAAGGCTGATGTGGCTAAAAAAACGAGAGAAACGTCTACCTCTGCTACCATCATACGTACCATTTGTACTACGGTATTACTTTCACTACCAAGAGAAAATGACACTGGAAGAAATACTGGAGTCAATAAGTGATGAGTGATCACTACGAAGAGAAAATGACACTGGAAGAAATACTGGAGTCAATAAGCGAAGAATGAATGCAAAAATCGATAAAAGTAAGTGAATGAAGATGAAATGCATAAGAATTGAATGTTGTGCCATCTAATTTACATCATTATTATCATGCCTATATAGCCTAGAATATGCTAAGGCATCTACTTTAACTATATCCCTTCATCCGCATATTAAAAAAGTATACTCGAAAGATCTACTCTCAATAAAAAGACCCGCAAGATAAACATAAAAATAGTTTTCGGCACGAGTAATAAAAAACAACACGATTTAAAGTTTTATAGAAACGTATAGAATATACGTCTAGAAACGTTATAGAATAGAAATAGAACGCCATAGAATATGAAGCGAGTAAAACATAACTAGGGAAAAGACGCTGACAAGCTAGAAATTAGTATATTAATTATAAGTTTCGGACGGACATATAATTATAATTGATAATTAATCAGTAAATTAGTCCGTGTATAATTAATTAGACAGCATCTAATTAATTATAGGTAACATTAACCATGCAATGAAGTGATAGTACCATATTCTAGAGGCACCGAAGTGTCCTGCTAACACATTATTTAAATGAATACGTTCTAATTTTGTGATGGTGGAACATCGGTGTTTGTATTTAAATAGAAATCAACTTAGATAATCAACTTAAATAGTCATCAACTTAGAAAGAATTTATATAAAAATTGCATCTGATTTGAAAATGTCAGATCATATTTCAGACTGAATACGTTCGAATTTTGTGATAGTGGAACATCGGTGTTTGTACTTAAATAGAAATACAAACGTCATCAAATTAGAAATAAAATATATATATAAATTGCATCAGATTTGAAAATGTCAGATCATATTTCAGACTGAATACGTTCGAATTTTGTAATGGGGGAACATCGGTATTTGTAGGTACGTACTTAAACAGAAATACAAACATCATCAGATTAGAAATAATTTCTATAAAACTTGCATCAGATTTAAAAATATTACACTTTGGATAATTTCAAATCCTCGACTAATATGAAAAAGATCTAAGAAACAAAAACATCTAGATTTATAACCAAGGCTAGAAACAATTGATTAGAGTTGTCCGAGTGAATTGTTTAACTGTTGTTGTAGACATTGGTAATTGTTTACCTGTTGCGGTAGACATTGGTAATTGTTTACCTGCTGAGGTAGACATTGGTAATTGTTTACCTGTTGAGGTAGACATTGGTAATTGTTTACCTGTTGTGGTAGACATTGGTTATTGTTTACCTGTTGTGGTAGACATTGGTAATTGTTTACCTGTTGTGGTAGACATTGGTAATTGTTTACCTGTTG